CCTACCCTAACCCTAACCCTAACCCTACCCTAACCCTAACCCTAACCCTAACCCTACCCTAACCCTAACCCTAACCCTAACCCTAACCCTAAGTTATAGGTACTTGACTTAAAAGAACTATATATAAAGATAATCTAGTAAACCTACAATTCTAGAGCATATAGCTACCTAGGAAGGAATAATACTACTAGGATCCTAAGAAGAGAATACTTCTAGCTAAAGATATATAAAGATATTAGAAGGTTTATATAAAACTATAACATATATAAAAGAAATAAAGTATAAAGGAACTAATAATAAGGCTTCCTAAAACCGCTTCTAGTGCTAGACTATATATAGCAAGAAATCTTAGTTAACTTTATTATAGAGTTACTCAAGAGTAGTAGCTATATAAATATAATTATAATCACAGACCGCCTTGGAAAAGGCATTATATATAATAGTCTCTACGATATTTAAGCCGAGATAGTAGTAAAGTGGTTTATATAATACTACTACTAGTAATACTATTTACTAAGAGCGATAGTATTAGATCGGGGCTCTTAGTTTATAGGCTAACTATAGATAAGAATATGCTAACTACTAGGCATAGTATAACGCCTTTCTATAGCTTTTCACCTGGAAATAGATAGAGCTATAGAAAGAATAAATTAAGAAGTAAAGACTTATCTTCGTATATTTATTAATTACGCCTAGAATAATTAATACGAAACACTACTATTAGTAGAAGTAGCGATTAATAATAAAGATACGGTATTAACTAGAGTCAGCCCCTTTTTCTTATAGTACAGTTATTATATCTAATCACTTAACTTATAAATAATACTAACTCCATCTAATACGCGCGAATCCCTAATCTAAAGGGCAGATATAATCGTATAAAAGCTTTATAATACTAGGGAATAGATATAGGCAGCTATAGCTAGTGCCTAGCAAGTTATATAAGAAGTTATAAACTAAAGATATTAGTAATTGCCAAGTTTTAAAGTTAGTAATAAAGTATAGCTAAACCTAAAAAACGTTTATATAGATCGACTAACTAAAAAGCTAAATGCTAAGCATACTAAGTTTATAGTTCTCTAAGAGGTTAGTTTATATAGTTACTAGTTAGATACACCTCTAGGAATCTATAATATATTCTATAGTAAACTACTATAGCTCGCAGGTAATAACCCGCTCCTTAGCTAGATATAAGACGATTTGCAACCTCTCTTATAAATAGTTAGAAATAATAAAGAATATAAAGTTAAAGAGATCCTATAAGAGAAGGTTATATAATGCAGCTGTGGCTAGTAAAAGAAGTTTCTAGTTAAATAGATAAGCTATATAAGACTAACATAAGAGCTAGCAGACGTAGTAGGCAACTGCAAGGCACTAGATAACTAGGAAGAAAAGAATGCAGAGGAGGCCTAAAAGTAGAGGGGTAAACCTATTCACTTAACCTATTCTTAAATAACCTATCTACGCAAAACTTACTTTAAAAAACCTGCCCTCTTAAACTAACCCTTAGTCTAAAGTAAGGAGAGGGGTAATATAACAGGTTACACCTAATATTATAGCTTGGCACATAGTGCCTTTATATATGCCTTTATATATATAATACAAATATGACAGATTTATAATTTCGCTTCCTCTAGCTCTCTTTAGAGGCTAGAAAACCCTTATATCTATCTATATAAGAGAAGCTTCTCTTCTCTCTTTAGTTAATTCTTCTTGTATTAAATCTAGGCTTTTGCTCTACATACTTGGCATTCGCCTTATGACAGGAACTGCGATATAGTATATACCCTCAAGTTATATAGTATTCTAGGTTATGCTTTATAGTCTAGCAGGCTAGATTATATGGTGTCCTAGGTTATGCTTTATAGGCTAGCGGCCCGCGCGCTGATTAGCCGCCCGGCCTCTATTACACGTCGGCCGCGCAACGCGGAGCGCTATGCAATCTGCTTTTATATAACTAGATAATACTCTAAAGCAAAAACGGACCGGTACACGTGATTTACAGATCCGCGCTATAATCCCGGTCGCTTACTATTAAGCGCAGCGAATAACTAGCTCCTAGTACTAGTATATTAAAAGGATCCTATCACTTGTCAGCGCTACTAGAGTTAAAAGAAGTTAGAGGAATATTCACCTGTCTTCCAATTATATCTTGCATTTGTCCAACGATCCGCCTCTTTATAATTATTAATAAATAACTCCACAAACTCCTTAGTAGCATGTGGCACTTCCGCTGCTGTTGGAAACTCGTTATTGCTAGCACACCATGGAAGGATAAATTTAATATCATCAGCATCGGTCTTTTTTTTCGCATCAGTAGTCCGGCCGAAGATAGAATTGCACTTGGCGTTCAAAATCAGAGACGGCTTAAGGATTCTAACTCCATTAACCTCGACGACTGGTGTGTTGTTATCGAAGCGTTCTTTGAACATTCCTGGTGGTGCCAAAATCTCGACGTCTACCCGTGGGTCGGATTTGTAGTATGTATAAGCAGTCTTGCTTTCCACTTCAAAGTACAGTCGTTGGTTTTTCAACAAGCTCCGTGTGTATTTAGTGGCGCCTTTGGGAACGACGATATCGACGTCTTCAGTCTCACGGGAGGAGCCGAGCATGGAACAAGCAGCGCCGCCGATAAGGGCGTAGACTTGACCCTCAAGAGTGTATCTGATGGCTTCGGCTGCTTCACGAATCTGCTGAGGGCTTGGCTTTGTGGGCTGCTGAGCTTGATGGGATCCTGATCCTGATCCTGAGGCGTGGGATGATGCGGAACCGTAGTAGGAAGACATGTCTGTGTTCAAAGTATCAGAAATCCATAAAAGTATAAATTAAGGTGACAGTCGTACCGGAAAGTATATTGCAGCAGACGAAGAGACAAAAGTAATCGATGTTCTAGGGATATAATAAAATGTATATATTATAACTGGACAATTTGGATTCAAAGCGAGGACCTGACGAAGGAATTGGTAATAAGATGAACGCGTTTGTTGTTTTCTGAAAGATTGAGAAATGAGACACATCAGGCTGTCAATGATGGAGAATATATACTTTTCAGGCCTGCAGTTGGAGAAGACTGAAACCTACCAAACGGGGCACAGTAGCGGATAGTACGCATATACGAGACATGTCGCTAATCTATGCGCGCGGCAGTAGTAGACTTTGTAATGAAAATTAACTAGGTATGATATATTTGATGCTGAACAAAATAGTTCCGTTTGAGTCTAGGCTTTCGATTCCATTCATAGTGAGACGACCACATGGCCGACTTGTGGCACAGCGTATGGCGGCTGACCCATCCGGAGAAGTTGTTCATCTCGCAACATACTACTTATTTTATGAAGGGAAAGAGCTTCCAAAAACATGAATATGTGCTGTTGTGGCAGAGACTCAATCATCCAGCCACATGGATTCTCAGTGTATTTTGTGACATGAACGAAGACTGGAAAAGTGGCAAACAATTTTCAGAAGTAAGAGAATCGTAGTCAACCTTGACAAAGCCCATTGAGCGGGGTCAAATTCCATGGCGCGCGCGACAAATTTCATTGAAGAGATATAATAAGCGCTTTACATGGGTTAATATCATGTGGACGTCTTTAGCGACCTGACCTGCAGCTAAAGATGTCGTTGGGAATGTGTTTCGCGGCCGCAGCCTTTCCATGTCACAGCCACTGCGATATCTATGGGCGGCCTGCGGCACAATCATTCAAGGCGTAGTTGTCATCCGATGTCTATCATAATGATGACAATCTCCTATTTTGAGCGCATTGTTGGTGTTTGAGATTAGCGCTTGGAATTGGCATATGATGGTAGGGCTGACTATTGCAATCAATGGAACCCGAAGGTTGGTTTTTGCTGCCGCCGATCGATAAGTATTCACGTTCGGCCAAGGGCTCGATAGCTTTGGATGGCATCTTGGAAATTGAGACTTTGCAAAAAAATTCGTTTTTCTTATGTCCTCAGCAGGATTACTTGCAGAAAATTTAATCAGAACAGTCCGGCTCGTATTCCTCTTGCCGCAGTTTTCCAATCTCATATTCCTCCGGCGAGAACGAGGAGGCATTCAGCGCCCTAACCCGCTCCTCAACCTTAGCTGTGAACAACGACTCGTCGTCTTGATTTGCAGAGCAGTCACACAGCAGATGATTCCCATCTCGCAACGCGTCGCGAACTTTTCTTTGATGGCGTACGAATGGAAATGTGGCCGTTCCCATTCCTGACAGAGTGTCGTAGTGGTATTGGCGATGCTCATATTTCAAATACTCGGCAAAAGACTTTTCCTTCAGCGCAGGGACATAGCTATATAGATAGGCTATGAGAGTCGCCAAATGGCTCCAGATCTCATTTGCGAGAGGGTCGTTGTCGAGCAGCCTGTCAATCAGAGCATCCAGCAGCGCTGGCAAAGGTGGAAAGAAGCCTTCGAATACTGACGGGAAAGTGAAATGCCATTCTGGGGCTGGAAGTAGAATTGTCATTGTTGGTCCCGGGGGCAGTTTACTTGGTGGCGGTGGTGGGCCTCTTGACGGCTGGATGCGTATGTTCTCGGTCATATCAATTGGCGGCATCAAGCGGCGATGGGCACTTGACAGTGGGTCATTCCCAAATTTGCTTCGCGCATTGTCTTCAAGATGCCAGCCTCGTTGTATGAGAATGTTGGCGGCTTTGTCGATGTCTGGTACGAGAATATAGAAAGTGAAAACCACTGTCGGAACTCCGTAATAGGCAACTGCGTCTTCACCCCATATAATGCAAGGGATATCATTATCGCGCAGCACGTAGCAAGGTTGGAATCGAGTATAACGTTCAGTTGTCATCTTGAGATGCGAATAATATGAAAGAATGAGGAATGTTGCTTTAGAGTGTCACTTGCAGTGGGCGGAACGATTTATCTCATAAATCAGACCCACATTCTTTTACGGTGGGGTGGTACTGTATGTCCCCACCCTTTACCAGTAGCGCACTCTGACAACCCTGACAGCCAATCACACCCTCCCATCCCCCCCACACACCACCGGACGCAAGGCCCGCAAGATAGCGTTTCCAGAGCGCGCGCGCGTACGTTTGGCACTGCCCCGCGCGCTTCTGCAACAAGGGTTGCCTCTTCATCTCTCAGTTTTGTCAAGGGGCTTAGTTCATCGAGGATCCCGCAAATCAGCATTGTCTTGCCTTTGCCAGGGTCGCCCTTGATCCAGAGCAACCGACTCTGTTTGTCGTCGCGCCAATGTTGAAAGTCGGCATGTTCGCAGATCCACTGGTAGGAGTCTCGCAATAGGCCGCTGAGATACCTACGAGTAGATCAGCGGTGTACTGTAGAAGAAGCAGGTCCTCTTTCGATTCCCTGCCAGGGGACGCGCCTGACAAGCACTCACCACACCTACCTGGTCATTCGTCGCCCTTCCTGAGGCGGACGGCATCGCAGCAATGTTCAGCCTCATCTCGTCCGATGCAGACGAATCGTATATAAACCAAAGTGTGCGCCCCTCCCTCCGGTAACTTAGCCACTAATCTGAAAGCGCATGACTTTAGGTCGCAGTTGCTATAGTAGGCATGGCCAATCGATATTCGCAGTATGCAATCTTCTCATGACGATTCTGAGGAATTTTTGCAGCTATCACGATCCCCATATTTCCTCAGTCGCATCCTTCACTTACGACAGCAATCTCCTTTCGCCACGCTGGTTGACTAGTTGATTCGGCGCGAGGCTTCATATCGACGTATATCGGGAAAACCGCACGGCCAGCGACCCCCCATCCCCAAATAATGCCTGTTACAGGACACACGAGAAAACGCAAGGACGCGAAGTCTCTGTTAAAGAAGCTCCGCGCACAAGCGAAGGAGAAGGATAGTCAGGGAATATGTCGTTCAGTGTAAGCAGACGTAAGCACACGGTCAAGTATCTACTGGAACGGATCTCGCTGATCATTTAACAGCTTGACGCGGGCGGAACTGCAACATATGAATTCACATCCGAAGGAAATCGAGTTACAGTCAACTTGCCAGGCGGGGAGTGTCTCGTCTTCATCATTATGGGCGGCTTCTCACTCGACAACGGTACAACCATAACTACGGGAAGGGGATTGGGGCATTATGTATCTGACGCAAGCGTTCTCACATTGGAGCCAGCTTTCTTAGATAATGTTTTAAACTAGAAACCATTGAAAGTACAATTACAAGGAGATCGGTAACTATCGCCGTAAGTCCGGGATGTGTTCGGCATACACCGAAATTCATACCCAGCTTACCAGCAGGGTATATCATTTGTCGAGAACAAATTTTATAGCTCTACGGTATAAAAGTAAACGAGACTGTAGCCACGTAGTCAGAATATAGGCATTTGTCAAACAATTTGTATTCCGAGTACATATCTGGAACCTTGAGAGCTGTTGAGAAGAGCCAACTCTCTTGCAATGTCAACATCTCAATCGCAGAAGAGACCCCTATGGCGGCCGAACCCCACTGCGATCGGCAGAACGCCCATCATCAAATTTATAAAGAGCGTAAACAGCAAACGAAATTTACACCTTTCAACATATGCTGATCTCTACGACTGGTCGGTCGGTATCGAAACATTCCAATATTTTTGGACAGAGGCGTACACGTTTTTCGGTATTTCACCAAAGGGTTACAATGAGCATCCTGGACTAGCACTAGCAGACAGTCGGAGGAGACTTTTCCCACCCCCGAAGTTCTTCCCCCAAGCAAGGCTGAATATAGCGGAATACATGCTTCGAAACGGTAAAGATGAAGAGACTGCTGTACATTTTGTGCGAGAAGGCGTGTCAGGAGTGGAAAACGTCAGTTGGGCCAAGCTACGTGAGCGAACGCGGGCAATGCGTGATGCGATGGTCAGCCGTGGTGTACGTACAGGCGATGTCGTTGCTGCTGTCATCTCAAACTCGGTGGATGCGATGGTGATCTCCCTGGCTGCATTGTCTATCGGAGCAATTTGGTCTTCCTCATCCTGCGATCTTGGTGCTTCCGCGATTGTTGAACGCTTTAGTCAGGTGAAACCGAAGATCGTGTTTGCGGACGACGGGTATATCTATGGTGGGAAGCTGATAATTCTTCAAGACAAGATAAAGGAATGGTCACATAGGCTTGTCGGTGGAAACTTAAATTCAGTAGTAGTTATTCCATATTGCAGCTTGAGCATCTCTACCGAGAGCATCTATTGTGGCGAAACGCTGGACAACTTTCTTGCCAGCGGAACTGGTCGTCAACTTGTATTCGGTTATCTTCCTTTCCATCATCCAGCGTTTATATTGTTCTCTTCCGGGACAGTACGTTGTTGTTCCCATATAAAGATAATTGCTGACACTTTAACAGACGGGTGCTCCGAAGTGCATTGTTCATTCTGCGGGTGTGAGTAACTAGCTGGATGCGGACGCCAGACGAGGCTAATGATATATGCAGGGAGTCTTACTAAAAGTGAAGACAGACTCTGTCCTGCAGCATGATATGCGGGATTCTGACATAGCCTTCCAATATACGACTGTTAGTAATTGCAACTCATTTGTAACGTTTCATACTGATGAGGAGGCAGACTGCATGGGTTATGTGGGTGTTAAATTTCGTCAATATTTGTTCCGCAAAATCGTTGTTGTTATATGACGGATCACCATTTCATCCAACACCCGGAGTTCTTCTGAAGCTCGCTCAAGATATCGGGTAATGTTATTCCAAAACATTGTCAAACACTCGTCTGATTGTTTATAGGGTGTCCATATTCGGCACGTCTCCCAGGTATCTTGCTGAGATCAGAGCTCGCGGCATTGTGCCTCGTAAGTCACCCGTGGGACGCTTCAGTTCTTATACTAACAAACCCAAGGAAATTCGTTCAACTTAGAACGTCTGAGAACGGTGACATCTACCGGTGCTGCACTATCTGCCGACATGTACAACTGGTTTTACGAAACCGGATTTTCTCCTCACGTTCAGCTTGTCTCAATGAGTGGAGGAACCGATATTGCTGGAAGCTGTATGTAACCCTTCTTTTCGTTCAAATTTGGATATCATCGCTTATTATGAAAGTTGTTGGAGGAAGTCCTTTGCTTCCTGTGTACGCTGGCGAGATTCAGACCAAAGCGTTAGGCATGGCCGTGGAAATTTTCGACCCCTCCCAAGATGCAGGTGTACCAGTTGAATTGCGAGATTTACCGGGCGAGCTTGTATGCACTAGGCCATTCCCAAGTCAACCTCTCGAATTCTTTGGGGTCGGAGGCAATGAGAGATACCGAAAGTCGTACTTTGAGAGGTTCGGTGATACGGTTTGGTGCCAAGGGGACTTTATACAGTTCCAGAAAGATACAGAAGGGTTGATAATGCTCGGAAGGTCGTGAGTGTAGCCTCTGCCGCATTTCTGTTAATGAAACTCACAGGAAACAGGGACGGCGTCCTTAATCCATCCGGTGTCCGTTTCGGCTCATCGGAGATATATGCGGTGACTGAAGTATTTCCTGAGATCGAAGATAGTATCTGCGTTGGCCAGAGGAGAAAATCTGATATCGACGAGCGGGTCCTCCTGTTTGTTAAGATGAAGACGGGTCAAGCTTTCACTGCGGATCTAGCAACAAGACTACAACTGGCGATACGAAAAAGATACTCAAGCCGTCATGTACCGAAACATGTCTTTGAAGTCGCTGATATTCCATATACTGTCAACGGAAAGAAGTGCGAGATCAACGTTAAGCAAATAGTTAGCGGGCAAGTGGGTGCCGTAAGTGGTACAGTATCAAATCCTTCCAGCTTAGACTTGTATCGCGAATATGCGAACCTTCCCGTGGAAGGAGAGAAGAGTGAAGCGGGATCAAGCAAGTTGTAGGAATACTGACCATGCAATGGTTGAAGTCTTTGATTCTGAGGGGAAACGGATTTGGCATAGATACAGTTGAGGTAATCAAACTCTTAGAAGTTTTCAGGTTCTACATATACAATATAATTCCACGGTTCTGTGTGATGCTCCATTGGCATCCAGCTTTCAACCTAGTAAACAAAACTATAGTAGAAAATCCCACCTCAGATAGTTGAGAACTGCTGGCTCATTCGTGAAAATGCAGGCAAACGTTTGTGAATATTAATCTAACCTCATCGGCGGCAAAGATATGATATAACGGCGGTATCTGACACATCGCCAGATCGAGATGACAAAAATGAGTCAACGCCTTGCTGTGATTAAATTTCCTGTAATTAAATTGCTCGTTTGTATTATCAATGGCATTCGCAGAATGTTCCGGCCCCGGAGGAGCTAGCGAGGCGCCACCTAAAGAACTACTCCATGGCTTTTTCTGCACGTCGGGATTATCTTTACAGGCTAGATCATTACCGCTCACATAGCCGTCTTCACCCGTGGTTTTGAGGGACATCGAGGAGACTACCTGTAGTTCCGCAGCTTGAGCGGACCCATCGGTCAACGCCGAACGTGCGTTCCGTCACATGCTCGTAGTATTACGGTACTTAGTTGAGTTCTGGCGGAGACTGATACTCACAGAATTGCAATACATGAAGCGCACATACTGTAATCTGCAAGTGGTCTCAAACTAGTCAAGGAGTTAGTGCAAAGCTATTTGCACATCTATACCGCCAACTTTTTTCACGTCACGATTCTCCTGAAAGCATACCCGACAGGATAACATAACATAATACCTAAAATCGTTGCCCTCAAGGAAAAAGCTTCAATCATCTCAGTTTTGATACCACTACTCCTAAGTTTCAATCCCGATTGCAATCATTCTAGATTGCTCTGATCATGACGTTGATCGAGCAGCAACCACAAGTCGAACAAAGTCGACGTCCCGTCCGCATCGCGAACTGCTCTGGGGCACAATATGATCCAGGAAGACAGATGCAGAAACAGGCGAGCCTGGGAGAGGTCGATTTCTTGACAGGGGACTGGCTTGCCGAAAATAATCTGGCGCAGGAAGCAGCTGCCATGTCATCCGGCACAGGAGAGGGGTTCAAGATAAAGACGTGGGATGCACTGCGGCAAAGTATGGACGTGATTGCGGAAAAGCGTATCAAAGTGGTGGTCAATGGCGGGGGGCTCAACCCAAAAGCATTGGCCTGGCGTTGTCAAGAATTGATCAACAAAAACAACTACAACTTGAAGGTGGCTTTTGTGTCAGGCGACGACCGACTCAGCCATGTTAGCGCGTCGCTGAAGGATCACGGAAGCCTTCCTCAGCATTTCCATGACGATGTCAAGAACGCTGGCTTGGCCAAGACAAAGGAGGCTAGGAGTGATCTTAAGGACAGCGACATTCTAGCCTCAAATGCATACCTGGGAGCCCGGGCCATTGTAAAGGCTCTCAAGAATGGCGCGGATATCACCATTTGTGGCCGTGTGGCTGATGCATCTCCAGTTGTGGCAGCATCATGGTGGTGGCATGGATGGTCCGATCAAGACTACAATCGTCTGGCAGGAGCTCTTATTGCAGGGCATCTGGTCGAGTGTTCAGCGTATGTGACCGGCTCAAACTTCTCTGGGTTTCACAGATTTGATCTCGACACCTTCGTGGACGTGGGTTTTCCAATTGTGGAAGTAACTGAAGATGGAACATGCATCATCACCAAGCATGAAGGGACAAACGGAATGGTGACGGAAGATACGGTTCGCTGCCAGTTACTCTATGAGATCCAGGGGAGCTCTTACCTCAACAGCGACGTAAAGGCGATCCTTGACGACGTGGAGGTGTATGAAGTCGGGAAAGACCGAGTCAAAGTCAGTGGGGTTGTCGGTCGTCCACCTCCCCCGACTACGAAGCTCGCAATCTTCTACGCTGGCGGCTTCGAGGCTCAAATTTTGGTCAATGCGGCTGGTTACGCTACCTCTAAAAAGTTTACTCTGTTTGAGAAGCAGATCCGCATTGCCTTGTCAAAAGCGAGCTTGTTGGAGTCTTTCACCGAACTTGAGTTTCAAGTGTAAGTCTCTATCTACTCTGTCAAGCTACGCGATGCAAGAGTTAATAGATCTCCTCGCTTTAGTATTGGAATGCCACAACCGAATCCTGCCTCCCAACTACAAAGTACTACTTATTGTCGGGTATATATGCAGTCGATGTCTAGGGAGCCGATTGTTGCATTGTCGCAAATTTTTGACGACGAAATAATGCAGCATTACTCAGGTGTGACTGACGGATTTCCGAGACTTACTTGAGCTAGTGGGCTAACTTTGTTAGGATGGCACATGTCAGCAGATCTTAGAACAATGGCACCAAAATCATTCTACGCATATTACCCTGCCATTATGTCGCAGGACGATCTAGATGAAGCCGCTCACCTCCTTGACCAGAATGGGAGTATCGCAGATTCATTCAGAAGTGGTCACCCTTCAAAATATGAAGTTTTGGAGAAACGTCCGAGCTACGATAGTGCCAACCCATTACCTCTCGATTTGTTCGGACCTACAACTGCAATGCGTCTTGGCAACCTCGTGTTAGGGCGATCTGGCGACAAGGGCCCAAACATCAACTGCGGTCTTTTCGTTCATCATCCTGATACCTGGGAGTGGTTTCGCTCCTTTATGACACTTAATACATTCACTGGTTTGATCGGCGCCGATTGGAAAGATGACTATCATATTGAACGTGTTGAGTTCCCAAAAATCTACGCGGTTCATTTCGTTATATATGGAATTTTGGGTCGTGGTGTGAGCAGTTCAAAACTGTTAGATAACAGGGGAAAGGGATTTGCAGATTATATACGAGATAAGCATGTTTACATACCAGATAAATTTCCGACCTGGAGCGATGTCAACTGAGCTTGAAGTAGGGGCGTAGGAATAGACATCAACACGTTGAAACAAATCACCCTCTCTATGTGAAGAAAAAGCCAAACTAGGAAGAGTAATCGAGTCCTGTCGAGCATATTGGTGTACCTGCCGTCGATGTAGAGTTGGAAGAGAGTATATAATTTAAATAGATGCTAGTGTTTTCAATTAGACAAACCAAATTCTGTTGAAACGGAGGAACTACCCTGAATCATCACTGCATGCTACGCAGGTTTTATACGCGTTTAGTCAAATAAAGGTACATTATTGTGCCTATATTCTTAAGATAATCCATTGTGAAGTTATAATCTCGTATCCAATTCATACCACAGTCATACACAAGTTCAAAGGTGTATATTATAAGACGACACATCCGTCTAACCGAACTTTGATCCCACCATTTGTGCTTGGGCGTTTCGTCACCCTATATGGACCTGCATCTACACCCGCTATGCTACGTCACGAGACAGCAAGCATGCAAATAGCCACACAGTCGAGAAAGCTTTGCCCATAATTGGCCCGGACCGGGAGTCCCCGTGTGATCATGTCAGACCGTGAGCGAAGCTGGTCTTGGCTAGAGCATTTTCTCTCCAGTACCAGACCGCTGACATAGTAGCACCAGGGCCAACGATGAGCGTGCCTAAAGCGATGAGGATCATGGCTTTCCCAATATCCGTAGTTGTCCGACCCATTCGCTTCACATCCCACACAGCCATACATAGCCAACCGTACGTCGCAACTTCAAAGCCCCAGAAGTCTGCCAAAAACAGAGCCCTGAGGCCTTCCCCAAGTCCCCTTGACTGCGCAGTAAAGTTGGGCCAGAAGACTGAAGTCAAGCTCAGGTATGGTGACGACCAAACTTTAGCAAAGCAATAGACATGCAGCAACAACCCCAGTGCACCACTGACGACGTAGAGCCTTTTGAGGTGCGGAATATCCGGGAAAGCCTGCTTAGCTTGCCGTGGAACGCGTACGATATTATTTTTCTTGACATAGATTTTCCCAAGAATGGTACAGAGAAGTGGAACCAGCATTGGGGACACTTGCCAAAGAGCCTCAAAGTTTTGGACTGTGTTCGGGTCCTTCCATGGTAAAAACATAAGAATTGTTGGAAGGGTATAACCAATCATGACCGCCCATACAAGCGATATTGCGGATTGAATCGGAACCTCTCGGTTGAGTGGCCACCAGTAAGTTTCCGGTTCAGAAATGTAGGTATAGACGGCATAGTAAATTGGCATGTAAATTCCCACACCAGCCCACTGAACCAATGTGAACCAGATTGTGATCCTGGAAATGTGTCAGTCCAGTATTCAAACAAAGACAGGCTGAGGTAGGACCCACAGTGTTAGAGGCGTTAGCACATTGCGAGTCCGATATGCCTCAACAGACCACACCGTAATGGGCTGAACGAGCATTCCGAGAAAGTACATTTGCAGGGTCCCAAAATTCTGGTCCCAACTTTTCAAGCCTGGCATGTACGCTGCTGCCAAGAACACCAGATAGTTGTCAAGGGACTTGATCCCGGTATAATTACGCTTGAGGGGGAAACTTGGATCATACGAAAACTTCCCAGTCGTCACGATAGTTCCTAAGTGATCTCCGAGGCCATAATGGGCAGACCAGATCCACATACCGTAGTGAACGAGTCCAGCCACGAGAAGATAGAATCCTATCAAGTACCACTTTTTTGAACCCCTAGGTGCTGGAGTGCTCAAAAGCTCGTCCTTGTAAGGTACAAGCCTCGGGACGGGGCTCAATTTAGGACTGTCCAGCTTTTCAGCAAGCGGCATGTGGCGAGAAAAGTTGAAGGTGACATCCTCAACATTGGTCATTGGCAACAAATGAAAAGCTGCAAATTCATGAAACGGCGTATCAAGTAACTCAGTCCGTTGTTGTTCGTGAGAATGTTCCTTAAGAGTAGTCGCCCTTGCCTGCCGGGTTGCTTGGGTCGTGGAAAATGCATGCTCAATCTGTTCCAGTGTAGGCTTGGCACCTTTGGACTCTCCAAGTACTTTGCAAAGTGCGTTGACCAGAACAGCCGCCGTTTCAACACAAGCGTTACCACCATGACCCGCGATGGGATGAAACTGCGAATTCTCAGCATAGATTGGTACCGACAAGATACCGCATACGTACCTTGTGTGCGGCATCGCCAATGGTGATGATGCGCTTGAAATACCACTGCCTAAAGACATATTCCTGCAGAGGCACCAAAACAGACGTGATCCTGTTATCCAAGACATCTTTGAACTTTAGAGTTGGAGTGATGTTGTCGTTTTCTCGCTGCTTGAGCAGCTTCTTCTCGTCCTCTTTCGTGAAACGCGGAATGTCGTCACCGTAGGCTCGCTGGGCCAACTTGTAGAAATAGAACCAATAAATGCGACCTTCAGGTCCACCGTTCATAATATAAGATTCGCGTTTTCTAAACACCGAGTTGGATGCGCCTGGCTCAATGCCCTCGCAAGGATTAGAGATTCCGAAAACGCATCCATAATCAACAGGGACAGCTGGAACATGTCAGCGCGGCCGGTTGACAGAGTCATTATGATACTCACCAGAATGCTCGTTAGATGGAATCCACCCAGGTGACTTTTCATTTGCGATCCTCCACATCTCTCCTCTCACTGAGCTATGGATTCCATCAGCCCCAACCAGGATATCGCCTTTGTAGGAACATTTGTCGGAAGTGGTGACAACAACTCCAGAATCAGTCATCTCGACCTTTTTGACTTCTTTGCTCGTGAGGATCTTCGTTTTGTCCTTGATGTTTTCGTATAGCACTTGAAGCACCATTTGGCGATCCAAAAATGTAATTGGATAGCCGTGCCTGGGTAGTCTTAGCCTTGCTCCCTCTTAATCTGGTGGTGCAACCTCACCTCTCAAGCATAGACTTGTGCATGCCTCGGAATTCGCTAATGATTTTGCCAGTCTCGTCGCGGAAGTGAAATGAGTCTATAGGAGGGCATAGGTCTAGAATCTTTTGGAACAGGCCGAGTTGGTCCAATATCCTATTACCGTGCGGCAACATACCAATACTTGCACCCACTTGGGGTGCCATTTCCGCATATAATTCAAGCACAACAAAATCAATATCGTGGAGTTGCAGCATGTTAGCCAGCGTGAGGCCGGCAATGCTGCCGCCCCCAATCACGACTTTGAAATCGCTCTTTCCCACCATTATTCGCTGTATCGTGCAACTAATGAATGTCTGACTGGATTGAAGAATATTCTAGAGTAGTAGATACACACACATCAGAAGTAGGAATTGGTTATTTATATCCCCGACTTAATATCCCCAGCTTGATCAGAAAAGGTTAGATCTTTACACCTCCCCACGGAGCCTTCCGCCTCCACGAACCTGGAGCAACGCATGCAAAAGCCCCTAAGGATGACCTTGACTTTTTTCGGAGTGCTGAGTACAGACAGAATCACTTATTCAGCAATCACGGCCCTCAAGAAATTACGAAATATGGCGGGCTGAATATCCGGAAAACCGAAACCCTACAATGCACAAACAAGCCCACGGAAAAGCGGACCGACTTTACGAGGCGTTTGTACTAAGGCTGCTACACCTCAATTAGTGGATCTACCGATCATTCTAAGCGATTTCGAAAGCCTTTGACGCTTGCTTGCATTACTAGTATTTGTTTGCCCATTATCGGACGCGGTGCACGTGCAAAACACCGAGTGAGTCAACTCTGATAAACAAACAGTGCGTGGGATAGAGGGACCTTAAAAGATCTTCTTTTCAAACTATAGAGCTCAGCTCGGCTTCTGGATAATAAACCACCACCAGAATCTGTCATGGGACTTCGGCACCTATTCGGGGCAATTTCTTGGTCATGTGGATGGGTGCCTGATGGGGTTCTGATAGAATATAACGATAAGAGCGTACAATGATGATACTAGCACAATGGGGTCAAGACATATATATTGCATTGTGTGTATTCAAGAGAAGGGTATAGCCGAATACCCGAAATCTAGTTTTGTGTCAGGTCTAATTCCAAACCCATAGTTGGCTGTATATACCTTTCCTATCTATCTACCTCGGTAGGTAAGAGCTAGCAGTTTTACTTCACTTAACATACGCTGGATAGGGCATCATTTCACCCTGATTATCCGCGATTCAACCCGTACTGACAATGGAGAGCCTCCAGCAGAAAACACTCGTCACGCGGCGGTCGCTCAATTACAGATATTTTGTCTCCCCTTCCGGCGAATCTACCAAGCAGCATCCCGCACTGTTCTTCATTCACGGCTTTCCCGATTCGGCGCATCTATGGACGGAGGTGGTCCGCAAACTCCTCGACCTGCCAAACAAGCTGATCATCCCCGACTGCTTAGGTTATGGGGGCACAGACAAACCAACGGACACGAATTTGTACGCATACAAAGATCAAGCCGACGATCTTGCAGACATCCTTGAAAACGAGAAGGCCAAGTTTACGATCATTATCGGACATGATTGGGGTAGTGCGCTAACTCAGCGCACCTATCTTCACAACTCTGAGCTATTCAGCGGCGTGGTCCTCCTCAATACTGGATATATGGTTCCATCAGATCAACCGTTTGATCTCGCTGCCGTGAATGCATATACTGACAAGACGTGGGGCTACCCGCAGTTTTCGTATTGGGAGTTCTTCACGGCACCCGATGCTCCCGAGATAGTAGACGCGAATATGGAGAGGATGTGGCAAGCTTTACATGGTGATGTAGAAGACTGGATGAAAAAGCTATTCTGTGTTCCAGGCGCCATGCGCAAGTTTCTGCTCAGCGACGAGGAAGTGCCGGTGAAAAAATACGCAAGCCAGTCGGGATGGAAAGACATGTTCATGCAGCAGTTCAAGGCTCGTGGATTTGCACCAGCCTTGCAGATGTATAAGGCTACTGTTTTGAACATACAACTTGAGTCAGACTCGACGATTCCTAAGGAGAGCTTGGTGATTAAGGTGCCACTTTTGTTCATAATTTGTACTAAAGATGCCGTCTGTTTGCGGGAAGTGATGGCCCCAGCAAAGGACAACGGTCTCGTCCCTGATCTGAAGGAGGTCGTCATCGAGTCTGCACATTGGTCGCCAATGGAAAAGCCTGGTGAGATTGCAGCACACATCAGAGAATTTTTGGGGAACAGATTCTCATCTAGTTAGGCCCATTGAAATTCAACTGTAATTATCGAGCCCATTCAAATACAAACTCAAATTCAAGCCTACCATGTAATATCTGACAGCGGATTTCGACGACCCACTTTGTCTTTTTTTTTTAAGTCGAGTATTCTTTTAAGCCACAGCATTCAATTTATCATGCCGAGAAGGGTTTTGAAATTATTTCTTCGTGTTGCCCCCGTAAGATCAACCAAAGAGTATCAATTCGCAGATCTGAGATCCCAAGCTACCTTTGCGAATAATCGCGATCTTGAATGTAAAGGGATTCATTAAAGTAATAGACTAGGCCCGGCTCGACGAGACGATGGGATTGGGGGCAGGGCAGCGCTGTAACATTTATCACGTCACTAGGTTTTCATTGATGGACACGTACGTAGATAGTGGCTTTTGATTATGCCATCTGACCAATATCACACGAAAGGATACGCGACTTTCAAGACTTTCAATTCCAATGCATTACCAGGTAACTATGCAGCCATATTGATAAGGACTGTCTTTGGTTCGGTATACAATCTCAACGCATACTCTCCGAATTCCCGCCCAATACCGCTCTGCTTCTTCCCCCCAAAAGGCACTTGTATGTTTTGGACGCTGACACAATTGATACCGACGACACCTGATTCCAGGCCGGAAGACATCCGCAGAGCTCTTGTGATATCCTTTGTGAAGACCCCAGACATCAGACCAAACTCGGTGTCGTTGGCAAGCTTTAAAGCCTCTTCCTCCGTTTCAAATGTCTTGATGATACTGACTGGGCCAAAAATCTCATTTCGATAAATTTCAGCGTCGTCCTTCGGATTCAAGAATACCGTGGGTTCCATATAACACCCTGCATCGCCGTGCTGTGAGCCTCCGACAACTAGCTCGGCCTCAGATCTTCCTCGCTCTACTATGGTTTTTACCCGCTCAAGCTGTGGCTGATCAACCATGGGTCCTAGTTTGACAGCTGGATCTTGAGGATCTCCATAGTCATTGATAGCGTCCTTCATTCTTTTCTTATATTCATTAATGAATTGATCCGCAACGCTCTTCTGGACATACACCCTCGAAGCAGCAACACAAAGTTGTCCACTTCGCGTCAAAATTCCATCAATCGTCCATTTGAGTGCATTTTCGAGATTTGCATCGTCGAATATGACGGCCGGACTCTTTCCTCCTAGCTCTAACGTGACTCGTTTCAAGTTGCTTCGAGCAGCGGCGATTTGGATATTCTTGCCTGTTGCGACTGAGCCAGTAAAGCTGACTTTGCGAATCCTCATATGCTCGGCAAGTAATGCACCAGTAGATCCGGCTCCAGTGATAACTTGAAGAACTCCAGGAGGAAAGCCAGCTCTGGCGAATAGAGGCGCAACAGCTAAGGATCCTAGTGGTGTCTTCTCACTTGGTTTCACAATTATCACGTTTCCGGTTGCAAGTGCTGGTATAGCCTTGAGAAAGAGGGTTGCCAGAGCTGCATTGAAGGGGTTGATGGCAGCACAAACACCCAGGGGCTCGTGTCGAACCAACTTCACAAATCCTGAGACACAATGCTGTCAGTTACAAAGAAGAGACAATTGTCGACCCTCACTTACCATCATCAGCAGGGAAGTAGTCCCCTTTCTGTTTGTCCGTCCACCCAGAGTAATATAGCACGCAATTCCTGATATAATTTCGCTCACGAACTGGAGCTAGAGAAACGGGAATGCCTGACGTTTTTGAGTCCAGAGTTAAAATTGGCGTGAGCTCTCCCTCAAGCAGCGAAGCTAATTTGAGAAAACATTCGGTACGTTGTATAGCTGTAAATCGACTCCATGGCCCATGAAAAGCCTCTTCGGCATATTTCACAGCTGCCTCAACATCTGCAGGACCGGCGACCGGGATGTTGGGGATAACGACAGTGTTATCTTTGGGGTTTTTAAGGCTATACGTCTCTTTGTTCTTGGCTGCAACGTATTGTCCATTCAAGAACAATTTTGTGTAGTCTTTCGGATCCAAGTCAGTGCTACCCATGGCTCCGTCTTCCAATATCCTTGCGGTTAATAGCAGAGCCAACTGGATCAAAAAGGGTGAGAAGGAGTTTGAAACTTTTTAAAATTTGTTCAACGTTAACGTGTTTCACTCGTAAGACACTGAAAATTCAGTGCCGGTTCTAGCAGGATTTCGCTGGTGGCTTGGTCGCTGGCTGTGTTGGACACTTCAGTCCGAAAGCAAGCCGAAGCCGAAGTTAGGCTAGGGAATCGCCGAAATGTTAGTTTCGGATATGCATCGCGTTGTACGCTATGTTAGCTGATGTTCGGAGATGCTCCTGAGGCTTGGCGGCCACCTGACAATCCCAGTCTGGCTTACGAGTACCGAGGAGCTAGCAAGGGATCTCGATTAAAGCCCTAGACTGACGGGATAAATGCCTACAAGTTAGTATCTCCGGAGTCAAAACTTTTATAAATCATATTCTATTCGAACGGCTAAGTTACAATGGCAGACAAAATGGATGTCTGGGCCCTGACAGAATGGGATATGCCTCTCCAGAAGATCCGCCAGCCCATTCCAACACCCAAAGGAACAGAGGTCTTAGTGAGTGTCACTCACTCGGGCGTTTGTCATTCAGACCTTCATACCGCCGAAGGTTTCTATGATATGGGAGGAGGAAAGCGTTTTTACGTGAAAGACCGTGGCATAACCTTACCAATCGCATTAGGTCATGAAATACTGGGAGAAGTTGCCGCCGTTGGACCAGACGCAGGGCCCATCTCGATAGGGTCTCGCCAGATCGTGTATCCATGGCTTGGTTGTGGCTCTTGTACGCGCTGCAGCCAGGAAGAAGACAACTTGTGTGCTGCACAGAGAGGACTTGGAACCCTACGAAATGGCGGCTTTGCGGAGTATGTATTGGTACCGCATCAGAAGTATCTAGTCGATCTAGGTGATCTCGATCCTGCTGTGGCATGTACTTTCGGCTGTTCTGGAATCACAACCCTGAGCGCGGTCAGGAAGGTTTTGCCTCTGCCGCCGGATGAGCCGGTTCTTCTAATTGGGGCGGGAGGTCTGGGGCTTTCTGCAATATCAGTGCTGAAGGCATTGGGACATAAGTTCATTGTTACTGCAGATATAAATGACGAGAAACTGGCTGCCGCCGCAGCAGCCGGTGCAACAAAGACCGTTAATACCTCCGGCAATTCCGCACTCCAGGACATTCTTGCTGCCACGAACGGGCCAGTCCTCGGTGTGATCGACTTTGTGAACAGCTCTGGCACTGCTAGCTTGGTGAACAGTCTAGTTGCTAAGGGAGCCAAGTGGGTACAAGTTGGCGTGATGGGAGGCTCGATTGAGCTGTCACTCGTGGCGAACATTTTCAAAGGCTTAACCATATACTCAAACATCACGGGAAATTTGGACGAGCTGCGAAGTCTTGTGCAGCTGGCGAAAGAAGGAAAGCTAAGCCCTGTGCCGGTCCAGAAGATGGCCTGGAGTTCAGTGAATGAAGCATTGGGCTTGCTCAAGGCGGGGAAGGTTACTGGGCGAATGGTGCTAGAGAAGTGATTGGCAAGGAGGCAAGACAATTTATCATGGAACGTTTTATCTACGTCAAAACTTGCACTGAAAATCGTCTGCCTACTGTATACTATCAGGGGAGGGACTAGGATGATAGTGGCATAGTGAATAGTCAACTTTGTCCTGGCCACTATTCGAATCTGAAAATCTGGAATTGCTCATTGATTGAGACCTAAACAGCAACCTAAAAGGTTTTGTGTATGATCTTCATGTATGATATGAAACAGCTTCAGCTACAGTGATTTAAAGGACAAGGCTTGAAGAGCAATGTCTAGAAAAGTGCAAGAGGCGCCTTGGCTCCGGGTCTTAGTCCTGTAAAAAGTCGAGAACTTCTTTAATTCGTCCAACTGTAGTAGAACAGGAGGATGTTATACAAACATTTTGTCATGAATTCTCCCAAGATCAGTCTCATAGGAATGTAGAAGCAGCTTCTTTGCTTCGAATAGGATACATCTCTTGGTAGGAAACGCGGAGAATTGGAAGACTAATCCATTAAAAATTGAAGATGTATGTAATGTCGCTTCCTGCATGATCAGATTCTTGCCCTAGGTGATAATAATTTCAAGGTATTTAAAAGCCCTTCACACATCCATTGGTCTACTTGTCGGTGTCGTAGAGAACAGTAAATCCCTCTAAGGTTTTCAAAGCTGTTCGACACTCACGTATGTACTGCTCAATGCCTCCCAAGTAGTTCAACTGCTCTCGCGGCTTGCCTGGTATGTTTGCTCCCATATACCAAGAGTCCGTCAACGGCAACAAGGTTTGATCATTGGCATCTTGGATTGCTTTCTTCCACTGTTCCTCGGCACTCCGCTGTCCTTCAATCGACCTGATCCCCTCTCTTTGAAGTTTCTTGATCAGGTCGACGAGTACGTCAACTTGGCTTTCAATGAATGGAGGCCCGTTAGTAAACGCTGTGGGCGCTGATTTGGTCGTTAGCAACAACCTTCATATTCAAATAGAAGACTTGCCTTGTGGTCCATATATCATAAAGAGGTTCGGGCAACCGCTGCTGCAAAGACCCAGATGGGTGAAGACACCATCTTTCCATCGTTCTTGGAAAGTTAACCCATCCCTACCATGAATATTCATATTTGTTAGGCTACCCGTCATTGCGTCGAAGCCCGTAGCCATTACGATGGTATCGAATTCACGTTCCACCCCATCTTGAGAAATGATGCCCTTTTCCGTGAATTCTTGGATTGGATTGGCTTTAAGGTCGACAATATCAACATTGTCTTGATCAAGGCGCTCGTAGTAGTCTTGTTCAAGACTGCTCCGCTTCGTCCCAAAGGCAAAGGGCGCTTTCTGAGGCACGAGAAACGCTGATTTTGCAGGATTCTTGAGCCTTGGGCGCGTTTTCTTTGCCCAGAACTCATACATCAGCTCACCAGCTTTTTGGTCTACTAGGAAGTCCCGATAATTTGCTTGATTGAAGTTAAATCCGCCACGGTTCCATAGCTCCTCCCAAAGCTCTTCCCGTTCTTGGTCATTCAAGTCATAAACAGAGCCTGGTTGTGTATCGTATCCAAGACCAGACTTTGAATTTCGGCAATAGGAAAACATACTTCGATAAGTGGACTTGGCGACTCGTTGTTCAAGTTCACTCATCGATCGCTGGAACATCGGCAATGAGATGCTGGCCGTACGTATGTAGACTGTCAAATGGCTTGCCTCCTTTGCTATCTCCTGTGTACATTGGACAGCAGTGGCGCCTGACCCGACGACGGCGACACGTGTGTTCTTCGTATTTGCAACCGCAGGCCATCGAGTCGAGTGAATAAGCTGTCCCTGAAATGTATGCAAGTTTTTGAAATCGGGATAGTGTGCCTTAAAGGAGCTGCCAGTGGCGCAAATAAGGTATTTACATAGCGCTTTTTGGCCATTCTCCGTCGTCACTGTCCATTTCATGGTCGATTCGTCGTATCTCACATCAATGACATTAGCGGAATAAGTAATATCTTTGGATAGATCCAAAGTCTCATCCACATGCTTGAAGTAGGCTTTTAGTTCGTCTCCGCTGGGGAACCTTTCGGACCAGTTCCATTTTCGCCAAACTTCACGCATCGAAAATTGATAGTATGGGATCTCCGAGTCGACGCGAGCCCCAGGGTAGGTATTCCAATGCCAGACTCCTCCAAGATAGGAGCCCGCTTCGAAAACATGGACCTTGAGTCCTAGTTGACGGAGTTTATAGAGACCATAGCATCCGCCGAATCCAGCGCCAATGAGAAGAACATCGAGCACGCTTACTCCGTTGGTTTCGTGGATCTGGGGTGTTGTTGAAGACATCACGTGACCGATCTTCGAAATGCGCAATTGCTGCCGTCATCAAAATCAACAATTTTGACAGGAATATATAACGCGACAGGATAAAAGTATCAAGTGGGATCGAACGATTCCTCGTCCTCATGGTCCGATCAACGTTTTGAAAAGCGGCAATGCTGCTTTGCACGAAATGCGGCAAGGATAAAGTAGCCGAGCGAGCGACGGATTTTCGGACCTTGCCGAGGCGTACTTCACACACGATGATGAACTTAAGGCAATCATCGTTTACAGGCTACTATACACTCCGATGTGATGTGGAACAAACCGTCCTTAGTATGTATATTGAGAATCACAAACATATGACGGCTCTTTCTTTCGTAGGATATTTCGAGCGGAGGCCAAGCAATAACTTTCTATGATGACTTTTACCAATCCCTCAGAACTGGGAGGCTACCGCCATGCCCACCTTTCTCATATTGACCCCGCATGGTCTTCGGTGGCCCAGAAGCAAAAAGAGTTAGACCTCATGGCTGGAAAGGCCCTCAGCATGCCAATACACGAATTTCGTGCTCTAGGCTATCGGCCACCCCCTCTTCCAGAAGACGCCCCTCTCCCTGACATCGACATCAACATCACTGTAGATGAGATCCTCACAAATGGCGGAACGAAGCTCGGGGTTCGCATATACAAACCAATCCGCTCACCATCCTCAAGTGCCCTGTTATTCTTTAATGTTCATGGAGGAGGTGCCGTGTCAACTATGCAAAATATTTGTGTTCAATGTTATTGACATTATGTGGCAGGTTGGGTGCTTGGAAGCCCGGAAACTGAAGAAGCCCAAAACCGACTCATCGCAGCCAAGAACAAAGCCGTAGTGGTCAGCGTTGATTATCGGAGGTCTTGCATAATCTAAATGACTGAGTGTAACTTGAGGTCCTGACAAAATTTAGGGCACCCGAGTCTCCTTATCCAGCCGCTATAAGCGATTGTTGGGATGCATTCCTCTGGGTTTGTATATAAGAATCGTTAGCTTGATAAAGAGATGATCATTAATAACACCTGGATAGTGCAGAAGTAATGCGAAGTCTTTGTGCATCAATCCCAACCGAATTGTCGTCGGCGGAGGCAGCGCGGGTGCAAATATTGTGAGAATTTGAAACTACCACTCTCATGATTAACTTATCATATCTTGCAAGCGGTTGCTGACGTCTTCAGTGTGCTGTATTAGCTCAGAAAGCTCGGGATGAAAGGGTCCCCGGCATTATTGGGCAGATTTTGAATATACCTGTTACATGCCACCCGGCTCATTTTCCAGTAGCCAAGTATGAGTATGAAAGCTATGTGCAGAACAGAGACTCGCCAATCGTTGGTGCTGAGAGGATGCACTGGTTCTGGCGTCAATATCTTCCGAATTCTGAGAAAGACGTTTACGCAAGCCCGCTCCTTGCAAGTTCTTTGCAAGACCTACCTCCTGCTCGTTAGTTCTCATCACGTGTAGCATTGTTGCATCAAGACTAACTACTCTAGTCGTGCAAGTTGCAGGACTAGATCCTCTCAGGGACGAAGGCATTGCGTATGCAGACGAACTGAAAGCTTGCGGGTAAGAGCCGCACTGAGAAAGCATACCTTCATACTGATAAGGTACATTAGCAATGCTACTACACTAAAGATCTACCCAGGAATGCCGCACGCATTTTATGTATACCCCCAGCTGAAGCCTTCCGTTGAATATCTACAGACCATGGTAGATTGGCTCGAACAGAATTTTGGACAGTAGCCAGCGTCCAGACTTGAGCAACGATGTGCGTCCGTATGGAGATTACTAGACGGTAATTATAGATGACTGTCACCAGCCATCGGGGGAGGAAACTGAAGAAGTGCAAAATCACTTGCTAGCACCCGTATAGGGAGATATAGATGCATGACAAGGACATTGTTCCAAATTAATTTTCTTCTTTTCTTGATTGCAGTGATAGTCCTCAGACAACCAACCAGTGAGGTTTTTGCAATAACCCCTGTTGAGATTTGGTGATTGGTCATTTTGATTGGTCAGCAGACACTAGAAAATTCTCCACTCAGCGTTATACAGACTTCACTACTTAGTACACGGACACATTCTCCACAACCCCACATACACAGCACCAGTCACATGATGTGCATTGTTCCCCTGTGCATTGTTCCCCATACCCCGCACTTTAGTCGCATAAGTTCGGTTCACGCAGCACATCTGTATTCTTACACTCTACAGCAGAGCCATGCAGGCCTGTGATCGGTGTCACTCGCGTAAGACGCGATGCGATCGACGCATTCCTCAGTGTAGTGCCTGTGAAAAGGCAGGAGCAGTTTGCCTTCATGTCGACAAACTGAGGCAGCGTAATGTACCCCGGGGCTATGTGGATAGTATGGAAGTACAGATCCAGAAGCTTTTAGACGAAAATAAAAAGTTACGAGGCGAGTTGGCATCGTTGCGCAGTCAGCTTGAGGAGAACCCAGGTTGCAGTGATAGGGATGAAAGGGACGAGAGGGACGAGAGCAACGCGAGCAACTTGAGCAATGGGAGCGCCACCGTCAATATCGATCAAAATACTCCGTCTTCTCGAGAGGATGGAGATTCACCACCATTTAGTTCGCTTGCTAGGTCCGTTACCAGCAATGTAATTACGGAAGTCGAATATCTCTCTTTAAAGGCGACTGGAGAAACACGATACGTGGGGTCGAGCAGTGGAGTGGGGTTGGCAAGCATAATCGACTCTGTTGTTGACTCGGAGAAAGGAGCACCTTACTCTCCAATGGATCAGAAAGCACCAGATATGCAAAGTGCCCATATGATACCTAGCACCCCTTCAGATGCATCTTTTCCACCCTTCACCACTGCTATGACAGTCATCGAAGCATACTTCCAGCATACCCATATTACCTTTCCATTACTTCATCGGCCGAGCTTCTTACGAACCGTCGAGTTGATATACAATCAACCCGGTTACTATGAGAACCATCCGTATGATAGTTACGCTTTCAATATGGTCCTAGCCATCGGCAGCTCTAACTTCAACCGTTTCGAAGAGGCTATTGCCCGCCCTGCAGCACATTATGCTAGAGCGCAAGCAGGGCTTAAGGCAGTCTTAGGTATGACAGGAATCATGCCTCTCAAAGCAATTATACTTCTTTCTCAGCATGGTATTTTCAGCAATCTTAGGGACACGAGTGCGAGCATATACCATTTAGTGGGGATCGCAGCTAGAATGTGTTTTGAACAGGGCTTACATTCTGATTCGAAATATATTCATGGTCAACAAAAATCTGGCTTACATAGAGTCAAAGGCGTGACATTCGAGGAGGAAATGAGAAGGCGGAGTTTTTGGTGCTTGTATAATCTGGACAGGTACGTATCGACAGAATCCTCGATTGAGCACACGTAAACATGCAACTCACTGTGGAACAGGGTTGTTAGTTTTACTCTTGGACGGCCAGCTGCCCTTCGAGATGAAGACATCAATATTGCTCTTCCGTCGCATCTTTCTGATGAACAGTTTGGTCCTGATCAGCCAATCGTGGAGGCAACTGGTACCGAAATTAACCCCAATCCTCACGTTTCGCCCTTCCTACACTTGATTCGAATCAGGCGTCTATCCGGAGAGATTATGTCAACATTTTATAGCATCAACCAAAGAAAGAATATTTCGCTTCAGGAGAAGATTTTCAATCGCACAAAACTCCACGAGGAACTTGTCTCATGGAGAAATGACGTACAATTCCTAAAATTGAAGGAGAGACCGGCCGATGAGCGTGCTCACGTGTCCTGCTTTTTGACGCCGGAATGGTACACGGCTGTATTCAACAACGCGGTGCTTTTGTTGTATCGCCCATCCCCGTGTCTTCCACAGCCTAGCAAGCCGCTGGGTATGGGTGATGGAGGAGATCACGTAAAGCTCTACTCAGCCGCTAAAGAAACCATTCTTGCCTATGCTGATCTGCACCGAAGGAGGCGGCTGAACTACTCATGGATAACTCTTCACGGAGTCTTTGTCGCTGGTCTAGCATATGTCCATGGCGTGGGAAGAGCATTGAAAGATCCTGTACAACCAGTGCCGTCTTTCAACTTTCTCGATATAATTGATGACACACGAGCCTGCTCCAATGTTCTAGTTGCGATATCCGAACGGTGGAACATGGGCCATCGCTCTTGCGAGTTGTTCAATCAGCTGAGTACCGCAGTGATTCGAGATGTGGTGAATGCGACGTCCAATCGCAAGGCAGGCTCGAAGGAAGGGTCCAACAGTTCTTCTCAAGTAAGAGGAAACAATGTTATCCATGATACTGGCTCTAGAGAGACTCAAATTCATGTGCCACTACAACATCATGACCCGTCAATCGATACGGAAATGCCTGGCTATGAGCTTCTACCTGGACATGTATCTGTCATTGACGAGTTTAGACATTATTCGACTGCTTTCGATGGCATGTTTGTGGGGAATGAGCCTTGTCCTAGTGAGATGGTGACCAGCTTATCCGAAGACTGGACGTTTGATGAATCTTTTGTAGGCCAGGGCGAAAATGGGGCTCATTTGCAGAATCTAAATCCCTTGTGGTAGCTACAATGTGTGTTTCGGAGTTCTCCAACTCAATCACAATCTCTCTATAGTTGCATCAACAATACAATATTTTATGAATGCTAACCTCCAGCACATTCATTCTTAAATTTCAATTTAGCCCATGAAGAGCTTTCCACAGCGCACTATCGAGCTCTGTTCTATTGTATCTATCTGTGAGAGATAACATTAAAAAACCGCTATCCTGATCGAGAACCGCAGTCAGCCGTCGAAATAAGCGATTTCTTGCTGACCATGCTCTCGTTGTTGCTTTTACTCCTTAGTTTCGACAAACTCGACTTGATGCAAATCAGGCTCGATCTCCCCGCTCTTATCAGCTTTTCCACTTTGAGACAGGACAGTACCACCAGTACCACCAGCCATCGCATGATCCATCTCCTCCAGGTGCCAGCCTCCCGTCTATAAGCGGTGTTAGTATCTGGTCACTAATCACCCGTCTCACTGGAAAATCACATACCTCTGGAAGACAGAAGATTAAGTATATAGTGTGTACAACAGCCAAACAGACAAAGACCAAGTAATACTTCCAGCCGATTGTCGCCGTAGCAGTGGGTAGGAGGTTCAGCCAAAGGATATCCGACAGGAACAGGCCGCTGATAGCCACCGCTGATGCCTGATTTCTAATATGGGTTGGAAATATTTCAGTTGCAATAGTGAACTGGTTTAGGTCAATGAACGAATTGTAGCTATAGGTGCGAATATGTTAGCGGCGCAATTTATATTATAATTCTGAAAACCCTTACCAAGTTACATAGACATAGATCATGGTCGTAGCAGCAGCAGCCCAACCCTTTGATGGTGACATGTTGTATTTCGCAATCATTCCAGTCAGGGTTGCAAAAACACAGGTCACTAACACATAGCCAGTGACTGCGTCGACAATTAGCTAGGCCAGGTGCACTAGAGTAGAGCCGACGACTTACCCATGGCCTTCCTTCGACCAAGACGATCCGAAATCAAGCCACCCACCAAAGCCATAACCAGGCCTACGGTATTATAAACTGCGGACAAAAGTAGAGACTTGGTGGCCCCCAGGCCAAGTGAGCTATAGAGCAAGACATTGTAGTTGTTGATGACTAGAGGTCCAATATTCTGGCCCCCCACCATCACCATGCATGCAAGTATAAGTCTTTTACGATTGGCCTTCTGGGTGAAGAGTCGCCATCTCCCGTCAGTTCTGATAATTTCCTTTTCCACTCGACATCTTTCTTCGATCATTTGTAGTTCCTGGTGAGCAAAAGTATCATTCGGATCGCTGGGATCATGATGAAGCCGAACTAGAATGTCGAGGGCTTTCTGATGGCTATCATGTTGCACCAAGAATCTTGGGCTTTCCGGTACTGCACGCAGTTAGCATTATTGCTACATATAGTTTTCGTTATGAGGAAATGGCGTACCATAGAAGGACCCTGCAAGAAGGCAAGCGCCCCATATGATTATTAAAGCGAAGGGGAAGCGCCAAGTAAACTCTGACTCAGGGGTAAAATAGCATCCAAATCTAGATTAGAATTAACAATTAGCAGAGAGCTTGCCACAAAGCCTAATCATGTGCACACATACCCTATCCATCCCGCAAGACAATACCCAACATTAATGAACATTGCGTGCGCACCGGTGATCAGACCTCGAGAATGGGGGGGAGCTACTTCGGTGAAATAAGTTGGCATAGCGGCCATGGTGTGGCCTGCTGCCAAACCAGCTACCGCTCTCGAAACTAGGAACTAATTTACCCTGGTCAACAATGCATGGTATTATATAAGGTTTTGGTAAACGAACCATTGCTGGTGACTGCGATCCGCACTGGAGTATACCCCCTATCATTCCAGTTATGGCAGCCATACGAAAGCCATTCACTCGTCCAAAGCGGTTTCCAGCCCACCCCGCCAGAAAGCAGCCAAAGAAGCCAGCGCCGAAAAATACGCCATTTGCAGCGCCAAGGATATCATTGGTGTGGCTGTACCCGGGAGCCGTAGGGTCTTGCTCGAGATTGAGCGAGGAATAGAAGGCCGGCTGTCCTATGGTGAAAGCAAAGACCGCAAGGGAGTAACCAGTAAAGAGAGATCCAAAGGCCGCGAAAAGCACCACCTGCAGTCAATCAGTGTACTGTTGAGTAGATGAGAGACCGCCTTGGCTGATGCTTATACTTGCCGTTACGTTGTACCAACTATAAGTCTCCATTGCCGTAACTTTCTGAGTTCGTAGTTGAGAAATTACTCGTCTATGCAGATGAAACGGATTCTACTGTATGTTATATAAATTTTACCGAGATCCAGATGGAATAATACCGTCGACTTCTCATCGGTGTTGGCCGAAGAAGAGTTCCCCAATCCCCCAAAGTCTCCTACCCTCTGGGAACTCGGGTTTGAGCTCGGCGTACTTGGAAAGTCCTGAAAGTGTGAAGATCCTTGTATACACATATCTACTAGTCCTATTGCAATTATGCGGGGGTGGGGTTACGCTTATTATTAAGCTTCGTTTAATAAAACTTGAATATATACTTTTAAAGAAGCAACAGTTTTGATTTAGTCTTTTTCACATTTATTAAGGAAAAGAAATACAACAGTTCTTTATCTTTCTTATACAAAACGTCTCTTTGAATTGATAACGAGAGATTAAATTAATTGGAATTCACAACCAAGCGCAGGGCAGTGTCAAGCACCGTCTGTTGCCATTGCTTCAAGAAATCGCGCTCTTTATAATCATCATGATCCAGATCCATATACCCCTCAGCTGCTACAGTTCGAGGCACTATTCCGATTCCTCGACCTATTGATATCAATATCAATCGTAAGTTAAATCAAAAGAGTCATACCATTAATCGTTGTGTCTGATGCAATTTTCAGCATGGCTTTGGTACAATCCTCAACCGTTGCAAACTCTACTCCCTTGCCAACGAGATACGCCTGTACTTCTTGAGTCAAGATTGGCGTTCGAACATACCTGCATTCCGTCACGCATCAGTTATTTGAGTGTATGTACTTCGTTACTCGGTTTAGGTGGTATTACTTACCATGGCGCAACGAGATTCACTCGAATATTTTCCTTCCAACTTGTTCGACGTAGATTTCTCATCAGCCCTCTCGCTCCCCATTTAGAAACATTGTACTGTGGAGAGCCAGGCTGGTCAGCATAAGCAGCAATGCTAGCTTTGATGATCAGACAACGATCTCGAGAAGTTTCCACTGGCTGACGCCTGAAATAATGTATGGCGAGTTTTGAGGTATAGGCGGTGCCCATCAAGTTGATGTCGATAATCCGTAAGTCTGGTTTTACAGGCGGTAGTGCAGGATCTGAATGATTATACATGAGTATTGCGCCTTTATCAGGATGCGCTCAACCCACCTTCAAGTTTGAACAAGTCATCAGCTCCCACGATTCCAGCATTGGCAATCACGACATCACAGCTGTGGTGCGGCGAGTGTTTCACAGCCGCATCGAACAGAGCGACTTGGTCGTCCCAGCTACGAACATCGCATTTGACAAACTGCGCTGCACTACACAAGGGTATCATCTTAATAAAGATATCGAGCAAGAAGCAGTAGGAAAGAACGTACCCTTTAAGCTCAGAAACCAACTCATTGCCGGCTTTTGCGTCGACATCACCAATGGAAACGTATGCACTGTTTATATTATGAACAATTGAATGACATAATAGGGAAGGGCGGATTCTCTTACCCTGCTTCTGCGAATGCCACGGCGTAGGCCTTTCCCAGACCACTTGCTCCTTTCAAGTTTGTCAGCTTCACTCATACAGAACGAGTAGATCTAAGAACGAGAACCGCGGCAGATGATTCAAACCTCCTGTGATTACCACTGATTTCTCTTTTATATTTTGCAGATTGAGTGGAGATATCTTCAGAGCACCGTGATCGGTATATTCAGGGACCGACATGGTGTTGCTCTTTGCTCGAGCAGATAGTTGAACGCAACAGGGAAGATACTATCGAAGAAGTTTGTTGGAAGGACTTTGTCTGTTATTGGAAGTTTCTATGAGATAGAACACCTCAGATATGCAAGGTGATTTATCGTCTCGAAAATCAAATGTTCCTTCCTTATGGAGGTCTCAGAGACTGGCTAAAGCTTTGCCCACAGCCTTATGTTTTCTGCCTACCCACATCCAGCTACACGCACGCACGTTACGCCATACAGAGGTAGTGATTAAAACTTTGGCATGACACATCCGTACGTACGTACTTTACCGGACTTCGACTACGACTACAACTCCAACTCCACAGTTGCAAGTTTAGCTTGGTCGGCCATCGCCGAAGGGTTAGTGCGGGGTAAAGGTACAGTGCAGTATCCGAGCTGGGTTTTCCGAAAGATCGACCGTGCCTGGGCTAAATATTCGGAAATTCAGTTTAAGGGTGGGGCGCCTAGTGGTATTTTTCCAAGAACACTTTCCCTGTTGACATGTCATGTTGTCTGAAATATCAGCTTTCAAAAATTAAGTGTCCTCGCTCAGACTGGAAAATCAGCACGTGGCTTGGTCACGTAGAGGAGTTTCGCCGAAATGAGATGGTGATTCTTAAAATGCAAATTGAGATGAAATAGTTAATTTTCATGAAGCCATGAGTAGAGTGTGAATAAATCTTGAAGGGTAATAGGCGTTCTTACGAGTATAAAGCTAGTATACTGTTTCAGTGCCTCTTTATCTTGCTGTCATATAGATGCCACGTTTTGAACGTGCCATTACTTTTTGTATGATAGTCGACCATTCAAGGCTGGACCGAGTCTATTGGGGCCAGTCAAAAATCAGCTTATTCTCAAAAGGGGCCAAAGTACCCGCATCTGATCGCTTTGAGCAATTGTTATGGTACTGTTGAAACGGTTTCTCCATTAAACGCTCAGGAACACCCATCCCGTTGAGTAACAGGCCCCTATTGCTAGGATAATGTGGATACTTGGGACTCCAACGCAAAGAAGATCATCAACTATGGTAATGCTGGAGCAAATCGCCCAAACCCTCAAATCTGCCTTGTGAGCAATCAGAGCAGTGGGCCAATTAATTGTTCATGGCCCGAGATTTGAAGCTTCTGATACTTTGTCCTAACTTTGACGGCAAAGTTGCACTAGTAAAGACTGACTTTTGTATCCGCAAAGTCTCCGTGATGAACAAGCTGTATCGCATAGTAATCCCGGACCTGCCAGAGTCAACAGAGTACTTTCTAACAATGTTGACCTAGGTCAGATCAGGGGCGATCTAAGACAAGAAGGTAGATGCGAAGAGATAGAATCTACCTGCAGTATTAAATGCCTTTTAGCATGCTAAATGTTTGCCTGAAAATGTGAAGAAACGCCGTCGAGACTTTTACTGCCCTTGAACGCTCGGCAGTCGGATATGATCCGACGCTAGAATGGAGACTTCAATGGTACAAACTTGATAGGCTTCGCCTTCTTAGCTTTTACCCATTCAAGTCTAGCTACCTTAGCATTAGTATTCTTATCATTATTCTTATTATTTTTCTTACACCTTGCGACCCTTTCGATCTTCAGAATTTGACTGACCTCTTGGATTCATCATGAGTGCTAATGCACGACTTAATTTTCCCCACGGGATGTTGACAGGTATTGTTGATACAAACCTATCTGCTCTACTAGGCGACTAACTGTCGTTTTTAGAGCAGACCGCTATAATTACAGGCGCAGCTCAGGGTATAGGTGCTGAGACTGCCGCAATTTTCGCACGCGAGGGGTGCAAGGTTGTCATTGCGGACATTGACGCCGGTACTGTGTCAGAAAAGCAAAAGAGTAGATGATGATGCTAATACTGAGGCCAGCAAAAGCCGAGAAGACCGCTCAGGCTATCAACTCTGATGGGGGCGCTGCGATTGCCGTTGCCGGAGATATTATGAACAATGAAGACATCAGCAACCTGGTCCAAAAAGCTACTGAGTTTGGTGGCGGGAAGCTTCATATTATTATAAACAATGCAGGTTACGCATGGGATGACCCGATTGAGAAGATACAGGACAAACAGTGGGGTAAGTTCTCGTCTCGATTCAGCAGTTTCGTATATCGTTCTGACGGACGGACGAAGACACCATTATTGCCCTACATAATACGGCACCATTCAAACTCATCCGAGCAGCCGCACCATATTTTATGGTTAAGGACGGCGAGCCGAGATCAATCGTCAATGTCTCATCTACATCTGGAATACACGGCAACGCTGGACAAGCTAGCTATGCCTTGGCCAAAGCAGGATTGGTAGGACTGACTAAAACACTGGCCCAAGAATGGGGGCCGGAATACGGTGTGAGAGCGAACAGTATGTACCTTGCTACCTGGCCGCTGAGCTCTGCTAAGGATAATTGATTTCTTCGCAGCTGTCGCTTTCGGGGCCATCAAAACCAGACTTACACAAGCTCCCGCTGGTGAGTATGTTGTAAGACCAGACGGTACAAAGCTTGCCGTTGGATTTCAAGGGGGCTACGATGAAGAAGAGAAATGGTCAGTATTCTCGGATTCCCCAATATTAGATGTTGGCTAAACCTCACACCTATACTCATAGGGTGGGCGATATCCCCCTCAGACGGATTGGAACTCCTACAGATGCTGGGCGGGCAATCTTAGCCATGGTCTCTCCTCTCTTCTCATATGTGACGGGACAAGTAAGTCAGACAATCAGTTGCAGCATAAGACATTCTAACGGCCGCATTTTTAGACTATTATGGTAAGGTCGACTCGCTCAGCTCTTGATAATCAGATTATAACCATCAGCAGGTCACTGGTGGCAAGGGTGGAACGTAGCAAAGAAGAGCACGATTGGCACTATGAACCCAAAATGTTATCGATCGGTAGGAGTCGGTCCATTAGTAATTTTCACAACGAATTCCACTGTGGTGAATTTCAGTATAAAGAAAAATATCGTGTTAACTCATATAACTATATTGATTTGCCGTTTTAAAAAGTATGATTACGCAGCTGATTTGATCGCTGTTTGGCTTTGTGAGTCGGTCCTGATATATTCGCCCGCCTTGTCTGTGTCTGCGAGAGGGGGGAATACCATGCTTGCCCACGACGTGTTGATCTCCTTTTCGAGCCAAGCAGTCCAAGCTGGGATGCCACCAAAGTAGAACAAGACACCAACAGCTTTACCGGGTATATTTGCCCCGACAAACCATGCGCGCGTTGAAGTAGCAGATTCCGCAAATAACGTGGCCCTGAATTCCCCGGTGAGGTGAGACGACCAGGCATCCACGCAGTCTCAGACACGTCGATCTTTGCGAGCTTGTTCTTCTCCATATGACGAAGAGTTTTGCCGATCCAGTTCACTCCTATCTCCAAGACAACTGGCATATTTCCAAAAGGAATGTGTGGGCCACAAACCAAAAACATGTTGGGAAATCCAGGGACAAGGACCCCGGCGAATGTTTCGAGCTTCTTTCCCCAAAAGTCTTTTAACGATTTATCTTGACTGCCTTTCACGTCTATTTCATCAAGTGCGCCGGTGGCGGCATCGAATCCTAAAGCGAAAATGATAATGTCGAATTCGTATTCATTCCCAGAACTGGTGCGAATGCCCTTTTCGTAAAGATCAATGTCGTCTCGACTTATATCAACCAGCTTGACATTGGGTCGATTGAATGCTTCGTAGTAGAAGTGCCCACACGGCGGACGCTTAGAAAGAAAGGGGTGTTTTGGAGAGAGGATCCTTGCCGTGTCTGGGTCTTGTACAATGGCGCTAATCTTTTGACGAACGTATGCAGAGGCAATGTTATTAGCTTCCTGATTCGTGAAAAGCTCGTCAAAGGTCTCGAACTGAAAGTGGAAGCCGCCAGTTTCCCATCCCGCATCAAAGATTTGCTTGATTTTATCAGGGTCTGCCACGCTCTGAACCGTTCTCCCTGGTTTTGTCATTTTCAGACCAGAAGTGTGCGTGCTTGCACGATGCCATGTAGCATCATAGTCCTGCTTAATTTCGGCAGCCTCATTCTCATCGATAATGTAGTTTCGACCAGGAAGCACATAATTCGGTGTTCGTTGGAATACCGTCAATTCTTTTGCTACATGAGCAAGCTTTGGGATGATCTGGACTCCTGTGGCACCAGTTCCAATAATAGCGACACGCTTGCCATGGAAATCGACCGGATGTGTGGGCCAGTTGGACGTCTGGTACCACTCACCAGTATATGATTTGAGCCCGGCAAAAGGTGGAGTCTTTGCAATTGACAAAGGTCCAGAAGCGGCCAGGAAGTAGCGGCACGTCGTAGATAACCCAGCTGCGGTACTGATTGTCCAGATATTCTCGCTATCACTGTAATGTGCAGCCTTAATACGTGTATCAAAATCGATCTTCTTACGCAGATTGAAGCGGTCTGGTTCCAGTGTTAGTAGCTGAGACTGCCACCCCCATTTTGGCGAACTATTTAGGAGAAGGAAACAACTGACCAACAACACTACCTAAGTAACGCTGAACCTCTTGTTGGGTAGGGTAGCGTTCACTGTAATTCCATACGTCTCCCAGCCCCGGTGCGAAATTCATCACATAGACCCATGCTTCGCTATCTGTTCGGGCTCCAGGATAGCGATTCCAGTACCATGCACCACCAACATCGGATCCAGCCTCGAAACACTTCGCGGTCAGGCCAAGCTGACCAAGTTCCCATAACGACCGAATTCCACTGAATCCAGCGCCAACGACGATGGCATCGTAATCAGGAATCTTAGGAGACGTCATGGGCTCTGGAGGAAATAAAGGTCAGGTGCGACTTAGGGCTAAAAATGATGACACGGAATAGTTCTATAAGAGAATCTGAAGACCAGGCACTTTTTATCATTGCTTTTATCACTACTTGTACAGACTCGACCATTGCTACACCCGATACTACGAGCCTGCAATCAAGTCGCCTGTTTTGCCCGTGAATTGATTGGCTCGGTATCAGCCGACGGTCGGCTGTTAAGAATTACGAGCAGAAGTTAAAATATACCCATGTTTTACCCGTAAGTAGATAAGTCGTCGAATTAGCTCAGTTGACTACGAGACTAAGAGACAACCGGGCTCCGGAGTTTCGGCGCGGTTAATACTCGGGGAATTCTGGAGTCCGAAGGAAAACAGCACCTGCAATGTCTTCACAACATTTCGCTTCTATTAAACAACCCCTGGTCAGTTTGCTTCCGGCTTCCCATGCTGTGTCCTTTAAGAATTACAGTAGCCCACGTGTTTCGGCTTTAAGATTAGTGTACTGTACAACTATTCATCGGAATTAGCTCTTTACAGTACGAGCCTTCTACACATAGGATGCTTCGCTTCATACATCGCCGGATAGGGCACCGCATATGTGTCTCTCAACTTCTGAACAATGTCGTCGAATATGTTCCCGGAACTCGCCCGGCCGTGGTCTCGTTCGCACAGCTTGCACTCTTGCGTATGAGCGGGCGGGGGAAACTCGCAATTGATATCACCGCACCACAGAAAAAGTGCTATTCATGAGACCAGAGAAAGAGGCCAAGGGGCCCAATAGCTGCCCCTAAAGGATCTTAAAACAATCACTGTAGGAAAAGCGGAGAGGTGGAGGTGGGGATGGCTGCTCTTCTGGGGTAAAATCTATGAGCCTATAGATGTAGATAGATTAGACCCATCCTCGCTCAGCAAAGTACTTTATATATATACATAGAATAAATGTATGTGTATGTTTAGATGTCTATGCTCTATATAAGTTATACTTCCCTAATTTGGCTAGTGTAAGTCGACTTACGGCAACCCCAGAAACGCACTCCCCTAGCCCCGCCCCCCACATACCATACCCCAGAAAATGTGACCGGGCATCTCCAGAAGTCGCTTCGCCCATCCGTGATTGGGTTCGCTTGGCTTAGAGGGGCTTAGATGGGATTAGCGTAGGCTTAGCGCTGGATTAGCGTCCTACCCCGCCCCGCCCCCGCCTTACCTTACCTTGGCAGGTTTGGGGCACTGCATCAACGTGCCTGAAGCAGATCCCCACGACGTTCCTTCCTCATTTTCATTCCTGCAGAATCAACCTCGACCTCAATCTCAACTTCAACTTCACCTTTCGCTTTCAACTGCAAATTCAAACTGTTACCTACTGATATTGTGACCTCTCTCACGTGACCTCAACATTTTCCAGTAACCTACAGTAGCCTTTGCCCAATGGGAGATCGATCAAAAAGTTCGACAACAGGTACGAGTACGTTCCAGCGTGCTGGGATCGCCTGCCAGAACTGTCGCTCCCGTAAGGTAAAGGTCAGGCCACCCACCCACCCGCCTCTTCTTATTCTCCCTAATCCATTGTCCCTATTCCCTCGCAAGACAAAGACACTGAAGCCTTCCCTTCTCTTTAGTGCGACGCGCAGTCCGTCTCGCTGGGTGAAGCGTGTACCCCGTGTCGACGAGCTGGCCAGGAATGCCTGCTGGACCCTCTTTCAGACGGAAGAAGGTTGGTTAACGATGGAGAACCGCACATTTGCCATGGCTAATCTAATTACGAGACGCAGATCTGTTAACCGGAAATATGTCGATACTCTTCAACAGCGGATAGGAATTCTCGAAGCGCTGAATCAAAGTAATCAAAGAACGGCCGGCGATGCGGGTTGGAGACCCAATGAGAATAGTGCCGTTGCTCCTATTAATGCATCCGTAATACCATACAGCCTGAGGTACGTTGGGTGCGAATGACCTACTCGTCTAGATGACCTTGGGCCGAACTATCGTGCTCGAACATGACTGATTGTCTCCAGCTCAAGCACCGCACGATCTGCAGACACGGCTGATACAGACCCTCCTCCGAGTAATGATACTAATACTAGCGAACCAGCCCCGATGATAATGTCTTCCTGTTCCCAGCAAACACTGCCCGTGTCGACGTCGACCTTGGTTAGGGGAAAGTCTCCAGAAAAATCAAATACAAGTGCTGGATCACCAAGTTTCTACGGTGCAACATCTCACCTTCATGTCGTCTCACCTAGTAGGGATTCTGGTCTCAATTCCCTCGACGAAGCTGAAACGGTTGAAATTGACCTTGATCCTACTTCACCCCATTTGCGAGACGATCTATTTCAATCATTCTTCAAATATCAGACGCTTTGGGTTGATGTTGTGAATAAAGAGTCATTCCTGACCCACCAGGCACATGGGAACCCATCCCGGTGGTATTCCGAGTTTCTGGAAAATGCCATACTAGCCTCTAGCACGCGACTAAGCACCTCCAAAGCTGTACGCGCCCTAGGCTCTAAGTATTTCGAGTCGGCCAAGGAGGAAGCATTGAGTGCTATATCCGAGCCGACACCTGCGGCCCTGCAAGGGTTCCTTCTTTTGAGCGAGTATGAGGTTACACAGGGCAATGATCGCCCGGGCTGGATGTACTGTGGCAAGTCTGCTGCGCAACGACTTGTGTGAATCATATCGACTAACTGATACAGGCATGGCTTGTCGGATGCTGTCAGATCTTGGTCTGCATGAGCTGGCAGGCAAAATTGGCACTCCCGAAAAGACTAAAGAGTCGGCCAAAGAGAGTGACCTTGCCTACGCTCTGCTGTCTGCTTGCGTAGTCTACGAAGGCGTGTGGACCCTATATCTTGGCAGACCAAGCTCCATCCCAAGATCGGTCATGAGCGTTGCGGTTTCGCGCTGCAAGGAGGTACGAAAGTCGGATTCACCATGGCTGAATGCCTGGGTAGGGCTTTGCGTACCTATGGCTGAAATATCCCATGTCTTGAACGACCAGTCAGTCGGCGACTCCGACAGGTCTGCTTTGCTGCGCAAGCTCTTCAAACAGGTGGAGGAATGGTATGAAAGACTTCCACCAGAGTTGACATATAACGAAAGTCGTTTGACAAACATGGACCTAGCGGGATACGGCTTGCACGCCCAGTACTGCAAAGTGCAGATCCTCTTGCGACAAGCGCTAGCCAAACCCCTAAATACTAGGAAGCGGCGATATTCTCAGACTACTCGTGACTCGGGATCTCGGCCGTCATCCGATGATTCGGACGTCATCATATACCGATATGCACTGCGCATAGCTCGCTTGTTCATCACATATCGAGAAGCGTTCGGAGTAGAGAAGATACCTTCGATCATGCTCGACAACGCCGTGGTGGCAGCCACTGCAATGATTGCGCATACGGGCAGCCTCGACGAAGCTCAGCACGACAGGCTCTGGCTCCGCCAACTGGTGTTGAGCTTGGAAACGGTACAGCCACATTTCCCAATCGTAGGCCGCATGCTGGATGCCTTGAGGCAGATCTGCGGCAGCAGCCCACTCTGTAGTATCTTACCATCCACAATTCGTGCCTCGACGAATCCTCCTCCTACTCATGAGCTCTCCGCACCAAACCAACCTAAAGATCTCGGCTCCAGGTCAAACGACGTACAAGGGGATGTAGGTGCGGTGGGCACTAGTCGGGATTTTGGCTGGGATGCCTTGGATTTGGAAATTGACTCAAGTATGTTCTTCGTAGGTGGACTTGATGATTTTTGCTTCGATCCTCCTGCATCTGATACTTCGATCTCTAATTTAGCACCAGCGGCTCGTAGGTATCAAGACGTAAGTTATTAATATATCCATTTTGTACCTAAGTTACGATTGATGATAAAGTCTCAAAATAAACTCTCCATATCAATACGCTATGCTAAAAAGCTAGGTCGCTCTTAAAGAATGCATTGACGACGTCAGCATAAATGCTTTTGAGACTTGTCATATTCAGTACCTACCGGGACTGGAAGTCAAAGCTGTCGATTCTCGGACATCATGTGCAAGAGCAGCCTTTCTAGATCCGAGAGGACAGCTCTAAACCTCTGGTAGCCTACACCTGTTAAGATAGAGGACTGACGTACTTCAAGGTTTTCTCCCGACGTCGCGTGGGATCTATCCGATGAGGAGGAGGTTGAGTGTTTGGATTCCGTGGATACCAGCACCATCACACAAAACAAACGCGCTAACATAGATCTAAGCCAACCCCGGCTCTATAACATTCCAGTCACCCTGAATAGCACTGGGAATTTGAAAGCTCTGGGACTTACGGCCAAATGCTTCCTTCGCTTGTTTCTCGATTTCATATCCACATGTATTTCCTCAATTAAGTTTATCGTGCATCTCCACGCTTGCGAGAATGGTCTCGCCAAAGTCCGACCTCATGAACTCATAGCGTTGATGGTCCTGTCGTTCATAGAAATTCAGGCACCCGATGACTGGGTAGTGTAACTGCATCGGGGCTATGTAGTCCGAGATTTTGGTGAGGATCTCAGACGTAGCATTTTGGCGCGTCTAAGACTGCAATGATGCGAGATGGTCAGGGGAGAGAAACCATTTCAGTTATTCGATCTTTGTATGCGGAAGTTTGGCGAGAGAAGGCAGAAAGAGGGATAGATGATAAAAGCGCGATCCTACAATCTCTATTCGATCTGAGGAAGTATTCAACGGCAGAGTGAAACTTGGCGGTGATAGTGGTCGTAGATGTGTATGTGGTTTTATCACAGAGGAAAGAGGAGCGAGGGCGAGAATTTGAGGAGAACTTGTTCACTGAAAGGGTTGCAATATGTAGCAAGGCTTCGGCAGCCCCAGTTCTGATCCTTGGTCCAGACGTAATAGATGTGCGATTAGGTGGAGAAGTCAGTGGGACGAAGCAGAATACTTCGTAATTATTTTATCAGTTGTCTTTCGAACGTCATGGTCCCGCTTATCAGACATCCGAAAGCCTATGAGAGAAAATCGCGCCCGAATACGCAGACTTCTGAATTTGCATTGTGCATACGATCGTAGTATTGTATATACTAGTAGTAGTACTGCACAGTAATTATGTACATATGCATGAGGTTCCTGTCGGACGAAACCCAGGAGGCGCCGAAGATGCACGGCATGCATGGGTGGGTCTGGTGGTCCTTGCTGTCGCTCCTCGGCACTGCCAAGACGGCAGTTGCGGTCCTTGCTGTCGCTACCCCCCCCAGCCAGCTTATTTTCTGCCGTCAAATCATGTCCACGTATCCACGACATCGTCTCCACACACTTCATGGATGTGTACTTTGGTATAAAGTTGCCCACATAGTTACCGGTACTTCACTACTCCGTACGCACCATTCCGCTGTATGCACGTACGGAGAGATCTCGGGATCGTCTCTTTCTTGATGCTTAACCTTCGCCGACCACGCGTTACAAAATAGTACAGCAACGGCCTTGACGGTTAATCGGCACGCTGCATTGAGGGCAGCAGCGCTATCGACGGCCCGACCCTTCTTCCCTGGACAGGATATATCGGCACGCAAACTAAGGAGCATAGCGTGGGCCCCGCCATACAGAGCCGTTGAAAGACGGTTTCAAAGGGGTGGGGAAGGCCCCGTAAGGGTCACTACTGTATAGTACATGATGGCAAACGGCTATAGCGGTACCACTTTGTATCAATCAGTCATTTGTAATTTATGTATTGACCGCCTCCGACGCACGTCTATCAACTAGTATATATTATGGGGGATTTTGAATTCTAATTATTCTAATGTATTAGTTCTATAGATTATTTTACAGAGCATAAAGTGATATTGCTGTAGTACATCTTACTTTTACTATCGCTATCTTACTGCCGCCATTGAACTTGTAGAGTTAAAGTTACTCCTATGCTTATTAATTATTACCATAAATACTAGTCCTATTTAAAGTCCCTTACTAATTCTCTCTTTATATTGCGGTCTATCTACTAGCAGGGGCTAGGGATAGAGTCATTTTATGGGGCGATAAAGGTCAAATTAGAATTATTAAAAAGCTTGATTGAAATCAAAAATCCCCATATTATATAGATGTATATGATATATATATTGATTTGCGTCCTTCTCACAAGTCGAAACAAACTCTCATCTGTTTACTACTCTCATCTATTTCCCTGACTCCCAATCTCAAGAGATCGTATCTGCTATTTCTCGTATTTTCAAAAGTCACTCCTCTCACCAAGTTCTTCATCAGCGCACCGCTTCCTAATATGTCCAACGATCAATATGGCCAAAGGATTCTGCCTAAGCTCGTCGACGAGTTGGCAGCTGCCACACCCAATCGCGTTCTCGGCATGATAGCTAGGTCCTCGGATGTCTCCAAAGGATTCATAGAACTTTCCACAACACAGCTTGCCAACGCCGTGAACTATACCTCGTGGTGGATCGAAGATCATATAGGGAAAAGCAGTAACTTTGAAACCATTGCATATCTAGGTGCCACAGACTTCCGATTCTGGGCTATAGAATTGGCAGCCATCAAAACTGGTTACGCAGTAGGTATTCATCACTACTTGACTATTGTTCTTGTTGATTGACATAAACTCTCAGGCGCTTCTTCCATCTCCAAGAAACTCCGTCGAAAATGCCGTTGCTGTCCTCGAGAGCACCAAATGCAATGTCATCTTCTATTCCGCAGAAATGGCTTCGAAAGTCAAGACTTTAAAGGAAGCGAGACCCAACATCCGAACAATTGAGATTCCTGCGATGGAAGTATTAACAAGTACTCCTGCTAAGGCATATCCATATACCAAGACCTGGGAGGAAGCTAAGAATGACCGTGTCTTGATAATGCACACGTCCGGCTCAACAGGTGCGCTACAGTCGCCACGCCTTGTCGTGAACTTCACTAAATATATATTCTAGGAACACCGAAGCCCATTTACATGAATAATGACTACATAGCGATACTAGATGCAGCTCATATAATTCCCGCCGTCCCGGGACATCCCCTAGCCGGTCCATCATCTTGGGGTGCGCCAGGGTTCAGATACTATATGGGGTTTCCATTATTTCATCTCGCGGGCTTCGCCTGCACGCTGGCAGCATTATTCTTTGAAGGCATCATTGTTTTGGGGCCTCCCAGCTCACCACCCAACGGGAGACTTGTTAGTGATATGCTAAGTCAAGTCGACTTGGACGTTTTATGTGCACCACCTTCCCTGCTAGAAGATTTAGTAAAAGAGTACCCCGACGAGTTTCTGGCACAAGCAAAGAAAATTGATCTGTTTATGTACGCTGGAGGTATGTGAGCCATTCTAACATTGTAAGAGCCTGCTAATTCGGTTGCATAGGTCCATTATCTCCTGAAGTTGGCAATTTTCTGACGAAACACGTTCGATTGGGTCAGCTCATTGGCTCCACAGAAGCGAGCCTATTCTTGAACGTTCAGACGGATCGCGAGGACTGGCAGTGGTTCCAGTGGCACCCGACCCATTCGGGAATAGAATTGGAGAAGGTGGAGAACTCGGAGCTCTATGAGATGGTCATTCGTAGACAGCCGGGGATGGAGAGGTTTCAAGGTATCTTTAAAACCATGCCAGAGGTTCAAGAATGGAGGACGAAGGATGTCTACGAAAAGCATCCTACAAAGGATCTTTGGCTTTATAGGGGCCGCAACGATGATGTTATCGTCCTTTCCAACGGCGAGAAGTTCAATCCAGTTACAATGGAGGGCATCATCAACGGGCATCCGAAGGTCACGGGTGCTCTCGTTGTAGGAGCACGTAGGCCACGATGTGCTCTGCTTGTCGAGGGGCATGGCGTGGAGAACGCCCAGGAATTTCTCGACTCGGTCTGGCCAACAGTTGAGGAGGCAAACAAAGTCTCACCTGGGCATGCGCAGATAGGCCGAAACATGATTATGGTTATCAAAGAGGATAAGCCATTTCCTAGAGCTGCCAAAGGAACGATTGTTCGCCATGCAGCAAACAAAGAAAATGCCGAGGAAATCAACGCTCTCTATGGCGCTTCTGATGAAGTCACAGATCCTGCTGTCAAATTGCCACAACTGGAGGCTGAGGCGGATATGACTAGCATTCGAAATTTTGTACGCGAATTGGTCTCCATGATTTTGGACGTGCCGTCACTCAGCGACGATGATGACTGGTTCGTTCGTGGGCTCGATTCTCTTCAGACCATACAACTTGCCAACAACCTGAAATTAGTCTTGAAAGAGCATGTTTCTGGGAGTCACATCGGTCCAAGGATCATTTACGAAAATCCTACCGTCAATAAGCTCGCATCTGCACTTCAATGTATTCTAAGCCCCGAGTTTTCCGTTACCAACAACGCAGCCAACTCCGAAGAACTTCGTATCGCCAACATGAAGAACACGTTTAACAAGCTTATCAGCGGTTTACCAAAGAAGGTGGCAAGTCAAGCACTATCTGATGATGAGCCATTGACGGTGATATTGACTGGTTCAACTGGGTCCCTTGGATACTATTTACTCGAGACTATGTTGCGCGACCCAAAGGTCCAGAAGGTCTACTGCCTCAATCGTTCCTCTAACGCACGAGACAAATTCTATTCGCGTATCCCAGAGATCACGGATTCGCTCAAATCGAAAGATGCGAAAGTCCAGTTCTTCCAAGCCTCGTTCGGAGCGCCCAACTTTGGTCTCCTTCCCTCGCAATGGGATCAGCTACTTTCTGAAGCGGATGTGATAATCCACAATGCCTGGGAGGTAAACTTCAACCACTCGCTCCAGACCTTCGAAGCAGATCACCTTCGGGGCCTTCGAACCTTCATTGAACTGTCGCTGCTCTCACCACGCCATCCTAGTTTGAATTTCGTCTCGTCCATATCCGCAATGGGTAATTGGAATTCCATGTATGCGGATCAAGCTATCCCGGAACGTATCGCCAATGATCAGGAATGGAGCGCTGCGCTACCAATGGGCTATGGTGAGTCGAAGTTTGTGGCAGAGCAGATGCTACACGCAGCTACCCAGGCAGGCATCTCTGGTAACGTGCTTCGTCTCGGACAGATTGCAGGGCCAGTCAAGAGAGGAAGTATTGGTGTGTGGAATCATCAGGAGTGGTTCCCCAGTTTGGTGAAGACTACGAAGAACTTAGGAGCCGCCCCGAAGACTCTCGGCTCCATGAATTTGATTGACTGGATCCCTGTGGATGTACTCGCAGATGTGATTGTGGAGCTCGTACATAACACCTCGTCAAGGTCAACAAACAACTTCAACGTCTTTAATCTCGTCAACCCAAAGCGAGTGGAATTTGAACATTTGGTACCGACGATCATAGAAACCTTTTCGACAGATAGGAAGCAGATCGAAGCGGTATCACCAGAAGAATGGCTAGAGAGATTAGGAAAGCTGGATAGCACTAAGCAGGAAGTCTTAGAGATCCACCCGTCTTTGAAGATCATGGATTTCTACCACGGCTTGACATCCACAGAAGGAGAGGGCCTATACTCGACGGATATAACGAAGAAGACTAGCAAGTCTATGGCCGAGCTCGGTCCAATATCAAGCAAGGATATTGGAACCTGGTTGGAACAATGGTCGTATTAAGTTAGTATATGTCAATAATGATTTCAGAGCGGGATAGAATGAATGTATATATACCGTAAGACCATAGCCGATATTTATTGAGGTGCTAGTGACAAGGAAGACTTTAAGCATGATTGTGATGGATAATAATAGAGTGTAGGGACTTATTAATTAGAATTATACAATACTCCAGGAAGATAGTAAGAGCCCATGCCTGAAATCTTTAGGTTAAAGGGGGTTTGAGGTGACAGTGTAAGTGAGAGATTTCAGCACTCGAAAACGGTTGCTGAGATCAAAAGCCGTTCAGATTGGTCGGCATCGTCAGCTGACTTCTCTATTAGCTCCAGCCCGTTGGACAATACTGGTCACAGAGAGGACGATGAATAGCGTTCGAAAAAATATTGCTAGGGGAAGAGAGGTGTCGTAGCAGAGCAGTGGAGAACGTGGGTTGCGGTTTGCCTCTAAAAAAAGATATAATGCCCGTATTTCAATCCGCATGCGACAAGGGAAGCCTCAAAAAGCTCGGTATAAAGAATACCTCCCAAAAGCTTACCTGTTCTTGTTCGGGCATTTGTGCTGCGCAACGTATCGTAATCGCGATGACTCCCCCTATAGCTGTAGAGATTGCACTAGACCCAAAGTTGGCTCAGGGCATGTTGCAAAGCGATAGCGATAGCAGTCGCAAAGCTCACTCCTCGAGACGAGTGAACTCGTCCACAGGTTCGTAGGGAACACCTCGTGCAGGCATTGGGACCTCGCTCCCTATATGCCATGACTGATATAGTTACAGCAGGATTGTGATCTTCTTGCGGAACGGATTTTGGTAGAAGACCTAGCGTTGGTAGTGAAGGTATCGCGAGGCTGGAATTCGGGGGAAATATGTGTCCTAAGTAAAAAGACATAAATGACAGCCTGGCTTAGTAAAAAATTGGCTATTCAGGATTGGATAATCGGATGAGGTAACACATTAGATTAATCATAAAGCATCAAATCGGGTGAGATGAACCCCTTTCCCTTTCCTTTTCTGAATTGAGGGGTTGGTCTCCCTGAAGCTAGTGGCAAATAATTTTACCATACCCGATTTTAGAAATCACTGATATTCTATTAGAATGCGTAGATAATAGAGAACTTATTCAAACTATCACCGCGGGGTAAAAGTGGGGTACCCCGCTGAGTAGTGGGGCTGACACCGTCGTTCGTTGACACTATGGATGTTGGTTTCAAACCATGTAACAGACAGCGTGTTAAAAGGGCTTAGTGATGCATGCGAAGGCGGACACCAAAGCAGAGAAAATAGAAGGTGGTTCTATCCTCGAGATTGGGAAGGGGAAAACGCGTCTGGTAAGAGAAAGGAACGATCCGGCGCCCTCTAGGCCAGGCCATAGTGTTTCCGGAAACGCGAAAGCTGCGAAAGACATTCTCGATAACGTTTTGAAGCCTGGATGGGGAAGGGCGAATCTTTGATGGACTTTGTAATAGGTTCACATGGACCAGCCGATCTTTATTGATCTAAAATTGGACGGTATAATCGGACACGGCGGACGACTTTCCGAGAGCCTTTCTTGCAATATTATATCATAGATTTTTTGATGAATAGATAGAATAAAATAGAAATGCCAACGAAAATCGAGGACGAAACTTTAGCCAGTGATAAGAAATACATATGGAATAAACTTTCGAGATCGAGATGTACCCTTAAAAGAACGCGGGGTAAGATCATCAGAATTACCGAAGCTGGATGACAGGATCCACTTTCCCTCCTTGGACCTTCTCGAAAGCTAAGTGGCATAAAAATCCAATCAATTGAACTAAGAAATTTCCTTCTACGGCATAGCCCCACTACGCCACATCCCTAATATATCAACCCCCTCACTCTCTATGCCAGAAATTCCAACTAGGAACTTTATCCAAACGACCAAACCACAAGAATTCAAGTTTATTCCACGATGCCAGACGTCAACTCGATTACCAACGGTCCGAACAAAGAAGCTATAACGGAGCAACTATTCGTGAATGATGGACCTTTGGAACAAGACCAAGTGGCACAGCTCCGACCTTCTGACCCCACTCTCCCTATCGAAGAACTCAGGATGCGACTCGAAGAGGACAACTACCTCTTCGTGAAGAATCTCCTTCCCCGCGAGGATGTGCTTAAAGCACGAGAAGCATACTTCAATTTCCTCTCTCCAAGCGGAGTTCTGAAACCAGGAACCAAGCCCGTGGAAGGAATCTTCGATAGTAGCAAAGATATTTCCTGTTTTCCCGGAATCGGTGCGGGAAGCACGGCCAAAAATGAGAAACCTGGAGGAGAAAAAGGAGCTATATTTGTAGACCGGGCTCTGCAGGCTCATACGGAAGAATGGTATGCCGAGGACTTTTGCAAGCATCCTGTGTTGTTGGATTTTGTTTCCAAGCTCTCGGGATGGGGTGAGCACACACTTCATTTCCGCAGGTCACTGTTGAGGAATAGTATTCCTGGGACGCATGCTACCTCAGTACACTACGATCAGATCTTCCTGAGACATGGGGAGGTTTCGAATTTGACGGCTTGGTGTCCGATGGGAGACATTAAGTTGAATGGTGGCGGGCTAATATATCTTGAGAAGAGTGAGTGTATCCGAGTTTCTACTTGGCTTATTGGAAACTAAATGCCTTTAAATTTCACAGGCAAGTCCCTTGGTCAAGAGATCGAGGCCGAATTCTTTAGAAGAGCTGCGGAATCAGGCTTTAGCGACGAAGAAGCGAAGTACGCTTTCAATAACAATATGATGGCAACTGGTTTTCTGTCCGAATATCCAGTAGAGTTTGCGAAAGAACATAAGCGACGCTGGCTTGTTAGCTCGTTCGAAGCTGGAGATGTGGTGCTCCACGATCCGTTTGCCGTAGGTGCTTATTCACCATTACCTTTCGGAGTTTGCTAAACATTTCTAGATTCATGCTTCAACAGTCAATCATGATAAAGAGGGAGTAATCAGGCTTGCAACTGATTTGAGGTTCTGTGATTCTTCACAGCCCTATGATAAGGTAGTTTAGTGTCTAAATATTGGTCAGGACGCTTCGCTGATTCTATGCAGAGATGGTGCAATTACTATAGAATCGGGTACTTCTCATCTTTTTAAACTAGTTTCTTATTGTTACAATTGCTAACAAACCGCAGAGACGGTGCTTAATCTCCAAACACGTGATAAAGGTGACCTTATGCCTGCCGTGGTCCTCCCACAACGGACTAAGGTCTCGACTGATGATTGGAATCATTTAAATTGAATGAAAGTTGTTTGTTAGCATAATTCACGATTATACAGAAGTCGTAGTTGATTGTTGAAGAAGCATTGGTTTTATCTATAAGGTTTTAGTCTTGATCTTAGGGTAATGACTACATGCCTACCATTATGTACTACACTCCTACCGGCGCAAAAAAAGTCTCTCGCCTCCCTTGATGCGAAGGAAGGTGCTGCAAACTTCTACATCGTGATCTATGATATACCTTCTCGTCCGCTTCTTATGTCTCCAACGATATTCTCTTTGCTATCCAAATATTTCCACTTCTCGATTTATTTGAGAATTCCTATAGTTCTGCACTCAACTCTCCGACTTCGTAAATCACCAATTTGAGCCTAACATGCCGGTGAGGAATGCGATGCCTTTCTCCCACCCAGAGGTGTTGATGAACTCAGTGAAGACGAAGGAACCTGATTGTTCCGTGGGCGAAGCGGCCAAACCCGATATAAGAATGATCACGATACTAACGACCGACCACCACATATTGAATAGACTGAACTTCAGTAGCCAGGATTCCACTATATTTGTGCATGCTATGACCAAAATCGTAATCTGGTAACCGATAAAGAGTTGCCATAAAATGAAAAATCGGGATTTTTTAGGATAATCATTCCTATAACCATTTGCGGGATTGCCAAAGTCCCCGAAGCACAAGTGACAACGACTCCAGCCCAGCTGAGTAAGCCAACCAGGTATGAAATTCCTCGTCTAATCGATTTTGGTGCAAGTTGGGAAGCCCAGTAGTATTGCCCCCCAGGATGTGGGAATGCTGATGCCAATTCCGCAAGGGAGCAGGCTACGCAAATGGAGAACGCAAAGATCATGATTTGACCCCAGGTAAAAACAACTACTCCTCCACTCCCAATCCCTGTGATGAGAGATGCTGTTAGGCTCATAGCTGTGTTGCTGACAGAATATCCCATGCCGAGGAGACTCCATATCCCATATTGCTGTTGGGAAATTTCTGGCTCATCATTGGCCTCGAGACTTTGTCCGGCACTGAAGTCAGCGGGCATGTGCTTAGTCGATTCCGTGAAGGCATCGGGCAAGGATTTTTCAATATCCATGATTGATGTTTTGGAAAGGGTTCAATAGAGTTATGTTCAAGTATCGTGTTGTTGCGTACCAAAGGGGCAAATTGCTCAAATGAGATATAAGTTGTATAGCTCTTAATACCTTCTTGCTCAGATATCTATAGTAAAGCGCCGCTACCATTGTCATGCACAAATATATGTTATTTTTGAATGCCCCTAACCCAAAAAATGTCGCTTCCACATACTTGGTAAACCATATCCTAAAATGGGTCCATCTGAGTGTCGGGCCCTCTGCAACACGAGTCTAATCGGCAGATTATGAAAGAAGATAACACAATTAAAGAATATTGAACTCGGGATCTGTAAATGCAACTGTAACAAATACGATTAGAGCCGATTGATACGATTAGCAATATACGAAAGCGGTAGGCAGAGGCGAGCTTCGACAGTGGGGCAAACTAGTAGTCACACTATTATATTGCATAGTTTAGCAGTGCCTAAACCGCGCACTATTTAAGGGTAGTTTGTGAAAGAAGAGAATATCTTGCTGGGTTTAGTCGATTCATCTATTATGGAACAACTGGACACAAAATAAATCGCTGCATTTAGCCTCTTTAAAAGTGTTACTAGGTGTATTCTTTTTGAAAGCGCAAACTCTAGTAATTATCCCAACAAAATTTAGCCGCCTGATCCTATGTGACTTCTCCCTCGCTCAAAATGGATAGGTTAAGCACTATTATAACATCTAGCGGTGTCCTTACTATGCTCCCGAAGTCATTCTAGAGATACCCTAGGGCTACGCTGTAGATATATCGAACGTCGGAGTCATGGTGCGAGATTTCCTGCATGTGGCTAAAGTATACTTCCTTTATTCTTTTTTTCTGAAGTGCGGTTGCACCTTCTTCTACGGCTTTCTTTTACTCTTAGATATAGATGGATTAGCTAGTATAGCTAGTTACCGCCTCGGAGCTTACGCAGAGCCGTAAAGAATATGGTTATAAAGAGAAAGATCCTCTAAGCGCTTGAATTACTAGGTGAGAGATATAATACAAGTAAGTAATAAAGTATACATCTTTGCCTCGATTGAACTAAGTAGTCTTAGCGGCCAAGCAGAATATATCGGCAGAGTTTTTATAAGCATTGTTATCAAGGATACCCCATCCAACATATCCTGTTGGAACATCTACTCCCCCGTCAGAGCCCACACAGCCGTCCTCACCAATTCTCCCTAGCACTCCGCCATTTTTCCAGCCAGGCGTGCAATCCGTGAATATAGATGGCGTAAAGCCTAAGCTTTGCCATTGTGCTACAGTTTGCGGCGTCAGACTCCATGTACACACCTTCAGATTCGCTATGCACGACGGAGTGACTGTGCCAGAAATGTCGGTGAGAGCTGGTGCACCACCTTGAGTTGATCCGCTGGCCCTGGCGCACTGGTCCGATCCTGCAAACAGCAGATCCGGCAGGACTCCAGCCGTGACAAGCTGTGTCATCATGCTGTTGAAGTTCGTGGTAGGGGAGTTTTCGTCCTCGAGGGCGTAAGTAATGGACGTGCTGCTGTCGTACCAAAATGTACCGCAAATCCCATTTTCGTCATAGCCAGTAGTGCAGTCGAGTTTCCAGTTCAAGGTTGTACCGTTGGTCATCAGTGCATGTACGTCTGTATCCACTGTCCTTGTGATGATAATGCCCTGCATTTGAAAAGCCAGTGAAGCCTCGTAGGTAAGCAATGGGTGCAGGATTTGCTGTGTGAGATCGGGTAGTGTTTCGATGGCGCCTGAATAGATGCCAGTATTTCCCATCGCAATAAAATCGGTAATGTTGCTTTGAATCAGGGAAAGCGCTGTATCGATGCTAGATTGCAAGGTCTCGTAAACGGTTGTCATGCTGCTGGAAATCTCATCCCAATCCTCGATCTGGGAATCAAGAGATCCTGATGGAAACACCCACCGAGCAAGGTTTGCTGAATTCTATTATACGTTAGAGTATACCGACTGAGAGATAACAAAATATCTTACACTTGCAGCGCTAACTAAGGACTTCCCAACATCATTTAGTGCGCTCCCCGCAAGGAATCCTCCTCCTGGAATCAAAGTGATTCCCAAGGAAAGTACAGACAAGAAGATATCCAAACCTTTGTTCTGGTCAAGTTTGGGGGGATCGATTATACTAATGATGTCCGTCAACTTTCCCGACGCTCCCTGGGCGGCATCATCAAGAGCATTCCAATATTCCACAAAAAATCCATTCAGGTTCCAGATATTTTGCTACAATTATTAGTATATGCCAGCCATGAAGTAGAAAATCCTAAACGTAACGTACCGCGACATAGAAGTTTCGTATGCCATTCCACGTCCCGTTAAAGTCATCCCAGCTGGGCTGTTTGCAGCCAGAAACGCTAGTTATAGCATCACAAGTTGAAGCTCCATACTTGGTGGCCTCGCCATAAAAGCAGTTTGCAAATATGGTGCTCCCGCAGGTCGAATTGAAAGTTTCCCACCACCAGGTGACATAGTCAGCAAGATGGAGCTCGCCCCAGCAAGATGTATTAGTTGCTAAAGAGGCCGAGGCACAGTCGCTCGAAGGTTCTTCCGTCCAGCTTGTATCGCCGGGAATAGGCACTGAAAAATACCCTGTAGGTTTGGGAGTGCTTTCGCAGTAAGATGTACTTTGGGCGTAATTCCCGCTTGATACTGCGTATTCCACACCCTCCATTTCGCCATTTGCGCACGTACAGTATGGGTCATTATTGTTCGTAATAGAAGATGGAGTTGCCTTGGGCGTTATGATAGCACAGCCTGTGGCTGGTGCGGAAGGCCAAGTGTTTGAAGAGGGCGTGGGGCTCGGTATCAGTAGTGAAGTGATGGTAGAAAGAGTAGGGCCCCCGTCGCACGCAAGCTGTCCTGCTACATAGCTGGTTACAGCTCCATTGACAGTAACTTCAAAACCCGTAGAGACAGTTCCGAGAGAAGTGCACCCGTACACAACCCCACCTTGCGTTTCGGTTGACAGAATCGACTCACTTTGGGTGGTGGAGCTGGACTGCTTCGCTGATACAGATGCTGTCGAACTCCGCGAAGCTGTTGACGAGGGTGAAGCTGTGATTTGCGAAGTTGATGCTGATGCTGGCATTGCCAGGGGTGCCCCAAATAGGGGGGAAAGAGCAAGAATATGGAGGAGCATGGTAAAGAAAGACTTGATGAAAAGTAAAGTGATTGAAGGGTTCAGATGGACAAATGAAAGTTATAAGAACGTGATACTTTATATAGAATCCCTCGATGTGAAGGATTCCTTTATGCCAGTATTGATTGCTTACCATCCGTAATGCTTTAGTGAAATAACTCTCAAACAAGAACTCACTCCTGATCCTACTGTAACCTCTTCTCCATAACTCTAGTATGTTGTTGGCAGATGAAAATAAGTAGAAGTTCTCAGCGCAAATTGACTTACGTACTTTGGGCAGAGAATTTTGCTCGCTTGAGTTTAAGCCTTAAATAAATACCATATAAACAAACACGTGGAGCTCTGACCTGGCTTAAACGGGTGGCGTCTATTAGTGCGCTGCTAGTATAACCAATCAAACCACTAAGATATAACACGGGCATACGCTTGTCAGCTTCATCCTCCAAATCTTGTTGGAGTTATTATAACGCTCCTCTTATACTATCCCAGGTAGTATAAGCATTATTACGCAGCTTCAATAGCCAATTATAGTCTCCACATGGGCTAAGGCTGTGTTTTCGCTTGCTGAAAATGATGCAAATATCAGGTAAGAGGAACATTGAAAAGGAATTAGTTGCGCAAGTGTGTTTCATAAGTGAAGGCATTTTGTGTTTTTACGCCAAAGACATAGGGGAATAATACTTCGCATCTCTTCGATGGTATGCTTCATAATCATGGTTCGGATGATCCAGAGTCGAGTAGAGTCAACTTAAATCAACCGATCGCTGGATCTTGAACCACCCAGACTCTGAAGAAGTTTTGAACAAGAACAGTTGTAAGTATTAGCAAAGTGAACGGGACAGGAAACGAAAATTAGTAGTCTGTTAATCCTTCCGAGTACTATTCTTGAACGTCAGCCATGTTTTGAAGAACTATTCTATTCAATCGTAATAATAATCGTATGAGTTTAGTTGAGACAACGATCTCCGTATCTTTTGCAGACAAGTCACCGTTCCACTCACTCGTGATAACAATCGTAGGAGGTTAGTTGATATAGAGATGAAGACCGAGACAAGCGTCCTACCACTCAGTATTTTTGCCGTTTGGGACGCGGCATATCGTCGACCTCACCATCGCCTTAATCCGTTCTCCCATGCATCTAGCCCCTTGAAAAATTGCTAACAACATCACGAGGCCCCCGACTTGGCAGAATAAATAAGAGCAGACAGCATGGCTTGCAACTCCTAATGAGTTACAAGCATTCCGGAAAACTATACTCGAGGCGACCCGGGGCAATCACCAGCCTTTCTTGAGTCTACCACTGTAGAATAGCAGTCAATTCAGTTTTAAGTACCCAGTTCTGTATTGCACATCATTAATAGTCACTCAGGTCACAAAGATCGTAACACTCAGATGGCGAAAAGTGGTCTAAAGAAAGATATGTTTCTAAACGACAATAAACTGATTCCAAAACTGTTAAATGGAAAACAACCGAGGCCTCAGACTATACGGATCTCCTCAACACTGAGACCTTTGTTTGAGGATACCGCCTCCCTTCTCATATATCCATGAGCAAAAAATTCCCCGATTAGATTCAATCCGATAAAAGGTTGAGACTGACCTGGCCGAAAAGTATAAGGCACTTTCGCTCCTAGTAACACATACACCAAATCTCCTTCCAAACTATGACTTGCTGCTAAGCCCATGCTTCCATTTTCGTCGATGAAGAACCTCCTCCCGTGACAGCTTATTCGCAAGCGGTCAAGCACCGAAATTTCGATTTCCTGAAGGAAGTTTCCGGCTTCCGCTAAGGCCCCTGCCACATGATGGGAAAGTTTTCGGAACAAGGCTTTCCTTGATTGGTAAAAGTCGTCGTGGGAGTCCGTGAGAATCGTCTGGGAGAAAGCTGTTTGGAAGCCGGTAGATGATCTACTATGATTGTCCTCTCTCCATGCGCGCTCTCCAAGGGTTCTCCAGCCACGGAATACGACGTGTTCCCAGTTTGGATCTCCCATGTCACAAGTATCTCCCAAGAACTGAATCTTGCTAATTTTCACAGCGTGGGCCATGAGATGCTTTGCTGGAGACTTGGAATCTGGTGAGCAGGTATGGAATGACTGAGCAGACCCTCCAGAATTGAACTGGACCAAGGGGATATGTGCCAAAATTGTTCGCTTGCAAGGGACCCGCCAGTCTGGAACCCAAGTTGGCAATATCTTTGGCTCTGAATGACCTTGCATGGCGGATAGGAAGTTGAGACCTTGATTGTTTAACAAAAGCGTTGCAAACTCTACAAAAACGGTTTCGACGGAGTGCTCATAATTGGTTGACATTCGAGGGGTCTCCCAGACGTCTAAGTGGGTTCTCAACATACCTCGCACGGAAATCTGTTTGGTCGCAGGAATATGCTCTGGCGGTAATTTGCTTGACTTGCTCATAGGAAATCCCGATTGTCGATATTGAGCTATTTCACCTGCATTCATCATCGATGGGTACATGGCGATAAAGGCAAAGACCTTGTCCCGAGGATCACGGCATTGACACGCTGCTGCATCGCAGAGCGCTTTTACGAACTGATCGGTTGTGACAATATACATCCATGAATGCTTCCGAAGCCGGCAGATTGGAGAGAGTACGGGAGGCTGCAGTGAGAGCATTTTCGCGCCGACTACGAGACTGGACCACGGCGTGGACTTGGTGCCACAAAGAACTTTGGCTGACTTTGCCATGGCAACTTCTTGGATAACCCACGTTCTTTCAAACCAGGGGCGGCGCAAAAGACGCCCCATTGCGCTTCTGGTCATGTCATTCATGTTGCGATATTGCCCAAATGATAGGAAATTCATAGCTAGGTCGCTGTCGTCGGCGCACTCGCCTAGATATATGACGACCTGAGCCGCCGACGAGTATATGTCTGGCATGGCCCTGACCTGTAGACTGCGCTCTTGCAAATCTTGCTGATTGATGCACAATGCGTCAATCAATATATACCTTTGTCGATCGGCGTATCGAAGTCTGCGCAGAACCGACGCGCAACTGCTCGCAATTCAGAGCGTTCCAGGGCTGTCCAGGTATCTGACAACCTCCCTTTGTGTCTCGTCACCCCATGTGTACGATATTGCTTCGAATTCCGGAGTGCGCTGGCGAGGGAATACCGGCATGCGGCAGGATATTTCATCGGACAACTCTCCAGGTTCCAGGATAACGAGGCGTATTTCCCCTGGGGCTAAAGGAGAATAGCAGCGTCCTGACCCTTCGCATGGGCAAGAAACATGTTGGAAAGGCTCGTACATCGCAAAACCCGGCTGGGCCATAACGCGAGAATCTTGAGATTGGAAGGTGGTGACTGAGAAAAGTCGGAGTGTTTGCCAAAAAGGAATGCAAAAAATGTATATCAAAGGCTAGCCATATACATTTATTTTCTGACTGGTAGAGCCTCGTGAGTATCAGGTGCTGCCGCCTGAAATGCTGAAGCTGCACACCTATCCCGTGACTGGCGTGGTCAATGTTACAAGGACAAATGTCACAACGCAACATTCTCATAGTAGCAGATCCTTGTTTCATATAACCTCCTCCTTAGGCCTCACATTACCGCATTTGCCATAGAGGATGCCCAAATCTAGAATATTCGAATGGTGACTCTAATATTAAGCACTTCGATCCAGACATCGACTTCCCTTTGCTGTATCAGAGGATTCTGATATAGCCTGCTTTGACGGATTTCCATCTAGGCTATCCTAAATCCTCGGGACTTTCCTACCTCACTAGATCTTCTAATTCGGAGATACTTAATAGCTTTTCCAATTACTTGGGTGGAAATCTGAACTGAACCCGAATCTCTTCCATGGAACGCAATGCTGGCAAAGGCCTCAAGTATTATCAGCAGCAGCAGCAGCAGCATCGGGGACAAGATCTTATTGAAAATAAGACTATTAATTTCCTAGCTCTGAATTTCGTCTCTCCACCTCCGTCCATGTGGTTCTGGTCAATTATATTTCTCACTTTAGATCCTCATCTCATCCATATACCACGCCAATTGGCCAAAGCCGTTCTCATCCTTCGTGCTTTGTCCGTTTCCAAGCCATTGGAATGCATTCTTGCTCTTGTGTACAATATCGAAATGCTCGGCGTCGAGGGACTCCAAGGCATCTTTGAAGTGGAGGATGGAGCCGGCGTACGTGCCCGTCACGGTGCCGGTTGATTTCCCGTTCTTATACCAGGAGGGGCAATTGTCGGCCCACACCGTCCGCTTGAGAAACTTTTGCGAGTATTCATTGAAGTCGGCAACGCTCTGAGCTTTTGGTGTGATCGATCTGGAGTGCGTTAGTGCTAATTCTAGATTTCTTAATTTTTTTAAAAGATGGACTAACTTGATGTCTTGCGTGGCAATTTTGGTCGCCCAGCGCAGTATATAGTCGCAAGTCCAGCTGATTTGCGTCAAGACACTTCCGTGACTGATAGGGCAATTGGGTCCATTGAAGATGTAGTAGTTGGGCATAGTGTCGACTTGTACCGCGAAGAAAGCATCAGGGTCAACTTTCCATCTCTCCTCTAGAGTAGCACCATTTAGGCCAACCAGCTTCCATGGCGGGATGAACGTGGTGTCGAAGCCGGTGGCGCAGACTATCATGTCAAACTCCTCCTCGCCGTCAGCCGTCTTGATGCCTTTCTCTGTGATGCACTCAATGGGAGACCAGCAAATGCTCGCATTTGGTTGGGTGAAGGTCTCCAAATAGCCGTCTCCGGGAGTTAAACGACGGCAGCCAGGATGGAAGCCAGGAATAAGTCGGGCCGCCATCTCGGGGTAGTCTTTGAGGGTGGCAGTCATCCGGGCTTTGCAAGCTTCTTCCAGACCCTGTTGGAATGGATGTCCAGTCACCATCCCAAAGAAGAAACCGTTCACACTATACTCTGTCAGAAGGAATAAAAAGTCTAGGGGCGCGACATACGATGCCTCGAGCTCTTTACGCAGTTTGTGCAATACTTTGGGATCCTCTCGAAACAGATTTCGTTCCTCTTCGGTGTATGCAAAGTTCTTCCCATCGATTGCCTTGTCGGCGCAGAAGTTGATGGATATCCAGGTCGGGTTTCGGATGTATGTTGTCAGTTTCTCAACTTTCGGTTTCATGGTCGGAACAATCTGAATTCCAGAAGAGCCATTGCCAATAACAGCAACCTTTTTGCCTTCCCAATCATAGGATTTATCCCTAGTTTGTGTCAGTTTGAGATTGTTGATTTTATAGCACTCTGCCGCTTTTCACCTTACAAACCTTAGAAACTCAAGCAATGTCAAACAAGTTGTGAGACACGGCCATGAGGTTTCCATTATCTACGGCATGTATTGGAGATGGCATAGCATCGGTCTTAGAATTGAGTTGTCTTACCATCTAGCACTGTGTACTAGCTTTCCCTTGAAGTCATGCAACCCAGCAATTTCTGGCCACTTCCACTTGCTAGAAGAATCAGCATGTATTCATGAGTTGCAATGATTATCGCAGACTAACTTCAAAAATCCCGATCCATTGATCAAGATGTCTGCCTCATCTTCGTAGATGGAACCGTTAATATCGACCTTAACCTTCCATTTGCCCACTTGGCCATCCCAGACAGTCTCTAGCACTTTAGAGTTACATTGCACGTGTTTTTCGAGGTTGTACTTGACAGAAGTAGCTTTGATGTATGCCTGAATCTCTGGTCCTGTAGCGTAGAAGTGCGACCAGTCAGGGTTCCCCTCAAACGGGAAGGTGTAAGCATCTCCAATTGATGTCAGCAAAAAAACCTTGTTAAGTCATAATGGAGTGAAGCTTACGGGCGGGGATATCACAGGCAGCTCCTGGGTAGGTGTTTTCGTACCAAGTACCTCCCACCTCCTCATTCTTCTCGTATATTTGCAAATCGATCACATCTTCAAGCTTCTTTTCATGCTGTACCTTGTGGGCTAAAGTCAAGCCGGAGTAGCCAGCACCAACGCATACGAGCCTCAATCTTCGTCTAGTCAGCGCTGGCTCTTCCATAATGTGGAAGCTGGTGCCGTTCATGCTATGTTCTTTGAAGGACTGCATTATGCAATTGTAGGGCTGGTAAAGTACCAAGAAGAAATTGTAAGAGGACGGCAAGTTCGTGGATGGCAAACGGCTCCCAAGAAAGCTTTAAGAGTTTTCTGGTTTCAAAGCAATTGTGTACTAGCTCTACACCGTGTCTGTGAATTTGGGACAGGAAGACCAGATCGGCACTACCTACCCTGGTTTAGGTTGAGCCCCGGAACGATTGAATGGTCCAAACAAGCTTATGAGACCACGCTCTCGGCTTTAAGGGATATCGATTCGTACTGTACATCCTGCTTTGCAGGTGGCTCTTCATCTGGTTGGAGGTCCTGGTCATCAGCATCACGGGGTCGACGTTTATGTCAAATTTTGCTCTGCAACGGCTGTGGGGGATCGCGACCCAGAATTCGTTCCACCTCCTGCCAGCCTTGTCAGATCCTCTCTCGGTCAGCTGCACCAGACCCCAGATCTCGTCGCGGTCGAAGCGCATTAGTTGGAAATGGGGATGGATTGTAAGAAGTGGTGCCGGCAGGCCGATATTCAGGCTATACTGATACGACGCTAAAGCTCACTCCTCGCCCAATTTCACATGCAAGTAACGTCCATCCCTAGGTCCAAGGCACCTTGAGCGAGAATCCCTAAAATACTCCTGGAGAAGAGGTTGATGGCAACGCACTTGAAAGTATCTTTGAATGTTGATAACAAGAGCGCTTCAGAAGCTATTGGCTTGCTAACTAGCGATTGTCAGGCGGTAGGTCATGACAGAAACTAATTGTTCAGAACGCAGCATAGTTGGCTAACATCTCTTCGGGGGTAGTGAGGATGCTGATACTTGGTGAATGTTAAGCTTTTCAAGGGCTGACTATGGTTGAAGGCTAATTTCTATTATCGCAAAGGACAATGTTGGCTCTGCTCTATCATCGACTTCCTTCTTTTCCTCGATGCTACTATGACACCTGTGGTCTTACGATATCACGCGCCTGCCCTCTGGAAGCAGATGGAACCCGATTAACTCCAGTTAATGAAACATTAAGTCCAGGCAGTGATCGCTATACAGCTCGCTCAGGAACAGCAGTTTCTGGCACAAATGAAAAAGAACGGAACATTGGCGAAAGCTAAAGGCAAAAGACCCGCAAGAGATGAAAGTGTTAGAAGCGCTTTTGAGCATTGATTCAGGTTCTGACTGTTCTCCTATGCGCTAGAACCTAAGAAAACTTTCAGGGGTTCTTATAACGGAAGACAAACCGTCCAAGCAGTGGAAGGGTACGTCTCCTAAGTAACACAACGGCAAATAGCAACAATCTACTGCCCCCGGACTGGATGGCCGGGCTGGCTGAGCCGACCCCAAAGTATAAACAAAAACTAATCGTGAACGGCACGAAGCAATAAACATAGAGCATAAAACAAGCTTTGTTCTTGCTTCGTTGTAAATAATAGCAACTCCGAGCTATATGATTCCAATCCTATATCCAGAACACCACCGTCTATCTTGTAATACCTCTCGTAAAGTCGTCTATCATAACCTCTTCGGTGCCCAATTCTCCAACCATTGTCTTGCACGGTCTAAATTACCCGTCTCGGCCTCGACAGCCGCAAGACACCATTCAAGATCAAAGGCGTTTTCAGCAGCCAACATCTCAGCCAGCTTTCTCCTCTTCTGACTTCCCTCGTCCACGCAGAAGTACATGGGTGCGTTGCGATCAGAGTAAGTGTCCATCAGCGGCTTCACCAAGGGCAACGCTTCTTGAGTAGAGAGTGCAACACCTGCTTTCCCAGACTTGGCCTTGACAGTCTTGCAATACTCGTTTTTGCACCAAATGTTCCCACATCCCTTGATCATCTGCCCAAGATACCGGCGCTCAACCCGTCTTTTGAGAGCTCTACCTTCTGGATCGTGCATACTGACATACAACGGTCCGAAGCAAATGCTACAGAGGCCGAGATCGTTTCCAGGTCCCTGGCCCATCCGGCTTCCTGCGCCAATTTCACCATTCTTGCCAACACCATGAAGAGTGCGCCCGCAGTTCACATTCCGGCATATTGTCGGCTTTGACCGTGATGACTTCTCCATTGCGTGGTGGCGCAGGTGGGTCGCCATATCTCGAAGTCGTATAATTTTCGAGCAAAGATGGCAGTCAGTAGTCCTCGCGCCATCTGCAAGCTCGTGTGCTGTGAGTCCTGAGATGAGCGCTTCGGGAGACGGATCAAAGGGGTCGCCTTCCTGCGGGACCTCCAAGTGACAGAATTGACAAAGGATGATCTTACCGGGGCATATCGAAGTTCGGTGAGAAGCTAGATCTCTGAGATTCGTAGCTTTATACAGACAGTTCGGACAAGGTCGAGCAATATGGAAAATTTCGTCGTGCTTTGCTTTGCTAGAAGGCGAATTCCCATACTCGGAGTCCTGGTCACAATGCCAATGATTTTCCCACTCTTCAGACCGTTTTTGAAACACGTTTTGACAGTGGGGGCAGAGTATGTTATTTCGAAGACAGAAGTTCTCATGGAGCATCATGGTTCGTTTAGGAATCCATTGGTGGCAATTCTTGCATTGCTCCTCATCTGGGCTATGCATCTCCGTATCTTCTTCAACTGTAATTGGGTTGGTTGATCCTCCCGCCAAGGCTTCCTTTAGTAAGGATTTCACCCGCAGCGAGAATACATGAGGTGAAGTCGGGGAATCGGATGCTAGGTGTGCATAAACAGAGACGAACAATGCTTCCGCATTCTCTAATTCCACATTGGACGGTTGAATGACAACTCTCTTCGAAATTTGATTACTGAAATCTCCAAATACATGTTCGTCCTCACGTGGCCTTGCTCGTTGATGCGGTGAGTATGGACTCACGAAAAGCTCCACATCATTTCCTTCCTCCGTCGTCAACTCAATTTCAATTCCCTGTGATCGATCCCACGAAGGAAGTTTGAAATCCACATAATCCCCGTTAAGAACTTGACCTGTTGATGGTTTCCAAATATTCAGATCACCTCCAACTGAGCTTCCCTCAGCACTTCCTGGTGCCTTCTGCGCCTTGGCCAGTATTTGCTTCAGTGTTTCTCGTGCCTGCTCTTCATTCAACGCCTCAATATCAACCTCCAAATCTGTATCAACGACACATATCCCATCGCCCTCTGGCGAAAACTTGTCGATTAAAAACCGGAACTCTTCTGACTTAGAGCCCCTGACAGTCAACATTTCCCCATTCGTCAGGGTTGTAAAGTTTTCTCGCAGATGTCGTTCCAGCAAAGACTTCCAGTCTTCCGGATTATATCCAGCCTCCAATGGACGTAACCTCACGTAAGTTCCCTTTGGCAGCTGCTTCGCATGCACTGTGATTTGTGGAACGTCATCTTCTTCGTCTGTGAGATCAATAGGCGCATTAGGAGCTTCGGGACTATTCGAATGTATATATTCCGGCTTGGTCTTCGCTTTCGGCGCTGTGACTCCAAGAGCCTCTAACAGAAATGGACTTAATCCTATTTCCCCTTCTTCCGCCGAGAACTCTCGTATACCCGCGTGTACCACGTTTCCATTTTTCGTATTGACCAGTCGGAAAGTCAGAGGATGGGGAAGCTGTTGTTGGGTGTCTCGCCATTGGGACTGCTCAGCTCTTGCTGCGGCGAGGGAGTATGGATTGAAGGGATCAAAGGTGGTGGCATTCGGTGGTCGGCTCGAGGATGTGGCTGTCACGGTTGACGCTGCTAATAACTGCTCAAGGGCGGATTGTGGTAGGAGGATCTTGTCGCCTGGTAATGTCTTGGTGGACTTGGGCGCCACTCTGAACACGGCGGACCATGCCAGAGTGATCTCGGGGTTTGTCATGATGGGGAGGGGCAGGTATAGCGCAACTTTTGAGAATATTCACAACTCCAGATGAGCATTTCAAAGGTATCAATTGAGGATGAATAACAAGGGGGCGAGGGCGAGTGTGAGGAGGTGAGGTGTAGTTGTGGATAGTGGAAGTTGTTGGTAATCTATTCGAGAAGATGCGATTCCACGACATCACGTGAAGATAGCGATTGAGTATGATTGTCAGATAAAGATTAGGCATAATACTGATCCGGTCCCGCATACTAGGACTACTTAGGCTAGGCTAAGGTGATACCCCAAGTACGAGCCGAGGCTACTCTAAGTCTGGTCTGGCTATCCTGACCTTGATCTTCATAGCCACCCTCTTATATTCTACATATGCATATATCCTCGCATATAGAACTAAACATATCCCCTTCATTCCAACATGGAACCGGATCTTCCTACAAAGCCTACTCATAGCCATCTTCCTGTTACGCTCCTAACTCTTCTCTCCAATACCCTTATTCTCTACCAAACTGCTCCGTATCTTCCTGTTTCGTCTTTACTATCGTTGAGTGCAACCTCCAGACCCTTCAAATCTCTTATACAAGAAACCCGTGGTGTTTTCAGACATCTTGACCTTGGCCAGATCAAATCCGCACAATTCCAAATAGCTGCCATTGATCACGGAGGGGAGGTGTGGCGAAATGCCCAATTAGATGAGAATGTTACCGAAGACGAGTCCGTCTCTATTTTCTATTCCATGCCGCCACTTCTGTTAATGCAATTGCAGCTTCTACAGTGGACCTTTGCTTGGGGTTTTTAGTAACCTTCGACGACATCAAATCCTTCAGGATGTCCAGACGTTGCTCCTCGACGGTTTATCTGTAACTGCAGACTTAATCACTGAAATTATTTGCCGAGACTCGTTCAATGTTCGCATACTATCGATTCGTGAGGTGCAAAACCTCAACGAGAGAAAGCTGCAACAGGCCCTACTGTACGCCATTCGACCCTCGAGGCCTTCTGGTACACTGAAACTCGAAGCCTTGTACTTCTTTGGACCAAAAGACGCTCTACCTGTATCCCGCTTCCGTAAACATGTCAATAGCTACCCTCAAGGTATAGCTCCAATTGATACCGTGCCATCCTATGGAGGGGTCATTCATTCGCAGGGGGCGCAGATAGGAGCTAGATGGAATGAGAAGTCTGGAGACACACTTGCAGATGAGATAGAGCGAAGCGGTGATAAGTGGTACCAAAAGAGCGGCAAAGTCATCTTGAAGCAACCATCGTTGGAATGGGCGGAAACCCTGCAGGCTTGTCAGGGAATCATTAGCTTCGATGCCGTTCTCTGTAGAGGTCCTCGCCACTCCGAGTCCGTGGCCATCGGGAAAGATTTACCATCTGGTCATTGGTACCAGCACCAAGACGCACGCTTATCACCTCGCATTGCAACACATGCTATCGAGGGCTGTTGCGTATGCGGTACTTCTCCTGAAGGGTTCTCGTACTTCGGGACATCGCCTATGGAGCAGTTCCCTCTGTTGGCCCCTCCACCCCTTCTTACTTCTACGGCCAAGTCAGCAAAGGCACCTACACGCGCAGATACTCTGAGCAAAAAGCTTCTCGTGCGATGTCTTGATTGTCTACGTAACCGTTTTTGTGAAAGCTGTCACAAGTGGTGGTGTGAAGACTGCTATGAAGTTCCAACTCTGATACCTCACTTATCAACCCCAGTTCAATCTTCGGAATTCATCGCTAGCACACTGGGAGCACAGCCGGATAATAAAGTCAAGGTACATATGGGTCTTTGTGTTGAAAGCTGTCTCGTAGCGGAAATGATGTCTGGTGCTGGCAGTAATGGCATGTGGGGTTAAGAACAACTTTGCAGAGGAACTACGGTGCTAATTGATTTCTATCATCTGAAGAAGAGAACGAACAATGTTGACTTTTTCTTAGCCGGGAGTAAAACGTAGCTGCTTCGAATGTGGCATGAATGTGAGCACATCTGGTTAATCTTGGAGCAGTGTGCTAATGGCTTCAGTGTTCGACATGCATGGAGGATACTCAGCTCACCTGTAATATCTGCAACGGAGGATATTGCATAATACATTACGAGGGATCGACCAAGACAACAGTACGTCGCATCTCAATTACTGGCGACCAAGATCTGCACTGACACTTGTAGTGCGATTGTACGAATATAATTTCATGAGAAACTATAATCATAGTTCTACGTGCTGACCTGTGTCAGGGTGCGCAAGCAGCGGTCGACGAACAAGAGAGATGTATTAGAAAGCAACAGCGGCTTGGCTAAGCACTTCTAACCCTATGTAATTATACGCATAGAGAACATGTGTCGCATAATTGGGGTGGGAATCGCCAAATTAATGAGCCACGCTGTGTGATGGAGAAATACTTTGGTATATCTTGTACGCCATCAACGGAACTCGCCATGGCGATAGGATATCCCATTGCATTCTAGACCACTGTCAATGTGCAAAATCGGTCCTTGATAGCTATGACCTCAATTCAACTACCCCCAGGAATATGCCCAACGAGATGCGTCGACGTTTGCAGTCCGCAGGGCTGAGAACGGCCAAAATCTAACGCTCCTGCGCGAAAGTGTAGCGCTGTGGACAAGCTTTTGGAGCGAAGCTTGCTGCACTTGCAGCTTTACGCCCTACCAGTCATCGCAGATTTGAAAGAGCGGACGCTAGGCTTCAGACGGAATAATAGTTAGGAATAATCTGATAGAGCGTCCTGTATCAAGCTTCATATCATTCTGCCCTATCTTCCCCCGAACTTTCTCGCTACCCACCCCGCGCCATATTCTTCGTATTCCAACTTTGTGACAGACAACTTACTCAACACATCGACATCCTTTGCGAGAACCGCACCACCCTGCCACGTGCTCACAATCGGATCAGCCGGCTTCCCAACTCTGACAATACATTCCGCAGGCGCTAACGCCCTGATCTCCAGCTCAAGTCTAGAAACAAACCCCTCGATATTGGCATTTCCACCAACCACAATTATATTCGCCAGAAATCCAGGCCAAAGGCCAAACGGGACCTGGGATAGGCTTTCTATCACCATTTGGGCAATGCCGGATTGCCTAATGCCAATATCAGGCGGGTTAAAGAGTAGCTCTGGGACCGAGAATCGTTCGTTTCGTAGGGTTACGATATCCTCCGCTGCATCGGCAGATTTTCCAGCTGTTAATGCTTTCAGCTTCCCAGCAGCGGTCGGATCATGGTCCCGCACGTATCCTTGGGAGCGGTTGTGATAGTCGGGTAGAATGTAATCTTTCGCGATTCCCCCACTTGTACCATAATCTGGCCTCCTGTCCCCCTTTGGCCCTTTCCACGTCCGTGCCATGTCACCCGTGAAATCTTTGGATACATAGCATGTAGCTTCCTTGATCTCGTTCACGAGGTAGGTGTCGCTGCGCATATCGTATTGGCGGAGTGATAGGAGACGTGTGAGATAGTTGGTCATAAGCTTCCCTCCAACATCAAGTCTGCGAACGGCTGCTTGAAGGGGTTTTCCTAGAAGCAGTGGTGTGATGGTCGTATGGGAGTAGCCTGAGTCGATTAGGAGGAGGATTTCGGCGGGGAGCTGAGGCTGGGGTTGGGGCTCTGCACGAGGTGGGACGGGGAATATTGCTTGAATGTCGTTGTATGCGTTTAGACTTGGAGCTATATTACCTGATGAGCATTGAAATTCAAGTTTCTTAATCCTACCCCTATTCATTCTCATATTCCCATTTCCATACAAGATTCAACATAAAAGATGGACATAAACATACCAGTACACCGATAATAGCTTGCAAATCCAAATTCCTCAAACACCATCTGGTCGCAATTGGTCTGCAGCTGCGGTAGTGCATTCGGTGCTTCCGTCAAGATCAGGCCCGTGTCCCTAGGATCGCAATGCAGTGGCGCCTTGTCTTCGAAGAACTCGTGCTCCCATATCTCCTTCTGCGCTTCCCAGTTGACTACATATCCTTTGTCGACGGGGCGGCGGAAGACGATCTCTCCAAAATCTCTGCATTTCGATAATTGTGACCCTATATATACCTTCTTCTCGCGATCTCGCGCCAGACAGTTGGGTATTATGGACGGCGTGGGGCTTTCCGTGTTGGGGGAAGAGAAACCTGCTTTGAGGGTGTATGCGCCATTGTCGATAATGAGGGTGCGGTTTGGGGGGGCGGGGCCAGAGGACTTTGTTCGCCGGTGAGTTGAAGCAGGGGCCATGATAGATGTGGATATACTTTCTTGTCCGTGTGGAGAGTTGTCAGCTATTCATGATGTTATTGTTGCTGTGTGCTGATATGAGGTTGTTGATACAGTCTACTTATTGTATTGACCAAGGACGAGACGCGTGGGGGAGGGGAGACCAAGCGGCACAATTCCGCCCACCAGTTTTTATTTATTTTATTTTTCCACAACACCACAATTTTATGACTCTATACACGATATACGGTATTATATGTCTATTCTCTACAGACGAATCCCAATATGGCCAGCTCCAAGATTAAGTCCGAGCAAAATCTTGCATCTCTAAAATCAACAGTCGAAACCACATCTGCTCTTATCACACAACTGCAATCCTCCTCCACCCCTAAAGATAGCGACGGAAACAGCAATATCAACGCCCTCGACCTCGCCCACGATACAGCCAGCCTGATACGAGCCCATTCTACCAAACTTTCCCTCCTCATAATCAACAAACCCTTCACTGCGTCCGCCATCAGCACCGTCCTACGAGAACTCGTCTCTGGGCCATTACCCGGCCTTGCCTCAGCCGTCGAACTTTGCAATGCTGCCAAATATACCAAGGCCATGAGCGCCGAGCTGCAATGGAGGGCGAAGAAGGTATTCATGGAACTGGGAACGCTGGTGAAGGCTATACCACTCGACGGGAAGACGCTGAGCGAAGACCTGAAGAATGGGACTGGGAAGACTGGGGGAAAAGGCAGTTTGGCTTCTACGGGTGTGCTATGGGAAGCCTGTGATGGCGTGGCAGAGTTGAAGAAGCTGGGCATTGCTGGGTTGATGATAAAGAAGGCGGACGAATACCGGGATCTACTGAAAGATGCGCTCGAAGAGTTACAAGAATGGGGTGAGGAGGAATCCGATGGATCTGATGACGAAGACGAGACTGCTGGAGAGCAGGAGACGACAGATGGGGTAGATACTTCAGCTCAGGATGCCGTGGATAGCATATTCGCATCCCAACGACATATCTCTTCCGAAGACCCAGACAAGATCCGCCCCAGATTGGACTCCGCGCAGAAGAGACTGAGGCTTGTCATACTCATGTACCAAGCAGTGATAAAACGCCGGTTCAAGACCCTCCCTCACCTGCCACATCCCGAAATCGAGACAAAACCAGACCAAGACACTGGCATCATCAACTGCGTGGATGAGGTTATGGACGTGTTCAAGAAAATCCCCGATATAACAGACGAATTGGCTAGTGCATTCTACGAGCTAGATGGAGTTGGAATCGATAAGAGAATGGATGAATGTTTCTTTACCGGCTTTGCAGCTTCTGAACTGTTGGCCAAGAATTGGGAGGGGAAAGAAGACGAGTTCACTGTATGGGTAAGTACATTCTATAAGCATTTCGTCTATCCCACTTGACTGACCACGGATCAGGCCAGGAAATTCCAAGTCGCCATGAAAAAAGGATGGCAAGATCTGCCCTGAACTTGAGATAATAGTCGGTTCGTCTTCGCTAGAAGAAGAACGGCTATTATAGAAGATCATCTGGACCTTATTAAATACCAACTCTGAGCTCTTTACTGGTAACCACACTGAAGCTAAGGAAAGGGCGTGAAGTTCGCACCTTGGATATTTATAATTACCAGAATTCTATGGGGACTTAAATTATCATTAACGTGACTGCTGTCAAATGCCATTCGACTTTGACATCCAATTCTCCAATTTAGCACCGGTATAGTCTCCCGGGTCCCTCACATACCACAGAACTTAAAGCGATGAGAATCGCGACATTAATGTGTTTTCAAGAAAGGAGCCAACAATAACATGTAGAGAATCAGCTTGGGGCTTGATAGAAAGATCTACATACAGAGTACAGTATATCTGCATTCTGCAACACTACATGTACTTCAGAAGGAACTATGCATATGACTACGACGTCCGGCCTCGGCCTACAAGGCTTTCAAACGTGCAAGTTTCTTGAAATCACGCCACAACCCACAATTGTAAATCCCTCGCTCGATGCAGTTACGCAGGTACGGGATATGCACCTCAACACGGCCAACCTGCCGGCTGGGTTCTCCGCGTTGTTCCGCATACGGTAGAGTACTTTACTGTACTTATAGCAACGACCCAAGACGGCGGGTTCTGGATACATTCTTATCCATATCCATATCCATACCAAAAACCCGCAAAAGCAAACATGAGGAGTCAACACCATTACCAATATCGTACACTGAAAGAATGGCACGCAGGCCAGAGAGAGAAGAGGAAAACTACCATGTGGATTCCATACTCGCTGCGATGGGAGGGAGGTGCAGTTGGCAAAATTGTCCCACAGGTACGACTGATTGATTGTATTGCCACACTTACTGTGTGTAGTCGAGAGCAACCCAAATCGCTGACTCCTTCTACCACCATAGATCCTTCTCTCTGGAGCTGTAGCCGCCCTGATATGCGGCGTTTCGGAATATCTCGAAAGCGAGCACTCGATGCATTCCCCGGTCCTGTTCCCTATATTCGGGTAGATTGCTTCCCCTCCAACACCTTTTGCCTGGACCAACCAACCTAACGCAACGCAAGATTTATAGTCGGTCTCGCCATCACTTTTCGCATGCAATCGTCCTACAGCCGGTGGTGGGAAGGGCGGATACAATGGGATAAATTATCTGCGGATTCACGAAACTTTGCGCGAACAATATGGCTGCATGTCCCGCTGCCTGCCGCAAACCCAACGGACAATGTGAAAGACATTCCCGACAAGGTAGAGGTGATAGAATGCGTACACGCACTCGCGGTAGCCTTAAAACACCATCTTCGCGGGGAAAGAGAATGGAGCGAATGCTCTGACCTAGAGCCGCTCCTTGCTCATCTTCCGAATGTCGTAAACTCCCCACGCTGGCTCTGTCGAACTACACTGACACTTGGACTATAGTATAATTATACCGCCACTAATCATCCAGTGACCCTGACACTGCACCTTTCTTCTGCCGTTGAACGCTACCGTCGTATCTCGCCCAACATCCTGGACACGCAAGTTCTCACCCACCTTCTCACTCACGTAGATGGGTTCACAAGCATCATCTCTGCCTGCGAGCGTCTCCTCCGAACACCTGTGCCGCTGGGGTATAACATTGCCATCTCCCGCATTGTCTGGATCTTCGTGTTCGCCTTGCCGAGTCAGCTGTGGGGCGAATTCGGGTGGTGGAGTGTTGCTGTGACTATTGTTACGGCATATGCCCTATTTGCACTTGCTGAAGTCGGATTGGAAATTGAGAATGTGAGTTGGTTCTTCAGGACGGTGAGACAGTTCATGAGGGTATTCTTGCTAATTATCGCATACAATAGCCTTGGGGAGAAGGACCAAACGACTTGGACCTGGATCGTTATTGTAATCTGTTGCGCTTAGATTTAGATGACATTATGTCTCACCCTCAGGATGGCAATAGTGCTATCAAAGTATCCCCGCCTGAATCGAGAAGCAGCCCGGTGATAGGTGTTGGCGACGGTTATAGAACGTTTGACTAATTGTACAGAACCTTTACAAACTACCTCTTATGGTAGACCATAAAGAATAGAAAGAAATTAGAGTCTGGGTGTAGCATATAGAAGTAAATTAAGTGTAGAAATGCAAGAACTGGAGAAATCAAAGACCTGACAAAATGCAAGGTGCAACTATTCAAATGCTTCAGGGTTCATCCGTGCCCCCCCGCCCCGACGATAGCGGGGTTTCAGTGCTGATAGACTGAGGCTTAACCCACCCCCACTACCCAATATAGGTAGTGAATCTGAGGTTACCTATTATAGGCTTTCAGCCGCAAGCTACCTCAAACCTCCACGCCTATACATACTCAGACCAAGTGCAACCAGCTCACAGATAATAGATATTTCCAAATCCATGTAACAATGACTGGAAGATCACAGCCACGCAGGGCGAATTTTTCACTTTCTAAGATGCAGTTGACTGCAGTCCCACCATCACCGCCCAAACCAGCTATACACATAGCCCCTATCAACTGGACTGTGAAGTTTTTGGATCTCCCAGTTAAGCTGGTTTGGGATATCGCGTCTCTTACGCAGCCTGAAGATTTAGACAACTTCGTCCTCACATGCAAAGCTCTCTACGAAATCACAAAATCGAGTGGCCTTCTACAGGAACACATGAAGCTCAAACGAACATATGAGAGATGGCGAATATCCCAAAATGAAATCGAAGAGGATCATATGCATCCGATCGAGTTGTTGTGTGCAATTCGAAAGAATCCTGCGATCCCCCAGTATATCCGTTATATGGACCTGGAACCCACTGTCTGGGCTCGTTGGGGGAAGGCTGAGAGAGAAGAGTTGAGGAAAGATGGCGCGCTGAGAGAAATGCTCAACGATTCTTATATCATGCGGGAAGCAGAGCAGGATATTGATGCATGGCATGAAGCGATTCTGGGTCACAACGACGTTCATTTCTCATGGGTCTTTCTCTTGACATTGCTCACGCATGTCACGCATTTGAGATTGTCGCTCGAATGGGGATACCTGGAAAGCTATGATCCTGATGATACGTAGGTTCCTTTTTGCGGATGTTCATATAATAAATATTTACTCATTGTAAAACATAGCTCCATCAACCATAGCTTCAACATCGATCGTGTGGTGAACATGTTCTGTGACCCCCGTATCCAAAGACACTCAAACGCGCCACTGTCCCGATTAGCTGTCATCGAGCCGTGGAGCAGCGATGAACAACCCCGGACCCCTTTGCAAATCCTTGCTCCATTCCTCGCTTTACCATCGATGCGGAAAGTAGTCGTGGACCAGTTGGAGGCTGGCCATGATGAACACGATTTCATATGGCCTTGGGGAGACTTCCGGCCATCCCCCCTCGAGGAAATCGAGTTCACAAACACTGGTATAAGCGCCACGCATATCGCAAGATTCATGGAACCATTACGAAATCTAAAAGTCTTTAGATATACCCACGGGGGCCTTACATACGGGGTCGCGGAGAGATGGGACCGCGGGGCGTTTATGGCTGCGTTGAGAAAGTCCCCTGCGGCAAAGACCTTGGAAGTACTATCACTCGCCAACTTTGAAGCCTGTACTGAGTCGGCTATGGGCATTGATTCGGCTATAAGCACTTTCAAAGGCATGGAGCGCTTGAGAGACTTGGAGTTGGATGTTACGTTGCTCTTAGGCGACGCTGAGTGTGGGCAGGGCGACCTCGCTGATCCGAGCATCGACTATGACATTGATAGGTATCCCTTCAACGATAACGATGGTGTTATTACTGTACGCCTTGTTGATATACTCCCGCCTACAGTTTGCACTCTCAAACTACTCGTGCCTTCAGTTGCACACTATGCCCCTTGGAAGGTTGACTGCCAGAAACTTTTCAACGGCCTTGTGGATGAAAGAGACAAGCTTCCAAATTTGAAAGAAGTCCAACTGCGTGGATGTTGTAGTGAGGACTCTGAGATCAGCAAAGGGGCTATGCCGCAATGGCTTTCCGATTTGATTGAGCAGACGCCATCTGTTGGGATTGCCTTTCACTATGAAAAAACCCCGCGACCGCAACCTGAGCATCTTGATCGATTTGATAATCTCTGGCTCCCAAATGCATGAGGTAAACTTAGGTTGACCTGCAGGGTAGAAAAGAAGAATATACACATTTTACAGTTCGAAGCTTCTATGTACTCAAACATTTGCTCTCAATCGTCTATCCTTCCAATATTTTTATGGAATACAAAAAGCATACTCAGGAAATACTCCTTTTAGACAATAAAACAACTTTTATACCATCTTCTCCAAATCTTCCCTCTCCCCACTCTCCGCAACCATTGTCTTGAAAATCCCCTCTTCCACCTGAAGCAACTCTCTTGCACTTCCAAATTCAGCAGCCACCCCGTCGTTCATTACGAGGATCTTGTCAAAATCCATTACTGTGCTCAGTCTATGCGCGATGACAAGCAATGTTGTATTGGAAAACTCTTCTCGGATGCTGCGTTGAATGAGAGTGTCGGTGTCTTTATCAACAGCACTTGTGGCTTCGTCGAGAAGTAGGATTTTCGGATGTGAGAGAATGGCACGAGCTAGACACAGGAGTTGCTTTTGTCCTTGGGAGAGGTTTTCTCCACCTGACGATATGGGTGACGAGAGGTTCAGGAAGATGTTGCGATTCTCCAGCACAGGCTCTGCCGCTGTGGTGGAGGAACTACTGCTTCCCTCTACCGTTGTCTCCGGGACTGAAAGCTCTGGCACGGGTGTATTGTTGGCAGAGGGGATGAGATGGACTTTCTTCAATGCTTCCTTGAGGTCAAAATCGCTGAATTCATCAAAGGGGTCAAGGTTCGAGCGGATTGTGCCTGAGAAAAGAACAGGGTCTTGGGGGATAACTGCTAGGCGGGTACGTAGGTCGTGGAGCTTGATGGTGGAAATATCGATGCCGTCGATAGAGATGCTTCCTTCGCGGGCAGCGAGAAAGCGGAAGAGTGCTAATGATAATGTGGATTTTCCTTGGGTTGTTAGCCGGATTTGGGGATTGACTGCCTGCCCGACTTACCTGCTCCTGTTCGTCCAACAATGCCAACTCGTTGATTCATTTCTGCGTGGAAACTTAAACCCTTCAAAATCGATGGCAGACCATCTGCATAGCCAACCTTTAGGTCCTTGACAACTAGATCACCTTCTTCCGGCCAAGAAGCACGAACATCGGCACCTCCTTGATCTTCGATTTCGATATTCGAGTATTCGAAAATACGCTCAGCAGCGTTCATATCCAGTTCGGTGGAAGCAATAAGACGGAGACTTTGATTCACCGTCCGACGGAACGACAAAGCAAAAGCGAGAGCGAATCCTGCTAGAGACGCATCAACCCCGTTTGTTGAAACAATAAAGGCAGCGACGCAGGTGGAAAAGAGTGATCCAACCATGGCCATACGGAAGCCAACCCAAGCACTGAACAACCAATTATGCCACGATGCGGTTGTAAATGAGTCAATGAGTTCATACATTTTTGATTCGAAAGCTCTGGTGTTATTAAAGGCTCGGATCGTACTGAGTCCTTCGAGAGATGCGCTGAAGTGGGAGATCATGGGAGATTTCTGGATCGATTCAAGACGCTTAATAGAGCGAGCTCCACGAATATATCGAAGCGCAATCTGGCCGCATATTACAAGAAGCAGAAGAGCGAGGATGATGATATATGGCGATACAATGACAGCGGCGACCATGATGCCGATAATTGAGAGGACTGACGCACTAAGCTGTGCAAAGTTGCTGGAAAGTTGAGTATCCATAGCCTGGAAGTCTGCCGTGAACCGATTCAGAATCCGTCCTGTTGGCACAGTATCTAACCATCTCAAGGGGGTTCGCAGTATCCGAAACGCCATCTTTTGAAAAACATCTCGTGAAGCTCTCAGAGATCCTCGGTAGACAAAATAATACCGCCCAATATCGACCACGGTAGAAACCAATGATATGATGACATAACCTGCAAGATAAAAGCCCAACGTTCGATGTTCTACTTTGATTGGAAGAGCGGTTGTTGAGAAACCTGATGTTGTACCACCTTGAACCAATAATGGTGTTTGAGGACTCGCAGATCTTGCAAGGTATCGGGGTGTCTCAGACATGGCACTCCTTGGGATGAAGTTGAAAGCTGAAAAGGCGTCAAAGTTACCCGGGACGCCTGCAAGGAACCCAACTGACGGAACAGATGCTCTTTGCATGGTTGCTGGTGAGCCATATGAGTTTGCCCATTGCGTCACTTGATCGTTATGCTCGTAACTTGAAGTCCAAATTTTAATCCAATATGATCGGGTTAATGTCAAGGCCTGGGCGATGACGTAAAAGATGAATATGAATACCCAGAACGGTATCCCTCCGGTTGCCCCAAGATATGCAAAGTAGACGCTGCGTTTGACCTGTCCAGTTTCACGTTTCTCATCCTCAACAAGTTTTTTGGGCGTATGAACTGGCTTTTGGGTTGCGGTGCCGTTTGTCTCGTGATTGCTCTCGGCGGAGTCCTCCTGGTCTTTGGCAAGATCGTCCTCTGCTTCCTCTACGGCTTCATCCTACGCAACGTTAGGGAGACCATAATTGGAATAATTGAAGACACTTACCTTAAGTATAGTCTCAAATGTACCAGTCTCTCGGGCGTCCTTCACGAGTCCAGCATAATCAAAGCTGCCTTCAGCAGTCAGGTGTACCACATATTCCGCTCTTGGGAGACATAGCGCAACATGGTGCGTGACGAGAATTCTAGTTCTCCCTTCAGACAGCTCTCCCATTAGCGCATTTTCGTAAATATGTTTGCCGACATGAGTGTCAAGGGCAGAAAAGACATCGTCTAGAATGAGTATTCCAGCTCGTGAGTAGAAAGCTCGAGCGAGAGTCAAACGCCATTTCTGGCCTCCACTGAGACTAATGCCTTGTGCTCCAACTTCCGTCAAGTCACCATCATCAAGCATTTCAAGGTCTTGCACCAGAGCGCAAGCTGAAATCACTTTATCGTACCGTGTCTCTTCGTATGGAAGCCCGAACAGGATATTATCTTTGATGCTGGCATTTTCAATCCATGGTGTCTGGGAAACAAATGCCATTGCTGAAGGGAGCAACCAGTTCTCAGCAGTGGCTTTACTGTCGAACCTCTCATCAATCGGTGGTGGACGAGGGACTGTAATTCTGCCAGCCAAAAGATCGACTTCTCCGAGAATAGCGGCAAGAAGCAACGATTTTCCCGAGCCCGTAGGGCCTGAAATAACGCTCAAACCGTTTGCAGGGAACTCCAAATTGATGTCCCGGAGTACGAATCTGTTCTCCTGCTCTATCGATGTTTCTTCGTCCTCGTTCTTAATGTTGGCCTTTGACGGGAAACTGACCGATACGTTCTGGAAAGAAATTAGGTCTCCTGGCTGACAGTTCTCAGGTTTCTCGGCGGACTTCAAGTATGCGTCAATCCGGTCGCACGAGACCTTGGCATTAATACCCATCATGAAAAGAAAAGGCACCATGCCGAGAATACCCTCCAATTGTCCGAAGACACTAAGAGCAGTGAAAGCAATCGAGGGCAACAAGTCTCCGTGAATATAAGAATATGTAGCCAGAGCAAATATTGTCAAGAATATAGGGGCGATGTCTCCACCAAAGCTCATGTATAGGTTATTCAACTTTGTCTGCCAAAGTATCACGAGCTCCTCCTCACGAACGCCATTGATCTTGTCAAACCACTGCGGCTCCATTCCCGAAAACTTGATCTGTCTAATTCCCCGAAGCGCTTCAGATAATATTTTCGTTTTCTTGTCCCGTGCTTTCATCAGTAATTTCTGATACGAGCCGTATCGTCCCGCAAGCCATTTGTTGACAGGAAAGAAAAGAATAATGGCAAGCATGCCAGCTCCCATACTCTCCCATCCAACGAGGAGCCACAAGAAAACAATGGAGACGACGAATTTCGATGTAAACATAACATAAAACTGATTGATGGCTCCAAATACGCCGACCTGGTTGGTATCAACCGCAAACATATTGATAACATCCTGTTGAGTTTGCTCTGTCTTTTTCTTCTTCTCTGCTTCCTTTTTGGTAGCCTCGTTTGTGGGTTGTTCGGAGGCGACAGCTTTCGCGCCGTTACTAGGTTTTGTTGCATCATCACTACTGCCTTTTTCTCCTTCTGGCATCTTGGGGGGCTCCTTGCAGTCTTTCACTTTCATCATTTTCTCGAAAATGAGGGCAGTTAGTGTTGAACGGATGGGAACTCCAAGGTCGGACCACATCAACCAGCTGACACGATAGTCAACAATATTTCCCGCCATTGTCGCAACTAGGAGAAATCCGACACATAACCAGGCCTTTGGATCCACGACACCTGATTTTTGACGTCTCTCAAGGTATTGCAAAAGTTTGAGAGTAGCAAATTGTGGGGCAGAATCCATGATGGACGAAAAAATAACCAATATCCATTGGAAGACAAGTTTCCATCGGAAGACCCAGAATATCTGACGCCACAGCGAAACTGTTGAGTCTGGGGATATTGAGCGAAAATGCTGCTTTGCCTCCCGCGCCCTAACATGGGCATCCATCGCTGGCAAATCCGACAAATCAATCAATTTTGTGGCAGCAAGATCCAGAATATCAGAACTCCAATTATACGAGTATCTGGCCCAAATTGAACTTTGAAATTGACGTTCGACAACCTTGCCATTTGGAGCGAAAACATCTGGTCGTCTTTTGATGAACAAAAATGTGATGCCCGCCACAATCGACGACAAAAGCTGAATTGTAAGCGCGCAGATGAAAGGAATACGCCCATAACCATGGGGAATTTCTGTCGACAAGACAGAAGCAGCAAGGATAGTCAGAAGAAATAGCGAGATTGAGCTGTATACTCCAAGCTCGTATCGGGATATAGGCCGGATCTCTCTGGAAACAAGCACAACCTGTATGAGCATGAAAACCTATCATTTCGATTAGATCACGATCCGTAACAGAGGATTTAAGAAAATAAATACCCATGCACCAAATAGGAGCCATGGCTGTGTCACGTTGTCGAAGGTTGACGATGGGGACGCAGTGGCGAAGACTGCGAAGGCAAATGACACAGCCAATCCAAGCCCAACGGCAAGAGAGATCACGATGATTTGTTTTCTAGCCGAGAAGTTGCTGACGGTCTCTTTTGAAGCCACTCCATCTTTATCCTCATATATTTCACCTAGGCTGGAATCCTTTCCGCGACGGATATTTCTGGCGAATCGCCATATAGAGGGAATGGTAAGAATGGCGACCACGATAGGGACTGCATACGGCAGCAGTTGAAGTGGATCGTCCATCAGACTTTGATGTTGACTCTAATAAAAAGAGAGTACGGTATGAAGTGATACAGGATCTATTTTATAGACGAGGTCGAGATACGCGGCGGAGACCAGCAGGCAGAAGCATCACGCGAGGTAAGGTAGGACGAAAGAGGGAAAGCGTTGATATCACGTGCTACTCTCATCTTTTCTGTCTAGGTAGCCATTTTAGTATATCATGCAGGCTGTTTGACTGTTTACCGGAAATATATATGTTGCTGCACACTTTATGCTGCGGGGCAAGGCAAGAGGAAAGTAGAGGGGAGTATTCCCGTTGCTTAAGTTCGTTATATTAAGTAGTCGTAAGAGTATTACAGTATATGTGTAGGCATCATCCAATAATATGTGGTCGGCGCCTCTTGCTCTATCCTTTACCTTAATTGAAGCTTTGCATCTTGTACACCGCAGGCAAGGACATCCTCCAATTTCCACCTCGGTGCTACAACCCTTCGAGTACTCTCGTCTTCCTGCCAGTCGGCTAATGTCATACCTTCAGGCAGCGTTTCAATGCCACCCATGATCCCCGTGCTGTACTTCAAGTCTAATATGTCTCCAATCTCATCGCAAGCCTTTAGTACCCGATTCATATCCTCCTTGTTGTGCGCTGCACTAACGCAAAACCTGACTCTTGCAGTCAAGATCGTTGTTGCTGGATAACCCGCAATTACGACACTAATCCCTCTCTGCAACATTTCCCTAGAGAACGCTGCTACTTTTGCGGGGTGATATACCATCATTGGAACCACCGGAGAATCATCGTGCCCGTAAACAATAAATCCCAACCGCTTCAATCCGAGACGCAGATATCGAGAATTAAAGGTGATACGTTGTAAGCGTTCGAGACCTGCAGTCGTAGATGTGATTTGACGAAGGGAAGAAAGGATTTGCATGAGAACAGGAGGAGCTGAAGATTCGCCATAATGCATCGCAGCGTTGGTAGCCCGGAGTTTCTGAATAGTTGCTTTATCGGCGGACACGTAGCCACCGTTAGCACCAAATGATTTGGTGAGAGTTCCCATGAGAATATCAACCTCAGCAGGGTCGATGTTGAAGTAGTCACAAATACCTCTACCACGCGGACTAGGGGTAGAAGTTAGTCAACTACCGAAATCAAAAAGGATAAAGATTTTCCTACCCAAGCGCTCCAATTGAATGGGCCTCATCAACAAACAGGTAGAACTTGTATTTCCTCCTCAAGCGACACAAGCCCGGCAAATCCGCAATAGTCCCTTCCATAGAGAACAAGCCTTCACATACAACCAAAATCTTCTTCCATATCTTGTGGTTTTTTGGTTGTCCTTGACATATTGCTTCCCTCAAGCGAGCCTCCAGGCTCTCCATATCATTGTGTTTATAGCTTGTGACGAAGGCGCCACTCAATTTCGCACCGACTCTGATACTTGCATGATTCAACTCATCTGAAATGATCAAACAACCGGGGCCCACCAAAGCGGGGAAAGAGGTAGCGTTGGTACTGAAACCCATCGAAAAGACCATCGCATCCTCCTTACCGACAAATCTTGCTATCTCGCGCTCTACTTCTATAGTAAGATCCGAGGTGCCAGCTTCAAGTCGAGGAGATGTAGAAGAAATGCCATAGGCAGATATGGATGCATGGACATCATCTGCGCAAGGGCCGGAAGATTGGGCGAATCCGAGGTAATTGTAAGAACTTAAATTCAATGTTGTAGTATGGGTACCAGTGTACTCAAAAGTAGCGTTGTAGTCGTGAGAAACACGGTCCATGAGTGTGATATAACGGCCCGGAACACCTGTGATTCTGAGGTTGGTTAGCGCGAGACATTGCCAGGATGGGAAGATCCGTACGGTCTCATGAAACAATCGTCTATCCTAGCTTTCAACCTGCGGAAGAAAAAGTTGTCAAAATCGCTGTTTAATGCAGCGTATCCGTTTCGTTCTTTAAAGTCTCGGTATTGCTCAGGGTAGAACCTTTTTCCAAAAAAGTCTCGCGTTTTTCCAACAACGATCAAAATTATATAACTGAGGTAGGTAGTTACGAGGTAGAAGTAGGCTGGCTCGTCTGTGGGTAATCGAAGGAGGGGTCCGCCTTTGTGCTCAGAGATGTAACGGTGACATTGGGACCCGATGGGAGCGAATTGCGAATCAATTGGTTGTTCTTCGTCCTCTAAAGTGTTTTGAGTATGGAGGTCCCCAAGTTCAAGCTCGAGTCTATCTTCGGCTTCCTCGGCTTCCTCCTGGGGTTGTGCGATGGCGGCAACATCATAAGAGTAGGCTTGCCATGCAGGGACCTGTACCATTTCAGGTTCAACATCCTCATAGTCGTCCAAGCAGTTGTACCACGGTTCTCGCAGGAATGCCGGAGGTGCGAACATGAACTGTTCGAGGCCGTTGAAGCATTTATAGACGTTCGAGATGGTAATGGCGCTGACTTCCAGGAATCTGCGAACCCTGCCAGCTGCGGTCAGCCAGCTGAGGGGTGCCATTGATAAAGAGTTTGTTGTATCTTCTTGGAAGGCATCAAGTTGGAGGTGTGGTAGATAATGATACGAGAATGCCTGTACGTGCGTGCGGGGCGTTAATTTCGGTATCTCAGGCCGAAGATGGGGTGCTCGCGAGAGCACGAAAACACCTGATAGGAGGCTGAGTACTCAGGGTTCAGGTGGGCCTGTTTGTTTGTTTAATTGATCCATAAGCTGACCAGTGTGTTCGCAGTCCACAGGGTCTATATCAGAACTCAGGGGCTCGCTAAACCTTCCTTCAAGGTTACTATCGACGTATACAATACTTTCCTCGAAATAATAGAGCCCAAAGATAGTGAGCGGATCAATCATAGCTTTTTTAGAATGGTTGTTTTATTTCTCCTCGTTTTGTAGATCGCATTGTATTAGTAGTCATTTCTGCTTTTAGTCACCCGTGAGCCCCTCAACTTGCGTAAAGGAACTCTTGTTTCATGACAGGTGAAAGACCAACTTATTAGAATACCTTTAATCTCACAAAAATCACGGGTAGTAGCTTTTTATACCTGTTATACCTTGCACTTTAACATTTATTTCCAACATTAATGGTGGAAGAATATCACGGGTCAAGGCGCTAGTAATAGTTGGTGTTTTGTTTCAAAAGCGTTAACGCGACCGTGAGGCGAGGGCGAGCTTGAACTCTCACGAATTCATGCTTCTTCATCTTTCTCGCCCCATTCAATCCAACCAGCAACCAGATCTTTATATCATGTCTTACGAGTATGTCTTGGCTAGACAGCAATAAAGGCAGCCATTGGGTCCTGCCAATAGGAACATAATCCTCAACGCGGTCCCACGTGCTGTTTCTGGACTCCATAAACCTACGACACCTGCACCAATGCCAGCGCCTGCACCTGCTGCGAGCACCACCGGGTTGCCTGCTCATTTACTGAACTGACTCCTCGTACCTAGCTTCCCGCAAAATGCAAAGCAATTGAACTCGACAGCGATGAAGGCGATGGAAACGACATCTTCTCCCAGAATTGCGACCAAGTCCGACGCGAAATACGTGCCTTCCTTGGTGCTGGCGAAATGAAGATTGGCGAGCTTCACAAGACTCTTGGGGTCAGTGCAAAGTCTTTTAACACTTCATGGACAAGAGTGGCCCTGACGACGGCATGAATACTGCTACATATCCCGCGGCGTACCGCCTCTTCAAAAAACGCTAGACCGAAGGAATCAAGGTGCCAAAGAAGAAGGTCAAAAAGAAGGTCAAAAAGGAGGAAGAAGCAAAGAAGAACGATGTCTCGGGCATCCAACTTGACGGCGACGCGGACGTCTCAGTTCCCGTTTACGATTCCTGCGACGAGATTCGAAAGAGTTCGGCATACCTTCGCGAGCCCCATGTCACCCAGGCCGGTTTCCTGCGCGAAATAGCAAAAACATACACCGACGGAAGGAAAATACAATCAAAAGTTCTGGACGATATCCTTAGCAAGAAGGGTGCAAGTGCAGGAAACACTAGCGCTGTGTTCTATGGCAGCTACGTTTTCTTCGAGAAGATGCGGATTAGGGATGGCAAGCCCAAATCAAAGCATAGGCAGGAAATGGAGACATGACACCCAGATGGCTTTCAGACTGCTAGGCTTCGCGACCACGTGTGGTTCATGGAAGGAGAGCACCCATATCAAGATGGATATGGTGAGTACCCCTTCACAGGCCGCCGTTGAAGATCAATTGAAGCTGTAATAAGGCCTGGACAAGACGAGTTATTCTTCGTATCTTTATTTCAGGAGATATTTGATCGGGACAGAGATCTGTAAAATTATGCGCTGGGACATTGATACTCGAAGATATTTCCGCCTCCACAGGCTTGTTTATACATGACAACAGTCGATCTATGCATTGATCTTACCAAGATTGTTTGCAACATTTCTATCACTAGTACCAACGCAGAATCCTTGTACGACTCACTTTGTGCTACAGAAAACTCATCAGTCACACATCATTCGCATTAGTAGCACGATTTTAGTAGCTAGACAGGTCCTGTGCATGCCTGCTGCAGACTGCGGGGTAGTAAGCAAAGTGACCGAAACTGAACCTCCCTCCACCCCAGGATCCTTATCGGCCCGGACTACGAGGGAGCCTCTGGGGGGTGCCTCTGAACTGGGGAAATCTGGCCGCTCTCACGCGTAAATGCGCCTGTTTTCGTTACTTTCGTTTATCATAGTCTGATCACGGTCTTATTTCCTTGCATCTCTCTTTTCTGTCCGGTGTTGCCTTTCTGTCCATAGTTTAATTCTCTAGGTTTCCTCCGCCTATGTCTCTATTGTCCTTGCTGCAAACATGTTGGACCATACTACCTCTACGCTCCTTGCTTATAGTTTTACAGCGACCTTAATATCCCTCTCAAATGCAACACCTAATGATAAATATGATTTTATCATCATTGGAGGGGGTACGGCTGGGCTCACAATCGCAAATCGTCTCACCGAGCTGCCGCATATCACTGTTGCTGTAATCGAAGCTGGCGACAAAGTGCTCAATAACCCCAATGTTACGGGCACAGATAAATTTACAGCAGCTTTAGGTACTTCGATTGACTGGCAGTATGAGTCGACCAACCAAACTTATGCAGCGGGGCAGACAGTCTCATGTCCTGCCGGCAAAGCTCTTGGTGGAACAAGTACAATTAATGGTAAGCAGTCATCGGGAACTTCGACCAGTATCTTACATTACCCCCAGGTATGACTTGGATCCGGGGAGAGAAAGCCCAAATTGATTCATGGGGCACTATTGGCAATGAAGGTTGGTCTTGGGATGAACTATTTCCTTATTACAAGAAGAGTGAAAATTTCATCGTCCCAAGTCCTGCTCAAGTTGCAGCTGGTGCGTCCTACAACGCTATAGATCATGGAGAAAGTGGCCCTCTGAAAGTTGGATATCACCCGGAGTTGCAAAATGGATCGCTTCACGGATCAGTGGGAACTGCGTGGCAGTCGCTTGGTATTCCATCCACTATTGATGCAAATGGGGGAGATGTCCGCGGGTTCACCGTGGAGCAGCAGACACTAGATCCAGATGCCAATGTTCGAGAGGATGCTGCGAGGGCATTCTATTACCCCTTCCAAAATCGAGCGAACCTTCACATTCACCTCAATACCACCGCGATGAAGGTGGTCTGGACTTCCAACGATGTTGATGCAATAGCAGATGGTGTTGAAATCATTTCTTTGAATGGTTCTGTGTCAACTATCAACGCCAGACGCGAAGTCATCCTCTCTGCCGGCTCTCTGAGATCTCCAGCAGTTCTCGAGTTGTCCGGTGTAGGAAACCCAAGGTCTGTTTAATTCGCTGATCTCTTCACGGTATGTGGCTGATGCAATTAGTATTCTTGACAAGCTCGGCATCTCCAGCAAAATTGTTCTACCAGGTGTTGGAGAGAACCTAATAGACCAACCAAACAACGCAATTATTTACAACTCGAGCACAACCTTTAACGGCACAACTGGTTATCTGGCCTATGCTACCGCAACAGACTTTCGCATGAACCAACCCAGCGACGATGACATACCAACCTGGGCCGAACAAGTAGCAGCAGCAAACAACCATGCAGTCAATGCATCTTCCCTCGAGTATCTCTTCAAAGTCCAGTCAGGGCTATTGAAAAGTGTTGCAAATGCCGAAGTTTTTCTCTCAACTGGAAAGGGCATAGGGTTGCCTCCCAGCGGCTTCTTAGCAACTGCATTCTGGCTACTTATGCCATTTTCCAGAGGAAGCGTGCACATAAGCTCTTCGAACCCTCTGACATATCCAATCATCAATCCCAACTACTTTCTCGTAGACTATGACCTAAAAGTACAAGCGGCAATTACGAAATGGGTTCGAGAATTCTGGATGACAGCACCTATGAGCAGCCTCGCCTCTGAAATATCTCCCGGGTATACAACTTTACCAGCAAATGCTACGGAAACGCAATACACTAAATGGGTCAAAACTTCTTGTACGTATTTATGTTCCTTAAACCTGCAAATTCGACTGACGTGTCAGTTTCTTCCAATTCTCATTCCCTCGGAACGGCGGCGATGATGCCGAGGAAGCTCGGTGGAGTAGTCGACAATGCTTTAAAAGTTTATGGGACGGCCAACCTTCGCGTCGTGGACGCATCGATCATTCCTTTTCAAATCAGTGGCCACTTGACAGCTACCATATACGCCATTGCGGAGAAGGCAGCTGATCTTATCAAGGCCGATATAAAATAATCGTAGGGCTTGGATGTCTTTAACGAATTGAAACCTTAGTACGCCGTTGCTCTATTTCCATGTTATTCCTCTTTCAATGTAACCGCCACTGCTACATATAAAAGGTACATGCTTCCTCCGTTGCCTTACGCCATTTTCCCGCACTATTTGATTATCATCCACTTCTTCATGCAGCTCACATAAGTACCTCTCACACTTCCCTGCAACTGTGATAACATGCCATGAATCATGGCAACCCGCTTCTATATGGAGTAGACCAAGCGGCATTATTTTATTTAAGCAGAGAGTCTTCTTATAGTCTGTGAAGCCTAGATTTCGTTGGCATCGAGCCTTTTTATACTACACCTCTCTATATCGATGTATGACAACCGGCACTGTCGTGATCGCGGTTCTAATTAGTTGAATCGACGCAAGGGCGTCGCCGAATTAGGCGCCAGTAAATTAAGCAGAAGCCTAGCTAAGAGTAGACAACCTCCAACCTCGTTCTCCACTATTAAGTCTATACCGAAATTGAGTCTTGAGACTTTTATGCGCACATCAGCTATCGGGGCGTTCCATTATATGTATGCCCTTTTGGCTAAGAAAATTTCAATCATAGACCATTACTACCAATCACCATGAACCTTTACCAGTACTCCTCTAAGCTCGGGCGATGAGATTCGGCTGGTAAAGCTTTTACCAGGACCCCTTTCAGCTGTTATTGAGATTGAAATCAGCCGCCGAAAGAGATCATCAAATGCAACATGGGGGGCGCTTTCTTACGTTTGGGAACTTAATCTGTTAAGCTGAAAGAACTAGCATATTTAGTTTTATATATACTTGCACACTATAAATTAATTATATTATCAAGTCGTGAAGTGGCTAGTTTTTGGTGTGTTTTCGCTAAAGAATTAGGGGTGCGCACGGAATTCTGTCACCTACTGGTGAGTAGTTAGCGTCCCGAGCTTCGTGATAGCTTGCTTGTTCATAAACTGTGATATATTCTTCCACTTCTTTGCTTCATCACAACTACACCTTAAGCAAACAACATTCGCCATGTTCGTGCAACGCTTCCACCGAATACTGCCGGGAGCCTCAGTAACTTCTGCTTCTCGTGTCAACCTACAGACTGTACGGCGCTATGTTGTGAAGTCACGCGGGGACTTACTCGAGTCAATCTACCGTCCAGCATTTGCAAATCTCGAGAAAGGGTCACCAGAATATGAGGGTTTAGCAAGTTCTGGTAGAGTTTGGGAAAATTTATTTCAGCCTGGAAACATCGAACCTTACCTGCAGGCTCAATCAGACTTGAAGGAGGCTCTCACTGAAATCGATGAGCTGAGAGAATGGTATCAAAAGAATGATAAGGCCAAGACAAGCATTGTTCGAGCTTTGGTTCCTGAATATGCTCAACAAAGCACATCTATCGAGCTCAACCCTTTCATGTCGGCGACGCAGTAGCCATCTCCTCCGAACTCGAGAACCAACTATTCAGCAAGATCGATTCTCTGGGCGTCATGTCAACTTCCTCCGTCTCGAAACTTGCTTGACCGGCCCCAGAAACCCTTCTCCCGGGAAAGAACGCGAACGACGTCGCCGAGCTCCGCAATCACATTCTGGTCAGCCGTTACATGACCGAAACTGCTCTCAAGAATCCCGGGCCAACTGATCTCTCTGTCGCTGATATAGAACAGCTTTCGATGATGATTCTTCGAGGAACTAATGCGGGGGGTCTATATGCCAAGACCTGGGGCGAGCATAGGAAAATCGGAGAATACCGCTCCCTTCCTATTGGCGTTAGATCCAACCCACTACGCATTTTCCCCTATGCTCAGGAAGTAGCTGCCTGTATGCATCGCTATATCGAGTGGCGCGACCGTGCCCAAGCTGACAAGATTCTCCATCCCGTCATCTTAGCGACGCACTTGTCGACCTACTTCATACATATCCATCCCTTCCTCGATGGGAACGGCAGGCTGGGTCGAGTCCTGTTGACTGGTTCCCTGATCCGTCAAGGACATCTCCCAGTCGTGTTCATCGACCTGGACCATGGGGATTATATTGGGATGATTTCAGATGCGCAAGATGGAAAGCCAGGCGATCTTTGCGCGACAGTCGCTTAGACGCAACTTGAGATGTTGTGGACAATAAGTCTGCGGAAATAGGTTGTCTAGGCGGAGGAACCTGTTCGGGAAAGCTGGCGTGCGGTCTCCATAAGTCTGAATGTAATAAGTATTTTATACTGTGGTCCCAAAGTTGATTTTCCTGCTCGGTATCAAGAAAGAAAGTACAGTGTAAGAAGGGATTCAATTGTCTGGAGACCTTGATGGAGTACTTCATGTTCATGTAGATACGGGAAAGAGAGACGTTTGTGAAGAAGATGGCATCGGGGTAGCGGTAGTCTCGAATAGCTATGCTTCATAGAAGGAAATCCTAGTCTCACTTCAGTCTCTTAACCCGGACCACAGAGAGTGTATTCAATGAAAGTATGTAGAGATTCAATCGTGGTGCAAAGTCTGTATTGTACATCTAGCAAGCACCTTCTAGACAAGTCATCTCCCTGAATTTTCTCTACCACCCTTCATCTCTGATTAGCATCTCCACACCTTTCCACCCTTCTAATTCAGCATGCAGTAAGCTATTTACACAGCGAACAGAATCAAGAATGAAACCATCAGGGCGAACAAGCCGGTGGCCTCAGCAAACGCAAAGCCCAGAATGGCATACGAGAACAATTGTCCCCGGAGTGCTGGGTTCCGTGCAACGCCCGTGATGAGGGATCCAAAGACCGTGCCAATGCCAGTTCCAGCACCGATGAGTCCTGCAGCGGCGGCTCCAGCTCCGATGAGTTTACCGGCACCTAGGATGGCGGCTCCAACGGTGATGGTCTCGGTGACGACGCCACGCGATTGGCCGCGGGTGAAGTTGGAGCATGCGTTGCGGAGCATGGCGTTGTTGGAGAGCAGACCAGACTTGTTGGTGGATGGCTGGAAGCGAGAGATTGAGGTTGTTGGGCCTGTGAGGGTGGTAGAGAGTCAGCTTGGATTGGGTTGGGTTGGGTGGGATGGATGTGAAGTTGTTGGTGTTGATGTTGATGATTTGAAAACGTACCATTTGTGAAAGCTCGGCGAGCGATTGGGTTTGCCTGTCGCAATGCAGAGGCGCCATTGACGCGTGCAGAGCGGGCAGCAAGCTGGGCGATGGAGTTCATGATGACTGGTGATGGATTGAGGACGACAGAGGGTAGAATTGAAGTAATTGAGATGGATTTGGGGGAGTGGAGAGTGGTGGGTTTTGAAGGTTGAAGGAAGAGGAAGTCGGGGAAGTCGGGGAAATTGAGGATGTGTGAAGGAGAGGAGAGGAGAGGAGAGAGGTAGGAACGGCACGGGAAATCACGCTAGATCATACCTACCCTACACCTACCTGCAACTGGCAGAACTGGGGAATGTGTGAGCCGACGAATCAGACCTGCTCCTGCACCTGCTTCCTCTAAACATGACGAATCATATTCCCTCGGATCCCATTTAACCGGTGCATCGTTAAACCAGACGCCGTAAGCATGAATTTAGTAACAATTACCGTAACAAGGAAAGTGAATGTTGGACGTGCGAAAATGCTGTCAAGAGCACTGGTGCACTGTCGTTACGGACGCATGCGGGGATGCGGGGAAAGATACTTAGCGTTCAGTGTACTCCACTAGTTAAGGTAAGTACCTACTTGTACAGAGTGTGAGGAGAGGGAGGGAATTGTTTCGACGGAAGAATATATATAATTCATGACTCCTGACGGCAAAGTATGAACATGAGACTTGCCGTAACGTAATGTAACCCTGCTTTTACCTTGATATTTTCATGCTTTATATGAGGTGATAGTTGTACTACCTCGCATTGCAGGTCGTGTCGATCATTGGTTCGAGCTCAAGTTAATCTCCACCCCCGCTCCACCCCCGCTTCCGTTCCGGCCCCACCTGCCTGAATACTCCGATACTATCCACCGTATCCACCGTATCCACCATATCCACTCCGTAGGTCCAAGCTGCAATATCTACGGAGTAGGCGGGGCGGGAATAACCTCCCAGGTACTGATGACTGTGAGAAAATGGCCCAGCAGCTGAAGTAGACGGTAGGATGAGTGATGAGTGATATAATAACACCTAGAGATCCAAGTGACACAGGACACACTTCTATATACAGCTTATACGGCCCGCCATCACGCTTAATAGTACCCGGTAGACCACAAGGTGGGTAGGTAGGTCTGTATCAACAGTGAGGTTTGTCACGTGATTATTCTCCTAAACCTCTTCTGTGGGATATTATGGTATCATGAATCAATTTTCCTATTCTGGTGTCCCGTATGTCCCGTATGGGCTTAGTAAGCTTGCTGCTCTTGCTCAGGCGCTAATCGCAACGTGAAAACAACCACTCTTCAGGTCATCTGATTTAGGTGGACTACATGCGAATTGAGCGAGAATGAAAACTTTGAACTGTATCCCAAACTATCTCCAGGATATGGCTACCATGGACGTAGGAGAGCTGCCAACGGGGGATAATGTCGTTATCAAGACCAGCTCCTATTTCAACCGCACAGCTGAAGACATTCTTCTTCCTTCTCCTGCCGAAGTCAGAAAACGTGCTTTAGAGAAAGGCTTTGTGTATCCTGGGAATCCTCCGCCAATAAGGTTCCCAGAGCTCGGCCTCATTGTCAAGTCTTGGACTAATCTCACTATTGCAGAAGCTCAGTGCTTGTGGGCGATTTGGAAACACCTGAAATGCGAGGTCCCAGTTCCAGAGCTTTACGGTTGGGTTCGCGACGGGGGAGAACTCTTCATCTACATGAAGCTTATTAAGGGGGAAACCTTGGAGGCAAGATGGGATACACTTCCTGTGCTTGAGCGTTTGGATGTCTCAAGTCAGTTGAAAACAATGACCACGGCACTGCGAGGTCTTAGGCAAGGAGGAAAAGACGCTTTCATAGGTACGCACTTTGTGGGTTCACAGAGTCGAACAAATACTGAGTGCAACAGGCAGTATCAACCGTGGTCCGTTACTGGACATCCTTCTCGAAGGAAGACCAGGATTTGGCCCTTTCAAAACCACCAAGGAATTTCATGACCGCTTCGCAGCCGAGGTCAATAAGTATCATCCCGATATTCAGAACTTCGTGGACCCAATGAGGGGTCAACTTCCGGACGAAGCCCCGATTACTTTCACTCACGCCGACCTTCATCCCAGCAATATCATGTTGACAGCCACTGATGTTAAGCCGGTTCGAGTTCTTGCTATTTTAGATTGGCATCAATCGGGGTGGTACCCCGGTTACTGGGAGTTCTGCAACATGTTGTATTGTGTGGATATGGATGGAGATTGGGCGAAGGATTATATCCCAATGATCTTGGAGAAGCCTGATTGTTTTTATGGATGGTGGTACTATATGAATGGCCTAGGATTCTGAGATTTGGCCTTTGATGCTAGCGGCCCAGGCTCACAATATGGAATGTTCAAGCTTTTAATTATTTTCTTTCAAGATACTTGACGATTTCTGGTTCCTTTATAACACAAAGTACGCACACGTTAAAATGTAAACGTTTCCGTCCAAGATCATCGTCTTCTTTGTCTTGCATTCCTCTAACCTATAAGTGCCACATTTCTTTCCTGAAAAGCAGGTCGGAACTAAACGCAAGTCACAACATCTTCAAATACTATAACTATATCCACAATGGCACAAAGACTTACTAGAAGCAAGTACAAGGCAAAAAAGGAGATCGATCAGCCCCTGTGGGAGGCAAAGGAGAAGATTGAAAGACGTCAATTTGACCCTCTTCCCGAAAATGGCCCAGAAGAGCTCTGGGTCGAAAGATTACTTGAGGATATCGAGAAGCGGTACCCGGATCTGAGCGACCTGAAAGAATTCGAAGCCGCAGCAAGAGCCGGAAAGAGTTCAAGGAGAAAAAAAGCAGATAGAACATATCGAGAGGGCACGAATGTCAAGTTACACTTGGTCGAATACGCGTCTCTGATCAAGCCCATGCCCCACTATACTATCGAGTTTCCAAAGGTCACCCAGGGGACCGTAGCTGCGTATCAAGAATGTATTGTGCGGTACAAGAATACCGCCTTTCGAAACGACCTGATGCGGAAATTTGATGCGGAACAGGAACAGGCACAGGACATACAGGAGCAAGAGACGCGAGAAGAAGAAGCGAGGACTAGGCCTTCGGCCAGAAAGCGCGGTAAACGTCGCCGTGGCAGAAGTGCGAGCCCGCAGGCAGAAAGCTCAAATACGAATAGGAGAGTACGGGACTCACCTCACCGGGCTGCTGAAGCTGGGGCTCCGCAAAGCCCTCTAGGCAATGAGCTCAGAGTGGCCGTCATTCCCCACGCCGAGTTCATGGCCGTCAGTCCGGATGAATTAATCAAACACGGGACAACGATGACTAGCGAATTCGGGAATATCTTGCAGACAATCGGTGTTACTCAAGCAAACTTCATGGATCTCGATTACTTATTTGTACCCTATTTCCACGAAGATATCGCACACCACGTCCTGATGGGCATCTTGCCCAAGCAAGGCTTTGTATTTATAATCGACAGCTGCGACAATACCTACCACAGGACCGACTGGCCGGCCTGTGGCTTACTGGGTCTCTGCTTGCATCTCTGTCCCCAGGGCGTCAACTGGCCACTATATGGTAAGTGGGCGCCTCGAGATCCGTACGACGACCACCCCAACTGTCCGCGGCAAGGCGACGGCGTAAACTGTGGTGTTTTTGCCAGCACAAACATGATGTGCTTGGCTTTCGGGTACCGTTTGATGTGTTACAGGGCCCGAGAGTTGCCTCGGAAACGTCGTCGTATGGCGGCTGAACTGGGCGCTGACGGGTTTGGAGTCGCGCCCTTCGATTATGAACTTTGGGAAATTCCAACTCTCCTAGAATATCGATCCGAGTACAGCTACGAGCCTCCGTCACCCTCTGCTGCACCACCGGTACTGGAAGGTGATGATAGAGGAGAGGGAGACGACGAAAATCTTTCCGATGCAGAAGAGGGCGCAGATGTATCTGGACTCCCGCCGACAGACCGGTACCTCTCAACCAGAATCCCCGTTTCTCTCCGCCCAAAAGAAACTTCACCCACAGACAGTAATCCCCAAAACGACACCGAAGACCTCTGGCCCAGCCAATTCAACATCAAGTACATGAAGAGGGCCGGCTTCATCTACAAACGCCCAGACGGAATAGCAGACAAACACACAAGATCCAAACGCGCCATCACGCACGCTTGCGCAGAATGGGGCATAAAGGGGTACGAGCTTTGGAGCCGCGAGCCGCTGATGATATACCGCCGCTGGTTCTTGAACGAGATTGCGGGGGGACTGAGCACGGATTTACGGCCTATTGGCTATGAAGAAGAAGAAGAAGGTGAGTTGGAGGCAGATTTAAAGGAAATGTTGACTGTGTCGGAGAGTGCTGCAAAGAAGCGGCGAGATGGAATAAACAGGTGTGGGGAGGGGTGTGAGGATGGAGAGTGTGGGATTCCAGCGCATAGTGTACGGATGAGTTTGAGGCTTAGGAAGCAGCGTAAGGAATGTTTAGGAGTAGGTTGTGAGTTTGAATGCGGCCATGAAGGACCTCATTCGCTTTGATAAGAGGAGAATATTAGGGTCTAGATTTCATATTGCGTTTGACATTTTTGGATTTTAGGATATATAGGGAAATACTGGTCGAATAATTGCAAGTACTTCATGCTTATAGATAGACAAGGCTTCTAATAGTTGGTTAAGTGCTTATTATATGGAAGAATTTGAACTGAAGCTAATAGTTACGAGTAGTAGATGCAATGCTTTAGCTAGAAGTAGAAGTGAAAAAGAGACTGAGTATCGTAAGAAATCAAGTGTTAAGACATGCTGAATTCTTATAAAATCGTACATATAGGAGAGAAAAAGGAAGGTAGAATTGGGCAGAGAAATGATCTAAGAGTGTGAATTACCATAGCTTTTTAGGCCTTGAGGGGGGGGATTGGGGGCTATAACCCAATTAAATCGACCCACTACTTATAAACTCAAGTTTAAGCAGTTAATTGGATATGAAATCAACCATTAAAAGCCTTGCTCATAGCCGCCAGTTGGTATCAGAAAGAAGTACAAGAGCGACGTGATTCTCACTCCCCATCTTGTTTCAGCCTAGCGTATTTCGACCGGATAAATCCAATCCTGTCCTGTGAACAAACTGAACAAGCTCGAAAAGATGAACACGGAGCCAGCCTTTCCCTACTGACTCATAATGCTCACCCTTAGTAGGACCTCGATTCTCCATCACTTGGTATCTCATCCTCGTGAAGCTTAAGTTGTGCCAGAGCAATACTCCTCGACCAAAAAAAGCCAATATGAAGCAAGTCATCGATGCGAACTACAAGACCAGCAAGGGGATCCGGGAACTGCTTGCAGGGCTTTTTCCTGGCCACTACTGCCAAGTCAAGGTAAGCTCAGCGAGCGAATGCCCAGCGCTGAGAATGCCTCGCCTGTATTCAGGTCAGGCGGTCAGGCCCACGGCGATAGGGCTTTTTCCGAAAATGCAGCGACTAACCGTCGTGGATCAACAGCTGCGACAGAACTCATACATCTTGGAGGTACCGCGAGAGTTAACAGTGGTGCGTATTATTTACGAGCATCGATGCTCTCTTGATTTGTCCTCCGATGTGTTTCGTGCAGTTGAGATGCTAACTGAAATGTAGGAGGAGATAACTTCTTGTGAGGGAAGATAGATAGATTTTGGGGTTGTTTGAGGCTGTGTATCTCTACTGTGGGAGTCGTGGAGTGGCTGAGCCTGCCACCCTTCATCAACGTACGACCAACCCATGACTCTGATCTGGAAGAGCTGAAATCTGCCTTGTTGATGCACCTGCATGAATCCTTGGTTTCCGAATTTGGAGTATTCTGCATTTTGTGTGGTATTATTGAATTTCTCGGTATGTATGAGATTTTACTGTGTATGGCTCATTGTCAGGCACACTGGTATGGATGGGAACAAATGTTATATCTGGTATCTTCCTTCAGCTTACCTTTGAAAATACGACATTATGTGTTCATACATTCTGCATACTTCACCTTTTTCAATACTTTCATTTACTATCACAAAGCTTAATCCTCATCACTTCTACAAACTCCATTGCTCTTAAAAGTTTCTTCGAGCAATGTCATCACATTCGTCGTCATGGCCCCAGGTCATCGAAGGGCAGTACTTAGATCAGCGGAAACTCGTTGTTCTATTGAGAAACGTATACGGTACTTCCACTGAAGGAAAGAACAACTTCAGGGTTGAGGTAATTTTGTCGCTGCAATAGCCAAATAGTCTCTGACCTCGTATGTGGCAGCTACGACTGAATCGGTACAAGATCTATCCTTCGGAACATCTCAGCGGAATGGCCCTCACCGAGGTATGTGCTCCATACATCTGAAAATCATATAAACCGATGTTGAAAATCTTGCAGGACCAAATACAAGACTGTCGAGTGTGTAACAGGCGGTGATGGCTCACTGTGACTGAGACAAACGAAAATGAACGGGAGCATGTTTTTGGAAAGTCGGCCAACATATTGTTAGAGTAGTTCAAGGCGCATAGGGGATAGTGGCAACACTTCATGATCAACGAGCATGTATTGGTAGCATTTGACGTGGAGTTATAGAGTGGACGAAGAATAAATCTCAAAATCTTTTAGAAACTTCCATAGCCTGCGAGCGGTGACCCCGCATAATGACTTCTCGGTATGGCTTACAACTGCATCGTGAGATTTGCTAGGAGCACTTCAAGCCATCGGTGACGAGATAGGAACCTCCTGTAGAGATGCATGTTCTGCTTCAAAAAACTCAAGCCAATCAGGGAAAATGAGTGGTCAAGCCGCCCTGCCCTAAGGTGGGCTGGCTGCAGGTGGGCTGTGCAGAAGGCTGACTTAAGAGTTCTAGTGGTGTTCCCATTAGAGAGGCGGGACTTTGCGCCCGGCAGACTACAACTTCACCCTACTATACAATTTCACGATCTCATGATAGTATTATAGTTCTTGCTAGATGTTCAATTATTCAATTGGTCTTCACGATCCAAAGCCGTCTCAATCAGACTGTGTGCGTTCCATTCGAGTTCTAAAAGACGAAAGCCCGTAGACAACCATGTCTCCATACCTCGATATGGATGATCTTGACAGCCTGCAAATAAGTATCAACTCCAAAGCTTTGCGCCTCTTCAAAGAAAGAAAAGGGCAGGCCCCATTGCAAGTTAGTAGACTCTTCAGAGATAAGGGTGGAGAGAAAACGGACAATTCATGTTTTGTTCGGGACCAACATGTCTGGGACAAGTCCCAAATCGAAGCCTTGAGAAAAGTAAGATCTAAAGAACCAGTCTAAATACCATGTTGTAAATTTCTGCCTTAGCCTTCGAGCTCTCGTGGCTTAGATATTGGCTGATCAATTCTCTCGCAGGACTTTCGTAATTCGACCCAAATGTTTTATATTCGCCAAGCCCGCTCATGGACAACAATAGACATTTCAAGAGAACTGTTCGAAGACTTCATGGATGTTTATACAGTATTTCCACCTTTCTGGAAATGTATTTTTACGTTTGGTCTGAAAATAGCTGAAAATGAGTTTGAATTTCCTGGTTTCAGAGGGAGACGAACTCGTGATACGGAAGGAGGTCAAGACACGTATGGTTCGTGTACTTCTAGCCCCAGAAAGCTTTCCAATCCGGAATCCGGGATCAATTACTGATAGCTAAATTTACATAGAATCTGCCTATGTGCTTCGCAGGGCAGAGATTAACGGGCGCGGTAACCAGGAGGGCCAAAAGGAATGGTCAATACGGCAAACTGCTATCTATCTCCAGCTTCAATTTTCAACAACACAAGAAAGAACTCCCAATAGACAACCGAGATCTACCTTCTTAGTAATTGCACCATCTAAGAACATGGAGACTCAGCTAGCGGGAGCCTTTGAGCAAAGCCTTCAAAAGGATTTCTATGTTTCGCCATGGAATATCCAGAGACTGCTCCTTGCCGACAGCTTGAAAGGCTGGCCAGATTATATGGCAAGTCTACAAAAACGCTTAAAGAAGCAGGTAGGTTACCAAATGTTCTTTTGAAGTAAATCTCTAACTTCCGTCTCCTAGTCGGATCGAATTGTGGTTGCAGAGGTTGGATATAAAAAAGAGAACCTCTCTCCTCTAGATATCACCATCAACTTCGAAGACCGCCAAGATTTGAAAATCATAGAGGATTCAATCATCGATCTGGATGTCATATTGCCGACGATGTTAAACACAATAAAGAGGATCCGGGAGCAGTGCCAGAAATGCAATGAGGGAGTAGGAGACGACGAAAGATGTTACCTGGAAGAAATCTTGGAAGAGTTTGACGAATATGTCAAAGAAGCCGAGATTCTCGTGCAACGAGCCAATATCCTAAAGGAAACAGCACGTTCTACTTCCCAGCTGGTAGGTCTTTTGCACAGCCTTCACCGGGAATGGTGATTAACTTTTTCCATAGATTTCTAATCTACTGAGCTATGAGGAAGCAGTCGCTTTGAAAGATCTCACGAAAGAGTCGCAAGCAGAGAATACTTTAATGCGAGGACTTGCAGTGAGTAAAATAACACAAGTCCCTACTACTTTTGACTTACAGTACTCTAGGAGAGAAGCACAAAAGATGCTGCAGCGGTCAAGATCCTAACTGTCATCACCCTCGTCTATTTGCCTACAACGATCGTGGCTGTAAGTAGACAGCTTAACAATTCAGAGAACAGCATTGCTGACTTGAACAGAATTTCTTCTCGACCGAGTTTGTCCAGACAAATGATAGTGGTCATATGACTTTGACAAGCAATGCATGGTTACTTGCTGCAATCGCGGTTCCCTTGACCGTCTTCACAGTTATGCTTTGGTGGACCTGGGTACATTTCTTTACCCATGTCACAGCCGCACCTCCTGCCCCAGAGCCTCTGCAGAGACATGGACGCCAGGATAGCTTCCGGTCTTTCCTGTCGTTCAAAAAGAAGAAGCAGCTCCCATCCGACATAGAGACCGGGCCCAGTTCTTTGCAAACACCTCCATTTTCTCCTGCATCATTTCACGATTCTGCCATTGGAACTTGGTCCACCACTGCAACGACCGCGAAAATAGGGTAATGAGGCTCTAGGATTTTAGAAAGATAGATAGTGTAATTGTGCCCAAGTGGAAGTGCTGTACTGAATGGGTGGTCAGAGGAAAGTGGCTGGGTTCAGGCTTCATGAGGGGCTCCCGACAAAGCATCTAGAACTGCCTTAACTAAGGTGTCACGCTGGATGTAATAAGCCGTAATCAATCTTACCCAACTTTGGCTGTCGTGGCTTGAAAGGTGCACCAATAAAATGTGCGATACAAATAATTGAGCCTCCTCAGTAACCATGCGCTGTGCATTCAGTGTGTGTAGGCTTGGGGCTGTGCCGTATCTTTAACATCCAAAGTCTTCGAGCCTCGCCACGCTTGCAGAATTGTGTCGCAAAGAGGGGGGGGCTTTCGTTTCTGTACACCGAATGCGATACCCTTGTGCTCATAGCGCTGTGCTATATAGCAAACAGGATGTTGCCATTTATATATTGCTACAAGACCTGAGCTACCAGGCTCAAAGCATCCTTCCCAATGGTTCGAACCGCGCTCAAATGCTTGGTGCAACCTTTTACCAGCATATTTCGCCCATCGCAAAAGAAACAGGAAAAGGCGGAAACGGAAGAGAAAGCTAAACAACAGCAAAGAGTAAGTTTCTGAGCCTGCACGAAAGAAATGACAGGTGTTGACTATCGCCCGAAGAGACAGACCCCGCCAACGTCCAACGGCGATGATCCTGCTTCGAAGCCAATTGATTCGCCTGGCCCCTCAGCTCCCAAGATCGCGATTCACAGAGCAACAGAGCTTATCCCTACCTTAACCAAAGAAAATTCAGCTCTATCGCCCAACTCGTTAGTTCCAGAAGAGTCATCTAGACGAAATTCTGAATCCTCATCGCAGTGCAGCCGGTCAGACAGCAAAGGGTCTACGACTGATGGCGATTCGCTCAAAAAAAGATTGCGCCGCGCCCGCAAAGAATGTCTCAAGCGTTCCCAAAACTTCTTCGTTCCAATAGCTGCGCAAGACGAATTGTTAACAAAGGATGCGATCGCGAAGGATATACAAGCAAGAAACCCGGGAATTGGAGAAGATGAGGCTCATAAATGTGCGGAGAAGGCCCGCCAATGCGCCAAACAACTATGTGCAACTCTAGCATATATTGGAAAGGGCGCTGATATATGCACACTTCTCCAGGAGGGGATAACGGATCAAGATTTGCCACTAGTGCGGGCATCTGATGGATCATTTGCTCTGCAGCGTCGAACTGGAGAGCCGATTAAGACTTTTGAAGAATGGAATGACGAAGATCTCGAGGATTTCGACCGCATACAATACTGGATGACCGCACCGGTCTTCCAAGACAAAGAGCATAAAAATTTGGACGAAAAAGACATCCTTCCATTCATGAAGTTCAAGTCCTCTGAGACGCAGCAGGCAAAGCTAGGCGGGTACAGTGAGGTGTTTCCAGTTCGGATACATCCTGCTCACCATGAGTTTTGGGAGCCCTATGGCTGTGAGGTAAGAAAAGCCTCTTCGTTGCACCTGGAGTGCTCTAACCCAAAGTAGGATAACGAGCCACTCGTTGCTGTGAAACAGCTGTTCTCCCCCGACGAGACTGAATTCGAGAAGGAAGTGTCCATCCTTAAGGCGCTTGGCAGCAAGTCTCCCCCGCATCCCCATCTCATCAAACTTCTCGCCACATACAAGAGGGAGGAGAAATATCACTTGATGTTCCCTTACGCAAATGCCAACCTGAGAACGTATTGGGAGGAACGGCCTACACCCAGCTTTGATGAAGCGAATGTCTTATGGTCCATGAGACAGATGACTGGAATTGCGAATGCCCTGAATCTAATCCACCACTTCAGTGTGACGATCCCGTTGAACGTTCCCGGTCCTGGGGAAGTGAGACTCCAAGAGGACGTCAAATTGAGCGTTCGCAAAGGTGAAGAATTGTTCGGGCGACATGGGGATATCAAGCCAGAGAATGTATTATGGTTTAAAGAGAGTCGCGAGAGCAAAGATGCGATGGGTGTTTTACAAATCGCGGACTTTGGCTTGGGCCGATTTCACGGCCGAGAATCCCGTTCCAAGGTTCCTCCTGATGGTGTATTTTCCTCCCCGACATATGAGCCACCTGAATGCAAGCTCCGCCATCCAGTCTCACGGGCTTATGACATCTGGAGTCTCGGCTGTCTCTACCTAGAATTCATCACCTGGCTCCTGAAAGGCACTGCTGAGATAGAAGGGTTCTCCAACTTCCGCGGACGCGACTCGACAAACACGGGAGTAAACAACGACAAATTCTTCACCATGGTCGAAGAAGGAACAGCTGCCACTGTTCGAGATGAAGTTGTCACATGGATTGATCAACTTCACTGCCACGAGCGATGCTCACAGCTTATCCACGACCTTCTTGATTTGATAATGAAAGAGCTCCTGATCATCGAGTCGAAGAAACGCAGCAACTCTGTATGGCTGTTTCGGCAACTGAACATGTACCTGGGAAAAGCTGAAAAGGACAAAGAATACATGCTCAAACCCGTACCACGAGAACAGAAACCACCAAACGAACGGTCGCACTCAACACCCACTGGTCTTGGACCCCCGAAGCACGGGACGCGAATCTCATTCTCGGACTCTCCACCAAACCGCCTTGCATCTAAGACACTGTCGAATATCCAGACCGATAATGCCCCAAATGATGTAGTGCTGAGGAAGATGGGAACGCGAAACTACAGGCCGAAGAAAGGAGTCACTTGGCCAGCAGTCCGTCCCGTCCAAGGCTGAAGTATTGCGAGTCTCGTGAAACTTGCATATATTTAAATACATCGGGGTAATATATACTCAACGTACTCGACAAAGCTGTATCTCTGGTAAGCTGGGTTTGCCCTTTACTGAGGGTCTTCGCTGACGGATCATAGAGATATACTGCTCTTGCAGATATGCTAAAGCTCAGAGGATGGCGCTGCTATCTTTGGGGATCCCGGGGATCCCCATCACTAGGTATCACCGTGTTTGACCAGTTTGGAGACTTCTCTGTTGATACACCAAGGTTTCGTTTGTCTGTGGCTTTGGAACCGAGTGGGAGTGGTGAAATATGTGACATAAGGTCACGTGGTTCACTCCCAACCATCACATACTTTGTCTGGATGATCAGGGCTTCCGCCCACCTGAGGTCCTTTAGCAAGACAATATCTTGAGCTCCACTTCTCGATTCAGTCGATCTACCTGGTGAATGGCCCCACAGAGCTCACCCGAGCACTTGCGGTTGGTGGAGGATTGTGGGATTGTAGCTGCAAAGATGATGTTATGACATAGAAGAATAGTCAAATTACCAACATCTGAGTTTGCTAGAGCGGTGTATTGAGTCATAGTTCATTGTCCTTTATTCCCATTCCATGTTTTCATCATTCTGCCGCCGCAGTCATTTGCATAGGGGCTTAAGCGAGGTTTATGTGAATAATTCGTCGACTCACTACCTTACCTATATCTTAGCAAGTCTCTAAACAGTTAATCGTAAAGATATCTCTTCGTCTAGTTCAGTAATTTTTATTGTATTTAGCCGCGTCCCCAGCTTGATTTGTGAAATAGATTCTTGCTACTAGTACATGACGGATACCCATTCCAACCCATCACGATGTCTATCGTGTAAGCTTATCGCTCCCTCTTTCTACAATTGCAATTCTGACCAAGCGTACATACATTAGGGTTAATTCCAAGAAAGGTAGACTTGGCGACGACAACCAGCGATACATCGAAGCCGAGGTATCCATCCTGAGCTTCTCATACGAACTCTCAGAAAGCGACAAGAACTACCGAGCCGACTGCAAATCACGAAATGGAAGGCCCGCGCCAATGACACGGGGGTGCTTTTCATGGTCGTGAAGCACGATCAATCGTATACGGTACACCGGAGGTACACCTACCCAGGAGTCACGGCTATCTACCGCATCCTGAGATCGAAGACCGTTTACACACTAGGGCTAGTATCGAAACCGCTGCAGGAGCTTCTACCCTCTTTGAAGCCGAGGGAAACTCATTTCGAGGTCTCGGAAGCTTTTGATGTTGGATTTATGATGGCGGAGATTGACGATATGGAGAAGTGGGAGGGGCTTCAGGATAGCGGCTTTGACGATATGGTCGGGATACTAGAGGTCACACCAACTTTTACGTTTGGTGGAATTGCTGAGAAGGCGTTATCGTGTATGAAACATCATCTAGCTGTACTTCTTTAAAACTATGCTGACTGTCAGATTTGGGAAGTATATCGAATTTGAAACGTTGCAGATGAGGGGTAATATTTGGATGCAATTGTCGCTGCAATATGTTATTCTGGTTAATAGAGGCGTTCATTAATTACATTCTGAGTGTTAGTAGGTAGCCAATGTGAATTACATCTATACAAGTTAGAATTGGAACATCTTTTTCAAATGGCAACACTTGAACACAATTTAGTTAAACTCTCTAGGTCCTTAGCTATAGTGATTTCCAAAATATGAACAGGAAAGCTCATTCCACGCTCGTGAATCATCGGCTTTTTGTTTTTAAGCATTGCAACTTCACATTCACCGCCAACTGGGAGTTTCGGACTTTCATATTATGAACTAGAATGGATTCTTTGACCGATCAAATAGTAGGAGGAAGTGGCGCAGGCGTCTGATATTGGAGTGCTGGTGATTACTATACGGTGCGAGGCAGACGCGGCGTGGGAGGCGGTCGAGGTTTGTTGAGTCTAAGGTGAGTGGCATGGATGATGGGTTTGTGGAGGTTGATGCAATATAGGGAATCGCAGATGGGGTAATTCGATGTCTAATGTCGTGGCCGATGCAAGAAGGATTGTGGTCAGTACTGATTGTGGTTCTTGAAGATAATCAATGGGCTTGGGTTACAAGTAGAATCGGAATGATCTCGGAAGGGAAAAATAGAGATATCTTTGCTTGTTGATGTGTCTTGCCATACCTGTATTACTTTTATGTTTCTGTCTGCAAATAAGTACGCACTGTAACAGCTCAATCAATGGTCCACTCAAAGCCCTCCGTTATGCCTGAATGACTTCACTTCCAGTGGCTTATTTGATGTTGGGTTGTTGGTGCATGAGATATGGGGGAGTGAGACGGCGGATGGGTGGGATGTTGTTGGTGAGGATGAGGGGGATGAGGAGTTTGTGATGGTTGAACGGGGCGGATGATGGAGGAAGGGACGGGGAGAAGATGACTTTGGAATTCGTTTCTCCTTGCGGTGTGAGAGACTGGTTTTAGGGGAACAAAAGACTGGACTTGAGTAGCATTTGATGTGCGGCATGGGAGATTTATATTCGTAAAACCTTGGGGCTCTAAGCACTCAGTATGTATCAACGCAATTATCTTTCGGCATTTGCTTTCTTAATGTAAAAAGCAGACAGTGACAATGAGATTTAACCAGAAGTGATTTGAAAGTGACATATTCGTCATTTGAATATCCCGAAAACGTAAGAATTGTTCGACATATCTTTTTGAGACTACTCTACTCAACCGAACGTAAACGCAAAACGCAGAAAAATCAACTTGGATGCTGATCCAGACGGTTAAGTATCATTAATATTATCTTCTAAAGTCTTTTATATCCCAACCCCATCCCAATATATATACAGACACCAAGCCCCCCAGCATCTCCCTTAACAGCTCAAATCGTACAAGGCATTGCCGTTCGAGTCGAGGACACCAAAGGACGGGCTTGCAGAGAAATCCTCAAGCGTGTACCAAAATGTGTGTCCGCTGTTGAAGGCAGAGCACGCAACCGTCTTCCAGTATTGCTGGGCATTATCAACGCTGGGAACTGCCTGGTTCTCCGTAGATCCGCTCGTAGGCCATCCACTCTCCGTGACCCAGACCCAAGCTCCCGGATGGGCACTGTTGACCACATCTTTCACGTCCTGAATAGCATCCCAGAACAAATCGTAGGCGGCGTCGATACTGTTGGCCTGGGTGTTTTGGAAGTAGGGGTATGCATCTGTGCCTATGAAATCCGCTGCCTCGATGACTGCCGTGTTGGCGGAATCAACCCACGCAGTCCATGTATCCACATGTCCGACCTGAACGTCCGTGGTATAGCCCGAGACGGTGGAGAGCATGCCGCGAACGTCGTATATCTGTGATGCCAATGTGCTGGCCGTTGTGTCGCCCCTGTACAAGTCCTCACTTCCCACACTGACTGCCACCACCCAGCCAAAGCCGTATTGCTGGACCGCCGAGAGGAGAGCTTGTTTCTCAGCGTTGAAGTGGTCCGAGTCTTCCGTCCATACACCCACGAGGATCTGTCCGCCAGTGGCAACTGCTGCTGGAACGGCGTTTGCGAGGGTATTGCAGTCGGAGGCAGCGTAGACTCGCAGGCTCGAGAAGCCACCGGGGAGGCTTTGCAACTTGTTGAAATCGTTTTCCCAGTCGGCCTGGGATTTGCAAGTCCCATCGGCAAGGGTTGCCTGGACATTGAAGCCCTTCCAGTATGCATTTGCTCCAGTGAGCGTGGCTGCAAGAGCCAGGGCGTATGCTCCGGCCTTCATTATGGTAAAATAGAAATGGTAACGAGTGTGATGGTTTAAGAAAGATTAAGAGAAGGGGTAATGAGAAGAGCCTGATGAGGGAGAATAGAGGTCGAATAAAGTGAGTGAGGGAAAGACTAGAAGAAAGGGAGACCAACCTGGATACTTATCCTGTCCGCATAATGTACTTTAGATCAATTTCCATCAATACTTGGCAGATGGCCTAGCCATTATTGCTGCCAAGGTTCCTCGATGTCACCTACTCTAACGGTAAAAAGTATTTTACGGGGATGAAAACGAGGTTGAACCGTTGTGGGTGCGTGCAGGCTGGGCCAAGTGCCTATAGTTAGGCGCAGCATGCCGGCGACAGGGGCAAACAGTGGGGGAGATCATTTCCGTGCCGAGAACCCTTCACGCGCGACCCCTTTTCTTTTCTTTTCTTTCCTTTTTGTTTACTTCGACTTAGGTATACATCAGTTCTGTTCATTATCGTAGAAACTTAGTCTCATAACTGTCGACTATGAAATCCTGGTATATTGTTGCTGGCCTGGTCTACCACGGTACTCCGTATTGAAAAGTTGCTACTTCGTACCTGTTGTACTAAAGTAGATGACAACGCAGCGTCATCAGGACTTGAATACGAACTGATAGCGTCGAAAAAAAAAAACATTACGAGGTCGGCGTCGGCATGGAAAGCTCCACAGCTACCGCCGGTACCTATTTACGGAAAAGGCACGAGCCGGCTTTCCTTGGAGCTTGCTTCGTATGGCATAGTGCGAGTATTTGCACTCTACTTCGTATATGCTGCCTGCACAATTCCCCTCCCAATGGTCTTGATTCAAGCTAAATAGCTTTGTGCTTTCAGGTAACTTGATCATAAATATTATTCAGGCGTCCTGAATGACTGATCAACATTCTGCCCAAATGTTTTTCTCGTACATATCTCGGTATATTAGATGAAGTTTAAACGGAGCTTGCTGTGGGGGAGGTTACTGTGCAGTAGCGCTGTCAGTTTACCCCTCTATAGGGATCTTCAGGGCACGCCACGCTTCCTTCGCCTTCAACTCTCTTTGAACCTCATATCTCCATCCTACTCCGTAGAATTCCTCTCAATCTAGTACCAGTAGACCGTCCGCTCCCTCACCATTGCCTTAATTAGCGTTTCTCCAACCCCTCCGCCTTAAATGGCGACAACCTGGGACGCAGGAGAAAAGTCCGCCATGGTATCCATCGGCACCCACGCGCTCTTCCTATCAGCATCAGGGCCAGGCCGCAAGCCCGGGGCACCAGTCGTGCTTCTAATGCCAGGCTCAGGAAGCACGGTAGATGAATGGGTAGGTGTGCGACGCCTTGTGACTCCGTTCGCAAGATGGGTCGAGTATGACCGGCCTGGCTTGGGCAGGAGCGAGAGCCCAGTGGCACGGCCGGATGCAATTAGCGCTGTGTCTGCTGCTGGTGAACTTGATGTGTTTCTGAAGAAAGCTGGTGTTGCGCCTCCGTATCTGATTGTGTGCCATTCGTGTGGCGGCTTGAGTGCGCGAGAGTTTCTGCATTTGCGACCGAATGATGTGGTGGGCATGGTGTTCGTAGATGCGAATACGGAAAAGTCATTTGATGGTGGGAATTGGCCGTTGCCGTATATTTCGAATGTGATGGGAGATCTAGACTGGAATGAGGGTACGGGGTTAACAGCGAATCAGAAACTGGCCAAGGAAGAATGGGAAGTAGTCTTGAAAATGCAACAGGATCCCCAGCATCACCTCACTGAAGCTGCGGAATCGCAGGGGTATAAAGCATCTCAGACCGTTTTGGCTGCGAAGAAGCAATTTGAGAAACAGGCTCTTGGTGACCGGGCAATCAGTGTGATTAGAGGTAATGCACCAAGGGACCTGCAACGTATGTACGATGCTGGTGTAGCGGCTGGGAATGGGACTGAGGAAGATAGAAGACTGTTTAGGGAGTATCTCGAGTCTGCAGATGAAAAGGATCATTTGTGGCAAGAGGAGATATTGCGACTTTCGAGCTTCGGGAGGTTGGTGAGGAGTACGAGTGGACACAACGTTCAGATGGTCGAACCTGAGCTGGTGGCTGAGGAGATCAGATGGGTTTGGGATCATGTTAAGAAAGAGGATTATAAATAATACCTTGACTATATTATCCATAAATCCCTTGTCACTTCAATAGCATTAACGTATTCCTCGTAGTGAGATTGGCAAAGAGAAAGAAGATGGAGGGGCAGATTGGCAGAAAATTACCCCGCCATCCATTCTCTCGAGGCGGTGAATGACCCTGAATGACCCTGCCGATCCATACCATACCATCCATATCATCCATCTCATCCCTTCGTTTCACACAAGTTTACCACAAACTTCTTCTTCTTCCTCTCCCCCACAATGTGTTTCTACGATCGATACATCTTTGCCTGTGGCGATATAGAATGGGCCTGTTTCCGCCAGTTCTGCCCCAAGAACACCCTCCTACGACACGTCTGCGGCAAGAAGATGGAGATGGAGCCTCCCGTCTCGCGGCCAACCCTCTGCCGCATCTGCCTCGAGCTCAAGAAGAAGACGGAACGCATCGGAGAACTAAAGTCGCACATCCGGCGCATGAAGAGAGAAGGCTCGCAGGACGACGAGGCGGATCCGCGAAACGACTTTTTGATTGCGACAGATCTCCAGCGCATTGAGGATCTAAGAGAGGACCTGGTGCTGCTGCAGGAGCATGCCACGACGTCCAAAGTCATATCGAGGTTTAATGCCGTGGACGAGATTGACAAGTTGGAGGATGCACACGATGCGATTAATGATGAGAGGGTGCAGTTCCAGAAGTTCGCCAAGACTCTTGCCCTGGTGTTGGAGGAATAAGGTGATATGAATGCTGGGTTGTTGATACATCTCGGAACCTGTCTGATTGATGAACACTACAAAATAGTCAGGGGGTTTGGACAGAACCCTTTAATTGGACTTTGCTCTTCGGAACGCTTGATCTTTGCTATTATTACACCCAGGACCTGGGATGGGGACAGGCAGGCACACAGAATGCTGTACAAATTACTCCGATTTTAGGTCTTTATCCCTTCCTGACATCCCGAACTACAGCTTACATTATTCTCCAGCAGCTTCTACTTTGCCCCTTGCTCCTAGCAAACATGCCCACAAGCTTTCCTACAGTCGTGGTAATTTCAGGAGCCCGACACTCTCCGGCCCTTGCAAGTACTTGTTGGGTTCACTTGAGAACTCGGGTTACCCAACATCGTCATCACCACTTTCGAGTCTCGATCCAGCACCTCCTTATCAGGTCGGCCTTGTCGGCGATGCAGCCTTCATCAGACAGAAGTTGCCTGTTCCTCTACTGGATGCAGACAGACTCTAAAACTCGTGATGCATTCATGAGGTGCAGCCTCCAGGAGCGTAGCCGCAAATGGACTGAGCATGGTCGGACGTGCAGCTTTCGGCGAAGACGAAGGAATTGATAATCTTCATCACAGAGCAGTTGACTCACCAGGGTCTTTCGTTGAAGCATGTATTTGGGGGAAATTTGGAAGGTTGAATACAGTTCAATGTCAGTTCTATTTCGGTTCATTTCCTTTCGCCGAGAGATCTCCCAATGAGGTGGACATCGATATCTTTCGTCATTTTCAGCAGGCAGACGAAGCTGTGAGGCCAGTACTAGCAAAAAGCCTGCATTGCCAGCCTGGGTAGCTCCCATTTTCAACCTACTAGACAAGAGCAATGTCAACAGTCAACAGGTGGTCGAAACATCAATCATAACGGATATCTATGACACCTGACACTGATTAACCAATATGTCGTTTAATTCTTTTTCCCTTTAAGCAACGTATAAATACGATTTTCCCCACACAAACAACCTAGAAAACCTTCGAGAAAAAACAAACAGACTGAGGGGGTTGGGATGTCTACCAAGTGAACTGAATCGTCAAAGACCGGGTATATCTGTCCAACACGCCAACCCTATCCCAAAACTCCAAGCAAGAAGACCATTCATCCCCAGTCCAGCCCAGAGTATTCACCAGAACAAACCGAATACCTCAATTTGAAATTCTCGTCAACAGCAGATTCGATCAGACTCAAACAGCCGGCTGAACCTCCACAGCAGGATCATGTGCTGTATTCCCCGTCTTCCTCGACCGCCAAACATGCAGCGCAGCCAAAATAGTCGTACCAGTGAACAACAACCTACACGTCAAAATCAGCACCATCTCTTAAAGCTCCACCTCCATATCTATTTCCATGTCTATTTCAATGTCCATTTCCATCTCCACATATTCAAGAAAAACAAAAACGCAAACTTACCATTCAAAAGCCCCAAACACAACCGCCGCCTCACTAGCCCTACAAACCCCCCAATACCGCGAACACCCCACATCCCCCAGCAACGACGCCAGCGCCACGAAGCCCGCGAACCAGAAAACCATCGTCACGGCCTCGGCGGCCAGGATGGCATATTTGTGCGCCGCGGCGGGGAAGCGCGCGAGTGCGAGGATCAGGTAGGCGAGGATGAGGATGGTCCAGATGCTGCAGAAGAGGAGGAAGTTTGCCTGCGAGGGGGAGTGTGGGTAGGTGTACCAGTTGGAGGGGGTGGACCAGGAGTTTACGACTAGATGGGGGTTAGTAGGGTAGGGGAGAGGAGGGGAAGGGGAAAGGTACCATAGGCTGTGAGACCGAGGATTATTATTGTGAAGACGCCTTGCACGATACGGACGGGGAGGATAAACGTGTTGAGATTCGTCGGCATGTTGGGCAGCTAGCTCTTCTCATGAAGATATTCGGGTTGAAAACTATCTGTTGTTGAGGGTATGTAGGTAGGTAGGTAGGCAGGTAGACTTTGAATGTTTCTTTGTGAGGCAAGAGAGAGGAGTCTTTGTGTATGTATATATATGTGTGTGTCGTTCTGCGCCGTCCGTGTCTCTGAATGTCTAGGTCGACGACGGACAATGGATCAAATCATGAAGCGTGACTGTGATGTAGCAAATAACCAGATTCCTTGGCTTGGCATGGCATGGCGAGACATGGGGGATTCCTAGATGACGAGTGTGTGTGGCTGCTACCACTTGTTACCTACAATTTACCAGTTTCGTGAGACGAATCGGTGGATTTCTTGATATCGGTGTAGGGGTGGGTGGTAGGGGGGGATTGAGGGGCAAGTTTTTTAATTAAGCGAATGGTCAACTGACGCGTGGTGGCACAAGCACAAGGTAAGGCAAGCAATACGTAAAGAGCTGGGTGGTATACTGTATACCTTGCAAACATCAGGAATTCGATGCGTTTCAAGAGAGAGAGAAAGAGAGCGAGGAAGAGAGGTTGTATGTAACTGGAGTAATATGACGTCACCTCATAGGTTCCTGGATATAGAAGATATTGTCTTTCTATTCTTTGGTATATATACTACACCTCCCTAGCTATAGCGACAGCTACCGAGAACCGATGTTTAGCATCTTAGTGCGGCCGCAGCTTCCAAGCAAATAGCTTGTAACCGCTATAATCCGGCCTGCCTCTCAGCGTATTTAATCGAAACAACTGCCTTGTCAAGATACAAGGTAGGCTATAACTCTTTTCAATCAAGTTCAAACAAACCCCCTATGTTCTCAGGACACTGATATAGCAGCCATCGAGCCTAACACCTTTATGGTTAACATATTAAGAAGTTTAAAATACTATACTGCATGAGATACCCGCCTAAAACTTCTCGTTGATCAATTACGAATCTCTATTATTATTATAAGGGGATTAATACTTAAATACTCTAAAGAATCGGCTTTAGCTTTAGTACGGGAGATGGAACCTTATACAACGTTACTAGACTACATACGAGGACCCTTCTTCTGCATCGAAAATTCCACCTGAGCACGAGTCACGCTGCCGGTTCCTCGTCTCTATCTCAGGAAGGCTCAGTCTACTAACACTAATATAAACCTCTAACATTCTATTGATTAATCTCGTGGCATTGATGGTTAAAGTTGGAGTGCTAAGAAAAATACGGGTTTAAAGTTTTGATTGTTTCTCTAATAAGGGTAACGTATAGAGATCTTGAAAGCCGCTATTATTTGTGCGTTAGGTACCGAACTTGTTAATGTAACCTTATATTTTCCATTTCATCCTAACTCTAAGCCCTAGAATTGATCTAGAGAGTCTATGAGGCGGTTCTTGGTACTAATAACTAGCATCGTTAAAGTGACGTTGGCCACACCAGCCGGGCAGCCCGAATCGTATCACACTTAATAGAATCTGAAATCTGGTTCTTCGAACTGCAAATTTGAATCTACTATGAGAAGTAGACATCTTCATCTATGAACTCAGTCTAGTATCGTTGAAAGACTTTAGAACCTGCAAGTTCTAAAAGAGGGCTATATTCGAAACTATTCCTCGAGGGTCTCGTGACCATCCTCGACGTAAACACAAAGTTAGACAACTACCTTAGCACCCGTACAACTTTAAAAGAGCCTGTTCAAACTCTATAGTATGAGAGTTTTGCATTACACGTTACTTTAGCATAAAGTCAACTATGGTCTGTCTCGACATGTTAAGTAGTAGACTCTTCCCTTTCCTAAATGTCCATTTCCACAATCTTCCATCATACAGATCTTGTTTGAGCCAAATATATCAAGTTCTACACCTATTATCATCAGGCGTATTAGAAAACAATGCATCCCCAAGCTCAATCAGGGGTCCACCTCCCGCGCCATGAACCTCCCGTACCACCGAACCTCCCCCTCGAACAAACATCAATCCCGTCTCCACCAACCTGTAGTAAGCAAGAGGATATCCCGTCTTCAAACCCAACTTCCGGATCTCTAGCAGAACGTCTCACCGATGACCTCCTCAACGAAAGGTATGATATTTACATCATATACCCACCACTGCGCATCTAACCATCCCATCCCATCCCATCTCAATCAAGTTCTCAACAACCCCTCTCCTAACACACCACGCCCCCTAGATCCACCTGCCCAATCTGCATCAGCACCATCCACCCCACGAGCCCCCTCTGGACCTGCACCTCCTGCCACCACATATACGACTTCGTGTGCGCCCAGAAATGGGCCAACCGCAGTCGCAATAGCCCCAACACAAGCACAAACTACGCATGGCAGTGTCATCCGGGGCCGTGCGAGGAGCTGGTTTGTGCGTTGGCGGTGGAGGGACTGGGCAGGAGGTTGTGAGTAGTGGGTGTGTTTAGGTATCTTTGCGGTTCGTTCGTGAGGGAGGGGGGGACGGGGGGCTATACTTGGGTGCGTGTGGTGATGCGTAGTGCTGTGCGGGGGTTTGAGAAGAGAGAGATGGTAGGGAAGTTCATGTTTGATTTGATATGCGCATAAATAGGTAGAGTGTAGTCAATTTATAAAGTACTAGCTAGATATGACAGCAGATATCCACGGGCAAGCAAAGCGTCAGTAGTCGGAGAATCTATGGATCTGAACCAAACCGCAGATTCGAGACTTGGAAGAGCAATCAATCGACTAATCATCACAGAAAATTAGCACTCTTAGGGAGCTGAATTATCTCGGTAAAAGTGCTTTGCTGCTATGTATTTATTTATTCAAAGGTTCGATTTTTCTTCTTGCGGTTGCGACGGCCTCTCCCACAACTGTGAGTAACAACGTACACCTTCTGCGACTTTATAACTTTATATGGATTGTGACTAACATAATCGACGAAATGCAATTAGGAAGTTGCTTGTCCTGGGTGTGCGCAGGAAAGATATAGACTGCAAGGTTCTGTCTGTATTAAACCAAGAACTCGACGATACAGCTCGAGGATAACATCTTTGATTAACTGTACCCCAGAAGCTGAACCCCCCGAGATTAAGCAAGAAAAAATAGTGATAATCAGCATTGCAAGAATCGAGACGGATCCGCAAAACAGTCACTTGGAAAGCGTAAAAGAGATACGACGTGAACAGAGTCAGGAAGAGACCAAATAATTGGTAAGCCTTAAAGAGATTAAATGATTGTCTCCCAGTCCTCACACATACTTTAAGAAGCCAAACCAATAAATGCAACAGGGTATCGAGTCGCGGAAACCAAGTCTAAGCTAAGCAGCTCTCTCACCCCTCTTCCGATTCTCCCTATGTCTCTTCTCCTTCGCCACAGTTCTCCGCCTCTTCTTCCACGCCCTACTCGTGTCGCCCCTATTTTCATAAAACCATTTCTGGAAATCGCTCTCTGCACTCGCACCCTCCTTCTTTTCCCCTTCCTTGCTACTCGATCCTTTACGAATCGGCGAAGTCGGTACATCATCATCCTCGTCGTCGGAATTTTCAGTGGGCCAGACAAATCGTTTGTTAGGATGTGCAGTATCGGGCGTTGGTGCCGCGCTTCGCATCCCGCGGTATTCGAAATCGCGTTGTGTAAAAGGCGTTAATGGCACCTGATTTGGGACTTCGTCCATTTCCTCATCCACATCGCCATCAGCGCCAAAGAAATTGAAGGACGGTACATCTGGCTCAGGCGCAACTCCGTCATCTGGCTTGGGCTTTTTGTAGAGCGCTTCTAAGGGATGGACGGTGTGGGCAGGAGTCGATATTGCTGAGGGGATCTTGATGCTTAGACTGATGGGAGGGCCGGAAGATGATTGTGGGCGGGACAAGGGGCGGGGGGAAGGTTGTAGGGCGGATTCTGATTCTGAGGATTCTGAGGATTCTGAAGAGTCGGACTCGGAGTCGGATTCTGAGGACGAAGAGCCGGATGTGGATGTTTCTGTGTCTTCCTCTGCTGCCTGCGGGACTAGCGTAGGAGCTGATGCGGATGGAGAAGTTATTTCTTCTTCAGAGGAACTTTCGTCGCTGCTCTCGTCCTGGGCTGGCTTGGTGGGTACTTTCGAGGTTGAAACCGTATTGTCGTGATCCGATTCCTCTTCTGATGAACTCTCATCTTTATCGTCCTTTGATGCCCTCTCTGCAACCAGTACTTTCGATTCTACCTTTGGCGTCTTCTGAGACTTCTTGACCTCCTCAAGCACATTCCCCTCTTCGTCTACCCACCCCTTGCCCTCCACAAACTCTACAGCCTTGGAGCCACCCGCAACGGCATTATCTCTCAAGAACGTCGCATACTTGGTACTCTTCGAAAATTCATGCACAAGTGCCTCCTTCCCGGCCTTCCTGTGTTTCTTGTCCGTTTTTCCATCCATAGACTTCGCATTCGCCGCAACATTAGGAGGAACGACTGTTTTGAAAAGACATTCCGAACCCGTAGTATATTTCGATTTGATCTTCTTCTTGTCCTTATCTGGTTTCCCCGGAACAGTCCATCCCCGCTTCACACTGCGTTCTCCGATATCCACACCGGGTATGGTGCTGTCCCTCTTGCGCTTCTTCGGCTTCTTCTTGGCTTGTTCTGGCTCTTCTGCTATGGGTGGTTCTTTATCCGGCCTTGCCTTCTCGATGCGGATTTTCGTTCCTTTAAGGATGGAGCCATTGAGCTTCTTTTTGATCTTCTCGGCATCCATGATGGGGAGTTCGACGTAGCCGTAGGCTTTTTCAGGGAAGGTCTCGATTGTGTGGTAGGAGATGTTGCGGGCGTTGGGGAGGACTGAGGGTGGGAGAATGGTGGCGAGGAGGGGTGGGGTTGAGGGGGGTGATATGGAGGCGGGTGTATTCTGACTCCATATCACATGAAGGTAGAGGGATGTCGATGTTTTGGTGGGGGAGCTTTGAGCTTGGAGGTTGGGGTTGGGGGGAATATTTTCTGCATCTCGGCTCGGCTAAATGATCTCGGCACTAACGCTGTTACTCGCCTATATTGAAATAAGCGAAAATGTGTCAAAAACATCACAAATGTTAGAGGGGACTTGGTAAATAACACCTTCAACATCATCATCATGGATATACATCTAACTCAATCACAGGTCTAGGGGTATGATACTCGCTTCGCACACTTCCACAGTGTAGCTTGTGAGGGGTCGGGGGTTCAATTCCCCCAGTCTCCAACTTTTTGCTCTTCTAGGCTCTCTTTTTGTATGCCAGAGCAAGCACTTGTATTTTTTTGTAATCTTATATGAATTTTTATCATTTATTATCTCAGTACTGTACTGCGGGTTGCCCCCCCCCCCTGGTTTAGCGACCCTTTGCTTCGGGCAAGGTGCGTGTACGGTCCAGCCGCCGCTTTTAACGTTTATAAAACTCGCGCTCCTCCGCTGCTTAAAGATCTTCTTCTTCTATCTATTCCTAACACCCCGCGCCTAGTCGTTTGATCTTATTATACGCTCTCTACGCTACCTATATAGACCCACTCCGAATAACCTTCTATCGGCCTCGCCGCAGCTGAGAACGACGGCACAGCCTATTAGATAGCGAATCCTCGGTCTCCCGCTCTTGTATTAAGTTCTTAAGTGTATATAATAGCGATTATTCCTCTTGAGCTAGTTGGATTGGTTGATATATAAGTATAAGCACCAGCTCCTCTCTCTCCTTATTATTGGACTATTATAAGCCTTACGATCGACTGGGATAATATAGTCTTTACTCTTAGCCTTGATTTTATGCGCTAAGACTTTGGAAATTGAAACAATACCTTATAATAACGCTGCTTACTACTACCTAGCTGTGCCACGATAAATTGCGTGTTCTAACGCGCGTTGGTGAACTGGAAGAAGGCAGGTTCCACTATGGCTCTAACATGGAACGCTCGGACTTATCCACTACGTCGCTGGTTCTCTGCATATAGAACCATTACTTATCAGTACATTCGACCGTCGACCGTTGCTACGTTTGCGACTTCAGTCGAAAGGCAGAGTGCTAACCGCGCAATAACAATGCCCCTCCTCTGCGCAGAGAGGTCTAATGGAACGTGTATGTATAGCACATCCTCACTCTTCAGGATCCTAATGTTTGTAGTGGAAGATATATCGGAGGAGGAACTCTACAGATACACAAGGAATCGCTGGATGCACGTCTAACATTCCTCCTTATTATTCGAGCTATATGCGTTAACGCTAACCTGGTATAGATTCAATGAATCTGTACAGCTGTCAGAAAGATATCTTGAATTCGACCTTCAACAACTCCTGAAGTTACAGCGGTCTCTAGTGAGGGTGCCCGTTATTGTGCGTCTCTACAATCCATCCTATCTATTAAACTCGTGGCTGACTTAGACTTTAGGCACTAGAGTTCTCAAGTGTCGTGAAGGGCTTAACAATAAAGCCTACTTGCTCACGATGGATAACGGTTCGGAGGTCTTTGCAAAGCTCCCAAATCTGATCGCGGGGCCTGCTTATTATACAACGGCGTCGGAAGTAGCCACTCGCGAATTTGTAAGTACTTCTGTCATCTAAGCCTAAGAACCGAAACCTAACCTTTGATATTATTAGCTGCGCGATGCATTGAATATTCCTACTCCTCGTATTATTGCCTGGTCTGCTGATCGAAACAATGCGGTTGGGGCAGAATACATCCTGGAGGAAAAGGCCCCAGGCAAGCCACTGGGCAGTCTCTGGTATCAATGGTAGATGAATTTCAAACTTGAAATGATATCGCAGATTGTGGGGATAGAGCGGCAGCTTGCATCGACGAAGTTCGTGAAATCCGGTTGCATCTATTTCAGGGATGACATTCCAGAGGATATGTGCAGTGATAACGCTATAATAACCAATGTGCCACTGGACTCATCGGTACTCGAACGTTTCAAGATGGGACCGCTCGTCTCGAGCGGGATGTGGCGCGGTGAAAGGGCAGGCATGGATATGAATAGAGGACCATGTGAGTCTCCCATTTAATACAATACAAACTAGCTTGTTCTAACGGTACGCAGATAACGGACCGCTCGAGTTTATAGAAGCTATGGCTACAAATGAGATGCAGTTTATCAAAACGCATGCGCGTCCTCGTATGAATTACCATCGATCCCCTACAGAACCCGAGTCGCCCGAGGAGGTGCTTGATCTCTTAGATCGGTATCTACAACTCGCTCCAGCTATGGTACCTCCCTTAGGGACGGACGATACACACTCGCCAACACTTTGGCATCCAGACCTCCATCTTGATAACGTATTCGTTGACCCCGAATCAAAGCAAATCACTCGCATAATTGACTGGCAATCAGCTGCCGTTATGCCCTTCTTTTACCAATGTGGCGTCCCGAGGATGTTTCGGCATCCAGGGATAGTTGCTGATGGTTGGGCCTTGTCCGAGCTTCCAGAGGATTATGACAGCCTTGATCAAAACGAGAAGGCGAAGATTGATAGTGACAGAAAGAGCGAAACTTGCCATAAATATTACGAGGCGGAGACCAAGACCGAAAATCCAAGACATTGGGCTGCCCTACAACTAGACAATGCCGACGTGCGAACAGAACCATCACGCCTTGTTGTGAACGTATGGCAGGATCGCGATGTCTTTTTCCTTCGGCGGGCACTGCTTTCCATCGTCGAGCAGTGGCAGGACCTTTGTCCAGAGTCTGATAAATGTCCTGTCAGCTTCAACGAGCAGGAGCTTGCACTACACGAGGCCGAGGAGGAGAGTATGAGCAATGTTGGAGAAATATTAAGACTCTTTCGAGATAAATGGGGACTGCCTCCAAATGGGATGGTAGATCCAACTGAATTCGACCAGATACGTACTGCTGTAGCCGAGCTCAGGAATTCCTTCATTGAGGATGCTGATGATGAGGCGGAAAGGGAACTCTTCGCAAAGCTATGGCCGTACCAGGATGCGGACATCTAAGGTCATAGTGCATGTGGATTCAGGGACTGCCGCAGCAATGTCCGACCCTAACCACCATGGGAGCCGGAGCACGTAAAGGTTAATTGTTTGAGCGAGCGGTCGAGGCTGCATAAAACAGCGATAAAAGCTATTGAATCCGGCAGTCAGAACCGTAGTAGTCCGACATATACTATTATATATCCAAATATTTCCCTACATATCTATCTTTTACTGCTCGTGTTTTTCCTTCTCTACAGACTTTTATACAAATTCGACAGGTGTAGCGACACTAGATAGGCGAGAACGAACCCCTGAAACTTAATAGCTGTGTTTCATCATTAAATGAGAAATAAATGGGGTACATAGCAGCATGTATCTGACGCTGGTCAAGCAACCTGCTCTCAAGTAATAATACTACGCCTAAGCTACTTGGCATTAGAACCTCATATCGCTACATAATAGCCCAGTTCCGACTTCCTCCTCACTCCATGGCTTTGAAAGAAGGAATCGCGGAAGACTTGATGGATTCCAGCACCTCCTTCCAATTTCTCTCCTTCAACCAATCTTCATAGGACTTAGTAAGTCCCTTCTTCTTCAACTGGGGCGGTTCAATAAACTTCTCAATCCCACTCATATACCCAAACTCGCTAATCGCATTCGGCGCAGCCAACGCTTCCTTGGGAAGCCCAAATTTCTCGTGCAAAAAGGTCGTGGTCACTAGCACGAATTCTGCTTCCTGCCCACTCGTTTTCGACCACAGCTTTACAATTTCCTCAGCTGTGAGGTAGCTGTCGTAAGCCAACAAGTGCGTACCCACATCCTCGTCCTCGACCAACGCACGCACAAACGGGCCGGTTGAATTCACGGGATCGATGATTGGTACTTTGACCTCTTTGCTAAAAGGCACAAGGAATTTGAATTGCCCGCTCTCGGCATCGAATCGCGGACCTGCGATGAATGGATTTGTGGTGTAAGCGCCCAGGTAGATGAAAGACGCCTTTTTAGCCAACTCGGGTTCCTCTTTTATAATGTACTCGGCAATGGTTGGTTTGGTCTCGTTGTGATGAGCACCGTATTTCCCATTGCTGCCCTTTCGGATGCTGGGCAGAGTGGAATAAACGTAGCGCTCTAGCGATGGCACAGCAGCTGCTGCGTGCGCGGCGTTCTTCCCCCACGAGACTTCCTTCTCGAATGCTATTTCCCCGGCTCTGTCCAAAGCGTTTTCTTGCCCGGCGAATTCCTTGTTCGTGGCTCCATACACGGCCCAGAAATCGGTGTTCACGAAGATGGCGTTTGCGTGGGAGAAGGCTTTGGATAGGGAGCCGGGGTCCTCAAGATCGGCTTGTACGAGTTCAGCTCCTAGAGCAGCGAGTGCTTGCGAGGCGGGGGATGAAGGGTTGCGGGTTATGCAGCGGACGTGCCATGAGGGGAGATTGAGGAATGTGTGGGCTACTGAGGAGCCTTGGTTTCCGGTGGCACCAACGACTACGATGATCTTCTTTTGAGTGGCCATGATGAGATGTGGTAGTGGGTGGAAGTTTCAGGATTGAGACCGAGAATACTTGCGAGTCTGTAGAGGCCTTTCTTCAAGAAGGGAGTATGATGAATAAATGATGAGATGATGGGAGAGATTTAGGAAGAGATCCGGCACTTTATATCACCTTCTTGAACAGATATCTTGAACGGGGTTTACTTAACTCCTAGGTACCCTTCGTATAAGACGAGAGACGTTCTCCATAAAACATGGCTTACCGGTTCATGCTTGGATTATAACGTTGAACTTTACTACCTGTAGTTGTTTTGGATGTGGCTTATGAAGGTCTTCTTCCAAATACACCCACTTTTAACTCCGTAACACCGCCCGATTGGCCGACGAATCGTAAGCCAGAAGCCCCTCCAAGCAACAACGACAGTCTTTACATACAATTGCTAAATCAAGTACACATCTTTGGATATGGCTTACCTGCACAAATCTACCTTGCTATAATCGATCGAACCTACTGTAGCTCAAGGATGTGGATGTCTTACGATGATGAATCAACCTGATCATGAACGAAGAGAGGCTGGTTCCAGTGGGCGGCGGAAGCGAATCATTACCGAAGCTCGGAAGGAACAGAATCGTAATTCGCAACAACTATATCGTGAGTTGGCTTATTGTTCTAGGTTACAGGAGATAAGAAAGTTAGATGATTAACTCAATGTCACATCACAGGCCAGAGACAAAAAGACCGCATTCAAAATCGGGGTGTCAACCGTCATGCTCCAATGAAGCAGCATCAGCTGAGGCCCCTGAAGCCTCAAAGCATACTGCTAGGTGCTAGTGAGAGTGCTATAAGCTCTTCTGGAGATGGCATAACGGACATATCTCAGACGCGGGGAGACGGGGTCCCTGTCCCGTTCTTCAATGAGCCTGAGTTGCAATCTGACTCCTCACCGTCCATATCATTGGACCTCGATTGGATAACCCCTGAGCTATTCCCAAGCGATGACTTCAATGGAGATGAAGTTCTGTCTCTCTCATTGGCCTCTGCGTCTTTGGATGGCATGTTGGTCAATACTCCTAGCTACAATGGCACGATATTCCAGGACCCATGCATAGCTGTTAACTCCAACCAGGCAGGATCAGTCCTTGGAGTTTTAGCACCAAAGTTCTTCGATCTTCCAACGTCCAACCAATTCTCCCTACCGGCATCCAACCACTCAAGCTGGCCTGCCTCTATAGATGCCACAGCACTAAGCTGTTATACATCCCCGCGCGGACTTTTAAACTCACCTCAATACCCCCCTCTGGATTCCAACTCTCCCGTACCAGACACCACATCCACATCCCCAACCACAACCGCCTCACTACTCCCAGAACCCCCAATATTCGCCCCAGCCGCAACCCCCCTCCTCCAAGACCTCATAACAGCAACCTCAGCATTCCTCTACGGCCACCCAATCCCCATCACGCGCTCCACCCCACCCGTCCCCTCCGCCTACCTAAACTACATCCAAACAACCTTCACCTCGACCCTGCACGCCTACTTCCACAACCTGCCTTGCATCAACCTCTCACCACGCGACCTCCTGCTGCATAGATCTCCCTTCTATAACCCCTCGGTAACCGCTTCCTCGGATCCACAGGCTATTCTGGTAAGTAATCTTACATGTAAACAGAATATACAAGTTTCTTTTGCTCTGCCCAGACAAATAACTACCGCACTTTGAAACCCCTTCTCACTCCTTCCCCAAAACACCTACACTAACAACCCCCTAGCCCAGCAACCCCCACATCCCCCCCGATCTCCGCCCAACACCAAGCCAGGTCCTTATCGCCCACCCGCCGTATCTGGACCTCCTCCCATTCCCCGCATTCCGGGATAAAGCAATTGTACTGGGTGGTGCAGGCGGAGGGATTGTGGATCCATGGGAGCTGAAGCGAGATATTTTCATGGATGGTGTGGTGTATAGACGGGAGCGCGGAGGCGTGCCGTGGGAGGCGGGAAGTTGGGAGGCGAGGGGGTGGTTTATTAGAAAGTGGAGGGTGCTTGTTGGGTAATGGGATGGATTGTGTTTATGGAAGAGTGTAGGTAGATTTTGTTTTTGAAACGAAATTGGTATTCAATCGATCGATCTATGAGGTATGATATAACTATTTAAGAAATCACTGCAAGCTTCTAACGGCCTTGATAACGCTCTGTGGGTCCAATCCCTGGTGGAAAATCTGCTCTCCAAGACCACCGGATCCTTCCTTTGTCGTGCCGATATATTTGTACTTGGGCGTCAATTGTCGTTCCAACAGCCACGTGCCCAGCTTACTCCCTAGTCCAGTCTTCTGGTTCAAACTCTCCAGTACCAAAACAAAGCCGGTAGAACCCCATTTCCGCATCGCTTCCTCGTCAACAACATTCAGCGTGGACTTGTTGATAAGACCAACGTCCAACCCTTCGGAGCGCAGACGATCGACAGCGTCGACGGCGCGGTACACCATCTCGCCGAACGTAACGACGTATCCTGCGGTTCCGGTGCGGATAAATTCGTCCTTGCCGGGGGCGAACTCATATCCTTTGCCGTAGAATGGCTCTTCGCTCTTCTCCTTCAGGATCAAGGGTACCTTAGCACGGGTTGAGATTACGAGTCTAATCCCTTGGTCCCAGAATACCTTGGCAACAGTGGCGCGCATCTGGTTTGCATCCGCAGGGAAGTAAAGTCTGGTCGTATCGCCATCGATCAGGCCATTATCGGCAAAGTAGGTATTAAGGCCGAAATGGCAGGTGTTGTCTGCCATCTCGTCAACACCGGAGTGGGAGAAATGACACAGGACGTTTGCGAGGTTAAGGCGAGCCATGGTGATTTCCGAGATGATCATCTCGAGGAAGGCAGAGAATGTGGAGAAAATTCCCTGTCTGTCCTTGGTAGAACCAAAACCGGCTGCTGCAGAAAAGTTGCCTCGCTCCATGATTCCGGAAGAGAGGAACACTTCAGGGCGCTGCTTGTGGATTACACTCAATCCGGTTGAGCCCTCAAGATCCGAGTCGATTACGCGGACACGATCGCGGGCTTCCTCCTTTGAAAGGCCTTCTAGAACTGAGACGACGGCTTCACCAAAAACGACACGGTTGGCGCTCTTCTCCTGGGTAGAGCCAGTGTAGAGATATGCGAGGGAGTTGGGCGTGATGGCTTGGAGCTTCTCAACAGCTTTGTCGTAACCACGTTCCTTGAGATATTCGGTTGCAATCTTGACGGGAATGACATCGTGGGCGTGAGTTGTACCTTCTAAACCCTTAATTCCCGGAGCCATCTTTCTCTTGCAGATAACAGCAGCAGGTCCATTGTGTGTGACTGCGGTGCATATAGAAGCATAGAGCTTGTCAACGTCCTCTCCCGGTGTCTCAAATACAGTCAGGCCATGTCCCTTCAATGTCTGTGCCAACGAGTATCCTTTCATGTAGTCCGAAGGATGTCCGGCAATGGTAACATCGTTATCGTCGACAATAATCTTGACGTTTAAGTTCTGTGCCACGGCAAGACGAGCGGCCTCGGCATCGTCTCCTTCTTGTTGAGAACCATCCGAGCCGAGCATGAAGAGTGTCTTATCTGGGTTCGCAAGGGCGACACCATTAACAAACGACCACAAGTGTCCGAGACGTCCGGAGCTGAACTGGACGCCGGGTGTGAGACCGAGTTCGGGATGACCCGGCAACTTGGAATTGGCCTCACGGTAATGCAGGAGATGTTCGAATGGGATATGCTTGTGCAGAGCACTCAGCAGATACTGCGTAGCGACTCTGTGTCCGGCTTCATCGTATACAATGGGGATGAATTTCTCTGAGGAGTGTAGGAAGAAGGCCTCGAGGATGCATACTTCGGGAATGGTATCGTATGGACCACCAGTGTGACCGCTTACTCCGCGAGCTGCTCCGGAGGATGTGAAGTAGACGATTGTGTCTCGGAGGACGGCGATGTTTGATAGAAGATCAGCTTTTTGCTGTTCGGATAGCTTGGGATTGGCGGGGTCGAGGGCGATGGGCTTGTATTTGGCAAAAACATCAATGCCGAAGTCTGCGGTTGCGCTAGCCATTTTTGATTGGGGCTGAGTGGATTGTAAGACAGAGTATTGGAGTCCTGGAGAAGAGGCTCGTCTGTATATGTATCCTTAGACGTGTATACCAAGAGTGAGTGTGGTTATGGTGTTGAGGGAAAAAATCAGATGTTGTGGTTGTAACTTACCACCCCACCAATACTTTACACGGATGAGTAAGCCTTATGTGACGTAGCATGGTGGGGGTGAGGTGGCGAGGCTGGGTGGCCGGGGGAAACTCGCTGATTGTCCCGGACTTGACGGAAAAATACCCTCCGTTTACGAGTAGCTACAAGTAGGTCGTCAGATATCGTAAAGGGTGAAGACAAAACGAAATCCACACAGAAATAGAAGTGGTATTGGTGCTGGTGGTAGTAGAATTGTAAGTTGGCGAGTAATATGAGTCGTTTGAAAACATATACATGCATACTAAGGTAGTAAGTTGATGTGGAATGGTAAATGCATTGCAAGTAAATAGGGGGAAGGGCGGGAAGAAGAACCAGTTGAGACATGGAGCTCCTACTGTATAAAAGGCCGGTGGCTAAATCACAAACAATTATATACCACCAGTACTGGATTTCTATAATCCATCTTGAGAAAGGTCCTCAACCCCCAAGTGTATTCTTACTTTTGTACAGAGGGAGCTGTGGTGCGCCCCGTTTAGGATTCAGCATTTCCGGGTGTTCTAACTTACAAAACACTGGTACGGATTGCCTTGGGTTGGTTCCTATAGCGCTCGGATTTGGAGAGTCACGGAAGTTGGATGCTAGCCTGAAGCGTTGAAATATTGAAGGACTAGGCATCTAGTCCGGAACATCGATAAGATGGGGCATATTTATTGCATATGGCGAAGCGTTGTAGCCGTCGCTTACTTTGATTTGGCCTGTTGACAGATCCCGAAAGCTTCAAGTTTGGGAGTGGCCTTCAAAGCTATACCGGTTCTAGAACTCACGTGAGTACCGAGCAGAATCTCGGGCATCTAAACAAGAGAATCTTCAAAGTGACTTCATGTCAAGCTGTTTGTACTTATTCATACATTTCTGGAATTCTGTACCGTAGATGCGCCAAGGACATGTCTGGAGAAATGGCTGTGCTCACGTGATAGAGACACAGAACCCTCGCTCACAAATCTCTACCGCCGCAACTTTCTCGAGTCAGAGAACACTCCTTCGACACAGTCACCAACGCGTCTATCTCATCAACGGCATTCTGTATATCACCTCATTCTTATGCCATTGTGCTGTATGACAGAACTATGTATACATCCTTCGTAAGCTGCATCTCCATTGGCACAGTCGCATCGTCCTTCACGAAGGTGAAGTATTGGCATGAGGGGTTATATTTAGCCAAAGACCGGAAACTCCTTTACAACTTCCATCCGCCATAGTCCTCAGTTCATAATCCACGTCCCTCGCATGTTTTCGTCCATTGATCATAGTCACGTGTGGATCATTATGAAGACGTGAATTATCTGCAATGAGCACATTGTATCAATATTATAAGGGCCTTGCTATCCTCAAAGTTTTGAGATATTTGTTTCCGATCATTTCAAATTCCAACATGGCGTATTCAAGTGGCTGGCTGTACAGTCGCAACTTCCTCTTCTATGGACAACTTCTTTCCTTTCGACCTCTTCCCTTCCCCACTCTTCATCTTCATCTTTATCCTCATCCTAAACCTCCACCGAGCCCCGACTCGGAGACATTGTTATGCTTCTTCTTTCTCTTGACCAATTCTCCTAAAATGTCTATCACACAAAGTCCTCCACTTGTCCCCCAAATCGAAACCCTCGCACCTTCGCCTCCAAAGAGCGCAACGAGCCGGAGTCTGAGCCCTGAGCCGGTGATTAAAACTCGACCATCAGCGAACCTCTCGACTATTCCCTCAACTCAGTCAGGATCCCAGTTGAATCTTGTACGCCGTCCTACTGTTGTGCGGTCAGCACATTCTGCACCCCCTCCCTTGAGAATCGTGTCTACTCCGTACAGACAGGAGATTCAAGCTCCCCCTCCAACAGAAATCCCTACCCCAAGTCAGAACCAGTTAAAGCCGCAATCGAATTATTTCTCCCCACGGCATACCCGAGCCCCGTCACCTTCCGGTAACTTGTCTCCGGCGTCATGTATAAGCGCATCCAGTGGCTCTCTTTACTCCGATGATCGAAGCCAATGCAGTTACAGTGATAGCGAACATCTCTCTCCAGCATTGATTCACCCTCATCATGACAATCCACCTTACAAACCACGAAGACGGGACTCTACTAGTTTGACGATGATCAACAAGTTATGGCGGGTGAACACCGATCCACATTGCCAAGAGCACAGATTCAAAAGGCGACACCGTCGGAGGAATCATTGCAGACACCACGAACGAAGACTGCACCAACATGAGAAGCAATTCCACTCCTGTGGCAGCATTACATGCCAGATCTCTCCAACCGCTTCTGAAGGCTTCAAAAACCTGTTTTTGGGTCGAGTAGGGAATTATATCCCTTCAAGGGCTCCTGGAGGTACTCTTGATACATTTGGGAAGGTTCTGTCTCAAAACAAGTCCAGCCCAGCATCACCTGTTTTAACTCGACGATGGAGCTCTGTGGAGATCGGCGCCCATCAAATACATAAGCTATCAGTATTACCTGCGGGAGCTACCGACAATGCGAAGTCGCCTAATCTGATTTCGAATGGCTCAAAATTCTCTTCCATCAACCTTAAAGGACGTCATCGAAGCTCGACGTCTCTTAGAGGAGCTATAGATCATGACATTATCCGAAAGGTCCGTCACAGGTTGACATTGCGAGAACTCACTCAAAGCGAACTGGAAATTCCAGCCTCCATCACCTTGAGGAGAGCCAGCGGGGTCAACGATATGCCTGACGCAACAACTTCCGATCACGGTCATACAGGTAAAACTACGCCGAGAATACTGTCTCCCCATGGTTCATATCAGATGCACCCTTCAGCTACGTATTTGATCACGCGTCAGGACATCGATTCCATCACTGCGTTAATTGAAGCCGACCTCAATGAACGACATCGGCATGACAGACGCAGATGGCCTCGCCCCAGAAAAAGTAGACCCCCGAATTCTCAAGGCGCGAGATCACCACGCATAATAAGGACAGGTTCAGTCCCAACTGACAGTCCTTCAAGCTCTACCGTCTCGGCTATCAAAGTAATGCGATCATTTGTGGTGCCCGTAAGACCGCTAGGCGACCACGAAGCGACAAAAAGTGGCAAAGTCTCGCAGGCTGGTTCAGATAAAAGTCAAGAGAGTACCCACGAAGTGATCTGGCAAGGGGCTGGTGGTTCACCCCAGAGTGAGAGTTCTTTGACAGAAGAGGAGTGCGCCAAATCTCCGCACGCCTCATCTTCGGATCCTATGACTTCAGATAAAGGAAATGCCTTTGATCCCAAGAATGCCACAGCATCTATCAACGAATGGTCTTTTCGATCCATGCATAAAGACCTTCAGATGAACTTCACTTCTTCCGAATCCGAACCAGATGAGCCAGTTCCACCTGGATCTCGAGCATCCAAGCCTCTAGGGGCCAGCACGTCTATGTTATCAAAGACGAGTGAAGAAGCTACTCACAAAATGCAGTCACAAAGTGGGCCCCAAAATAAAGCTAGTCCCGAAAAAAAGTCTCGACCGAGATTTCGGACACTCGAAGAACCAGTTTCTTTTCCTCCTCTACCTGTGAGAAAGACGACCTTTGACTGGTACTCACCTCTTCCCGAAATAGATGCTCCCAAGCAGCTGCAACCATCTCATTCTCTCTATGAACTTGGGCTTGACATCACGTACGGGCCGTCCGCTACGGACTTGGAAAGACCAACTCCTAAAGCCTCTTGCAAACAGTCATCTAGCTTTGGTCACAGGTCACGCGTTCCAACCATTGAATTTCATTCGAATTATGCTCCACAGCAGGAGAAGACGGAATGGAAGCCACAGTGGTCGCGATCTGGCAGTGTTGAAATTGGAATAGATGGGGGCGAGAGCCGGAAGGACTCTATTAGAATTCATCCAAAAGCAATGGCCAGAACGGGCGAGTATTTGGCAATAGGCAACTCAATTGGAGCAAGCTCGGGCAAGCGAAGAAAGAGTTCGGTCAAGGCACTTCAACACGTTCGCACAATTGATAATGCTCATAAAGGCGAAAGAGTAGACTCTGGACGATGGCGGCGACCTTCTAAGTATCCAGCACCACGCACCCCTTCGCTATCAGAACAAGAAGCGGAAGAAACCCTCTTGATTGAAACGTCGCCGCAGCAGAACCCGCATGGCCAGATACAAACAGCACCTAGCCATAGGATGTCAATCGTCATAGGCAAGGTCCCTCCGCTGCCGAAGGTTGATCATGTAGGGATATATGGTCAGTTCACGGGAGATGTCAAAAATGGGTTGAGTCACTGTATGGAGGATTGTAATCCACATGTGTGCGATGACTGCTCGGCCGATCCGCGACAGCCCAGCGTAGATTGGATTGGATGATGGAAATGGATGTAGGATGACCTTGTGTATGATTACAACAGATTGACTTGAACAGGTTGAATGTCTTGTACTAGTGCAAGTCTACCAAAATTGACTCCTCGCAAGTACCTATTATTACAAAGTAAATATGTTTTCAGATGTGATTATCTTATTAGATACTGGTAGTAACTCTCCATAACTTAATCCCATTGGTAAAATATCAAGAAGACGACTCTTCCGAATTGCCTTAAGTTAATAAAGCCATGCAGGCATGCTGGCTTAGGCAAAAGGGGCTCAACCACGTGATGCCTCGCAGAAGACCTGATTATTTCCAAGGCTATGCATAAAAGCTTCAAGTATGTAAGTAGCACATTGTCGCCTGAATGCTTCAAGATACACTCTCAGACTATCACAAATAAAACCCTTTCGACACAACGTCCATCACGTGTGGATGGCTTCCCTGGTTCTTCGAGCTGCGTCGCTGACTGCTCACACAAATCTCAAGGATACATTACCAACGTCAACGTCTCAACAAAATGAGTCAAATAATGAATCGTCCACTCCCAGCTGCACTCATTTCCGTCTTGGAAACACACCGCCGGTACATTTGTTTACTTTTGATGGTTTGGGAGACGCCCCAATGTCACCCCAGTTAGCACGCGCCGGCCCGTTTCCCGCCGATTTGACAAGATACCTCCACAATGTCCGAGGACAAGGTCTAGTGATTGGATTCATCTCACCGCCAGGAACCCTTCTCTTGTGGGGGAAAACTACGGGCTCATGGCCAGCCATAAACAACTACAGTACAGGCCTTGGTAGTGCTATTATGGGCTATTATTACCTGAGTCTCTCAGCCAGAATGATAGGCGCATGATGCTTCTTGGCATTGAACGCCCCGCAACCGAAAAGGTCTTGGATGATCCCTTTCAGAAGCAGTTTCAGTTGGAATTCGCTGTCACGGGGGGGGGGGGGGTTGGCGAGAGGGTCTTCACATGTCAGAAGCCAGAGAAATAACGGTATTATTAAGGGACTTCATCTGCCTGGCCGTATATCTCAAGTTGAACATCAACAACAAAGACAAAAGGCTCTCGCAAATCCTTCCGCACGAGAAATTCTGCCGCCTTTTCTCAAAGCAGCTACTTCTGCAATAGGGCTCCGCAAAAGCGACATCGGATGAAAGCCCAGCCAGCTGTTCCCCACTACTGCAATAGCCTGCAAGCTTCTTTACAGTGTGTCGCCGTGCATTTGTAGCGGTCTACTCGTATGTCTAATGCGTAAGGCATTTTGCAACAGGAACAGGAACAGGACAGGAATCATCGCTGCACTCAGGACCCTCGTCAGCACTCAATTTTAAAATACGATTCAGCGGGTCCACACTTCAGAGTAGCTTTGATTCCAAGCACTCTCCTCAAATACTCTTCACACTCTCAAACGATTCTCCATTTCAAGATTTCGAAAAGACTTCAGGAGCCCCTCATCAAGCTCAAATTCGATAGTAGCCGCTAAGATACGAAGTGGGGTTTTCATCTTGCGGCAGCGACTCGCACGGACGACGGACATCAACAACACACAAAGTCGGTCACGATAGTCAGGGCCTTGTAATCCCGTTATTAAGGCTGGTGCAGGCTACTTCACGTATAAAATTTGGACGTCGTCATATAAACATCGGGGAACTACCCGGGGTAGTGAAAGCTTTTATTCTCGCACTGCCCCACGCTCAACGCTCAATTTACACTCTCCGAATCCCACATCCCTTTCAAAACTTCCGAAAATACCATGTATAGAAAGAATGATTAGAAGTGATCCAGTATATTCATATCTAAGAATCATTCTCGATTATCGAATACACGGAAATTATCCAACATCCATTGGATTGTTAAAACAATGGCTTCCCCAGCAAAAAAGTCACACCACCTTCAGCATCTCAAAACCAATCTTCACAATAGGTCTATCTCGAGTATAGCCTCGGACACGGCCACTTTCCATTCCGCTCAAGGAAATCCTCCTCAAATGGAACTTCGGACCATGTCTTCTCCCAATTCCAGGATCGTCACGCGCCCAGTCGCCCCCTCTAAACCTCTTGTCTCTCCAAAGCTTGAGTCTGTGAAGATGAATCGACAAGACTCTGGGTTTGAGGATAGCACTCGCTCTACTGCCTCATCACGACGGACCTCGTCTTCGTCAAATCGTCATCGCTCCCCCACTAAACCCAAACGTCGTACTACTCCATCTAATGACTCTGGACGTCCATCCACCAGGCTAGCAGGACGCTCCACACCATCTGATGTGCGTAATTCATGTTCGTCAGGACGGAGACCGTGCCTGCATATGCGACACACATCACCGACCCAGCAGGCTGTTCACGCGTCCACATACCAATTCTTCCAATTCCCTAGCCTCTCAGACCCCCAACCCGAGCACGATGCCGTTAGCCCTATCACTCCACCGCCTGTAACAGTTCAATATTGGACCTCGGATTCTACCAGGCGGCTAGAATACGCAGCCATAGATGCCGCAAGCGGGGGGATGAAAGGGTTTCTCATCAAGCTGATTCCGGACTGTATCTTGCCAGCTGGCTCAAGAAGAATGCGGTTCCATGAAACCGATGCGGATAGCGATGTAGGGAGTGTACGACGGTATCGACTTGCTTTGCCTGAAGAGAAAGCGAATGAGGAGGAAACCGCCGATCGGTGTGAAAGAAAGCCGAGACCTGGGCTCTGGAGACGAATGACGACATTTGGGAGCAGGAGTAGGAGCTGCTAAGCTAAGATTCTGACGACAAGAGAGTATGTATCTATGGGTTATGAGTGCATGATGTTCTTTCTTATTTTTTTGCATTGCATTGCATGAGCGCGGAGCTTGATACCCCTACACATCTCAAGGATGATGTTGACTATGGAGTTTTTGCATATATAATGGCGTTTCGAAATACAGATACAGACTGGATATTGAAATTTCTTTTGTTTCAGGACGAACATAATGGTGCAGTTATAATGTAATGATTATTTATATGAAGCAGATAAAGGTTGAATATATAGAATGAATCGCAACCTTTCGTACAATCTTCTGGCGACAATTGACTCAAAGCGTATCGATTGGATTGCATTTGTTAAACAAGTTGCGACATTGCGAAGTTGGCATACCTTGTTTGTCATAGTGTCCCTCTTAGCATTCTTGCAATTATTAGAAGCTAGCCTCACCTGTCCTTGTCCTTGTAACCAGACGTGCTGCTGTGTCCTATCCTACACACTCTCTACTCGAGAGTCAAACAGCACCTCGCCCCCTAATGAAGCGTCTCGGGTATGTATCTTCAGCCAAGTGCGCTAGAGGGGTCCGACCCCGCCTGCTCTGTATTTTGGTGGCTCCCATATAACCAGACGTTTCTATCTCTTCAACAAGTGTGTCTCCTTTGCTGCTAAGAATGCTGACTTCGGCCAGCTAGACCCTCTCATAATACGCAGCGGACCCTGCTAGAAGCTCCAAAGCAGAACTTATATCCTCGCCCTGGTAATTAACACCTGCTACTTGTGGCTCAAACCCAATTGCTTCATTGACCAGTTTCAATACTATGCCCTCTGCTCGTAAAATTTGCGGGCTTTGCCTTAGTGTGGGAAAGATAATTCGCCCGCCGTTGTCGTTGAGAGCGCATGCATAGAGGCTGTTGAGCTTGGAGACTGCATGTCTCATCTCCAGAAACGCCGCCGGCCAAGCTCCAAGGTCAAACGCAACGCCATGCAGCGCTAGTTTGCGGAGGGTAGAGTGGAAGTGGAGGAATAGCGTTAATAGCGTCTCTTTGCTCACGCGTGTATTCCTGATCTCTAGTTCCTCGAGCTTGGGTAGTCCCCCAACTGCGACCAAGCGTGTGAAGAAGGCTTCTGACTCGTGCCCGGCAAGACTGAGGCTTAGTCGCTGTAGTGAGCGGGCATGGTTGATGAGGTTTATGGTCCAGTCGAATGCGTCGCGGTCGATTGTGAAGGCCAGGGAGAGTTCTCGCAGATGTGACCATGCATTCTGGAAGTCGATGTTCTGATACAATGAATGATCCATCTTTATCATGTCAATCCTGCTAGACCCATGATTCCCCAGCTGTATTGAAAATGACTTCGCGTGCAAGCCGGTTTGGGTGATTACAGCAAGAATGTTGGCGATAGCATCCGCTGTTTTGGGTGCTCGGTTTTCATCCTCGATGCGGAAGGACCTGCAACTTGTGAACTTGTTGGTGAGAAGATTGCATAGCGTTGGCACGCTCGGTGATTGAAGCGTCAAGTGGTTAAGAGAATAGTCACTCGAACTCCGCCACGGTATCTGACCAGAAGGGCTATCTCCATCTTTGAATAGCAGGGTATGGACGTGAGGCACAAGATTATGTTCTTCGGAGAATCTCCGTAGCCTATCAATACCCGTTGAACCAAGGTTGGTTTGGAGTGTTCCGAAACAGGTATTGGCAAAGTTGTGAAAAGTCTTCTTATTGACTTCCCTAGAAACCAAGCGGAAGGAACAGAAATCTGGGATTTCCAAGGTGTCGGTAATATGTCCAAGGACCTTTGGGGACAATGAAGATAGTGAAACCATTTGAATGTGATATTTTCAAAAATGCTTCAAAGTTTGGAGGACAAGGTATGATTTTCTGGGGATACCTACATTTATATTTCATGTTAATTGAAGTATCACAAGAGAGTGGGGGTGAGAGCTTACAGGATTGGATCTGACAGCAGACTGGAAGAGGGTGATGTGCTTTACACTATTCGCACGGTTTGATACATGGAATGTTGAAGTCAATATATTGGCCTCCTTCACTATTACCTCTTCAGTCAATATCGATTATTGATAAAAGCAGAGGTTCGCTGCGATTGGAGGTAAGTCCAGCTGGACATCCTGAGACTCCAAAATGGCGATCTCGCGTAATGCTCCTCTGTCTGTGAGTTGCCGCACTCTTGCTTCTGCCATCCTTCGAGCGTTTGCTATTGCAATCTAGCTGGTTGCTGTTCGGCATGGTTCGGTATTGTCGTGTAGACCCACGGCGCGCGAAATAGCTTCAGCCTTCCGAGCTCCCCGTGAACATTTCCCCACCACATCACGCTCTGACCACAGGGCTGAAATAGTTTGTGCGGAATGCAACCTTACTATGCGTTTGTTATTTTGAAGGGGAGGATGCACCACTATCCCTGAAGTGCATGGCAACTGCGTGGCCGCCACACGCCTGAAGCGAATCCTTCCGCTAGTAGCTCCTCTCTGGTACGCATATAATGCAGCTTCCACCCGACCGCGTCTAAAAATAGAACACCGCGGCAGGTCTAATAAAATTGAGTGTGTCTTGATGTCAAAATTGGTCGCGAATAGCTTTTGAAGATAGCTAGTCTTCATCAAGTAACGAATAACTCCCATTCAAATTCTCTCTTTGCCAAGACGTGCTCGCGAGGACCACAATCCATGCGAGACACCTTCAGCTCCTTGCAAAACACGTGAAGTAAGGAGATATTGGAAGGATGATATTTTCCGATTCGATATATCTATTATATATTTGGCTTTGGACGGGATGGAACGGTCATGTGCCATATTTATGGTCGAAAACTAACTAGTATCTACATAGCGTCAATGAGCATGAGGAAACTTTGAAACTCGTCCCCCTTATCACAGAACCTGACTGCATTACGGCCGGTGCAAAAGTGGAAGCTTCCTGATTAGCTGACAGTTACAACCATCTCATTGGAGATAGTCCGTCAAAAAATTGCGCAACACGAAGCTAGTTCCTCCACATCTACAATTAGATAGATGCCCAAGCTTTGCATGTCTATCTATTTGTCGGGGGTTTCGTGACTTGTAATTTATAATTTTTCGGGAGAAGAGGGAACGAGGGGACGACAAGCAAAACGATCCTTTGAATTCGTACTATCTTCCAGATAGTCAATATTCGAATAGAACAGTAGCCGATTCTAATAGCACCACTCTTAGTTGTAAGCAATTTGCTAGTTCTCAGGTAAGACAGAGTTTAAGATGTCCTAGCTGGACTTTAGTTTTCTTGGGCTCGTGGTGTTTGCTCGTACTCCAGCCACAACACATTAGCGTAAAACATCCCGAAAGCATGGAGTGCTAACTTCACCAATGATGCATGCTTGAAGATGCAGACAATATACGAGCGATAGGTCGGCGGTTAACGTGCGATTGCATACATGCTATACCAGAGTAAGCGCTAAGAGGTGACTGTCTCAGAAAGTGACCATCTCAATGCCCGTTGAAAAACGAGGCTGCATATCCCAAGGTGGGATGTATATACTGTATTTACTTTGCAGATTAGTATCAGGAGACCAAATGATCTCCAATTTTGGAAATGCTGAATCATATTTTGCATTGATGACTGGTCAGCATCGGTAGATCTTTCCCTATTAAGTTGTCTCCAAACAACACTTGACGTTGAGTAGAGAGTGGGATACAGAGTATTCGACCTAGAGCCGTCTGACAAGGGGAATTTTTGACGACGTTCGAGCTGCATAATCAATGAAGGTTGCGCCCATATATTTTGCTACGAGAGTTATGCGCCCATGACCTTCTGTACCCAACTCCCCACGAAACCGAGTTAGACTTGCCGATGCATACTCACAATTACACCTTAGATATTCCCCGCACTATACCGGACCAACACCCCGGGATTGGGCATTGACCATGTAAGGGGGCCCAATGCATTGGAGCTTGGGTGGAAAAGACGTCTTGCAACACCGTCTTATCGCCAACCTTCTGCAATATTGTTCCCCCTCTCCCGTTTTGACTTCCTTAGGACCGCACTCCGAAGCACCAATGACGTGATCTTCCAAAAGATGCATAACGCAGATCCATGATTGTATATGGACATGTCGTATAAGCATACTCATACCAAGAGGTAGGCGCTAGTGCCTAAGTCGGTTTCCCCTTTTGGAACGTTAAGCGAAGTAAGCGAGCGAAAAAAAGGGTCTTCATTTATGGCGCCTAGCGCTCGCTTTCTCTATATATAAATCGCAGCTTTATATGCTTTCAGGTGGCACAGATGTTCAATCTAATCATCAAGCTTGGAGTCGGGTTATAATAGTTACCAGCCTAGGTATGCGGAGCTACGATTTTGCTCTAAGCTCTTACTTATAAAGTAGGTCCGTGCCAATTTTACTCTGGTGTCGGGTCTGCTTGAGTAGAACACGAAATGCAGAATAACTTATATGTCATATAGGCAGTTGAATGTTAAGTAGAAGTAACCGTCAAAAGGGGAGAACTTAATATCCACCCCTTTTATCCCAAAACTGCATAATCTGCCACTTAGCTAGATAGAGGGTTTCTGTACGCCTTTTTAAACTCTTTATTAATAGAATGTAAAACTAGATACATATGCGATGTTCAGCCCGGAAAGTGGGTCTCGGGCCGGACTACATTTTCGGGCCGGGCCGGGTTATAAAAAAGGAGGGGTCTTATAGATTAACTAGAAAGTTGACCTCTTGAAGAACTATTAACAGCTTCTAAGGCGTAAAGTTTCATGAGTCTAAGTAGCAGAATTTCAGTTGAACAGTGGTTAAGCAAGTATGCGGTACATTACCGCTGACTCTCTAGCAGCAGATAATTTAGATTAGAGCCAAAGTCAATGCATGTCTACTCTTTTGAGACGAAATAGGCACCAAATGCTCTATTAAAACGGAAGTAAGCTTCTCGATCTATATCTTTTCCTATAGTAATTAAGGTTATTGACTTGTAAACCTACTCTATAATTGATTTGAGGCTTGTGCTTCATATCACATCCGAAGATTAAGAGAAATGTTATAGTGAATCCGTGCCTACTATTCCTCACTATCTCGGGTGATGGACTTAGGACTGCTAAATATTTAGACAACGCGAAAAGAGTACCAAAGCGGACTAAACTTGAATTCTTATGGAATACATCTGCATTTTGTTTTAGCGGCAAACTAGAAGAGTGCATTTACTTTTATGCCTGGAGATTTAGTTGAATGCCGGAATAGTGTATAAAACGGTTTCAGAAACTATTACAGTCTTTTATAGAGATAAAGTAACACTCCTCCATATGGATCCATGGAAGGCCCTTAATGTACGTCGCAGCGGCAAAGATTTGTTCGACTACTAATGATATAACGACGACGAAATATCGTCTCCTACGAATAGTTCAGGATCCTGCCAATAATTTAGAGAGTCAGTGGTTGAAAACCTGATTATGCAGCAGATCGGAAGAGGTTTCAGCACACATTGAGATGGGCTCCACGAAGGGCGATAAGACTGTTTTGGTGGTTCCATAGACTGAACCTGTACCTCTAGTCTTTACTTGTCCTAGCATTCTCTTTATACCCAAGCCCCGCAAGGGTAGGGAATAGTGAATTACTTCCGCTGTAATGTGGAGCAGGGGAGAAGTCTATAAAACAAGATCACAGGCGCTATTGAAATATACAACAAGAATAGTAGAAAACGACCATGGATATATAAGGAGTGGTGATCTGAGAGGTGTTTTAGCAGGATACGATCTCCGTCAATTACGATCATAATGGCAGTGCGAGCACGGAAGAAGAGCTGGAGTTGGCCGGCACATTGATTTGGGTGTGAGCTGAAGAATAATATAATGAATGAATGGGAAGACCTGACAGCAAACTGGTTTGCGGCCAAATAAATGCATACCATAAGGTGGGTTACACACCCAGGTATTGCAAACTGTGTTTTGAAACTATCTAAGCTCCGCCATACCCTATGTTTCTAAAGATGTAATGATTTAACCCAAGCTCAAAGACATATCGATTGGGCGTTCAGAATCTTAGAAGGGGTGGTATAATGCTCATTGACAACACAGCTTCCTTTTATCGACACCTTTCAAAAGTAAAACGTGTTAATGACTCAGTACAACTTGTGGCCATGAGAAGGTCAATCCCTGCCTGACGCATCGAACTGTCTATCTTTCCTTCCAGCAAAACAAGCTGGCTTCTCATGGTATTGGGGACATAAAATACGCTCGCCGACCAAATTGCTTCGAAGCTCGACAGGGTCTATGAAACAACCGCAAGAGACTTCCTAGGAAACATTTCTATCGGTATGCACAAAGCCCTCTTGGACCAAGCGTTCTATAGGCACACAATAAATCATGGCGCCGCCGACGAACCGGATTACCGGCTGGGCGCCGCGTGAATGAATGGAATGACTTGACAGCAACTTTCTGATGACTGAATGAAATGTATGCGATGAAAGCTTGATTTGAATCGATTTATGTTCCCTAGTTACTAAACATTGCTCGAACAAGTATCTGGTTTGGAGGTAGACATTGGCGGGTTTCGGTTGTGAAGGACGGACATAGATAGCAATTCAATCTTACTTTCACACTTTTCCAGCTCTAGTTACATGATTGAATTTAACATATCTGGGAATATATTTTTTATAAATAGCCTCTGAACTTTACACGGCTGCTAGAATGTTGATATGCGTCCTTAATATGAGAAAGAATCGAGATATCATGTACGTACTGCTCAAAGGAATGGACGATTTTATGGGTTAAGCTGCAAGGTATATGATGGACAGGGAATCAGGTTCATATTTCTATTCGAATGTTCAAAGCCCAGACGCCTTGCTATATCCCTACATGTTTGAGGAAAGAAATGGATGTTCGTACAAGCCTCCCTTAACTCCGTGGATACCGTGGATATATCCAGTCCATCATATCCAACCCTAAGCACCCCCCTCCGTCCCATTACCTAGTAAACGGGCAATAAGCACATAGACAAAAATTACTCCCCCGGCAACCTTGAACTTATTCCTGCCAATCCAACTGCCACCCTCACGACCACCCTCAACCACAGTCCCGACCACAGGAACACTCCCACTTGGTCGCCTCAGTCCTCCTATTGTCGGTCCACAGCTGCCGGATGCAGCAACATCTTCAGGATCAATGATAGCTATCCCCGTCGCAGGATCGATTTTATTCTCCTTGATCCACTTCCAGTTCTCCTTATCGAGGTCCTCCCACTCGGCCCTGAATTTGGCGCCCCCGTCCCCCGCCTTAACATTCCCCTTTTGCACTTTGACCCCTTCACCCTTCCAACTTCCCCCTCCCGTCGAGTTCCACCATCTACTCCTATTGGCAGCCCACTTCCGCTCTACTTCCGAGGCACCGACCGAGCCGGTTGTCATTTCTTCAGACGTCATGAACGACAGGAGTCCGATGAGGATCGTACTAACTTCCCAGGCGGGGTTGAAGGATTTAGGGTGGAAGTCGGAGATGGAGAGACACAGACGCGTGGATGGTTGGAAGCGTCCGCTGGGAGTGTGCATTCGGATTGCGGGGGGTGCGAAGGGGTAGTTGGGTGGGAAGATCAGGGTGCCCCAGTATTGACCATTATGATAGGGGGTATCTGGAGGGCCGGTGAGGATGTAATGCCATCTGGGGAGTGGTTAGTGGTGGGGAGTAGGAGGGGTTATGGCAGGGATAGGATAGAGAGGCGTACTCCAGGATGTTTGATTCAGAGGGGTGTGCAACGATGTATGGAGGTGGGTTTTCGGATATTGTCTTGTATTCGCGGGTAAGCTGTTCGTAGTTAGTATCTGTAGTATCTATATTATCTATAACATCTGCAAATAAAATAAAATAATCTGGAGAGAACTCGTACCCGCTTGTTTGCTGCTCGGCTTGCCATGTTCGATCACGGCCCAAGGCTGGATTGTCGCAGAGAGCTTTCGAGGCCTGATACTGGGCAGGTTATACTGTCGTGGAGTTGCGCGCGGTTGAAGAGAGAGGGACAAATTAGAAGGTCGAAGAATCAGATGTGCTGAGTTGTTGTAGAATTATCAAGGTTGCATTCTTGGAGTTCGTTGTTCTTTATGTGAGTGCCGTTAGGCCGTCAGTCCGTCGAACTCAGCCTTGGACTAAGGATTAGTCAGCACCAATATTCTGAGCCGCCGGAAGCCAACCACCAAAAACAAGACCTAGCAGCAGGAAAGGGAGTTGGGAATGGCTTCAAATAATGAATCCGGGGTTAATGTAAGTCAGAATTCTCCAGGGAGAGCGATGATTTATGTTTGTAAGCTCAATTGCTAATTATTTGTTGTCCAGCTCCTCGAGAGTCTCCGCAATCCCGATAACAAAAGGTTGGAAGAGAAGGTCAAGGAATTGAGGGAACGAGAAGAAGCCCATAATGCCAAAGCTGCGCAGAGACTGAAGGATCTGGTATGTGATGATATACTGTTCGATAGGTGGATGTTAATGGGAACTAGATCGCCAGCAATTCCACTCTCCCGGTCACCATCTCCTCCATCCGCCTCATCGGTCAAGGTTCTCAGCACACCAGAAGATCTTTTCTAGACCGGTTATTCAATCCAATTCTCAGCGCGAATAGAGATGCACCATACACATTATCAGAAGCATTACAAGAAGCCGGATCAGCAGCAGACAAGCTCCGGCGTTTTGGTTTGTCTTTATTTCCTTCTATTCCAAACCGCATTCTTACACCTCTTTAGAAATCTACCATGATGTCTCCATGTTCATCGACAAACCCTCACCCACCGATCCCTCCTCAACCCCGACCGACATAAACATCTTCCTCTCCGCCCGCGAGCGCGGCCGCGTAAACCTCAAAACCGGCACCGACATAGGCAACGTGGAAGGCTCAGCATACGGCAATCTGTTATGGCGCAACATTTTTGGCGGCGCCGAATCCCTCTCCCTGAATGCCTCAAAAGGAACACGTACTCGCTCCTCCTACCAAGCCATCTTCGACACCCCGATAGCCAGTGATCCAGATAAACGCCTCACAATCGATGGCCATGCATCCTCAACCTCCAAACCCTGGGCTAGCCATGAAGAAGTTTTGAAAGGAGCAGGACTGAAATACAGCTGGGCGGCAAAGGGCGGGAGTGGACACCAAGTATCGTACTCGGGCATATGGCGACAAATCACGAATCTAGCTGCGGGTGCATCACCTACAATAAGAACTGATGCTGGTGATAGTGTCAAGAGCAGTATATCGCATACCTGGACTTCCGATCACCGCGACAACCCTCTCCTCCCCTCCCGCGGATACCTGCTTAAGACCGTCTCCGAAATCGCTGGCTGGGGTCCTCTCAGTGGCGATGTAGGCTTTTGGAAAAGTGAAATAGAAACCAACGCCGCGGTACCTATCCCCATCCCCGGGATAAAAGGCGATAGCGGCGTGTCTTTCTCCACAGGTCTACGAGCAGGAATGCTATATCCCCTTCCTGTTGGATTCGGCGGCGCGCCTGTCCCAAGTCGAGTCAACGACCGTTTCCAACTCGGTGGCCCAACCGACATCCGCGGCTTCAATATCGGTGGTCTGGGTCCACGCGACGGCAATGACGGCGTAGGGGGTGACATCTACGCAGCATTTTCCTCCAACCTCCTATTTCCCTTTCCTCGCGTAGGCAAAGACACGCCTCTCAGATTACAACTATTCGCCAACGGTGGCCGGCTACTGGCTTTGAAGGACAAGGGGGGCAATACGTCCCAGAGCGTGTATAGCACTATTGCGGGCCTCGCAGATGGATCACCCAGTCTGGCGGCTGGTGTTGGTGTTGTGTACGCGCACCCTATCGCGAGGTTTGAGTTGAATTTCAGCTTGCCGCTTGTGGTGAGGAGAGGGGAGGATGCGAGGAAGGGCTTGCAGTTTGGGGTGGGGATTAATTTTCTGTGAGGTGAATGGAAGGAACGGGTTGAGGGAGGAGGGGGCGTGTATTCTAGAAGCATGAAATGGAATGGACAAGCTATGAATGAGCATTGTATGTATATATCTAGATGGCGAGGCAGCGGGCGAGTGTGTACGGATACCAAAATGACAGATGTGTAAAGTAGACTCACCTACTCACTCACTACCGCTATAGCACAGCAGTGCTCTTCTGAACGAGTCCACTTGCCCTCCTTTGAGTATATCAGTAAAGCGCTCGTGTATGGTAAGTATACCTGCTCGGGTCTGCGACAGTAATTCTTTTTACTTGTGATTGTCATGTCAATTAGTTTAGTACCAAGGCACGCTATCTACTCTACTGCATTCCCACTTCCACTTCCACATTTGTTTCGTTATTCCGCTATGCAGTTCAGAAATAACTACCGACCGGTAGTTGATTTAAACTTCGCGGTTTCAGAAGTTATATACACATAGGTATTCAAGTAATACATAGCTAGTCTATTCTCTTTACTTACCTGCTGCGTTAGTTATTATTCAATGTTCATGTGGAATGTGGATGGTTAAAAGAATTGTTGTTTGGGATTGAAATGGATACAGTAGATGTTATGGCCACGTGTTATTTATTCATCCATTCATAAAACTGTATTATCACAAAAAAAGTCAAGAAGGAGCAGTGTGGAAAAAAAATCCATTCATTCCTTATCACCTAAAATCCCCACTATAAAGAGCGTTCTGATCCTTCCTTCCTCCCTTCCTTCCTTCCAAGAAGAAACCCCAATCCAGTTCAGATCCTGCAACGAGAAATCCTCACACGCTTCCTATTCCCTATCCAGTCCAGCTTGTCATGTCATGTCATTCCATGTCCATCTCCCAGTCCTCGCTGATCTACTCGAAGAGAGATGATTGGGTTAGGTTGGCGATTCGATTCAATGCTACGCGTACGTACGTACTGTTAACCACCGAAAGCGCATTGGGGATTAGGAGAAGGGAAGGGAATGGAAAGCGTACCTTGCAGCAAGAACATCCGTCGCAAGTAGCGCAGTTACAGCAAGCGCATGGAGACATATTTACTTTCTGCGTGGTATTCTGCCTGTCTGTCTGTCTGTCGTTCGTAGTCGCCGTTTGTGTTTGTGTTGTGTTTGTATGTGTTTGTGTGTTTTGTACTTGTACGTGTGTAAGAAAGAGAGAGAGAGGTGAAACAAGAGATACTTATATCCTCTGGGAATAGGAACGGAGGATAGAGGTGTGGATGAACGTGGAGGGGTTGGCAGGCAGGGACACATGTGATATGATATGATATGTGTTCGGCGGTGATGTGTATGTACTACACACCAAAGACGGGATGGAGGACGAATGGTTTGAGGGTGAGGATTACACTACAGGATCACTGGACTATTATTATCATCTCGATGGGATGGATCATCGAGATGATAGGGATGGGGATGGGTGATGGGTGATGGAGGGTTTGGTATTGGGGGCGCTGCTGTGGTGTTGTTTATTTGCGGGATGATCTACGGATGCTTTGTTATAGTGGTAGAGGTTGATTAGACGGTTCTTTGGATCCTACCTCTCGTTATCGTTTATAAGAGACTTACTCTGTCATATTACTCACCTACCTGTGGGAAAGACATTGCTGTACTGTATGCTACCCACGACAAGAGACTACGACGAGATGAAAACACGTGGCAGCGTGGGCGAGGAGGACTCGTAGAAGATCTATAGTAGCTACCTCGGCTAGGTAGCTGTGTGCGAAGATAATGAGTGATTCCAATATACCCAAGAGTTCGCAGGTAAGACTTCAGCAGCTGCATGCACCCCGACAAACAGAGCAAAGCAACTATTGCAACGGTCTTGGCAATTAAAGATATATTAATTAACGTAAAGAAGGCTAGTTGGCAAATGACTGAAAGGATAGGTAGGTGTACTGGGTTCAAGAAAGAGAAGAGACGAAAAGACAGCGGGATAGCTGAAAGGCGTCACGGAGGTACTGTATAATATACCTGTCGTTTCTTGGGCAGCAACACATAGTGCTGTGCTGTGCAGTGCTGTGCCGTGGTACAAACTCTTGCCCAGTCGGTAGATATCGTCGTTGTATCACAAGAAATCACATCCTACTCACGGGGTAGTAATAGCAAGAGCAATACCAGAAATCAAGATAAGACGTGGGTCAATACAGTGTCATTTGTAATAGCCCAGTATCGATAAACAGCGCAACCCATCAATCCATTCATAACGAAACATCCTCTTTGCCCTCCTCTTTTCTTGGTATCAACATATCATATCATATCATATCCAAACGACCCCTATCCCAAACCGATCGAAAGCCAAACAACCAACGGAACCGCGCCGATGAAGGGAAGAGTCACGATGCGACGATGGGTAACTCGTGGTGAGGATAGGATTTATTTTCCGCAGCTGGAGCACGAGCAGCTGGTGCCGCAGTTGCCTGGTATTGATGTCAGTACTGTTGTGCCCATCACTTGACTTTATTTTCTTTGCGGAAAGGGGACAGTATAGTAGCTGCGTTGGCAGGGGCATGTGTGTGCATGTGCAGGGGAGGAGGGGGAGGGGTAAAGTTAAGTGGGTAGGTGAGGCTTACAGCTAGAAGTGCCAGAACATCCACATCCGCTCATGATGACGGTATTGGGTATTGATTGGTGGTTATGGGTATTTAAAAAGTGTAGGTATGTATTTGGTTTGATGTTTGTCTTGAATTGTTGATGTAGAGAAAGAGACAGACAGATGGAACGGAAAGAAAGGCTGTCTTTATATCCCAAATTCCATACCCGGAGTAAACCCTTCTCCACCACAGCGTCCAATCACAGCGTGCGTTGTTTGTGCGGTTTTGAGGGTTTTGTGCGGTTTGCGGCTGCTGCGCGGTTTGTGCGTTGATCTGTTTGGAGTTAGTGGGGTGGGCTAGTACTGTAGGTACGAGTAATGAGGCGAATATGAAACAAAGAGAGTGAGACCAGAGTGGCAAATAGTGGCATTACGAAGTATACGCTGACTAATAAGTAAACATGACAACTTCTCATTCTTTGCCCCCTAGTGCGATGGTGGGAATATTGAAAACTGTTAGTTAGGATTGTAGTATCATTCTATGGCATCGAATCTTTGGTTATCATTTATATCCTCGCTCTTCTTATCAATAAATACTACACGATAGTATCGTCTACAAACAATTCCCATATCGTATTCCCGCCATTTACAAGTCACGCAAAAACTATTTGTTTAACTCCAATTCTAACCTCACGCCACCACTCTTTCACGCGTATATATATCCAGCATGCAACCCCATTCAAATAGAAGCCAAACAGTCATGTATATAGGGACCATAAAAAATGTTATAAAAACCTCTAAATCAGGCACTCTACCAAGTACGGGAAATCAACGCTACCTACCTCAAAGCAACCACCCATATTCATCAATCAACGAAACACAGCGCGTATAAATCCATCCCCATCCTCCCTCTTACCCTTTAAACCCCCTATCGCAAACCCCTTCCCATCCCCTAGCTTCGCACGTGCACCCCCCTCCCCCCTCTCCTTCACCTCCTCAACCCCACACATCCAGCTATCGTGCAAACAGCCGGGGCCCTTACAAGTCTCATTCCTCCTATCCCCTTCGAACGAGCCATGCAGTTAACACACACTCCCATGCCCTCGATGCTCCACTGCAACAGGAACAGGACCAAGCTCAGCGCGGAGTGTAGGGTTACCGCGGCTGCGAGTGCGATGGTCTGCTAGGCGAGCTTTGGAGAAAGCAACCGCTGCCGCTGCCGCCGTGTTGATAGCATGTCTCCATTTCCACTTCCCTATCCGTGCTCTATCGTCTCCGGCAAACGTCTGCGTCTGCGTCTGCGTCATCTCCACAGGCCTCTCCGTACTATCATACGACACAGCCTTGAATACCTCCCACTGCGCCTCGAGCTCCACAAGCCCCTCCCTCAGGCAGCGCGTCGAAGCAGGGGCCAGGTGTTTCTCGTTGTTCCAGTTCCAGTAATATGAAATAGAGAGGAGGAGCAGGCCGGCGAGGATGAGCAGGATGGCGAGGACGAGGAATGTGAGGGAGGCGGTGGGGGGGAGCGAATTGGTGCTGGAGGTGATGGAAGAGGTGGAGGAGGTGGTGAAAAGGAGGGCCAGGGAGATCAGCAGGCAGAGCAGGCCGAGGGAGGAGATGGTTAGGGCGATGATGGATGGACTAGGACCTGTACCTGTACCTGGTGGTGGGGTGAATGGGTTGCGTGATCTCGATATCAGTTTGAGGGACTCCGGATCTTGGAGATGGAAGTTGAAATGGGGGGGTTGAGAGGAGGTTGTGGGGATGCGAGCTCGAGGGGGCTTGGTGAGCGTGGGAGGGAGCAGATTCGTGGATACGAGAGAGAGGTCTATGGAGTAGACAGACGAGGCATAGCCGGCCACGTCTGGTGCTGGGTCGTGAGTCATGAGTTTGAGCGGCTGGTGAGAACTGCTCGAGTGCGGGAGATTGTCTTTAGGGACTTGGTTGGGCTGTCTATACGACCAGGTATGCGTGGGTGATAAATCAAAGCGTTGTGACATCGGATTTGTGGTTGTGTTTTTGGTTCCGTGACTCGTGAAAGGAGGATGGATGTGAGAGATGCTTTGCCTTCTCATTCACTGTAGATTGGATGCTTGTGGCAGAAAGAGAACTATGCTATGCATAATAGAAATCAATATACGGCGAAAGCGGCTTGAACAGCAAATAAGTCCAACTTCGACGAGAGTCCCTGCACATAGAGTGGAAGAAATGAATGAGGCGTGAAGTACCTTGTCTCCATGATAATTCGGGTCCTTGGGAACGGGTTCGTCCAAAAAAAAGGGTCAGTTATGACATGGGCATGGCTCACGTGTGACGAACAAGCAGTGACAAATGATTCACGCAAAGAAATAATGTCAACTTCGAGATGCAACTTACACCATAGCGACTTCTTGAACAAGGATCTATTCTCTTTTCTAAGTCGAGTTGCTTCGTGTATCTAACCAAACGCCGTTCATACCATCCATTACCTATCTATACATTCGGCGAGAGCTGATCATACTTTACACATCTCTCAACCTGCAATTATTAGTACGAGACTTTTGATAAAAGAGAGGGAAAGGGGAAACTCACACTCTCAATACTAGCCTGCAAAAACTTCCTTGCCTCCAACCCCGCCCATACCTTCAACATTGAAAAGTCACCCTGTCTCAACATCCCACCCCCACTCTGAGCCCCCAACTGCCTCAGTATCGGCAGCGCACTACTCAGCAAATCAATATCCGGATTCAAACTCCTCCCTATGCCCTCGAGCAGTAGGATACTAATAACAACATTGACAAAATCGCCCTCCATTCTCACATGATGTCCTCTAACCATTCCCAACACCTCATTAAGAATATCCCCAATCTTCATATTCCCCAACGCTAATGTGCGACTCTTGACGCCAAGAACAAGATGTTGCATCTTAAGCGCGAATATTTCTTCGTCGATTACAGCGTCTGGTTGCCGGCAACGCTCGCACATTAGATGCCCTGCTTTGTAGCCGTCGAATTCGGCGATTGCTTTGAACAAGTCTAGGAAATTGCGGCGGTTCGTTGCATTAAGCTCAGTGACCAGTCCAGTGTCTATAAATATCAATTGAGGACGGAAACCTTCCTTGTCGATTTTGGCGAGTTCGAGCTCCCATGCCTTCTTGTCTCTTCCTTTCCGGTAAGGACGGAGGCGTGCGAGAACCTGTTCTGTTACGTCGGGCTGCGCTTGTGGGTCTTCGTGTTGATGGGATTTGGAGAATGAAAGGTTCGGGTGGGCGGATTGGTAGAAGCGGACCATGATGTTTCCAGGGTGGAGATCGGCATGTACGAAGTTGTCGAGTAATAACATACGCAGAAACGCGTCTAGACCCTCATTGGCTATTTCCGCTTGGAATATACCACCCCCGTTTTCCATAAAGTCAGCCAAAGGAATCCCCTGTGCAAATTCCTCGACTAGGACTTGTCGCGTAGTGAAGTCCGTATAAGGATAGGGAAACCAGGCTGTGGTACGCTCTTTGAAGTTCCTGCGGAATATGGTAAGGTTTGCGGCTTCAATGCGGAGATCGAGTTGTAGGCGCATCATTTCACCGAATTGTTCAACTTCATCAGGAAGGGATAGCCACTCCATTGTTGGGAGGGCGTTTATCACTGAAGCAAAAAAGGCCATGATTCGTAAGTCTCGGCGGATCATATGCTCTATACCTGGATGTAAAACCTTTATGGCAACGAATGAGGATGGAACTCGGTGAGGGGTACTCTTTATCAGTGTATCGACATTTTTCCGGACTTGCTTCCGTAGATTGTGGACATCTTCCTCGTCTAGATCTGTAGGCGCAGTGAGGTCAGGCTTTAGTTTGGCACGGTATACTTGTGCAATGGCCCCAACTCCTAACGGTTTCGTCTCGAATTCCTCGAATATATCTTCGAAGGGACGGCCTTCAAATGCTTTTCGTATGGTTTTCTTGGTCTCATGTAGAGAATGAGCGGGAGCATTGGAGTGAAGTTGGGACATGACCTCGCACATTTGAGTGGGGAAGATATCTGTCCGAGAAGCTGCCCATTGTCCAAGCTGGGGAGGGTTAGCAGTGGTGGAAGCAGAGGATGAGATCCTACCTTGATGAAAGCTGGTCCAGCACGCTCCATTGACTTTACAAGAAACCGGTACCACCACAGCGTGCCAGATCTCTCGTTGTCCCTTTCCTTGTTCCTGCTTCCTATCCAGATTACAGGTACCGTCATCATAACCGGGATGAAGATGACCGCCAGATGTAGGAACCGCGTCCCAGTACACAGAGGCTCCCACAAATACACGTCCACATAGTAGATGATACTATCTCGTATGCGCCGTATGCCACGAACATCATCTTTCACCTCCTTCTTGATCTCATCCCTCGACGCCGCTAGCATTCGCCCCTCGGCCGTATGTTCCGTACCGTCATTATCCTTCTCCGAAAGCTGCACAAACGCAATTGGACTCAATGCCACCGCGGCAGCAAGTACCAATCCTTCGCGGCCAGGTGGTGGTCGAAAATGCCTCCATCCCCGACTATATGTTTGTTTTGTCGCGACCTGGATACCGCGGCATTGAAGGAAAGGTCGGGCTCGGGGAAGGGATTGACGGAGGCATGTTCGGCCTAAGATCAATGCTGCCCCCATATTCCCAACTGTATTGGAATATTATTGCGGGCACAAATGCTACCGTTGCTCCATTTGGGGGGTGGTGAGCAATACCAAGTTGTTTTGGTGTAAACTGACTTCTTGAAGCTTGTGAAAGTTGCTTTGGATTTAGTGACGTCAAGGATCCCAGTTTATAAACACTAAGACATGCATGCAGATTGTCTCAAATGCGGAGAAATAGCTTTGAAGTCTAAAAGAGGAAAAAATGAAGTCTTGGCCATTTGTACATATCAATTATCAATATATATTAATGTAGGTATGTACTTTGCTAGCGTGAGTGGTAAGGCTATGAAAAGGGGGGCAAGGAAGAACCCGGTGAACGGAAAAAGCCGTCAAAGTGGCAGAAAAAGAAAATCCACCGAGGATCATCGCCTCTCCTCTTTCTACTTGTATAAACCACTACAATCTACAATCATCAGAAAACGCCACCTCAACATCAAACAACTCAACTTGAAAACGCCCTTCTTCTCTTCATTTATACAGTATTAGATTTACTGCTTACCACGGTCGCCATGGGTTGGTTTTGGGCCGATTCTGATGTCTCCATTATCAATGCCAGAAGCGCACCTCATGCGATCCCCAGTGGCAATGCTTCACCTCCAGTAAGTATTGTTTCTCCAGAGAACCAGAACAAACTCCTAACACTCCTCTAGCCAGCATGTCCTATGCACAAGAGCAACGACACCGTCGCTAAACCTCCAACACCTCCCGCCGAATCCGCTTGTCCGTATACGCCAACAGACGTCTCCAAGACCAGCGATACAAAATCGCTGTCCAAATACTCCAAATATAATCCCCTAAACTACATGTTCTCCGACATCTCCCAAGAGCGCGCCAAGAACCAAACCGTAACCCTTCCCACGGAGCGCGAACCATCTACAATCCCAAGGGGCACCGGAGAAGGAAACTGGGAGTACCCATCACCGCAGCAGATGTACAATGCATTATTACGGAAAGGCTATACGGATACTGATGCTACAGCCGTAGAGAGTATGGTTTCTGTGCATAATTTCCTGAACGAGGGCGCATGGGCTGAGATTGTGGAATGGGAGCGCAGATTCGGCAAGGGCTTGGGCAAAGGATGGGACATCTGTAAGAAGGGAGAAGCGGCATCAATGGCAGGCGCGGATATTGGTGCGAATGAGGATGAGGTTGCGCAGCCCAAGCTGATTAGGTTTATGGGAAGGCCGAAAGAGATGACGCCCAAGGCCGCTATGATACAAGTTATGGGATGGATCTATCCTAGTGCTTTCGGGTAAGTGCACTTCATCTGCTACTGAAGTGGATGGATTTTTTGGGATTATGCTAACTTGTGAAAAGCACCGAACCTCCATTTGATCGCCACGACTGGTTCGTACAGAGAGAAGTCAAGGGCCAGAAGAAGGAAATTAGATACGTGATCGACTATTACTCGGCCCCTCCTGAGCCGACTGGCGAGCCCGTCTTCTACCTGGATGTCAGACCGGCTGTTACACCTACACAAGCCGTGGAGAGGATGATGCGTTGGGGAGGCGATGTCTGGTATCGAGCTTCTGGTGCGGCTGTAAGGGACTCTGGAAGTAATTAAACGGGGTACGGTTGTATTTCTCTTGCTTTAAGCGTTTTCTACATGGCGCAAAGGGAAGGAAGGTGGTTCGGGGCTTTCACAATCTTTGGCCAAAGATTTGTTGTTTGAAGTCCAGTTTCTTCTATGACGCTTCTCTACTCCACTCTACGTCCAGTTGTAATAAATTCATGATACCTTGTCACTTACTTTTGCGAAGTCTCTTCTTTTTCTTCTCTCAATTGAAAATGACTTAGTATTCTCGTGCCTTCACGATAAGCTAAAAGCTGCTGAAGCTCACCTCCACTTCTAAAGTAACCCTTCGGTTCAACAATGGGCAATCATCTCTTCTCACCTTGAAAAACGATTCTCGACAATGCACCTCCACCCTTCATCTCCGAGTGGAAATTCATACAATACGGCGTAAGTATCATTCAGCCCTTCCTTCGTTAGGCAGGTGGGGATAGGTGGGCAGAGGATGAGGGGCTGGGATCAGATGATTTTTAGGATGAGGGAAATTGAGATGCCGCAGGGCGTGGTGTCTGCCTGGGGCCAAGAATCCAGATACACAAGTTACCTGTATGCTCGTCTGGCCATCTGGCTGCCGGCAGATTGGGTCACCTGAATTAATGAGGAAGGGAAAGCGAAAGCGAAGTGGTGGGAAGAATAAATGAGCGTTGTTGATGAGTTTATGTCGGGGGGTGGGTTGGAGTGGAGTGGAAGGAGATTATATCGAGTTTAGGTGTATATCTTCAGCCGCCCCAACAAGCTTTCATTATGATATTCATGAAAAGGACAATACTAAATAATTGCGCCCTGAATTCCACTATATTTTCAATTCTCTGCCCTCAATACCTGATAATACAATAGCATTAGGCTTTCATGTATGCCTGATTAGGGCGCTGGCGCCCCTGATTAGGTGGGCCGTGCTTACAGCCTCAAGAATAGAAGCCCACATCCCATGTATGACTCTTCTGGGTTCACGCCTTTTGCTTGCTAATTCCAGCACATATAAAGGCGTTCATTCCCTCCTACATGAGAATCTCACGACAGAATCATATATATATTGGTACATGTTTACTCCCAAATAACCAAAATGGAGATAATTATCAGAGACGACCTCTCACCCCCTGATGAAGTCCTCGAGGCTTTAGCGCACCACATGCCCTACTCCCTCCCAACATCACGGCGCATACAATTCATGAACACCAGCGCAGGACGCCAAACAGCATACTCACACATCCTATCTACATTCGCCGCCTCCAAACCGACATCCACATCTACTTCATCCCCGACCCCAGCCCCAGAATTCCTCATCGCCTACCTAGATTTCTCACGCGGTCCCAACGCAGAAATGTGGCTCTACTCCTCCATCGAGCACCCCACGATCCCCAGCTCGGCCGCCGTATGCGAGGCGCAACTGCTAGCTCTGCTAACACACGTTGCGGGCCTCGAACAAGAATATGTAAATTCAAATTCCGCTTCCGCGCCGCGGGCAAACCAGGGGAACATGTTAATCGCCAGTCTGCATGTGAAGGTCTGGGGATTGCTGAAGAAGCACTCGCTGGTTAAGATGCAGAGTCCGGAACACTTGAAGTTTTTGTTCAAGGTGGCGAATTTACCGGCAGTGAGAGAGCTGCCTGAGGGGCTGGTGTGGGCGTCTGTGAGAGCAGAGGATATCCCGCTTGTGTTGTCGCGGACTGCGATTCCTTATAAAGCGTACGTTGGTCCGAGTCCTGCTTCTTTTTAATGGATAGAAGACAATGGGTTGGGATGATGGACTGACATGACAGTGGTGTAGGGAGTTGATGAAGGCGCTCCCCAGCGTCGCTATTCAAACAAGCGCTGGCGTACCAATCGCATGGGCATTTCTAGGTATATTATGTTTCCTCCCTGTTCTCTATTGTAATTCTCTTGACTCATGGAACTAACGTTATGCCTGGTATAAAAAGGTCCAGATGGATCACTGAAAACGCTACACTGCGAGGTTAGCAAACCAAGCACTCCCCCGTACCGTAAGCGCACTATACTAACCCAAACCTACCACCAGGAAGAGTACCGGGGACGCGGACTAGCGAAAGCAGTTTCCGTGAAGCTACTCCGTGACCGAGCCGTGGATCTGGTGCAGGACGGCTGGTATCATGCTGATGTGGCGGTGGAGAATCTGCAGAGTCAGGGGGTGTGTAGGAGTTTAAAGGGGACTGTTGAATGGTCGGTTTATTGTACGTTTGTTTATTTAATTTCATTTCATTTCACTTACTCTCCCTGACCTCTGCTGCTCAATTACTCCGCACGGAGTTTATTGACAGACTATGGAACTGATACTAACACATGTATGACATGCATAGATGCTTGGATCCGTATATCCTAGATCACGCACAGACGAGAGATGCCCTAGTCTACTTCATTCTCAAGCTGTCTCTAAAACCTCATGTCTCCCAGGAGAAAACACTTCCAGAATTCCTTTCAGCTAATCGTATTTCCTTCTTCCCTTTCTTACTCAGATCGATAAGAGCTAGCACTGAGCCTAGTCACCTGGTCTCAATAACTGCTTTTCACCGTACTATATTACAGAATAGATAGATTCTTTTACTTAAAATCAGATCTGATCTCTAGAAATAAGTATCCTTACGTACAAGAAGAGAAAAGTCTTACTTTCAAAGGCTGGGATGGAAGAAAGGCTATGCTGGCGCTTTATATAACCAAACTGATGGCAGCGGCAACTAGTGCCAGTCCCTTCACTTGCATCCCAGGAGGTTGAAGATTTTGGTGATAGGTGGCAATGTAATTAATGCAGCAAAATGTATGGGGAGTGTTTCAACTACTCACTTTGTGTATTCGGTGGACTGAAAGGTATTGGATACTATGGCAGTAATCTATACTATAACTATACTGTGCCTGTGAAAGGAAATTAAGACAAGAGGACGATTTTCCTTGCCTAATGACTATATTAGTATGAAATGCCTATGGCTATACTCCTAAGCGGGGTAGGCGCACTTTTCAATCCACACACGAGTTGAAAAAGCAAAGAAATAGGTATCTATAGTATTGTAAAACAGCGCACAGAAAATGTAACGCAGGCCTAAGTCATTAACCACCAGAAGACTCCATCTAACGATCATTATACTCGCAAATGCCCTCCTCAAGTGCCTTGATCTGCAACGCAATCATCCGAGACCAATATCTACAAAGCGCCAAGTTCCCACCAAAGAACCAGAAGCCAGGATGGCCAGTCTTTTGCCAGATAGTCCTCATCTCACCATTTTCCTCAAAGCCCCACACATCCTTAACCTGATCTGCCAACTCGTCGCCGAATATACTTCTCGCCTGGGTTCGCATATTCTTATAGCCAGTAGCAAACACAATCTCGTCGGCAGATAGCTCGGTGCCATCGCCGAATTTCATCCCATTAGGCAAGATTTCCACGATTTCTTGCCCTTGCTTGATTTTGATATCGCCGTCAATGATAAGTTGAGATGCACCGACATCGATATAGTATCCTCCGCCACGCTGGAAGTATTTCATAAACAGACCAGCACCGTCGGGGCCTTGATCGATTTTGAAGCCTGATTTTTCGAGACCGGCAAGGAGTTTTTCGTCATGCTTGTTCTGGGCGGCTGTTACATCTTGGTGGATTGATTTCAGGACGGAAGATGGGATGCTCCAGCATACTACGTCGGCGTCTTCGACAGGTGGGCCTTGCTCATCGTAAAGTCCCGCAAGTCCAATCTCGAGAATTGCCTTGGAGGAGATGACACATGTAGACGATCGCTGGATCATGGTAACGTCGTAACCTTTTTCGAAGAAGTCTTGCGCGATGTCGTGTCCTGAGTTGCAGCACCCGACCACTATTGCCTTCTTACCTTTTCCTTCCATCTTGGCACCCGAAAACTCCGAGGAGTGGCACAGTCGATCGCCTTTGAAACTTGAAATTCCGGGGATATGAGAGGGAAAGTTCTTCTCGCCAGAGTGACCAGTAGCTTGGATGATATGTTTGGGGTGGAGGACACGAGTCTCGACGATTCCGGGCTCCTTACACCTCTCGAGAACAACATCCCAGCGTTTCTTTGTTGTATCCCATTTCGAGGATTTGACGGTGGTGCTCATCCAAACATTTAGCTCGAGCAATTGGGCGTAGGTCTCGAAGAAACCGGCAAGCTTGTCTTTAGGCGTGAAAATGGGCCAATGGGGAGGGAAATGTATGTAGGGTATGTGGTCATACTTTAAGAGTTAGAATGTGAAGATTGTAAGACGAAGATGTAGATCTTACCCAAACGGGGTCATGTAGCACAAGCTGGTGATATCTGTTCCGCCAATTATCTCCAACTCGCTCGTTGCGGTCAACGATCAGTGTACTAACTTCCAGCATCTTCAGGCGCGCGGCAGGAGTAAGACCACCTTGGCCAGCACCTTGATCGTGTAAGTATCTCCAGGAAGGATTCACAGAATTCACCTACCAAGAATCAAGACTGTCGGGTCATCCTTTTCAAAGTTCTCATCTTCAAGACGTCGTTCTCGCCAATTCTTTCGTCCCGGCTGTCCACCATGCGCTACACCCTCGGGTCTGCGCCCATACGTAGTCTCCTCATGCCCCTTGATCTCCCTCATTGAAGTGAAAAGCGTAAACGCCTTCAACCTCCCGTTTTGCAGGACCAATCTCGCGACACCTAATCCACGTCCAACATCTGAATCAGTAGTCAAGAATGTCTGAATACCTTGAATCTTGCCTTGTCCATCGAATCCCATAATGACCGGCTTTCTGAAATCACTGCTCTTGTCGATCTCAACGTTCCTCAATCTGCAGCCTTTCTTAAGGAAGTTTTTCATAGCTTCCGGGCCTTTGAATGTGTTGCAGCCCCAAGCCAAGCACATATGATCACGCCAGTATGCCTCGGGTAGGAAGAGGTCGGAAAGAGCCTCGAATCCGGGAGTTTGAATTGCTTTGTTAAAAGATTTGACCCATTCTGCTGTTGATTCTTCGACGTTTTCTGGCTTGGTTGTTTTGATTTTAGAAACATCAGCAACGTGAATATTGACAGAGCCGGGTTCGACGCGTTGGTAAGATGGAACAGTCTGGGTCATGGGTTGGCTCGCTGTAGCAGCCATGTTTGCTGATTTTGCTCTTGGGGATTTGCAAATTGTTCTTTGATAAATCGGTAATTGAGGTCCTCCGTGCTCTTATAAACCCTGCCCAAGTACGAAATTGGGTTTCTGGGGCTGCGAATGGAAACCGTGGATGGTAATGAAAGTGATTCGAGCAAAGTTGAGGCGGATAGAAGAACGTGGAGAACTGGGGACGGTATGGAGATGAGATGCGGGGCTGAGATGCCTTCCGAGTAGCGTGGTGACAATTGGCGGGAAGGTGCGACCATAGATCGGAAACATTGTCTTGGACTGCGTCACTGCATGGTGCGAAAATCTCACTTGGATTGTGGAATTACTTCCGTTCTCAAGTGCCTCGCTCCTTTCAAAAATTTTGAATAGCCCACAAAACATGGGACATTATTACTACGGCCTAAAGATATAGGACATGTCATTGTGAAGGAGAAAACGGGAAGTGAAAGGAGCTGAAAACTAACGATAGCTTGATACGAGTAATGTAAGGCAAAGAATATTCTAGACCTGCTCTCGGTATATCTGATACATTTGGATTTATATCTTGGATGAAGCCATACTCATACAAGAAACATATTGTGAGTGAAGTGCTTGCTTGTGATGCACTCGGTTAAGCCCCTATCCTGGTTGAGAGGGGGTAAATTGTTAGCACCAGTACCTAAGGATGGGAAGGGAAAGGTAGAGATAATTCTTAGTCAGCAACACAATAATCCCCACTATTTCGGCCCGCCATGAAACTCTCACTAGCACACCACCAACTTGAATTCTTTCATTGATAATGTATAGATATATACTCACATTCTTTAGCACTCGCGATGCCCGAAGATGCTGGCGGAATAGAAGGACGTGGATCTAGTCCTATCAGGAGAAGCCGTCAAGCTTGTGTAAATTGCCGGTAACGTGTCCAGCGTCCCATATCACGACACACACACTAACTAGATCAGCCGCAAGAAATCCAAATGCCCAGGCGAGAAGCCTCAATGCTCGATGTGCAAGAGATTGGATCAAACCTGCACTTATGAAGCCTTTGAGCCTCCGAGTCGCAAGCGTCGCAGATCCGACGTCCGGCCTGCATTGCCAGGGGATGAAGTGGGAGCTTCTACTCCATCTCCTAAAACCCGTGAACTAATAGCCGAATAGGTTTCTCGGAGATTTGGGACTATTGAGCAAAAGTTGGAAGAGCTGGTAGCTTCTGTGCAGTATGCTTTCTTGTGTTGGTATTAAGTCACGTGCTAAGGTTGTAATAGGAAGAGTACTCCAGCCTCTGGCATCTCTGCACCTTCTACTCAGCCCAATTTCCCCAATGTGTATGGATCATCGAATGCAACCACGAATACAACCAATTCTAGGGGGAGAGAACCTTTACAAATTTCAAGGTCGCAGCCGGGAACAGCTCCGCAGTCAGTGTTTTCTCTTCAAACCCCCAGAAATTTGATTTTTCTGACGAGTCTAGATCACCTGGTCCTGGGATACTGCCATCAAACGTTATTGAAGATGGAATCGACATGTACTTTGAGCACTTTCATGCTCAGCCTTACGCCTTGCTGTGTCAAGCAACTACAACTAGGGCGACAGCTTCGATCAGTCCAGTCGTCCTCAACCCAATGTTGGCTCTTAGTATTCGTTGCTCCTCGCACCCATTTTGGACAGACCCATCGAAACTCAACAGCTGGTTGCAGTATCTGACGGACCGAGCTTGGAAAGACCTACTGCAGCTGTATGGAGATGGCGATACAGGGCTGCAGTACCTGCAAGGCCTATGCCTCTTAGCACAGGTTGATTTCGCCGGTATGTGCAAACTTTATACTATGAATCTCTACATCGGTTTTTCTAATCTTCCTTATTGTAGATGGTCGTGTGAGGAGAGCCCACTCTCAACTCTCGTTAGGCATCAGAATCGCCCAGTCATCTGGATATTTGACTGACGCGGTCCTTAATGATACTGAAACGGAAGAAATGGTACGTTGTACTTGGACATTATTCATGCTCGACAGGACCTTCAGCATCACCCGTCTTGTATCACCGGCACTGCCATACCAACACTTTCAACTGCGCAAGCCAATTTCAGAAGGACGGCTATCACGTGAAGCGACAGGCCAAAAGGCGACCACGAATGAACCAGCAGCTGGTGATCAAGATTTAGGCGCCCTGATCATTGGTGTTTATTCTATCTGGGACGATGTATTGAAGTACGTCTTCCAAACCTCCAGCGACAACACAATGCCGCCTTGGCAGCCTGGGTCTGAACTTGCAACTATCGAATATAGATTTGCTGATTTTGAGCCACGTAAGCCTCCGTAACTACTAGAATGGATGAAGCTAATTATATTCCATAGAATTTTCTACCCATCGATATCGTGAAGTTGACTTTCCTCGACAGGCCATCAACAAACCAGGTTTACGACCATATTTCGCATCTTGGCTTTGTTTTCAACTTACCTACATGTCAATCCAATGTTTAGTGTACGCGAAACTTCTATGCCCCCACTCCAACTTCTTCTCTAACCGATCATAGGCACCACCCCTTCATCATGTTCATTAAGCTCCAGCACGTGATCAGAAAAGTCCCTCCAAGTTTCCTCCAGAAGTCATACAAGAGTTCTCTCATCCATTCGAGATGGATTATCAGATTCTTAGATGAGATGGATGAAGCTAGAATGATGCTTTACGATCCGTTTATTGGGTTTCTCGCCGCCATTGCGGCGACTATCCAACTCGAGCATACTTTGAGCAAGCATTCGGACATTGCAACCGCCGCGAGACTCAGCTTTCGAAATGCTATAAGATTTCTAAGAAAACTTGCAAAGTACTGGAATAGTATTCAAGAATTGGTATGTCACTTGATATTGATAGTTTTTTGGGGGGAATGATATGCTAATTTCCATTGACAGCTTGGAATTGTTGAGGAGCTAGCCGCAAGACTTAGCAATCGACGCACTCTTTATTATTCTCAGGACGACTACGATGGGATCTTACCGGCAGTTGAGACCGAAAGGGTCGGTCTTGCAGAAGATGATGCGACGCTGATGTGGAAGGTGTTCGATTATGCATCCATGTCTGCTTCAAAAAGCAATCGTATTTCCGATATAGTCAGCAAAGCAAGCGATCTTGACCAGGCCGAGCACCTTCCTCTTGCTCAAAATCAACCACCCATAATCCCAAATGCTCCGACCTCACAACAATTCGTCCAGAACCCATATGCAAATTCTTTGAACGGCGGGTTTCAAGATATGCAGATCCCGCCTTTAGAGGAGAATTTGGGCCTTCCAAACCCCCCTAAGTTTGACGAATTGCCAGAGGATTGGGCATTTACGATTGATGACTGGACATTGTTTGGAGCACCAGGCTCTACGTATTTCTACAACAACGGCGCGTGATCTAAATCTCGCACATCGATGAAGTGTTGATTCTTTCGTAGACTACTCAGAGCGGTAAGCTCTCCTGTCTATTCACAAGATCTTCTCGACAGTTGTTCGTAAGGTATTAAATATTACAGAATTATACTCGCAAAGGCACAGCTCCCTTCCGTAAACAGCTTCCCATTTCGAACCCCAACGCAACTCTCCCCTCCAAACTGTTTCCAACCGACAACTCTTCCGTAGGGACAGTATTCGAGACCATACTTGTCGCCTCCGCCGAGTACTTCTTCCGATACTCCTTGAACAAATTCTCGGACACATCACTTCCCCCACAGACCGCTACCACAACCCTCATCTCCCTCCACCTCTCATCGTCCATCCCAGCACCCAGCATCCTTCTCAAGTCGCCATTATAGACCGCCGCGAGCGCAGCCCCACACGAAACCTCTACAAGCAAATCCTCGTCTTCAGCAAACCGGACAGACCCCATCGCAGCTTCTGCATCGCTGAGCACAATACTGCTCACATTGTCCTCCTGCGCCAGTTCATATGCACGTTCTGCAACGCGGACGATGGCGAGTGAGGTAGCTATACTGGTGATTCTGGGAAGTGTGACGTGTTGCCCTTTCCGCAAGCTGGCGTTCAGACTATCGGCGCCCTTTGTTTCCACCGCCAAGACTCTCGGTCTTGGACCCTCGGGGTGTCGCTGAATAGCGGTTTGAATCCCCGTAAGCAGACTTCCGCCGCCTACACTGCACACCACGCCATCAAAACACTCGTCTCCCATCTGCTCGTACACTTCTTCGAACATAGAGGAAGCTCCTTCCCAAATTATGGGGTTATCGAAGGGTGGAATATAACAACCATGTGGATCGTTAGCTAGCAAGTTGGTCTTTAGGAATGCGTCTGCTTCGATCCAATCCGCTCCTATTTGATAGACCTCCGCGCCGGCGTGTCGGATTTTAGATACTAGGAATGCAGATGTTGAGTTTGGGACGACGACAGTAACGGGTAAGTTCATCGACTTGGCTGCTGTCGCGCAAGCAACACCAGCATTGCCGCCACTCGAGCAGTAGAAATGGACTTTTGAAGGTGACGAGGAGTGGCGGAGGGAGTGTTGCATTAGGTGAGAGGTACCGCGGTATTTGAATGAGCCGGAGGGTTGGAAGTTTTCCAGTTTGAGGAAGATTTTGCAGCCTGCAACTTGGGAGAGGGTGGTAGATGGGGTGAGGGGCGTGCGGACGTAGAGGTGTTCCGACATGATGAAAGTTGTTATTCGAGGGGTGTATATATTCGGGTATAGTAGAAGTAATGAAGTGAAGGCAATCTTCGAGTGTAGAGATTTGTGGTATTTATCTTAAATGTAGGATTCCCAGTTGGAATCAACCTTCCAGACGCCTGATATATACCAAATATCACCACTCCCACCAATTCCGGCCCCAAGTTTCCATTGATAAGAGTACATATTACAGTGGTCCCCAACCATGTCTAACTACCTCAAATAGATATTCCAGGAACATCTTGATAGATCATTGGTCCATTACAATGAGGTACACTTATTTCCAACGTCAAGTCTGAGGAACTAGAGGGAAACTAACGGTGTTGAGTATATCCCGGTCACGTGGGCGGTCCGACACGGTCCGATGACGATTTCCAAGTAATCTTCTATCCGCAGTTTCCTTTTCAGCATGACATTACGGAATACTTGGCTGAGTGAGTTACAGTCGCGTTTTACTTATTTTTACATGTGAAATCGTGTCCTTTTATAGAAAAGATGTTGCTTTTTGTTGTCTTCGTAAAATGTCTGTTACTTTCGTCCACCTGGACGAGTTCTGTTAAAGACTTAGCATGTAAAGCACGTAAATGGCGTCTGCAAAGCAAAAATCGATGATCGGGTTTTATTTTACGGTTTCTACCACGTATAGTACACACGTCCACGTCGTCGATGTTGCAGAATTACACCTTGCTGGTCTTAGCGAGGCACGTGCCAGTTCCCCCTTTATTGCTGCTTAGACTCTTAAAATACAAAGCATTTTTAAATGCATGTTCTTCCGGATCATCATGACGCCATCCGATGATCTCAGATCTGTTTGCCATCGAAGCGACCCCAAAAGTTAATCTGCAGAAACAAAGGGTTACAAGATAATTCTGCTTCTGTCCTGCCCTGCCACAATTCTTCAATTGAACGAGCAATCCCTGTAGCATATTATTCGAAGGATAGTTAGGAGTTTGCAATGGCGGTTGTGGGATGCGATATTACGAGTGCGGGAATTGATGTCGGATTGGAAATGTATCCTTATTGCAGCTTTGAATATGACGAGGATAAAGTTTTCTAAGGTAAGAAGATCTGGTTTTTTAGGTGTGGCAGAGCTACTATTAGGAGATGCCAATTTTGGATTGTGTAGTACGGGGGAGACTCAGCACCGGTAAGAACTCCGAATTACTTGAGCACCGCAGTTGAAAGGATGATAACAAATGGAACGACGTTTGGACTAAAGTGGGATATGTAGCTGGTTACCTGCACCAAACTTTACTCGAGCCGAAGGATTGAAGTATGGAAATTGCGGTCCTTATAAGTACGCATACCCCTCCTTCAAATATGTATGAACATTACTTCATTCTAATATGTCTCTAGAAATAGCAAAACAATCTTAAAACACGACTTCCATTGAGCGCTTCGACTGAAAAGTACTAAGATGGTCCACTCCACTCATCCCTATAAGTAGGAGTAGCCCCCCTCCTCACAACATCCCTCTCTGTCTCACAAGCAACAGACCCCCTCAGAGCACTACGATGGGAAGGAGATAGAAATGTTCTGGAGGCCGATCCTCCCTGCACCATCCGCTGATACTGTTCTTCCAGTATGCCTACAACCCCTATTCGCGTGGTTTCAGATACGGCCAGGATGTTTGCTACGCTGGGCAGTTGCATGCCGCGAGAATGAGATTCAGCGGTGAGGGTCTCGATTGCGTATTGGAAGTATGTAACGTATTGTGCTAGCTGCGACTGGCAGTCATCTATGAATAATATTAGCGGAAGAGGTTTGAAATGCTAGAAGGGGGAAAGTACCATCCCCTGACGAGAACCTTGGTCCCAGTCTTGTGGAGTACCGTTCGTATTCCTGCTGGATGGTTGTGGCACCAGTATAGAGAGAGCACTCGAGTTTATGATTCTCTTCATCTGCTACACGGTCTGTTCTTTTGTCTCTCCAGGAGCGGTAGAGGGAAAGCGAGCCGTTGAATGCGGAGACTATGCTCGTCACGGCTGCAAGGACTTCGAGTCCGGACATAACTTTCAGAGGTATAAATAGCAAACCAGTTGCTGCAACAAGAAACTTGTAGGAAATAAGTGTAGCTGCAGTTCGACTTGCGTTGCAGACTTGAGCTCCTTGGCTTTCAAAAAAGCTATCCCAAAGACTGACTTCCAAGACATCTTATCATCATCGCAGCTCGTGAAGTCTTACCGACTCTTACATGCAGATTGTATCACCGCCGCAGCATCAATACCGCGGCATCACCACGACAGGACCTCAATCCTAAGAATAGACTCTGAGAAAAGAATTATAGATCTTCCAGTAACCGTATCGTGAAGCTGAAACCATATTGGTCACTAGGCCTCCGGATAGACCCGTTTCAAGACACGTCTATTTCACAGCCTCCGCAGACTATTGATGATAGGCAAAGAGGCTTACTCAAAGGGCTCGGCGGAGCAATATAAGGTAGCAGTGGTGACAATGCGGTCACTTTGCACAGCCCTAGGTATGGGGCAAGACGTATAATTGTTAGCTCTGGACCCCACGGCCCCCAATAGGAGATCAATATGCACATCTCGTGATATGGACTGGATTTCAAAAATAAAAGAAGAAATATTGAACTTTCCTAAATTAACGAGCCGTAATATACAATAGGTGATTTCACCAAAAAGACTTTATCCAGGAAATGTTAATATGTATGCTACTTGCTCACTTGTGAGTCGGCTGGTGTCGGCTACCATCGGGGGCAGTTTCTCTGTCATCAAAAAGTCGCCTAACATTTCCCCTTTAATGCCCCGCTATTATTTTGATGGGTAAAGGCAACAAATTTTTACTTTAGGGGAGTATACATCTCCCTTTCCTTCTTTCCTTAATGATTCTGTCCTTGCCGTCTACTTGTATAAAACAAGAATAAAACAAGTTGTGCAATGCATTTGGTTTTATACCTTTGCTTCACTTCCAGTCCTATGTCAACAAATTCATTGACTCAATTCCAATTCCTTGTATTCTAATGCCTACGCACGACTGGTTAAACTTAGAATTTTGATTATAGAGACTTATATTTCTTTTGCGCTTGCTTATCTCGATATTATATTGAGCTGAAAATGTCACGTCCATTAATGACTCCCAAGTCAAGTTGAAAGCTATAATCTATAGACTTGGACTTGGGAAGCCTCGCATCCTATATGGAGCTGGTAAAGCCTTGTTCTGGTAGAAGTATTTCCAGAAAACAAAATCGTTGTAATGCTACGAGCTTTTGCTTTTTAAAGGCTGCACGCCGACAGGCGTTCCCATCGCGCCTTCCACAAACAGCAGTTGTCTCTCTCAGGCCTTAACGTCCTAGTTCGAGACTGACTTCTAGTACCAACGACTGCTGGAATCATCGCGCGTGCTGTTGGATCAGCATGAAGCTGTTAACCTCGTCTGCGTATATCATGATCAACAATACACCACTTCGTGACCTTCCCAACCACATCTTCGCTCTTCACAGCCCACGACAATGTCTTTCAATAGATCGCTACATCTTATACTCCTCTCAATACTCCTCCGTAAGTCTCCGCCTGCACCTGCTAAAACCACCCATCTCACTGACCACAAACCACAGTCCTACCTTCTTCCCTCTGCGCCGACGATGACAATGCATCCATGCCCGGCCTCCACGGCACGCACACCCTCCGCACGCGCGCACACATCGCGCATGGCGTCGTGACATCCAGCGCGCTCATCCTCCTCTTTCCACTCGGCAGCATGCTCCTGCGCATCCTCCAGATGCAGGACGAGAAACGCGAACGCAACCCCCGCACCACCGAGCTTTCGGAGCCCGAGAAGCGGGGGAGTGGGAGTGTCAAGATACATGTTTGGTGCTCGGGTATAGGGCTGGCTGTGCTGTGCGTGGGGTTTGGGCTGGGGTGTTGGCTGAGTTGGTTGCACAATGAGGTACTGTAGGCGCTCTGCTCTGCTCAGACGTGGAATTCTTCTTTCTTAAGGGGGCTGTGAATGGGATGAGAGCTGATCTGTGAATTTGGGGGTAGTTGTGGAAACATGCGCATATGCAACTCGGTACTGTTGTATTCGTGCTATTTATCGCGCAGCCGTTCTTGCGACGTTTTGCTTTTTTGCATGTATGGATGGGGAGGGTGGTGATCATGCTGGGGATTATCAACGGGGGGGTGGGGATTCGACTTGCGCGGGATTTGAGGGTTGATGGGGCGCTGGATATTTATGTTGTGCTTTCTGTGGGCGTGGGGATTGTGTGGCTTGTTCTGGTGGGGTGGTGGTATGTAGAGAGGACGAGGGGAGGGGTGAGTAGTGTTTGGTGAGGTGTTTGGCTTGTGTATTTTGGAGTTTATGTTGTGCAAGTGCCGAAAAGGAACACGAATATAAGCTTCGATATAGCACAGATAGCTAAAATAGTTTGATTTGCTCTAAACGTTTCTAGATTTTGGATGCCGTTTCATCTGCAACTTTTGATTTGACTTATATTGTTAAATGACTAGTACTTACCTTAGATGAAAAGCCCTAGGGCCTAGACTGAATCTTCTACTAATACTCCATCTTCAAACGCTTGAAGCTCTCTCGTTCCTAGTAGTAACAGCTTTAGTATCATCTTTCATGATAAATGTCTGCGTTGCCTACATAACTGCTCCGCTTTGTCACCTCTGTTTACTTTTAATCGACCTGTCACAAAACAAAAGCTGAAGCTAAACACATTACAGCAATTACTTGAACCTGTGATGTTTTATGCACGCGTCTGGATATAACAATGACTTCAGCGGATGTCATGTAGGAAAGCGATTAGAAATATACATATGTATATATATGATTGTGCTAAGCAAGAAAATAATCATGGTATCATGAAACTCCCTCTGAGAGGAAGCACTCTATGCCCCTCCTACTCCCCGCAACCAAAAATAAATATAACCAACACAAGAAAAAAAAGGCAACCGCCAACTCAATCAGTATCCACTATCCCAAAGCTCATCCTCACTCTTTATCAACTCTCTGACCGGCCCCCGTCCCTGGGCCTTTTTCTGCGCCTTCCTATCCTCTTTCGTAACCAAACGGGGTGTAATTGGAATTACCGGCGAGAACGGTTGGTACGGGCTATAGGGCACAGCACCTGCGCTCCACGGCGTCTTGAGCCCGCCAGTCTGTGGGCCGTTTAGGGCTTTCCTTCGTTCCAGGACTGTGGTTTTGGTGGTCTGGGATACGAATGAAGGGGATGCGAGAGGGGGTTCAAAGGCTCGGAATGGGAGGGCACGGGTGGAGGAGTTGGTGGATGGCGGGTTGGAGGAGAAGGGTTTGGGGTGTGAGGCTACGGTTTGGGTTTGTAGTTGTGGGGGGCGCGCGGGGCGAGTAGAGGGGTGTTTGGGAGTTTGTTGATTCTGCGGATTTGGCGGATAGGTCACCGCGGTTCGTGGAGTATGCTGATGCTTGGGACGGATAGGGTCGGTGCTGTTGGCTCTGTGGGGCATCCGAGATCTGTTGCGCAATGCTGCGTGTTGGAGATGTTGGTGATACGTTGGAATTGTTGCGGGAGTGGGTGTATGGAACTTGATCTGTAGGAACTGGAGGTGGCGGTGGCGGAGTGTAGTATCGCGGCGCCAGTGGCTCTAGGTCTGAAGAAGTGTGACCGTGCTTGGGAAAAGTCGAAGAAGAGGGTGTCAGAATTGGAGACGAGATTTCGATTGACCTGACAGACTTCTTCCTGGGGGACTTGAGTGCAGACATAATGGATGATGTTCGAGAGCGGATTGATTTCGTCTCATCAATATTGATATTTGCAGGTCGAGCTTTTTCGATCTTCTTAGGAGACGAATCCTTTCTCTGAGGTGATGCCGATGGTGCTGGGGCTACGCCCTGCAATGGCTTCGGAGGCGGCATTTCTTTGGGATCTACACCTGCTGCTTTGGCATCCTCCTGCTCCATCACATGGGCATATATATCCTCCAGATCTCGTTGTAACATATCGCGGTCTGCGTCGACAATCTTCGTATCGACAAAAGGGTCGCCAATGCCTGGCGGGGTAGTTGGCGATCTATTCGTCGAGGGGAAAACGTAAGGATTGCGGTCTGTCTTCTCTGGTGAAGGCCAGGAGAAGTTGCGAGTACCGTTTGGTGTCTTTGCGCCAGGGGAAACAGGAGTGATATCGATTGCGTAGGCCCCGTGATGCGGCTGTATCATCTCAATATCAAGAGCCTTCGGAGAGTGCAGGACTTCTCGTCGAAGTCTTCGGCCGATGAGGATCAGGGCACACCCAACAACGCAGACGCAGAAAAGATATGACCCAACGATGGCACCGATTTGCGCTGGGAGGAGCGATTTGTCTCTTGATGCTCCTGCTGACAGAGGAGGTCCGTTTTCTGGAGATGGTGCTGGTCCCCAATCGATATTCAGTGGGTACTCTCTGGGGAGATTCTTCAGGATACTGGCAGAGCTTATATAAGTCCAGCTCAAAAGAAGGATCAGCTGTGTTCTGATCACTGTCTCATATCCGGCACGCATTGCTCCTGCTATCGCAAGAACGAAAGCATCAGTGGATTTTCAGGTTCGTCGCCAGGCTGCGAAACGTATCGTGATACAAAATGAACATGGAAACGTGCCTCTAAGACCTCAAGGGGGGCGGCTGTGGGTGATATACCGACTGTTCGTCTGGAGCTGCATTGTGGTGGGCGGCGGTACCAGGCCAGCGGGAGCTTCCATTGGAGGGTGGCATGAGAGCGATTCTGTAGAGGGGATATATGCAAGCCATTGGCCCCTACATGGTACGGTGCTGCCCCATCAGGAACTCGCATGATATCCAAATACTGTAGCGCCTACAGATGTGCTGGACGGTGATGGGGTGGCTGGACACGGAAAATGTTCCCCTCAGCATGCATGAAGTGCCGTCGTCGATGTGGTTGGTTGGTGATCAGCTTGTTAAGCGCCCAGCTTCGGGGGCTAGAACAAGATTGGCTGAAGATCAGGTCCGTGCTGAAATATCACATCAACGACAACTTCTCGTCACTGTCACCTGTAATCCACTCAGGTGATCTACGGAGAAAGAAAGGGATGCCATTCAAGGGAACTGTTGCTACTCGCCAGAACTCTTCGGAGTAATACTTCATAAATGTGATGGGATATCTCGTAAGCCAGAACTTCTTCACGCCCTGTTCCCACTGCATTCGCAGAGGGTAAGACCAACTTTTGAAATCGAATCATGGAATGAATAACATTAGTCGTAAGGAATTCAATTCCCTAGACAATGGAGCTATTGATTGGGAAATCATTATATAGGGGCCAGTGTGTCAGAGCTTCACATGTAAGAAGCTATCAAATCAGTTGCTGTTGAGTCCGGAGTAAGAAGTAGGAAAGAAAAATCTGGAGCAGTGTTCATTGAAAGAAACAAAGATCGTACTTGAAGGCCCATAAAGATTATTATGTTATTTCTGAGCGATTCCCTAGTGTCAAAAGTCTCCCATGGACTTTGAAATGTGGTTTGCTTTCCAAATATAGATAGTTTCAGGTGTTGACTTCCTCCCATGACCCAGATCCTTTGAATTGATTATATAAGCGCAATGAAACACCAGAACACTTCCCGCAAGAGGCATTTTTGAACCTAAGTAAGTCGGTACTACTCCCCTCTCCCTAGGGAAACAATACTGCTTGGGCTAGCCATCTACATCAATCACGTGACTGAACCCGAAAGCACTCGTATGAACTTTCTGTCGCCAGCCACATCAAGAAGCTTGCGATGGGTGGCTACTCTCTCGATACTCGTGATTCATAGCAAACTCCGCGTCAATCTCCAGGGTACGCGGGTCCGATGATGCAACCTGCTGGCTGAGGCGTGGGGACATCGGGCTTATTGACCCTTGAGGGGGGGCTGGTATTGGGACTTGCGCCAGGACTGTTACCGAGATATGGTGAACTTTTAAAATTTCTCTCCAGTTCAACTGCCTCTCCCGTACTCTCGTCGCCCTCTTCATTTGCCACTGGAGTATATGATCCCCGGTGTTCAAAGCCTGGTATTCGTAGGCCGATAGAGGCAGGAAGTTCCGTCGTATTCCTGTTGGTCCACATCTCCGGCTTCAGGCTGTCACCAGAAAGCTCAATCTTCGTAGATTGTCCTGTGTCAACCTCGAGGCCGTTGGGGCTTAGGCTCCTTTGGGCGGCTTTCGCTTTCCGTTTCCTCCACCAAAAGATTCCGATCCCAATGGCAATCGAAATTGCCGTAACCACCCCGACAACAGTACCACCTATCGCCCCGGGTGATAGGGAAGACCGCGAACGATAGGGATCGCCTTCCAATGGAGAAGTGTTAGAAGAGCTAGAAGCCGAAGCCACGTCGGCAAGGTCAGCTGTTACAGTGTTGGTTCCTAAAGTTCCAGCAGCGGCTACGAGCACATCGCATCCAGGGTTGCTGGAAAGGGTTTTGACCTGTTCGCTGTTGGTAAGGTTGTTGCACTTTGGGGTCTGCCCGAGCGCTATCTGGGATTGATACAACTGATTTATAGACCAAGATACCATTTGATACTCTTTGCAACTACTGTAGGCGCCGTAGTAAGCAACAGTTGTATTTTGTTGCCAACCAATAGATGCGTTGGAATTTTGTTGGTAGACTTGGTCCCAGAACTGACTATCTTCCCATCCCTCAGACACTGCACAGCTGAGGGAGTCATACATGCACTGACAAAGATCATGGTTCGGTGTCGGAGGCAGTGTTTGGTAAGCAACTGTCAAGATGAGTAAATAGAGGGGTGAAACGGTGCAGTTTGATGTAGCTTACCCCATGTACTATTATCTGTAGGACAGGCACTATATCGAGAATTGGTGGGGAGATATGTTGTTCGTTGGATGGGACTTGGTGAGACACCTGCTAACTGTGTAGAAAATAACGAATAATTTGACGCTGAATCCGTGGACCCGTTCAAGATATCTAAAGTTCTTGTTAGTTTCAGGAAGTTGTAATACTTGCTGATTATAAGCTCATACATACCAACCGAAGTTTCCCTGAAGCCCCCGGAGAATACCGCGGACATTGAGGATCGATAGAGCAAGCCAACCTCACCAAAATCTGTTGTTGTATCACAATCGTAGGATCCAAAGAACACGGGTATACCATAGCTTTCGTAAGTAGAGATTAAATCGCGCCCCTCTGTTCCACACCATGTCGTCCGTATGGCCCAAAAATCGACTGTTTCATTACTGTTCCCACAATTCAAGTAAGACGCAGCGAGGCCACTGTTGAATGAATCATTTGCGGCCAAGATCCCAATTGGAATAGGTCGGTAGCCGCTTGAATTCATATATGTTTTAGTATCTCGTATCGCAGCTTTTACGTTGGGAAGTTCGATACCGCGAGAGCTTTGACTGGACCAAAGGTCAGGGTCAGAGTTGCTCTGGCCAACGACAAATCCAAGAACATTAGAATAACTTGCAAAGGTGGTGATATACTCGGTGTAACTGGAATAGATATCATCGTCCCACGAGCTAGAAGTATAGTCATCGATCGAAAGAACTTGCGGGTCGTCAGGGTTCGAATAATCTCCCAAATCGATTAGAACATAGATCCCCGCGTCTCGAAAGGTGTCCATGCAAAGAGTATGGTCCACTTTCTGATGTAGCCCGCTGATATAGATGGTGTTGACCCCAAGAGGAATGAGGTAGGTACTATCTGTGTCGCAAGATGAATATGGACCGATTGGGTCACCGAGTGACCCAGATCTGCCGCCTGAGTTGGGAATGTTATACGTAATACCACGGATGAAGAACTGGGTGCCGTTTGTGTAGAAGAAGTCGCTACCCTGTATGTTGTGTTATTGGGGCTAGTCGAGTGACGAACATCGAGGGTGATTGATTACCTTGATCACAATCGGCTCTGTCTGAGAGGTGGTGGAAGATGCTAAGAAAGTACTAGTCCTAGTAGTTGAGACTGCCATGACTACAAGTCTCTAACGTACCAGCCATCTATGTCGTCTTTGAACGACGGAGGGAGGTGGCATTCATGAGGCTCGCAGTCCAGGGTTTCGCAAGAAATCAAGGTAAATAAAACTTCAAGATAAAAAGGGTGTGGAGTCTACTTAGGTCGCCCTGTGCCACCCCCCGACTGCAACCCAAGAGGGTCAAATTTTGAAGTCAATATACAACTGTTGGTGTTTGAAGAATACCATGCTCCAATTGGCTCATGCGAATTAGTGATTTCGCTACGCCTGCAGCCCGCGTGCTGGACCTCAGCTCAGTATGGGACTGAGTACTGAGATCCGCTTGCTGCCTTACGAGCCTCCCATTGGGGTTTCAAACCAACACGAGAAAGCAAGGTCGACCTCATGGCGACCAGGCGCTTACCTGGAGGCTATGAAGATGTGCTGCATATGCAGACCAAATCCTTCAAAGAGGCAAGAAATACAGCCGTGATTGAAAGAATCGAGCCATGAGATGGCTGCTGGCTGCTGGCAGTGGGGCTCAATTCTCGACTGACATGCTAGTATTGCTGTTGGAAGAATGACTGTGAGGTTGTTGATCGACGCGGGCTAAAGACTGAGCTACCTTGGCAATATCGGGCTTACCAAGTTTGGTCCGCACGTGACTGTTCTCAACCACATTTCTTTGCACAAGATGAATTCCTGCCAAAATCATACGCGCACCCAATTATATTGTGTTTCTTATTGAACCACACCATGCATTTACACAAGCAGCGTACACCCGGAAATATACAGGAGATGTAGCTCAAAGTGCTCAATAACTGACTCATTCGACTGATGTTGAAAAGTGGGATAGAGGTTAAAGACGGCAGTGTCGTCCTTTCCCATAGCTCTTCTAAGATCACCAACAACACCATGGCAGAGTCAGTTGGAATCCTAGGTGCCGGGATAACAGGTCTTGCAACTGCCTATGTTCTCTCTTCAAAGTACAAAGTGACAATCGTGGCACGGGATCTTCCCGGAGACCTCGGTTTGGATTGGGCAAGTCCATGGTTTGTCATCTCGAGACTCATTTTCATATGTTTCAATTAGGAGTCTAATGGTTCAATAGGGCCGGTGCAGTGTTTCACCCTCAGAAAACCCCGATTAAATTATGGCAGGACATGCAATCAGCTTGCTTTCGGTTTTACTGGGCCCTTGCTCACAATGACCCCTCAAGTGGTGTCAAGGTTTACCCTATGACAGAGTATTTTGACACGATCCACGATGAGTCTGAGATATGGTACAAGACTTTGATGCCAGACTATCGAGTCATTCCTGCCGGGGATCTGCCTCCACGAACGACCTTCGGGATCAAATATACCGCGTTGGCGATGAATCCATCCATGCTGCTACCTTGGTTGAAGGCCAAATTAATCGCCAAAGGTGTCAACTTTATTCGAACAGAGATAAAGTCAGTCGATGAAGTTAGAGCTATTACGAAGGCGAAGCTCATTGTCAACGCTTCTGGCGTTGGGGCTAGGGTATTCGCTGGCGATGAGAGTGTCAGCCCAGTCCGCGGCCAGACCATGTTCGTCAAGACAGACTTCAATGAACTGGTCATGAAGGAGGGCACTGAATACACTTATGTGATACCTCGTACAAATTCTGGTGGGGTGATCATGGGCGGCATCAAAAGCGACCGGCTGGACAGTGAAGTGGATGTGAAATTGAAGAGCGACATCTTGATGAGGGTCAATCGAATTACTAATGATGCATTTAAAGATCTCGACACCAGTACGGTTACAGATATCGTTGGATTCCGACCTGGGAGAAAGGGTGGACTGAGAGTTGAGCGTGAGGGTGATGTTGTCCATGCTTATGGCGTCGAAGGTGCCGGATATATCTACTCATTCGGCGTGGCTGAAAGAGTGCAAGAATTGATCGAAGGTTCTGGCCTCAAAGCAAAGCTGTAAACTTCCATGTAAGCAAACAAATGTGCGTATAAGTCACCCCAATCTAGGTCACTCATATTTATAATCTCATCCACTTGCTGTTTCCAATGAGTAAGTAAAAGGCATCCACCTGCCTGAGACAGTGAATCCAATCTCACACTATTTCTTATGAAAAATTGCAATTCACTCATCCTAAAACAAAAAATCAATCTCATCAGAATAGCAAAGCGTCCGACAGCAGAGATGTCTAAAAATTCAGATGGGGACAAGGTGGAAGTGTATACACTACCTCCCCAAAAAGCGATACGGTTTTGCTAATCTTCAACAGAAACGACCCAACCACTCTCCACGCCGAGCCACCTTTCTGCTGTGACGAGATTTACCCCTTCAAAGACCCAAAAACTGATCATGAATGGGGTCTCTGGTACTTCACCGACCTCATCAAGGTCCCCTCAAGCTTCCCAAAATACGCCCGAAAATATCCTACTTCTCTGCTCATCGACTGCTGGCTACACGACACCGACTCGATCATCGAACTTCAAAATTACGAGGGTGCTGAGAAGGTCGAGAGTCGGTATTTCTTCCCCCAGCCAGATATCAGTAGTATGAGCAGGATGTTTGTGGAAATGGAGCCTGAGATGGTCAATTGGAATGTTTGGAAGAAAGATTGGGAGACGCTCAAGTTGCGATGTGATGTTCATCCGGGAGACAGACATTGGTGGGTGGTGAGACTGCTAGAGCGAGTCGACCCAGACGTGGAGAGAAAAGAGGTCCTTGCTGTGAAGAGGACAAAGAAATCTAAGCCGGTGTTTGACGAGGAATGAAAATCCAAAATACATTGCACTGGGTATCCTATCTGATAAGTCACAGTCATCACCATGAGAAAATAGGTTAAGTGTCCAACAAAAGTAGCCCGCCGGGGTTCATTGTCACGTCTGCGGCCTATCCCACTTTTGGCAATGGACGTCTGGATGATCTTCTGCTTTTTGATTTGTACTACTGTACGTCGATTTCCGACCCCAAAACTCTCAGACCCCTGGTGTTTCTTATCTTTTAATTATTGGCCGTCTAGGCTCTTATCGTGCCAGGTTAAGTACAAATACTCGCACGCCGACATGAATTCACAATATACACATAATCCATTCCTCTTTCTCTTTCTCTTTCCTCAAGTACAGTAATAAAACCATATCATTTCAGTCGGATTTTGCCGAGTTTTTCCTAACATGGAAAAATCACACTCTCCAGATAGTCCAGATGGAATTACCCGGGATCCTCACGCCACTTCAATAGGTGACACAACCAAGCTCGCCGACAATGCCCACGATCAAGGGGCTCAACTTTTCCAGGAAGTTCAAGAATATACTTCTGAAGAGCTGGAAGCTGAATCTACCAGAGTTAGAAGACTTATAGACTGGCATATAATGCCAATCGCGAGTTCACCCCTCTGAAAGTGGATTTTCACGTGCTAATAATATATGTTAGATCTGCATCACGTATATGATACAGTTCCTAGATAAACTTTCACTGAATTATGCCTCTGCATATAGTTTCAAGGAGGATCTGGGGCTCACTGGGTAAGCTGCATGAATCCCCTACATCTTGAGTTCAATCGCTCGGTCTCAGACAAGCGAACTGATACTCCATAATGGTATATTGTGAACACAAAGCTAACATCTCCCAAGGCAAAAGTATGCATGGACAGCAGCCAGTAAGTTGAAATTTCTCAAGCCTTGTATATATACTCGAAAGGGGACTAAAACCCTGCAGTCTTCAACTTCGGCTACCTCTTCTGGGCCATCCCAGCCAATCTCCTGATCCAAAGACTTCCAGTGGCAAAATTGACTGGGAGCATGATTCTACTCTGGTCAATTGTCCTAATCTGCCACATCTGGGCCAAGAACTACGCGGGAATCCTCGTCCTGCGTTTCATCCTCGGCATGTTCGAAGCCGGCATCTCCCCCGCAATCATGAGCATCGTGTCCATGTTCTACAAGCGTTCCGAGCAGCCAATTAGGATGTGCGTATTCCTTTCATTCAACGGCATGGCTACGATGGTTGGAGCGCTTCTAGGCTACGGACTCGGGCACGCCGAGAATACGAGTCTGAAAAGCTGGAAATTGATCTTTCTGGTCATTGGATTGCTGAACTTCGTCTGGTGCTGGGTCTTCCTCTGGTTTGTGCCGGATAGTCCTATGAATGCGAAGTTCTTGTCGCACAAGCAGAAAGTCATCGCTGTCCATCGCGTTTCGGAAAATATGATTGGGGTCAAGAATAAGAGTTTCGTGTGGAGTCAGGCACTTGAAGCAGTGCTTGATGTCAAGGTCCTAGCTCTAGCGATTATGGGCCTATCTTGTGGCGTCATCAATGGAGGGGTTAGCAACTTTGCATCTGCTCTGATCAAAGGCTTCGGGTTTTCCGGTATCTACGCTACTCTACTTCAACTCCCAACAGGAGCCTTTGAGTTCGTCCTCGTCCCGTTATGTGGCCTCGCTGCTGGCTACTTCAGAGACTCTCGCTGCATTATATTAGCGGTTATTTGCCTGCCACCACTTGGTGGTCTCTTAGGTATCCGACTAACATCTCTTGATCACCGATGGACGCTCGTTGGTTGCACCTGGCTTCAATTCATCGTCGGCGCGCCTGTGATCCTCTGCTGGAATCTCCTCGTCACCAACATCGCCGGCCATACGAAACGATCTTTCTCCAATGGGTTGTGGTTTGTCTTCTATGCAGGAGGCAATATTGCTGGTGCGAACATTTTCTTTACGAGAGAAGCACCTAGATATTTCTCCGCCTTGACGGGACTGATTGTGTGCTACTGCGGGATGTTTGTAGTTGCACTGGTTTTGAGGCAATACATGTGGTGGGAGAACCGTCGGAGAGATAAGAAAATTGGGGAGGGCGTCAGGACTGAAGAAGGAGCTGATATGCAAGGGATCTTGGAGGGTTTTACGGACCGGACTGATCGATCTAACTTGCATTTTAGATATGCGTTGTAGTTTATTGAACACGGACTACAGGCCAGACAATTTAAAAAATGCTGGGCAGATTTCCGAGAACAACAACACTATTTTCAAATTTTCAAGTCTCTCTGCGTGAACTCTTTTGCTCTTAGCACAAAAACCAACTTTCATGACGCAGATATCATCGCTGTCGTCTCCAAAAGCATTCTTGTGTAGTATGTCATGAACCATTATCACGGCCCGTCTCTCCTGTACTAGACGCAATGCCAACTCCCACAGGTGCACCTGGTCATAAAGTAGTACAAGTCCACAACTGTGAGACTCAACATCCAGACATGTCATGCATATCCCTATGTAAAGTTCCACAAGTGCCAACAAGATTGCTACGATCTCGATTACCCGTCTTATTTAAATCCTTCGAGTGGTTGTGTTAGTCGGGGTCAGAATTAACAAGAGTAGTGATTGTGAAGATACGGAGGAAGCCCGTGTCCATTCTCAAGGCTGTGTTGTGGTTTCCGGCAGCTAATCAGCAGCTGTCAGACTGGATATAAAGCTATGATATATGGCCTTGCTATCGCCATAGCTATGTAGTTCGGATTGAGAGTTTGTTTAGATCTGGAGAATCAACGCCGAGATGAGGTGCAGGGTACCCATATCAGCGCGGAGGATGTTAGAGTAGTTGATTTGCAAACGGATGAGGTTTTAGTGGAGGTGGACGAGACGGACTGGGAAAATGCGAGCTTCCGATATGCTCTTTAGGATTGATATTTGAGCTGATGTTTGGGTACAGATAGGTCATACAGATTGAGATTGCAGGTATTCAGCGAATAAAGGAGGTGGTGGGGACAGTTGCAGTTACCCCGCCCCCTGAATTCCTTGAAATAAGCGACATGTATAGTACAAGTATGGGAAGGAGTCGACTGATTTGTTATAACTTCGATACGCTAAGCGATAATACCGGCAATGAGCTTAGTACCTGGCACCCCCTAACATCAGGGAGGTCCAATTCGGCTGCCCCTCTAGGAAAGGGCCTCGTGATCATTTAAACTTTTTGCAGCTTTCAACCTCTTAGTAGAGCACCAGTGAAGGCGCGAAGATATGGAAGTCGGAGGACTTCGGTCATGATGAAACCTTCGGATTTATATCTACTTACAATCTATATGCCGCAAATGCTGTATGTCTAATAGAGTCTACTGGGATCTATCAAACACTTTACTGCCAAACTTCCACACCTGATCAACTTTAAGACTCCTCTTCCCCATCGCATCAACCTGTTCCTCGAGCACCACTAGATCAGCATCGGCATCGCTCTCTAGGCTGCCCTTGACTCCGCTCAAGCCCAACATAGCAGCTGGTGTGGCTGTTACCGCCTTCAGTGCTTGCGGAACAGTGGCTCCGGAGAAATTAAGGAAGTTGCTCACGCATTCGATGAGGGTGATGGAACTATGGCAAATGTCAGTATGCGCTTGCCTCGCATAGGAAAGGAAGAGACAAACCTCCCAGCAATTTTTTCCGTTCCCTCCAATAACAATTGACTTCCCCTCTTCAAGATCCTCTCCCCGTTGTTCCACTCATAAACGCCATCCGGCAACCCCACAAGATGCATCGCATCAGTAACTAATACGAAGCCCTCCGGATGCGCATTGAACGCTATTTTGATACTCGTGGGGTGGAGATGTATGCCGTCGGCAATAATCCCGAAGTACGGTCTTGGAAGCGATTCTGCGATGCCGAGCACGCCGAAAACGCCCGGGTTGCGGTGGTGCAGGGGCCGCATCGCATTGAAGAGATGCGTGATCATCGTTGCGCCGGAAGCTACAGCCAGCGATGCCTCCTCGTAGCTTGCTTCTGTGTGCCCGATGCTATATACAATCCCCCTCGCGGTAATATCTGGAATCGTCCGCATCATAGCCCCGATCTCAGGCGCGGCTGTGATTTTCTTGATTTTGGGTGCTTGGAGAGTGCCGGAGAGGGGGTCGAGGGTGGGATTTATGTTGGTGGCGCCGTACATGGCCTCGAGGTCGCTGAAGCCGTTCAAGGCTGGTGTTATGCATTCGACGGGATGGATGCCATTTTTGGTGGGCGAGAGGAAGGGTCCTTCACAGTGTGCTCCGAGGGATTCTGCGCCATCTGATGCGATTCGAAGGCCGCCAGATGGACCGAGATATGGCAGGGCATTGTGGTAGACCTCTTGGGGTTGTGTCGTTAGGGTTGGGAGGTAGGATGTGACGCCTGTTTGGATTATGGACTTGTTGACTTGTCGCAACGTTTTGCCGTAGCTCGAGGGCTCTTCTGGTATCGAGGAAAAGTTGAACCCGAATGCTCCGTTGAGTTGGACATCAATAAGACCCGGTGAGATTATTCGTCCTCCCAGGTTGACCGTCACGTCGGGTGTTGCATGCGCTCCATAGAAAGCTTCTTGACTCTTGACAATCTTCCCCGTCGCTGAGCTCACCCAGAGATCCTGCTCTACCAGCTCATCACCCTTTACCAGCCGGCAATTCGTAAACTTGGTGATTATCTCATTATTGTTCGTGGGAACAGCAGAAGGCATGATGACTGAATTTAAGAATAGAAGTGAAAGTTCTTGTTGTTTTTCTTTGTTCTTTGTTCTAATTGAGCATATGAGATTTATTGTGGCGTTACACCACGGATCACCTTGGAGGACTACATGATGAATAACATGAAAGTGCAAAAGGCTTCAACGGGCCCTTCTTATGTGGTATGTTCCCACAATGACAAGTAGCAGGCGGCAAGTGACGATGAGTAAGAATGTGACATGACTTAGTCGACGGGATAAGAGTGGAGCAAGATATCGTGGAGTTGCTCAGTCGCTTAAATGTAACGTCTCATCGGCCCGTGGCATTCGCCGCATTTACTGGGTCTGAAAGCAACGTGTAGTTTTGCAAACAGCAAATTGATGCGTTTATGAAGAGCACGCAAGAAATGGTTGGAGATCCTTAAAAGTATGAAGGAAAGAAAACTGTCTCACCCGAATCGTTATCAATCAATCCTGTCCCACTATGATGCTTGACTGTGCATACATAACATAGATAGCGCCAAGGCGAAGGGGCCGGACAGAAAGCTTCAACAACTTGAAGGCTGCTTGGCAAGCTCAATGTTTTCTACACGTGAAGCGACCTCGACTGAGAGGCAGACGCCAGACTTGTGATGAAGATGTTGCTTTTGAATAATCGGAGAAAGGGAAGAGGTTGGAGTAGAAATATATATGTTCGGTTCATATCTATTCCCGGCAATGCGCCGTGCCCTGCACGTGACCTGACCCGCAAATACTCTCTTGTCTCCGGCCATCAATAAGCGCTTACTATCTTGAGCTTATCCCTTACACAATTGATTCCAATCACCTCCATGAGGCTACCGAGACAGGACAGAATCATCACATACATTCCTTCACATGGCCCATCAACGTTGCGACGGTCCAAGAACATGCTCTTATGTGAGAAGATCTTAATGGAACGGAAAGGTTGTGTAGTTGGCCCGCGTTTATACGAGAACGAGACCCCCCTGCTACCAGGTGACAGGTAGCAGATCGCCAGCCACGACGGCCCGTTCGAAACTTGTGAAGATGGAGACGCCCGAAGAGGACTTGGACCCGCTCTGGAAAGAGCTCGATTGGTATGTACATGCACTCCCGTGAGCAGAGTAGAAACTCGTACCTGCCTCGCGAGCCTCGTAAGGGACTACAGTACGCTACGTCCCCGTAGAGTGAAGTATCCTCGGCCAGCTTATGCCATGTTGCGCCATCATCCATCATCTTTCCGTGCTTGGGTCAAGGATCGACTTGCTTACACAGACACGTATCAGAATCATCCCCTGATTTGTATGATTCTGCGTTGCGTGTCGTCGCGCTAGTAGACCCCTTTTCGACCCAATCCCAAGATGGAAGACACTGGTGCACTCACTGACGACTTTGACAGGGCAATCGGGGCCTGCTTTTTTATGGGATTCGATGGGACAGAAGTAACCCCACAGATTCGTACTTTGATAGAAGATCATCATTTAGGTGCTATTCTATTGACAACCAAGAATTTGAAATGTATGTGAACCCTACTTTCTTCCATGTGCAGATCCCCAGCGTATAGTCTCGTGCAACCTGAACGTTGGACTAGCTCTGTCAAAATAGACGAATGAGGAAAGGCGGACAGTACCACCAGCCTGCGGTCCTAAGTTGAGCCAGGCATTTGAAAAGTGTTGGGCAGTATGGTTGTCTCATATTCTCTTGATCTTGCTCATAGTCTTCTTTCCTTGCACTCCATATTTCACCAAAACCTCGTAAAATCCCGGAATCCTATTCTAGCAGCAACTAACATCAGCAGCTGCACAACAAACCGCAAGTCTTGTTCAAGAATTACAAGCAATCGCCCATAATGCTGGTCATCCAGTTCCTTTGCTCATTGCCTTAGACCAGGAAAATGGCGGGGTCAATAGCCTCTTCGATGATGACTATATCTGCCAGTTCCCTAGCGCTATGGGGGTTGCGGCAACTGGAAGCCCCGAAATAGCATATGAAGTCGCCAATGCTACAGGCAAAGAGCTAAATGCTGTCGGGATTAACATGATCATGGGCCCCGTATTGGATGTCTTGACGAATGCTCGATATCAGCCTTTAGGTGTTAGAGCTACTGGAGATGATCCTCAAGAGGTATCTCAATATGGGATTGCTGCCATGAACGGCTACAAAGATGCCGGAATTGTCACGTGTGGAAAGCATTTTCCTTCATACGGTAACCTGGACTTCTTGGGATCATCACTTGATATGCCTATCATCACTGAGACACTTGAGCAACTGAGTCTTGGCGCCCTGGTTCCTTTCCGAAACGCAATCAGAGAAGGACTGGATGCAATGATGGTTGGCGGTTGCGCAATAGCTAATGCTGGTAAGCGTTTTTGTGAATCTTTGTTTGTGAAGGATTGACTGACATCACCATCAGGTATGAATGTTATGCACGCTTGCTTGAGTGATCAAGTTGTGGATGACTTACTAAGAAATGACTTGGGATTCAATGGCGTCACGATATCAGAATGCCTAGAAATGGACGCTCTCAGCCACGATATCGGCGTGAGAGGTGGTACTGTCATGGCAGTGGAAGCAGGCTGTGATCTCGTGTTACTCTGCCGCTCGTTCACAGTCCAATTAGAAGCCATCTCTGGCCTAAAACTCGGAATTGAAAATGGTATGATCTCAAGAGAGAGAATACAAATCTCTCTCAGGCGAATGCTAAACTTGAAGTCAAAATGTACTTCATGGGAAAAGGCTCTCAACCCCGAAGGGGTCAATTACCTGGCAACCTTACACCCTGGTCACTTGGCCCTATCAACAAAAGCTTACGACAAATCGATAACAATCATGAGAGACAAAGGTCACCTTTTACCTCTTTCAAATACTCTATACCCGGATGAAGAACTATTACTTCTAACACCATTGGTCAAGCCTTTACCAGCTTCAGCTGCGACAAAAGCAGTAGCCGATGGACCAGGCATTCCATCGGAACACGATAAATGGGTGCATAGATCATCCATCATGAGCGGAGAAGGCGTGTTTCGAGAGCTAGGAAGATCATTGGCACGGCAAAGACACGGAAAATTACTACATACTTCGTACACGGCCAACGGAGTCCGGCCAGTTCACGAAAATCTGATCAATAGAGCGGCTGCGATTATTATCATCACAGCAGATGCTAACCGTAATTTGTACCAAAATGGATTCACGAAGCATGTGGCAATGATGTGCTCGATGCTATCTGCTGGCGGGAAGAAGAAGTCACTAATTGTGGTTTCTGTCAGCTCGCCGTATGATTTTGCTATGGACAAAGCAATTGGAACATATGTCTGCACTTTTGACTTTACTGAAACAGCTATGAGCGCACTGGTCAGAGCCCTGTTTGGAGAGTTTGTTCCACAAGGCACCCTACCAGGCACACTGCGTAAGAGTAGAAAAGTTCAAAAGTCAAGACAACATTGGCTGGTCGAGAGCTGGAACAGAGATCGCGATCACCGAGGTCTGCTAGCTCTCATCAAAACAATGGAGAAGACATCACCGCCAAACCAAATATGCGCATTATCAGGTGCAACAGCTGGATCGTTCGAATTGGTAAGTATTCCCCCCCAATTTTAAATATTTCACGGCAAGTGTTAACAGCCACAAGTCCAATCCTTCGGAATCCGGTGAACCAATTGAAGAGTCCCACTACGTAGTCCGCAACAGCAGCACCCAAGCTCTCTTCGGCTTCTGCTCCACCTACTTCTACGCCTCCACCGGTATGATCGGCTCCCTTTTCGTCGACCCTGCGAAACGCAACCTCTCCATCGGTCACTCACTGCACCAACGTGCCGTCCGCGGGCTGGTCCAAAAACCCGGCATCAAGAAATTGCAACTCGGTTCCGGACTCCCCGGTATCTACCTAGGGATCCCCATGAGCGATTTATCAGAGGGCGCGCGCTTGAAGCGCTGGTTTGCCAACAACGGATGGGATATCCTGGGACCGAGATTATTGTACACTCTGACGATTCGTAATTTGTCGCATTGGCAGCCGCCCGAGGGCCTGCTGCAGAGTATTCAGCGGGTGAGCTTCGCGTTTGATCTGATCCACGGGAGCGAGAACTCGGAGACGGTGCTGGAGCACGTGCGGTGCAATGCTGGGCCCGAAGTCCTCGAGCTGTATCGGCTTGCGCTTGAGGATCACAAGGCGTGCGGGATCGTGAGGGCGAAATCACCGGTCGATGGCGCGCTTGTGGGGACCGTTATCATCTGTCGGCAGGAAACACCGCTTGCGACGTACTTGCCTGTGCTGCAAGCAGCGGGCGATACTGTGGGTGGGATCTTGGCGCCTGTTGTGCCTAGTAGTCCGCAGGCAGCGATTGTGCTGCAGGGCCTGGCGCTGTTGGGCATCAAGCAGAATAAAGCGCATAGGGCGAGTACGTGTGTGTTGAACTGGGTGGCGGGTGAGGAGCGGGATACGCTGTTGGGGATGGGTTTTGATGTTTTAGATGCATTTGAAGAACTGAGTTGTAGCCCGGAGACGGTAAGTTTTTATTCCTCAAGCAGCAGAAAAGGTGTATAGTTACTGACTTTTTAATAGTTCAATGTTGCGAGTTTAGGATAGGGGGTTGATATATATTTTTTGATTTCTTTGATACCTACGTCTATATAACGAATTTCACCTGTATTTCCCACTTTACCACCTTGCCACCTTGAACTTCTGGAACCTACCTAGAATACAAGTATAATATACATACAAAATGTCCCAAAACCCTCAAAACACAACACGCGAACAATTAAAAAGGGGCTTATAGAAAGAAGACTATGGATATAATGAGGCTATGTCAACTTTTGCGCAGCTATGCAGCATGCAATGCGAGTTCAACTTCCCCCTGTAACCGCAGATTGCCTTGAAATCAGCCTTGCCGGCACATGCATCCATCATCGTATCTGATCTGTCCCATGCATCCCTTTTTTCTAATTCTCGAATCCTTTTTTCATAAATACTGTTGGTATCACAGGTTGATATCCGTGATCACTTCTATACTACGTAGTAGACTTGATACTGGTTGATGTTGCTTGGCATTCATGGTGGTGTAGACGCGAAGAGGTTATGCCTCTCTGCTGACTAAGCTAGATCACATTATGTTACATGACGACAAAGGTCGGGATGCGGGTCGCGAGGCGGTCCTAATATCCCAATAAATACAATCACGAATACAATCATACATCCCATCATATCACAGCACATCAGATCCACGATGGCGGAACTCCTCGCGGTCGCGGGCGGCATCTCCAGTTTCCTGTCTGTCGCGGAAGTCGCTTCCAAGCTAGTGCGAGGCTGTATGACTTTAATGAAAGGTGCGAAGAATGCACCGAAAGATGTTAGGAAGCTTGTACAGGAGCTCGAAAGCTTGAGTAATATCGCGCGGGGTATTGAGCGGATTGTTGGGGAGATGAGAAATTTGGAGGTGAAAACGAAGGTTGACGAGGCTGTGAGGCTGGCCCTCGAGAGGTGCGTGGAAGTCGTGGGGGAACTGAGGGGTATTCTAGATGAGTATGCGAATTCAGTAGTGTATTCCAGAGCTGGTGCTAATATATTTCTGCAGGTATGAGAACCGTTTTCGGAGACATGGAGTGAAGTTGTGGTGGGAGAAAGTTAAAGTTGTGAAAGGGAAGAAGGGAGTCGCAACCTTGCTCGAGCGGATAGGACGCGCAAAACTTGACTTAGTGTTGGCCCATCAAAATGCCTCCAGGTAATGTTGGCCGTTGTTTCATCCTCTTTCCCCTTTTCTTGACCTCGAAGAATTGCCGGCCAATGCTGATTGTCTTGAATCATCTGCAGCGTTGTTGCACGATCCCAAAGTGGCACACTCGACACGATGTGCCAGTCCGTAAGCAACATTCACAATACGACCGTGGACTTTTCTACAAAGATCGACAACACACTGGACCAAGGGAAAGAGATGCTAGCAATCGGAAATATGACAAAACAGCAGACACGAGATTCAGAGACCCAGCGCCGAGAGGACTTTCAAAATGGAATGAGACAACTAGAAGCGGTGTCAGACGCGCAAGACCACGGGTTCAGCCAGACATCTGAATCACTCGCTACTATACAGGAAAGCATTATGAGCACGTCGGCCAGAGTCGACAATAACTTAGAACGAACACAGGCTGTTTTCACCGTTACGGAGAGAACGCAAGAAAGTGTAGTTGGGTTGGAAAGAAGTCAAAGAGATAGTTTTCAAATACTCCAATCGATAGAGCAAAAGATCAGCAATCCCGATGCGCTCGTTGAGATTTTCGCCCAAGCTCTTGCCATACGAGACAGGGGACAAGAACGGGACCAACTGGTTGAAGTCGAGAATTATGCTGATGCTGCGGTTCAAAGCGACAACATTAAACTTGTGTCATCTCAAGGCTCACTTGACAGTTCGAGGAGACGTACTCGCTGGAAGAACGTCTCCTGTACTAGATACCTCAGTAATCGGTATCTGTCAATCCAATCTGCCACCTGGGAAGAGAACCCAGACGAAGAAGACTTAGCCCTCGGACTAGACTCGTTGAAGGCAACCAAGACTTGCATTACTTTCCGGTCCACGCTACCATTTTTTAAGCGAGCTCTTTACTACACAATGGCAGGAACCGTCGGAGATCCATTGTATGAGAGAAAACTTAGACAAGTTGCGGTTTTTTCGGATGATTCTGCGATCTGGAAAGCATGCAAATCGTGCGGTTTGGACGAAGTTCGCCGACTCTTTATCTCTGGGGAAGCCTCCCCTTTCATGGAAAACAAACGTGGGGACTCCCTGCCAGAAGCTGTATTGTGGGACATTAACTGGGAAGACAATTTTGTACACCTTTTCGATCTTTTGATCCAAGCCCGCGGAAGAAGAGGGGTTTCTTTCTGCCCACAGAAAACATGCCAACTTCTCAGTATAAGTTTATGTGTAGGGAATAAACGTTGGAGGATGGAAACCGTAGACCACTATATGCGAGGAATTATTCGACATTCATATGACAACCCATTCGATTATTCGAATATCTCTAGCCTCATCAATTTCGACAATATCCAACATACAATTGTCACCACCATTACTCAGCAAACAGCTTGGTCACTCGACTTGGGGGCTCACGTTGCAGGCGGGGTTCTTATAGAGAACGAGAGACATATGCTTCAGGATCCCAAGGCAGATCACTTGAAAGTGCTTCTTGAAAGTGCAGAAACATATCAACTGCATTTCTCCTGGTCCATCGAAGCAGGTTGGGACCGTTGGATCGGCTTCCAGGGCAGTCGTCCATATTCACCAATAGCCTTAATGCTACATGCATCAATATCTACAAGAGACGATCTTCGCGAGTGCTGCAAGAACCGGCTGAAGCTTCTTATAAGCACGCCAAAATTTCATCGATTGGTAGAAGCAACTAATTCGAACTTTGGCCACTTCATCACCGCCGAACCAAATGATTGCTATGCATCGAATTGCATTGATTCCGACAAGGATGAAAATTTAGGGAGATATGCCATTCGTAATGGGTATCGGCCATTTTTAGAAGATCTTTTTCGAGAAATTGGCTGGCGAGACATGGAAATCGACGATTTCTTTGACAGAGAAACATTTTATGGTGTCCCAGGCCTTCTCAATGGCCAAATTATATACGAAACAACTCAGGATGCTCAGCGAAAGTTCGTAACCAACTTGTGCGACGGAGCCTTCACAAAAATGTCGCCAGATGAAGTAGAATCGGTGGTTCGTCAAATAGGTATTTTAATATGGTCGGACCCCTCAACACTGCACCATGATAATGACTCTAATTACTCCTGGTACACTTATTATATTCAAGACACGATAGAAGCGGCAAATGAAGCATTCCTCTCAAAGAACATGCCTGGAAGCTGGCCAGAAGAGGGGGAAATCAGACTAGTCCCTGGAGTCGATTTCACGATCCGTGGCCCCTATCATAACGAGTATTTTGCTATCTCCCCACATCAAAGCGAGTGCTACAAGAGAATCCTCTCCTGGTATCGCGACTATATAGACCCAGATTTTGTGATCTATTTGCCAGGCGAGGACTTCTAGATACCGTCTTTCCCAGAAGACTACAACAGCGAAGACGATTCAACCTCCGAAGAAGAATAGATCTCCCTAGCATCATTCTCATTGCAGCACACTTCCATCAGTCACAACCACATTCCATTCAAAACAGCCGCAAATTCAGCAAAAACCAGAAGAAAATACACACAAAAGAACACAAAAACAAAAACATAAATCGCAAAACCAACACACTATCTCCAAGCCTCTGAATCCGAATCCGAATCCGACTTCAAAATAAAAGACAACGCGCCAACACAGCCAAGAAACCTCTCTACCAGCTGCACTCGGCCTGCACTCGCGCGGGCGTGAAAGGTATAGAGAAGAGGAATTGAGGTGGAAGATCCAGAAGAACATTGAAACTGAAAAGAGAAAATACGTCCATCACGAGGGAGGGAGGGTAAAGCGGCGTAGGAATGAGCTAGGCCAGGCTAGGCCAGGCGTGTGGGGCATGTGGAATGAGGAATGAGTTGAAAGTGTGCCTTATGGTGTGGGAAGGGAAGGGAAGTCTGCGATGTGGAGTTGAGGTGAGGTCAGGTGAGGTGTGTTTGCATTGTAGGAAGTTGGCAGGAGCTAACTAAGCTAAGGTAATACCTATATACTCGTGGGTACCTGAGGACCCAACGTGCCTGCGTTATAGGTAAGAAGTGTGGCAGGTAGGAGCCTCAAGCCTCAAGGAGGTGGAACGAGGGATGGCACTTGCCGAATAGCTTAAAAAGAGGGGGGTACAGATGGGGTACAGTACGTTACTGTAAGAACGGAAGAGCGGGGAGGAGAGGGCGTGGTTTTTTATGTATGAATTTCATGCTAAATCTGGATTTGGTATATAATTTTTGTTTTGTCTTGTTTTTACAATTTCACCGTTCTCTCTTTCTCTCTCCCTATGCCCACATCCAACACCCGCTATCTATCCACCACAAACCCCTCCCTCCTGGCCCATTTCAAATCCATGATTCACCACCCACCCCTAGAAAGCGGCAATCCGGCTGCCCATACGATCCGGCACCAACTCTGGCGTATGGCTACGTACCGGATACTCTGTCGCCGGCGCCGCAAGCAACGTACTGGTAACGGGTTGCGGGGACAGGATGCTCGGTTCATCCTTAACAGTTGCTGGCGTAGGTGGTTTCGAGGGGCTATATGTAGAGTTGAGCGCGGTTGTGCGGGGACCGGTGCGGATTTTCGAGGGGAGGATTTGTTCGAAGCCTTGGGAGGAAGCTACTGCTTCGATGGATTTGAAATACTGGTTTCGCGTTAGCTCGGGGATTATTTTTATGTGGGGGATAGGGGCAATTACTTTGACGGTTTTTACTTGTAGTTCAAGGGTTGCGTCTTCGTCAACTACGATCATGGGGTGAGGATGCAGTTGTAGACTCGATAGTGTCCACATGTGGTTCACGCCATCTTCGATACATTTCTTGAGCGCAAGGGATTTATGCGCGCCTGTGATGATAATCACGACTTCCCTCGCCTCTAGCACAGTCTGTACGCCAACTGTAAGTGCCATTTTCGGCACTTTCTCTAGATCGTTGTCGAAGAACCGCGAGTTTGCAATTATTGTATCGTACGCCAGCGTCTTGACTCTCGTTCGCGATGCGAGGGAAGAGCCGGGCTCGTTGAATGCAATATGGCCATCTGGACCGATACCACCAAGGAATAGATCAATGCCACCGGCTGCTTTGATGGCGGCTTCGTATTGCACGCATTCTGCCTCTAGATCAGGGGCATTGCCGTTCAGGATGTGGATATTGGAGGGATGAACGTTGACGTGCGAGAAGAAGTGTTTGTACATGAATGTGTGGTAGCTTTCGGGGTGTTCGCGCGGGATGCCGATGTACTCGTCCTGTTGATATGTTGTCAGTAAGGCTGCGCGTGGCTGAGAAGGGAGGGAAGGAGGATATATTTACCATGTTGAAGGTAACGACATTTTCAAAGGAGATTTCGCCGGCTTTGAATTTCTGGACAAGGATTTTGTAAATTCCCACGGGAGAGGAGCCGGTTGGTAGGCCGAGGACGAAGGGGTGTTCTTTTGTTGGGTTGAAGGCTTGAATTCTGTCTGCGGGAATAAGTTAATATTTGGGGGCCAAGATGCGGGGCAGAAGACGTACCAATGATATACTTGGCAATATAGGATGACGCCTGTGTCGGATCGTCTCTGATGATGAGCCTCATCTTGGATGGTTGGACGAGTTATTGGGTTATTGGGTTAGTGGTTCTAGAAGGAAGGGACTGATGAATGTACTGGATGTTGAGGTTTCTTCAGGTAGAAATGTATATTAAGAAGCAGAAAAGGCAGAAAAAGCAGAGAGAATATCAGAAATTTGACAGTAGGAGACGTAGTAATCGGAACTCCCTTACGTTGCTGCGATGAATCATCAGATCCTCACTACCAGGAGATTCATACCCACATGTGACATTCTTCATTGGGCAGGGTTTGCCATTGACAAGTAGCATAGGACGGGAGGTTGGCCAAAAGTTTGAAGAGAGTGCGGTAGGTTCGGTAGCCTGTAGAGTATGGAACGTCACTGTCGACAACACCCCATTGTCGACTGAATCGTGACCCAACGCTACGGCACATTCGGGACAGTATCAGTATGCTGATGGCGATTCGTGTGTGAAACCATCATGGCGGGCGGCGTGTCTGCGGGGCAATTATAGTAGTTATAGTACAGTGCAGTGCAGTATAGTGAAATCCAGTCGCCATGGGCCATCTAGCTCGACATCCAGGACCATTGAGAGTCTCCAGACAGTTGTCCAGCTCGATTCTGTATAGCAGTAGTGGCAGTTGATATTGGGTCAGGGCCGAGAGAGTCTTGGCCTTGGCATCTTAATATGGATATTCGACAACGTTGTAAGGTTTGGTCGGGTCTGGTCTAGTCTGGTCGTTGGTTGTTGCAGTGGGGAGACGAGGCGGCGATTAGCGGGTGCCACTTAGATAAGCGGCAGTCATTCGGGTCCGGGGCAGAATGGCAAAGCAAAGACACTCGTTACTCCCAACAGCTGTAACGTTGCTTTTCACTCGACACCTCTGAATTACTTCATGCAACATGCGCTGGACCACGAAGAAGTACCTAGGTACGGAGTAGAGAACCACCGAGTCCGACTAGGTATCCCGACATGGAGTAGAGTACAGTGCATCAATTGGTGGTAGCTCTCTCGTACCGCAAATCCTATTATTCTCATTGCTTTGCTGCTCACCGACCGTGTAGAGTGAGAGTCTAGGCATCCTATCCTTGGTGTCCCGATACTTGGAAATGCACTCACTCTATTTCTGGTCCAACTGACCAGTAGAGCTTGCCCGAGCCAGCGGAAAGTACCCACACTTGCTTGCAGAAGGTCTACGGAGGTAAAAGACCTTCTTTCTTTCACCTCTGTTTCCTTTACATGAAAATTACGCTACTGCTATTTTCAATACTACTAACGATGTTACACTCGCTGTTGGGCTGAAAACCTCCTCCCGCCCTATCAATCTCCGTATTCGCTATGGCGCAATAGCTTTCTCATCTCAATGCCCGTCAAAACCTGGGCTTCCTAGTCGTTATTTATATATGATCGTCTTTACATGTTACTCGGCATCTTCGAGACGCATCCAATCCGTTTCCCCCACACGCGTCGTACTACTCGCGACCTTCCCTCCTTAGACTCGGGTCGCAGCTGTCTGACATTTCATTCTTTCAACCATTACGAAATATACGGTACGGCACCGTACCTTCACCTACCCAACCTTGCATTAATTTTTGGGAATCTGGCACGATGCAACTACTACAGCAATAAACATTTCTGCGTGTATGGAGAGGAAACCTGACGCAACAACCCGTACTCGTCGATCGTACTACATTAGCTCCGCCTCACAGCGCCGCTACACTTAAATTTCTTCTATATGTATCAACGCTCAATGACATGCAGCCATTCATTGCTGCAATGCTCAAGGTACGACAGGCCTTCTACGCTGCCATTATCAGGAGTTTGCTGAGGACGAAGTCTGTCCTCCAAACCATCCTGAATATCTGGATTGCGCCTTCGATTATCAAGAACAAGAATGTTGACCAGAATGGCGATATTGGTGGGGGAAAGAAGAAGATGTATGCGGAATTCATAACGAATGTTGAGACCGCTTTTGGAGAGTCCAGGGAGAAGTCGAGGCTGGTGGCCTTGTCTGATGGGCTGAGGGCTCAATTTGGGGAGAGTTTATTGGACAATCCGATGAATATGCTCCCGTCGTACAACCATCAACTTCCCACGGGAGATGAATGTGGGACCTATCTCGCTCTCGATGTTGGGGGATCCACTTTTAGGGTTGCTTTGATTGAGCTTTCCGGGCGTGGATGTGTCGGGCAGGAGACTACGATATTGAAAATAGATTCTTACAAAATCTTAGGTGCTGTGAGGCAGCTAAAGGGTGTTTTGTTTTTCGACTGGATGGCTGAGCGCATTTCACAGACTCTGTCAGGTCAGGATGAAGGCCATGATATGTCCAGCGCTCCTCTATCTATGGGAATGTCATGGTCATTTCCAATTGAGTATGTATATCATCATCTTTATTTAAGCAAGTCAGCTGACAAATTCAGGCAAACCTCACTTCGAAGTGGACTTCTCTTGGGTATGGGTAAAGGCTTTCTTGCAGCTCATGGTCTTCTTGGAAAAGATCTTGGAGATATCATTCAAGATTCATGCTCCAGGAAGGGTCTCAACGTTCAATTGAACGCTATCGTCAACGACTCTTCGGCAACTCTGCTCTCCAAGGCATATTTAGACCAGACTACCCGCTTTGCGCTCATTGTGGGCACTGGACTAAACGCTGCTGTGCATCTCCCAGTACACATGTTCTCTCCTCCCAAATTCGGCGTTCGACCTGATAGCTGGCACGATGCAGCCAAACATGTCATCGTCAACACAGAGCTCTCCATGTTTGGCGCTGGCATCCTACCGGAAACGAAATGGGACGAAAGACTGAGGGCTAGTCATCCTATGCCCGACTTTCAACCAATGGAGTATTTCGTCAGTGGGGGGTACTTGGGAGAGATTGTTCGCTTGGTTTTGGTCGATGGTATCCAGACAGCAGGATTTTTTGGAGGCATCGTACCTCCCAGCCTGAGAGAGCAATACTCCTTGGACACTGAGACTATTTCTCATATTGAATCGTAAGTATATGCCATCCTTACACGCAAAAGACCTGGCACTAACAAATGGCATAGCGACCAAAGCACATCGCTCTCCTCCGCGCGAAAAATTTTCCTCTCTCGACACCCAACATCCTACCCGCCTACACAAGAGGACATGCAAGCTATTCGCCTCATCGCGTCGCATATCACTTACCGAGCAAGTGGCATTCTCGCAGCCGGCACCCACGCGCTGTGGCAACTGCGCAACGAAGCCGAGTCGATCCCTGCAGACGAATCCTCACATACGCTGGTAGCATATAACGGGTCAGTGCTCGAGAACTACCCGGGGTTCAGGGCGACATGCCAGGAGCAACTCGACGCGTTGGTTGAGGCGACGGGCGCAAAGAGAGGGGTCGTAGAATTAATGTATGCGGAAGAGAGCAGTCTTCTTGGAGCGGCGGTTGCGGTAGCATGTTCTAGTGGGTAGCGATTTTGCACGAAAAGGACCGGGCATGCATCATTTACGGTACATATATAGCATTTTCGGGCGTTTCTAGGAAGAAATAGGCGATGGCATATGAGTGAGCAAGATATTATTTACATTTGAAATGAGATAAATGACATATCTGAGGAATGGACTGAAATGGACTAATTGAAACGGGGCGCAGAGAAAAGGGGGGGTTTCAACACGTGAAAGCTCGTTCCATGATTCCATCCAATCCTCCCTCCTCGCCCCCCATGCAGGGAAACGAGGCATCTATGCCTCAATTCATCCGATCTCTTCCTCTTTCAACAAATCACATGGGGAATGAATCAGCAGTTGTAAGCCATGTTCATGTCAAGAAGCTCCGGTTCGGCCTTGTTCCGGAGACCACTTCCGCAGTCCTGTCTTTGCTATGGGGGAACATGATGTCTTCTCCGTACAAGTAGAAATCTCGAATCTCGAAGATGCGGGGTGGGACGAGCTAGGTAGGCAGGGGGGCAGGATGCCTATCTCGCGTGCATACTACTACTGAGTCACATGAACCTTATAAAGTAACCAAGTTGCTACAGTACAAGTAACAATGAAGATATTGTGAGAGAGATCTTGGCCCTGGCCTGGTGCTGGTACATTACATTTTGTAGTCGCTTCCCTGATCTCCCTCCCTTCCCTCTCCTTCCTAATCGACTGCAGATCATCTGTAGGGGGTTCCTTGGGGATTCAATCGAGTCGAGAGCGATAACGAGTGAGAAAGCCGAGATAGTGAGAGAGGGTCCTGGAAGCTACACTTGCACGCCCCTGGACTGCACGAATCGGATGCTTGTCGCCCTAATACCATACTACCGCATGCTCCACTCAACTCCATTCCTCCCCTCTACTCGACTCTTCTAATCCTCTAATCCGGATGCCCTCTTCCTCTCTTCCCCTTTCTTGCTATTTATCCACATGCAAATGCAAATGCAGATGCAGATAGATAGCCACTGTTGCACGTTCCGATATACAATCCAAGCCTTACCCTACCTTGCCTTGCCTTGCCTTCCCCTCTAGCATAGAGCGAGTTATCAATAGAAACATCTAAGCCTTCTTTCTCTCCTGCGGTCAGGCTCCCACTCCTCTAATAACGCGGAGATCATATAACCACCATCGCGGCTCCGACTGGCTCCTTCAACGGCTTCTCAACCTCAACTCTCACATCCCTCCACCACAGCCCTACCCACAGTACATTTGCAATATATATTTATTTATATCTATACACGTAAATTAATTACATACATACTTGTGTATTACCTCACATGCTGCTTGGAAACAATAATGCGCACAACTATTAGACCTGTTACCGATGCTTCAATCTACTACCCGCCGCACCAGCGAACTACGAGTTCCCCATCGCCATGCCATGGCAGGCTATGATACTCTGACCATGAGCTCTGCGCCGAACGACATTCTGCGATTGAGTGTCCCAGACTCGGGGCGCATGACTACCATGGATCCATTCGATCGTGATCTAAATTTTGAGGGGGATGGATTATTGTACGTCCCTTATTCTCCCATACCTATCCTACAAATATAATGCAGGATCTCAAATACATATCAGCTCAAAGAAACTAAGCTGACTTCACCGTCCACAGCGGACAACCCAGAGACGAAGTCCACACCACCGGCCTCCCCATCCCTTTCACGCCCTCCTATGACCTCTCCGACGCCTTCTCCACCACCTTCGAAGACCCTTTTTCCTACCAATCTGGGCCCTTCGAATCCCTCCTCGATAACCCCAACAATCCCAGCACCCAAGATGGCGACGGCGCGCCCCGCAAGACCTCGACAACAAGCTTCTCGGCTTCGGTGTCCCCATCATGAAAGCACCTGTCCTGGATGACCGCAGCCAACAGACATGGCCACAGATGACCGCAGAACTATACGGGATGTTTTTCGTCGCGGAAGATGTGTTCGGTGGCGACACGGCGGGGCGACCCATGGAGTTGACTTGTTACCGGCGGAATCTCTTTCAGATCTCGGGCTCCGTAACGTTGTCGAGGAATGTTACGCATATGGTTAATGAGCAGGGACAACAAATACCTTTATATGACCTCACGGCTACGATATCGGCGCTGGAGAGTATAGAGGGCAAAAGCACCGAAATCATATCCGTGCCATGGAAAACATCGACGGGGTCGTCGAGTGATGATAAAGCAGGCGCCGCACCGCCGAAATGGCCGCTGGATCTGAGTACGAACCCGGAATTGGACCCCCTTTCCGTCTCGATACCTATAGCCTGGAAACGGCTGCAGTTTAAACACGCAACTGCGAATAACGGCCGGCGGAAAGGTCTACAGCAACATTATGTCATTCAGATAAACCTCATGGCTACTCTAGCTACAGGTGAGAATTTCCAGTTGGCGGAGATACAGAGTGGGCCGATTATTGTAAGGGGCAGGAGTCCGAGGAATTTCGATAGTAGGAAGGATGTGCCGCTTTCTGAGAGGAAGTTGGAGCCCAAGCAGAGGGCTATGAGTGATGCTTCTGCGAGTACGAATGTTCCTCAGGTGAAGGTTGATCCCGCCGTGTCAAATAGCACGTATCGATTTTATGCGTTGAATGCTTTACAGGTTTGTCTTTCCTTTCACCCCCCCCCCCCCTTGTTTCTCTAAATACTGATGCGAACAGACACCACTTGATCTCCCCGACTGGTCCAATTCCAACTCAGCAACGCTCCCCTCCAGCACAACATCCCCCGAAACCCACAGGCCCTCCAAAAAGCCTGCTCTCTCCACCAACAACGGCCATTCATCCCGTCCCCCCGTCCCGAAAACAAAATGGAAATCCGAAAACACCACCCCCGTAAAACCTAGCGCGGCCGCACCAATCGATCTTAGTCTAGTGGATGACGAATACGGACGCAAGGAAGTAGGGCGAAGTGGTGGGGAGAGTCCGCTCGTTAGGAAAAGCAGTCATGGGGCTAAGGCTGCGGCGAGTCCTGAGAATACGGATTTGTTATATGAGTATTTTCCCTTGAGTTTAGATGATTGGTAAGTTTGAAGCCCCTGTTTATAGGAGAAAGGGGAGTGAAGGGGAGGAATTGGGCTTACGTGAAAACAGGATGCCGCCTGTTGATGCTATATACCGACCCCATGTCGTGCATCATACTATTGTACCCCCGGATTTAAAGGCGCAGCAGGTGAAGAATAAAACGAAACGATATTTTTCGGCAGACGATTGAAGGAAGGAACGAAAGGAGGAAAGGATCATCGGGGACATATGTGCCAGGTTTTAAGATAAGAGGGGCAATTTGGCCCTCCAGGTTCAAGAAAGAAGAAGCAGACAAGTAAAGATGGAAATAACCCGGTAATTGCTAATGGTGGTTCAAGTCCAAGAGCTGGCTGAAGACGTAAAGGCATACGGGAGAAGAAGATGAAGCTGGCGTGGCATACCATATCAGCAATGATAATTGTGCAAAGGTGTGCATAAGAGAAGAAGCTACTGCAATATACCTCAATAGACGGGAATCTAGCGAGCATCAGGCGGGGAATATCTAACAATCATAGGATAGGATATGATATGATATGATACGATACGGAATGAGATAGATGTTATACAAGAGCCCCGCTTCCATTGTCTTTATTCCTCCTGGTAGGTTGTGAGATTTGCGGAATTCGGGCATTTATAGGTAAGTAAAGATCTTGTATTCGAAATGTTGATTATGCCTTTCCATTGCCGTCGTTGTTTTGCAAAGTGGCCATAGTATTGTTTTCGTCGCGTTTTCTTCCTATAAAAATGGTTACATTTGAAGACTTTGTATTGAAGTAATTGCTTGCTAGCTATTGGGCTATTGGGCTATGAGATTAGGGAAGGATACATCAATTGAGGATGTCATTCTCTGGGCAGCAGTGTAAGCATACCTGAAACTAGATCCTTCCTTACAAAAATACGACATCGCATAGTACTCCACACCTCCATCTCGAACCTCTTCTCTCTAATCATAGGGTGGATACGCCTCCATGACCTTCTGCGCCTCTATTCTTTCCCTTTCTATCACCTTTATCCGCTCCGCACCTCTGACCTTTACCACACAATTGAAATCCCTCGGCCTCACAGTAAGTCCTCCAACATAATCATCAACATTATACGTCTCGCCCTCTACCGTCTCGAAATCCAGCGCCCAGATCATCTTCGCCACCGCAACGAAGATTGTGTTCGTCGCCAGGGCTTCACCCGGACAAATCCTTCTTCCCCACCCAAAAGCGTTATGCCCTATTTTATGCGGGTGCTCTCTGCCCTTAAACTCCGGCCTGGAACGCGGATGCTCGCGACTGAGGAAACGTGATGGCTCGAAGAGTTCGGGCAGGGGGTAGTATTCGTCGTTCATGCTTATGTTCCAATGAGACGCCAGCACCACCGTGCCCTTCGGGATCACATAGCCGTTCCACTCAAAACACGCCGTACTCGCGTGCGGAATCCCAAACGGCGTCACGGGCCGCCACCTCAGCACTTCTCGAACCAGCGCCGTAATGTACGGCAGTGCGGGCTCGTCCTCGAGCACAGGAGCGCGCGTGCGTCCGATCACGGTATCGATTTCGGAGCGTGCGAAGGAGAGGATGTGCGGGTGCGTTAGCAGGGCCAGGAGGAAGGTCGATAGTGCAGACATGGTGGTGTCGAGCCCGGCGCTGAACAGCGCACCGGGGATCTGCGTGAATGCTCGTCCCGAGACTTCCTTCTCTGCGTCCATAGTCAGCAGCGTCTTCGTCAAGCTGTCTCCTGCGCTCTTGCCCTGCACGCGCACATCCTCTACCAGCCGCCGGTTCAGCGCCGCGTCGTCGTCGCCCATGCGTCGAGCTGCTTTCTTCCACGGCGCGAGGAAGTCAGGCATGTATATAAGAGCCGGGAAGGTCTCAGCCCAGTAGCGTCCGGGGACAGCTAGATGGAGGAAATTCTGCACCTGAGCTTTTTTCTCGCGCACGACGCTGCTGGAGAGCGTGTTGATGGAGCGGCCGTAGGCAGTGCTGAAAATGATACTCGCGGCGTATCGTTCAAAGGCCTCCTTCCACTCCACGCCCGCGGCCAGCTCAGCAACCAGCCGACTGCCCTCTGCATCTTGCCTTTCTCCATACCCCTTCAGCAGCGCCGGTCGTAGCGCATGCGTCATCAGTCTGCGGCGCTGCGTCCATTCCCTGCCATAGGCCTGCGTGAAGAGCCCGGAGCCCTGGTAGTAGATTTCGGAGAGCATTACGAGGCGGGGGCGGGAGGAGAAGATGGCCGAGTAGGCTTCGAGCAGGGAGGTGGCGGTGGCGGGGTCGGAGATGACGAGTTGGGGTTCGCGGCCGTGCCAGAATGTGAAGATGGGGCCGTAGGTGTGGCCGAGTGATCGGAAGACCTCGTGGGCTTTGCGGTTGGGGTTCAGGAGGAGGAGGAGGTTGCCGATGAAGGGGAGGGGGAGGGGGCCTGGGGGGAGGTGATGTTGCGTGTGGAGGTCGGAGAGGAGGAGGATGGTGAGCGTGAGGAGGAGGGTTGCTGCTAGGGCTGTGAGGATGGTTGGTGGTGAGATGCTGGACTCCATGGTGAGTGTTTACATTGATATCTCAATACTTAGTATTCGATCCAGGACTTTGAAAGGGTCGGTTGCCCTGAACGGCGGTGTGGTATGGTATGATAATATGCTTTTTCTTTTACTCTTTCGAAATTCCATCTAGGCTACGATTTCCCAACTTGGATTGATACGTTATATAAATAGGTCTGGAGAGAGTTAGTCGGAGCGGGATTGCAGGTTATTCATTCATTCATTCTCACTATTATGAATCAGTCCTATGCTAATCTAATCTAATCTTACCGCCATCTGAATATGACTTAGTCCTCCTTCAAGTGACTGGCCAACTCTTCAAATTATTATTATCAAGGCACTGCATAGCGCTACACAGAAAGCTTTTGCAGCAGGTGTCTGCTTTTCTTGCGTTTATGTAGAAAATGATATATACTAAAGATTCTGTATACATCTACCTGATATCTCTCACGTCGGTCTAGTAATCATATAACGCTATATGTCTTATAGGTACAATATCACTAATCTTTTATTTAAAGTCGACTTAGACAAGATTGTGGTTCAAAGACACGCTATACTCGGCTTGGAAATATGATGAGAAGATTCTTTTGAGCTTAAATTTAAGGTTAATATCTAAACTTAGAATTAATATGGCATATAAAAGTAATTTAACCTTTAAAAACTTATTCTATGTAGTTATGAAGAATAAGAGGATATAGGTAGTTATGCCAGATAGGATTTGTTAATAGAGTTGAAAGCAATTTCTAACTGTAGTCTCTAGATAGAGCTCTATTATTTTTTATTCTCTATTCATAGGTGATCTCATACACAAAAACAGTCTATTGACATTTTCCCAAACTCCTGGCTAAGTTTCAAATCTCCCCATCAACCTAAATCTCCATCAGACTCCCACAACCTCAGCCCCAGACAAATGAAAGATCAACAATAGACAGACTGTACAATCTACTGAGCGTAACCCCCGTTGTACCCTTGAGCATACCCGCCATTGTACCCCTCATCATTCCTCCTCGCCTGCACAGGTGGATGCGGCCAAGCAGCCATAGCACCATCTCTAGGATCCACTCGACCGTCAAACGACTGAGGCGCATACACATTATCCTTAGCCCTCTGTCTGCTCACCTCGCGCTCATCATACTTGCCAACACTTAGGCCAGCAACGACATACATGAACACCACCAGCAGCTCCTCGACATCCGCCATGGCAATCTGCACCACGGCACTCCCATCCTCGATATTGAAAATCTTGCCGCCCTTAAAAGTGCACAGCACGCTCCAGAGCAAGCGCGAGCCGATGAGTGGCAGCGCGATGAGGACCGCGAGCAGGACTCTGCGTTCGCCGGAGACAGTCTTGCGGATCTCGAAGACGGAGACGAGGGTTAGGATGCAGAGGAGCAGGTAGATGGCGATGAAGATGCCCATGCCCCATTTGGTGTCTTTGAGGCCTGTCTAGATGTCCTTGGGTGTGGAGGATGAGGATACGGCGTCCATGCCGCCGACGATGCAGAGGATGAGCGCGATGGTTGTTGGGAGCTGTAGGAGCTGGATGACGCGACTACGGCGGGAGTTGGCGGTTGCTTTGCTGGAAAAGCGTTTTATGATGCGCAGTCTTTCGGAGAGGGCGCTGACGATTACGTTGGGTTCGCCGCTTGAGACGTGGGTTGATGTACAGTCGATAACTCGTTTTAGGAGGCCGAGCGAGGCGAGCAGGAGGGGTGAGAGGCCGACTGAGGAGAGGATGAGGGACCATTCGAGGTAGGTGCTGTTGTCGGTGTTATGGATGTGGAAGAGTTCCATGACAGCGCCTGCTGTGCGGACTACCGTGAAGATGAGGAGGTATATCCAGCCGAGTTGTTTTTGGAAACCATGGCGGATGATGACGAATATGACAGTGACGATGAGGGGGATGTAAACGGCGAGATCGACAATTGCAATGCCTTTCCGAATATCATTGCCCATATTGATAGTTTGGGTTGGTGAAATATAGATTAAGTTGATAGAGATGAGAGGGATACCTAGTGTTAAGATGAAATGAGAATGCCGAAGATGATTAGACTGAATAATGAAATAGAAAACACTTATCTCTTCATACTTATATAGCACCATGCCAACATTTATAGCAGTGGGAGAATGGATAGTAGAGTTACAGCCACCACAGCATCTTGAATACCAAATCCAGCTACTCCCTCGAAACCTGACACACGGGTAATCGTCTATTCGGACCATTCTGAGCCTGTTTCTACTGAGCTATGAAATTGAAAGAAAATCTCCTTTGAATGTCAGCTCTCTGATATTTAAGGCATCACCACCGTGCGTGAAGGCGGGTCCTTTCGATGTGTGTCCTCCTTTGGGCCTAGCGGCACGCAAAAGCCTCTGCAAATGTTTGGCTAGTGGACGTAGCCTGCTGGGTTTTCATTATTACGGATGTCAGCTGAAAGGCATTTGTTTAAGTAGTCGAGATGAATGATCGGCGTTCGTACGGAATTCAGAGGATTGACGGGTTTTACCCGCAATGTATTCCGTGAGTATGCTGGATCTTTTATAGATTTAGAGAAGTGACTTTCTCTGTAGCCATAGATTTTCACTTGCAGATGTTTGAGGTTTGAAGATCCGTTGAACTCTTCTTATGAAGTGGCTGCCCCAGTTCGAAATGCTAAAGATTTGGCAGGTAGAATTATACGCAATCATAGGCAGCTTTTCAGAGGTTAAGATCAAGAAATCATCCGTATATCTTCAAATTAGGATTTATCATATCATATCATTATTATATTCAAATTTCATTTTGGGATATCATCAAGCACCAGTAACAGAATAGCAAATACTCCCTAACAAGGCATAAACACTCCAAATATCTCTTTCCTCCCCTCTCGCCAAGCCATCAGCTATCTCCAACGTTTGCTCCGAATTCAAAAGCTTCCCAAGAATCCTTAACTGGCCAATAATCCAAGTCTTCACATCCTCTGGACAAGCACGAGAATTTGCAACAGTAAATAGCGGCCAAAGGAGCGAATACGCACTCGCTTCGTTGGAGAGTTCTAACTTCATGTCTTTCACGGAACCAGGAGCCGTATAGCTATCCGGTGAGCCTGGGGATGAGCCGGTTCCGAGAAAAGGGAAATAGCCGGCTAGTTGCGGTACACAAGCACATATCAAACCCGCCATTTCGGCAACGTTGTCTTTAACGCGTTGTACACATTGATAGCGCTCGAATTCTTGGCAGGAACCCGATGACACGGGTGCGGCTTCGCATTGTTCCCTGATCAGGTCAAGGAGAGGTATTCGGCCCGCACGTACCATGTTAAGGCCCTCGGCTAGCCGGTAGTCGATGTAGAAGTCGTAGTGGGACCTGTAAACGAGCTCCGAGGGTGCGGTCAGGGGTATTGACTACGGCATCCACTCGGGTGGAAATTCGCCCATCAGGGCTACCATCTCGGAATCCATGTCAGTGGCAGTTGCGATGATGGTATCTGTATCAAACAAACTGCCAGACTTTATCGCGGCGCGGAAACCGATGTAACGTACTGTAACTTGAGACAAGCGCCATGCGATGTCATTAGTGTCGAGGAAGTTGGTTGCGTAGGTGCGAAGGGTTAGGTAATCTTCTGGAAGGGCAATCGTGTGCTGCATGCACGAGACGAGCAGGTGGGAGCTCATCTGGATAAATATCTCCAGCCCGGCTTTCGTTTCAAATTGGTGGCGGCCACGCATTTTCATTAAGGCTGTGGCGCCGTTGAGGTGGTTTGTCCATGCTTGAGTGGTTCGAGCTGTCGGTGGGATTATCTTCTCAAACTGATCCAGAAGCATAATTGCTGATAGGGTAGTGTCGTTGGTAGCTACATTCGAACAGGTAATGGCCAAGTTGATCATTCGTAGGGCGGCTACGTAAGACCGCATGGCCTGATTTTCAAGGTCGGTTGACCGAGCTGCTTTTGACAGGCTTGCCAGCCCTACAGCGCGGATGCTCACCGAGAGGTGGTCATCCATGTCTCCATACTCGTAAAGGGACTCTAGGTACCTGAACGAGCGGGCATTACCAATGACGAACGTGGTTCGGAAGTAGTAAAAGGCACGGTCATCTATTGGGACAGTCAAGACAGGGCTTATAGCCAATGGGCCCCCGGATTCAGAAGAATCAGGACAGCTTGCAGGAAGAGGCACGTTGGTGGAGTCTTCATCGCTGCGCGCTTTAAACTTCTTGACAACGATTGCGCTCATATCGCTGATTCTTAAGCCCTCCGTGTCTCGATACCCGTGACACTTTCTCTTCGTTCTTAGACATTGACTACATTCTGGAGAAATAAAATCGCACTGTTTGATATCAGCGTCTATAAAGCCGTTATCTTTGCCCTTGGGGCCTTACCTTTGCTCTCCGTGTTCTGCATGGCTCACATGCCTTTGACAGTTTTCCCCCATACACCATGTTTGCAATAGGTATTTACTCTCAAGACATGGCGCTGATACGGTTAATGAGGTGATGATGCTTGGCTTCGAGTTGACCACCCAAAGGAGGAATAAGGGCGTTATATGAGTGATATTTGCAGAGGACAAAACAAGGGTCGTTAAGTTGAAGCTAGTCCGAACTGGGGTAACATCTCGAAGATGAGAGTCGTGCCGCCCGATTAGCCAATGACAGCACCCGAGTAGCTCTTTGTACTTCGCGGAGTTTGTTGAACATCGGGACTAAAGTCGACACGGGAAGCAACTGACTCTGCGGTCACTCCAACCGTCAGCCCTCATACGAAATAGGGATGCTTGATGCTGTTGTACTCATGTAAGGCTGTGAAGATCCAAAACTTGTTTAACTTAGAGATGGCTTGCTTACCAACCGGCTTGCATATACGAGCCAACGCCGCACTACGGCTTGGACTTAGAAGCTTGTTTGAAACTTTATTTGGCTTACTCCGTAGCATGGGGTGACAACTACGCGTCCTCGATAATATTGCAATATATATTTTTGTCCCCTCATGTCCAGAACAAGTAGAGATTGGAGGTATCGCATCAACTACCGGTAACGCCCGCTCTATCCACAAGGACTTGGCCACCATATACTTGGCTCTTTCCCAATGCTAACCCATGTTTACTCCTTCTAAATGATGCATTGACACAGCAATTTCAGTCTCGTTCTATCTTCTCCCGAAGGTGACATTGAATATCCCAGAACAGGGGGGCTTATTCTCAGAGCCCTGAGCTGCAGGCAATTGATTCCAAGCACTTGACTTGAATACCGACTTCCTATCAGCTCGAACGTATGAAACTCAAGGATCGAAGATTCCGGGTGGAATACTTGTTCCCCAGTAAGTCTAAAAGGTCAACAGCCTTTTCAAGTGTGTCCCCTTCTCACAATCACTCGGTATAGGCGGAAACTTCCCATCCCTCTTCTCAAACGCGTCGACAATTGCCTTGACAGCATCGAAATATGTCTCTGCGGTTATTTGGAATCCTAATTTGTTCCACTCGTTCTCTGGTACCAAGTTCTTGATCTGGTCCCAAACCGTTCGCCAATTCCGCATAGCAGTTCTGAAGGGCAATAACAGATCTGGAATGTTGACTGTCGGCAGAGCAGCCATCGGGTTCGAGAAAGTGGTTTTCCAGACGCACGTGTACAGATCTTAGAACAACGTTAGTGCTGCACAAAGGGCAATGCAAATGGGTTGGAGGTAGGTGGTGGGGACTCACAGTGAATAAGCAATTGCATATCGAGTGCTGTGAGATTGGCATTGCGAAGTACTTTGAGGTCGTGTTCCGCGGTCTCGGGAGGTGAGAAGAGGACAAGGAATGCGTCTTTGATTTTCATCTTGTGTTGTGGGTACAGGGATTTAGCGACGAGCTCGTCGTAGTTGGTGACTTTGAAGTATACATCGTCGCTAGGAAAAGGTAGGTCCAGCTCAGCCCATTGAAATCTAGGAGATACGTTGTCAAAAATCCCGAATGCGTGGTCTAGCATGGTCGTCACGGTAGCAGTGCTAGGCGAAAGATTAGTTCCATGTCGAAGACCGCAATCAGTATGCGCTACACATTTGACGGTGGACTTACCGTATATACGACTCCTTTCGGATCCAGCTTCTAAAGGTTTGCTGGTCTATTATTTGAAATGTTGGCGAATGCTGTACTACTTGCAAATCTAAGTGATGGTATATCTGGGATCACGTAGTGAGTACAAGTTCAAAACTTGAAGGAGGGATGCGCTCACGGAATAAAGTCTTTGAAATCTCGACTGGCGGACTCTAGTTCTAGCAATGGGATTTCCAGACCAGAATTGGACTACAATCATGAGATAGGCGCCTTGTAATTCTTCGAGCTGGTATTGCTGCCATTCGGGAGCTGCGTTTTCTCCTTGGATGACATATGTACGGCCTGGGATATCATATTCCTCACTGAGTCCCGGGATGGAATACACGTAGGTCTCTATGGTATCCAACAAGAGTTTTAGCTTTGCTACCTCTGCAGCGTCCTTGGAGTACTGAATCGAGTTTGTGAGTACAAAGTACAAAGGTGGTCTTTGGGGTCGCATATAACTCACCATTCCACCAAGGCTTATCAGTGCTAGAATCAGCGGTATAGCAGCTGTGCAAGGATTGAAACTGGACTCGTGGACTAGAGGCGCATGCTTATGCCAATGCGTGAAATATAACTTTACCCATGCCGCAATGTTGTCCGCTGTGATGGAATCAATCCCATCCAATATCTCCTTCGGTGGCATGCTTGGGGAATGGAGATTGGCCGCCGTGTATTTCAACTTCTCTCTGATCTCATATGCTTTCTGTCCAAGAGCGTTCCGGTCTATGAAGGTTGCATCGCCAGACCAAGGAATCGCATTCTCGCCCGGCAGCTGCCAATTGTGTGTCCTCTCCTCAAATGCAGCAAACTCGAGGTTGTTTAGGAGAGCATCCAGGTTGTTGTCTTGCATAATGTGCCCATAGTCCTGATGCATATATGATCCATCGTTGATGGCTGCCAGAGGCGGTTCATAGCTGTGCCCGAGGTTCATAAAGCTCTGGTATTCAGCAGCCTTGCTATTCGGACTCAGGGTTGACGATTTGGGGAACTCGCGCATGAAGTCTGTCTCGGTGGGACAGTTCAGGAGGAAGCTAATCGAGTTGCGGTCAGAGGAGGCAAGATCGGGAGTGGAGCGCGAGACGCTGGCGGTGCTTTCAGCCGGACTCGAGGCGGCTGCGCGCGTCAGTATATATATCTTCGGAAGCGCGTTACTATGCCATAGACAGTACATGGATTTGCGACTGACCTGTAGGCCGGCTCTTGATACATGTCCTACCAAACTCCTTGCATTTGCGACACGGCACATTGTTGTCGCATTTGACCTTGAGCCTCGAGCATTCGTCGCATGCATGGCGTTTGCGTCCTCTCTCGAGGGAATTGGGGATGGCCGAGTTCCCGCGACGGTCGCATCGACTGAAATGGTCCCTCAATACATCACTGTAGAGATTAAGTGTCAGTGTCGATATTCCGCAGATTCCGGTAGTACTGTACGCGGGGTCGGGAAAAAAGGTACGTACCTTCGTTTGAAGGTCTTGGAGCAGAATTTACAACTGTACGGCCGATCCCCGGAATCTATCCATGCCTGTCAGATAACATGTACAATACAGTATAACACAACACAACCCAACCCAACCCAACCCAACACAAGCCAACACAAGCCAACACAACACAAGACACTTGACTCGAATCCAGCAAAAGCAAAATGCATTCCATAGCCGCTCAATTCAACTCACGCTGCTGTTGATGCCGCAGTAAATGGGCCTTTCGCTGGAATTTCTTCCCGCACTGATTGCAGGTCGATGGGCTTTGAGCCTCCATTCTGACGGGACCATTATTTGGAGGAAAGTCGAGCCGTTGCGAGAAATCTGTCGGTCGGTCGGTCTGTCGGTTTACTTTATTTGAGGCGACCCAAGTAGCGGATACCAGCACGCAAGACAGGTACAGGGTCTGAAGGCCAGTCTTGCGGTTTCGCCTGGTTGCGGGGATGGCGAGAACCCAGAAAGAGAGAATTGCGGGGGCCCTGATCCTACCACATCCAGCCACAAGAACCCACTTGGTACGGAAATGGTAGGGAACTCCTACCTTGCTAGGGGGCAACACCGAAGGCGCCGCAAATCGCGGTAGAAGCCTCTGATAGGAGTTTTCAATGTGATAAGTATAGAACTCAAAAGGAGATCATTACGGCAATCAACGAATAACATGGCTCCCACGCTCTATTGACCTTCCAGCCTCCGTTGCGGAAATCGTCTTCTAACCCTAAGAGAAGGAGGAATACTCCGTAGAGGGGTAATTTCCGGTTACCTTAAAGAGCTAAAACTCCAGTATTAATAATATAATGCTTGGCTACCTAGGTAAATTTGTCCTTTTACATTTCACTAAGTCCCAAGAGCACCTTCTCCGGACTCCGTATAGTTTCTCCGGAAGAAGCATGCTAGAGTTACGGGTTGATAATCCTATACATGCGATTGTTCGACATCTTCGGCATCTCGGCGACTATCTCCTTCCCAAAGGCATGGGTACTCCGTACAAGCGATATCTAAACGGAGTTTATCAACTGATTGCCACCCTAGGTAAATTACTTTGACCCAAGCTGAATTATGGAATCCACCTAGTCAATTCCTCTCTCTCTTCACCAATCTACTTCTACTTTGCATGTGGCTTTGCGGTTTAGATCGCCGCACGACTCAAAGCAAGACTAACTTCGAAGGTAAACAATCGGATCGAGCGGTCATTCTTGATGAGTTGTTAAAGAACAAACATATTTGCGGTACCGGTAAGAATGCGCGCGGGATTTAAAGTAAGAAGATTAAAAGGCTATAAACAACTCTGGGACGTCGGGTCCACTGCAAAGCGATAACAGTTTCACTAGAGCTTTATTGAACCTAGTAAAGCGGGAATAAGACGGGAATTTTCCGCTCTCCATAGAAAACGAGTCATAAACGCAGCTGACCCTCCCCATCTCGAGTTAGACGCAAAAAAACAGCACTTGTTATTATCATTAATGTTCTACTTCGTATGTCCCACTCTCGGGCCACTCTCTTTAACTATAATTGGTGCCGCTTTTTATGTCAGCCACGAGCACGAGCACGAGGCCGACCTTGAAATAAGCCCCTGAAATGGCCACAAAACATGCGACGGGCTGAAGAATTGCGGGACTTGCTAACATCTATGGGGGAAAGCCTATAGCTAAAGATAGTACTAACATAAAGCTATTAGCCTATTATGCGGTTTTCTCCAGAACCAAATGGGTTTCATCATCTTGTTCACATGCAACCACAAATTACCATACATGAATTTACCAAATATCATGGGGGCTATTGTACATCTACTTGGTACGTTTCGGTGACTCGAATCCTGCGCGAGAAGAAGAGAGATATCTATCCAGGAAACGATCAGCTGACAAGGATTTGGACATGCGAAGATCACATACTCACCTGATAATTTTGACCACATGTACATTACTGTACTATACGTACTAGCTGAAGAACTTGATCCACAAGGATAGAGCCTATGTCTACCAATGTATTTGTCATTCCCACCCACGAACTTTGGCACACCGTTCAATTAAGCAATCACCACCAGAAGCGGAATTGTCAAAATCCAACATGGGGGCGGCAAGGACAGGCCCAGAATAGCATCCACGTTTCTAGCCCCATGTCAGAATCCTGCACCAGCACTGAACTTGGATTTGAGAGCATCGAGAGACGGTGAATACCCATCCGAAGCAACCGTGGGGCGTGGTCCGTAGGATCTCGAAGAGGATGTCGCCGCATATCGCTAGACTCGAAAGAACCATCCGCGCGGCATTTTTGCACTGGTGACAAGTGGATGATCTATCTATGCTGCCTAAGACCTCACTTTTTTTTTGTTTGGGATAGCTTCGAAGGTTTCATGTCATTCGCTGTGTACGACTGAAGTTGAGCGTTCAAAGTTTCATATGAATTCCTATCTGATAAATCAGAGGTTCACAAGCTGAGGCAAAGAGGGTAACTCTATCTTTGAACTGAACGTCTTGGTCTGTCTTGGTCATAGTTAACATATGTCAGGTTCGGTCGCCTCAGTCTCTCCGCTGCTATCCTCAAGGCGCAGAATTTTGGACCTGATATTACGGATGACTATTCTCAAGACTGGGATGATCCACGGCGCTATACACTCTTATCGCGTTTCGTCGATGAGGTGCCACGCTCTATTTAGAGCGACCCTTTCTTTCATCAATGAACTGGGTGTTGCCAAAGCGTTGACAAGTGTCGAAATGACGCACATCCTTTAGGCAGAGAGAGCGAAAGAACCTCGAGACTAGTGTCCCGAGACACTTGATCCAGTCAACGTCGTGATAAATAATCTGAAGCAAGCCTATGAAGAGATGGCTAAGTTGAGAAACTTGAAGGATCCTGAGTATAGCATAGTATACCACGTTTCCAGCCCGTTTTCGTCGCCACCGTGCCGGAGTCGCCGACATCTTTTACCTTTGGCCACAGACTCATTTAGACCCGTTTATCAAGATTTTTCAATGGATTGTGAGACATTTACGCTGTGCCTCAAGCAAGGAACTCCATGGAATTGCAACCCGGGCCTACCGTCGGACTGCTCAAAACTCCCTACTATAACTGACATCTTCTTCGAGATGGACTCCATTTAAAGCCTCGTGTCGTTCATATATATGCGCACTATTGGGAGCCTTTTTAAGGGGCCAAGTTGCAGAAATGAAAGACGTAGGTACTTTACTACTTTCAATAGTCTGAGTCAGTTCACAATGTGGCAGATATGTACACTGGGTTACAGGTCGTCCCTCTGGGTATAAACTACCTTTTTCTACTACCAGACTCTTCAATTCCTTTCCCTAGCTTCTACGGATTCTTTGGATCCTTCTCTTGCGACAATCAACCTGGAGTCGCTATTTACTTACTTGGATGCGCTTCTTCAAACGGGATCTGAAGAAATTCGGTCTCTAGTCCCATAGCTAAAATATGGCAAGGAAGACTTAGGAGAGTAAGGGGAACAGACTCATAGGTTTTAGGAAACAAGAGTCGAATATTTTTGCATTCACTGAGCGGCTCTGTTCAGAATAGGGCAAAGCGGGAAGCAGAACAGACGGTGGTGAGTTCAGTATAGCATTGTCATTTTGAAGGGGGAAAGGGGGAAAAATTAGTACTTGGAGCTTGGAGCATGAGCATTCCTGCGGAATGTAACGATACATCAGGGGTTTAGGGCACTAGCAAAGCAGCCAAGTGTAGGTGCACAAGCTTCTTGACCAAACGCGGAAACCGATCTGCCGCGACCGAATAGGTAATCCGGATCGTATCCGCTATCGCAGCGAGACTCACTTTTGTCCTGCGAATGATGAGGTCTAATACATGATTCAGAAAGAGCTGACATAAGAATCCAAGAACCCCCACGTTTGGGTGGCATGTCTGCACTTGGAAGGTCGGTTGCCCCGCCAAGGCTATGGCGGGGCATTTTACAGTCGTGTCTTCCTAACAGCACATCTCATATATCCCATCTTTACGTCTGTAGCATTTCTCCTCTCCGTATTCTACACCTCCAAATTTCATCAAAATGCCACTCACCAAAAGCCTCCTGGACAAAAAGTGGCAATTTCGCCAAACCACAGTTTTAAACAGTAGCACAGCTTCATCCTTCCTTCCCGTTTCTCAGTTTCCCACAGTTGCACACTTGGATTTACTGCATCATGGACTTATCAAAGATCCGTATATTGATGTCAATGAGATCGAAACTCTTTGGGTTAACGATGCGGATTGGGAATACCGCACTACATTCCCTTCTCCTGCTTCATCTCCAACTTCCCTCCACGAGTTAGTGTTCGAGGGTTTGGATACAATATGTTCCATCGTATTGAATGGGACGGTGATTCGGGAGACGAGGAACATGCATATTGAGCACCGAGTTGATGTGACTAAGTTGCTTAAGAAAGGAGACGGCGAGGAAAATGTATTGGAGCTGAAATTCAAGAATGCACCCGAGTTCGCCAAGAAAGAGAAAGATAGAATCGGTTATAAGGGAAATGGGACAGATGTGCATTTTGGTGGCCCCGAGAGGTTGTTCATGAGGAAGGCACAGTATCATTGGGGGTGGGACTGGGGACCAGCGATTAATACTTCCGGACCTTGGAAGCCTGTTTGGCTTGAGAGCTGGGATACCGAAGAAGGAAGGATCAGAGACTGGATTGTTAGGCAAGAGGTCAGCGAGGATCTGAAGACGGCTGTGGTGAAGATTAGGGGTAGTGTGGAGGGAGGGAAAGGATCCCCTATATCAGTTGAGATCACAGACGCAGAAGGGAGCCAAGTTCTTGTTCAAGACATTAGTGTAGACTCAAAAGGAAAGTTCAGCGCCGACATCGAAATACGGAGCCCACAACTCTGGTATCCCTTCACTTATGGCTCGCAGCCCCTCTACACCATCATTGGCTCTTTGTCCTCGGCAGATAGCAAGTCCATTAAGCTCGGCTTCCGCCGACTCAGACTTCTTCAGCATACATTGAAGAAGGAACCAGGAACATCCTTCACATTCGAAATAAACAATACCCCCATCTTCGCTGGCGGTTCCTGCTGGATTCCAGGAGACTTCATGCTCCCCCGCATGTCCGCAAAGCGCTACCGAGACTGGCTCGAGCTTGCCAAATCAGGAAACCAAGCCATGATCCGTGTGTGGGGCGGCGGTCTCGTTGAATCCGAAGACTTCTATTCTGCATGTGACGAACTTGGTGTTCTAGTCTGGCAAGACTTTTTATTCGCTTGCGGAAACTACCCTGCTGAAAAGGGGTTCGTGGAAGAAGTGAAGGTTGAGGCTGAGCAGCAAGTTAAGAGAGTTGGACATCATACTAGTCTAGCTATTTGGGCGGGGAATAATGAGGATTATATGGTTGCTGAGCGATGGGGTTGGGATTATAACCCGGAGGATAATAGTCCGGAGAACTGGGAAAAGACGGATTTCCCTGCCAGGACAATATATGAGATCGCGTTGCCAGAGATTTGCGAAAGACTAGCTGGAGATGTGCCGTATTGGAGGAGTAGTCCTTACGGAGGGAAGACTTCGAACGACAAGACAATCGGCGATGTTCACATCTGGAACGGTAACCCCTTTTCCTCTTCTATTTGATAACTTTGAGAAAGCTAATGGGGCGAAATAGTTTGGCACGGCACAATGTCCCCCTACCAATCCTACAAAGACTACACCAGCCGCTTCGTCTCTGAATTCGGCTTCGAATCCGCGCCTTCTTTACGTACCCTCCACGACGGCATCACAGACCCCTCAGAACGCCATTGGCAGTCTCTCACCTTCGATGCGCACGATAAAGGGCCCGGGCACCAACGTCGCTACGGCATGTACTCGGGCGAGAACTTCCGCTTCCAGTTCAACCCTCTCTCCTCTTTCGTCTACTGTTCTCAATTCCTGCAAGCGGAAGCTATGAGCTACGCTTATAATCATTGGAGAAGAGAGTTTAGGGGCGCGGGAGAGGAGAACTGTAGTGGGATTCTGGTGTGGCAGTTGAATGATATCTGGCCGGGGACTAGCTGGGCCTTGGTTGATGTCAACTGGGGGCGAAAACCGGCGTTCTATATCACGAAACGCGCTTTGGGGAAGGTTGTTGTGGGAATGGAGAGGGTTGTTACGGGCGGGTATGGAAATTATATGACGGATTGGAGTTATCCCGAGAAAAGAGATAAAGTGGAGATTTGGGCTGTTAATGGGATGGTGGAGAAGCTTGAGGCTGTACTTAAGTTGAGTGCATTTGATATTGGAAGTGGCAAGGAAGTGGAATTACCGGAAGAGGAGAGGACAAGGAAGTTGGTGCTGGGTGGGAATAAGACCACTGAGATTACCAAGATTGATATCCCAAGTGCGGATAAGACTGTGCTAGTCGCGTATTTGGATGACGAGAAGACTGGCGAAAGACTTGCAAGATGGATCACTTGGCCCGAACCATTGAAGTTCGTCAAGTTCTATAAGGACTTGAAGGTTGAAGCTACGCTTGATGGCGAGGTCGCCACTCTTAAGGCAAATGCTCCGGTGAAGGGTGTGGTGCTTCAAGTTCCCATCGAAGAAGGAGGCGAGGACGCGGTGTTTGATGACAATTTCGTAGATCTGGTTCCCGGAGAGGAAATCAAGATTGGAGTAAAGGGCTTGGATGGGAGGAAGATTGAGACGAGATATCTATGTGATTGGGAGTACAAGGAGGGGTTTGTTCTGTGATGACTTCTTGGGAGAAACGAGGTCTGCATGCGAACATCATTTACTTGCTAAACGTCCGCGGTGTATCAGAATCCTTTTTATATTTGAAGCTTGAGAAACATTAAAGTCTTTCCTTTTCGACACTGAATACAAATTCCTATAATTACTATCCTTGGTCAGTCTTCCATCAATCACATGACACTAGAGTGGATGACTACGAGTAAGCGATGCAGAGGTCAAAACCTCCTCGCCTTGTCATCACACTTAGACTTAGACACCCAGAAACCAACCACCAAAACAGAGCGAAAGCAACCAATACAAGACAAGTTGCTGAGCTACCAAAGTGCACTATGTGATACAAACATTGGGTTTACTTAAACATAGAGACTTACTCAGCTCAATTTAGGCCTTGAAAATGCTTACTTAACTAACATAGACTTTAAAATGCCCAAATATACTTAAATATAATAAATTGTCCTCAAGTCGCTTGAGTATTTTTGTTTACGATCTAAACTACAAATCCCGAAGTAAAGTTTGACCCATTTTTCAGATCATATGTAGCACATATTCTCTGCTGCGAGTCATTGGCCCGCTTGGGGTAAGATAGATATAACTGGTCAGCCGTTCTCCCAATGATGAGACTGCATAGAATGTGAGGCTCGCCGCCCACGAAATGGTTGCAATGCAGTATTGCGCCACTCATTGCGCCCACATTGAGGCTGGGGATTTAAGCGGAGAGAAAATCTTCACTTCCTTGAACTCTCATCAATTTTGTCATCGAACACATAAACACTCGAAGAGACCCTGCAGGAATTCTTTCTCTTTACTTTACAAGAAGCTTTCTTGAGGTCGTGAATACCGGCTAACCTTGGTGGCTCAGAGTATTGAGACACTATGGAAGACGTTCATGACGGTGACTATTCTCCAGGAGACGCCGGTTTCCGATCTAGCCCTCTGCTGGAATCTGTAAAGCCAGATCTATACCCTGACAATTCATCTCTGGGAGCTCCGTTAAAAGAATCTAGTGAGCAATATGACTACGATATCGAAGGTGTGGAACACGGTCCGTGGCCCGGAATAGGGGACGTCGAAGCCCCTGTAGATGATGATTACTCCGAGCTTGAAAACGATATACCACCATCGCTGGATGAAACATGGGACCATCATATGAACAAGTTAGTTGGGGTTGCAGGGAGTAGTGAGACGGATAGTTTATTTGGAGAAGATGGTGAGTTTCTTTCAGACATGATTATGTCAACGCTGTTCGGTCTGTTGTCGACCGGGTATGAACAGGCCGTATCTATTATACCCCATGACTGACTTCGATGACAGGGCAGTCTATAGCCCGCCATGGTTCCCCACCGCAGTCGCCTAATGAATATCGGAGGGAACTTCCATCTCCAGATCACGGCGATTTTGATGCACTTAGGCATGGCACAATGCTATATCCAAGACAGTCTAAGATCGCTGGCCATAAGTACCCTAATGCAGGTACATATAGCAGCAGCAGATCAGAAACTCCTGATTCTGATTTGGATGGTGCAACGCCACCTGGTAATCAAATGAGCATTGACGATATAACAAACCCACAGATTCGCGGTTTCCAGTGCACTTATACAGGCTGTATGGCCCAGCCTTTCCAAACGCAGTACCTCTTGAACTCTCACGCGAACGTACATCGTTCGAATCGTCCGCATTATTGCAGTGTGAAAGGTTGTCCACGTAGTAATGGAGGCAAGGGTTTCCGAAGCAAAAACGAATTGATCAGACATGGGATTGTGCATGATTCTCCAGGATATGTGTGCCCCTTCTGTCCTGGTAGAGAGCACAAGTACCCAAGGCCGGATAATTTACAACGGTTCGTCCTTGCTCTCAAACTTATAGCCATCATAACTAACGATGCTCACTAGACATGTTAGAGTTCATCACTTTGACAAAGATAAAGACGATGCGCAACTGAGGGAGGCTTTGTCACAGAGGCCAGATGGACCATCAAGAGGACGTCTGCGGCGGAACGGTCCACTAGAAACATATCCAGAGGATAAACCAGTTGCTTCTTCACCCCACATCTCTCCAGTTGGTCAACACTTTCTTCCAACGTGCGATCCTCCAATGCCAACCACAGAAATTGCAGAAATCGCAGATGGACTACGAACATCTTCCAGTGGTATTCATGATCTTCAAATTGAAAGTGCCCACCTCGAGGATGAATCATGTATGCGGCAGCTACCCAAGTCTACGGTATCACGGAGTCAAATTGTGAGACCAATAAATGTGCGACCTACGCCTACTAGTCTCATATGGGAAGAACACCCGGAGATTAGAAAATACTATAACCTAGAATTACCAAGAAAAGAGTCTAAATCGATTCAATCGAAAGAGCCTTACTTTGTTTTACATAAGGACGTACCTAAAAGCCTATATGCTCCTAGAATCGTATATCTAGATAGAGAGCCGTATGTTATATATCCTGCTACTATTTTAACGTTATTATTAACCATCTACTAATAAACACTTCTATCTCTAGTAATCCCCAGAAAGGCCGCCACCCATGTCAGTATCCTTCGAAGGCCTGCTGGAAAAAGAAAGGTACTCGGCCCGTTTTCGGTCGTTGGATCGACCTCGTCAGACACTACAGCTACGTCCATGCCAAAGGCAATTACGCTCCTCCAAATGCTATCCATTACAATTCTACACCTAGAAATTTTAGCCCTTATATCGAATCGGAAGCAAGCACACGGGCCGGAATTGGTTATACGACTGCTGCGTCGATGACTCAATTGGCAGCCATGAATACCACTGACGAAGAAGCAGTCACTGAATACCCAAATAATTTCAGTGATAAATTTGACAGTCATCAGTCAAACCCTGAGCCTCACATTTCAAACGTGCCTCACCCACAGACAGTGGCCACTGACTCCGGTTATGCATCCATCGGATGGGAGCATGAAGCAAACAAAGACGAAGACGAAGACGATTCCCAGACTATGTACACTGACAACCAAGAGCTTAATGTCCCCGAAGATGTTAAGGACAAGCTTTCTGCAGCCTTCTCGCGCGAATTAATCCGCGAACTTTCCGGGGCGAGAGGGAATTGGAATGACCAAAAAGAGTTGCGAGATGCACTGGAAGAGATTCTGAGAGAGTTTGCAATAAGATGTGGAGGAAACGCCCATTCCAGGCAGGAAAGAGATGCTGTAACGTTTGTTCGCCATTACAGATGGTACGTGTTTCTTATTGCCTTAGCTCCACCGAGTTTATTGCAGTTGAGGGTCTATAATCCCATAAAAAATCGTTCTAACCTGTATCTTCAGTCGCATTGCAAATTTGCTTGAAAAATGCATGAAAGTCGATTCTGATGATGGCGAGGAATATGTGGATGATAACGAGGTAGATGAGGGGACGCGTTTCCGGAGAGCACAGAAAGGCCTTAGTGTGGAGGAGAAGATGCGTCTTTGGATGGCGCCCAAGCCACCACTACCACAGCTTAGTGATGGCCTATCAAGCTATGCTAATGAAGAGCACGAACAGGAAGGGATTGAAGACTACACAATATATCACTATCCAGAGGCTTGGAAGTTCCTCACCAACGGCCATGGCTATCAGTGGTTACTCGGAAGAATAAGGACTGAAATGATACTCACTAGCAGAGTAGATACAGTGGCTGAGAACATCCGACAGGAGATACTCAGGGGTTTGAGTTCTTCGAATCCTGAACGAGGTCATCGCCACATACTTTCACAAGCGTTTGAAATTCGCTGGAACATAAGGGATTTTCTTAAGGAGCATTATGCCGATCAGGAATATCCTCAACTTGGTACTCTTATCACACTAGTAGGATCTGGAATGGATGCCCAGGCACTGACGTGTGCCGAATACATGCGTCAAGTGTGGCCTACAACAGGCGTAGAGACCTTAGATGCATTACAAAAGGCATTAGGAAACGGACTTGAGAACTGGTATAAAGGTAAATCAAATTTCTCTTCATTAGATCAAGTTGGTCACTAATAATCATATAGGTACTACGACCGATGGAACTGAAATAAAATTTGTTATCCACAGCTCATCGGTTGTAGCTGTAGTGACAGGAACTGCGCCCGCCATTGCAGAGATTGGGCAACAACTGGCATGGCTAGGGGCTGCTTTGCGCGGAACGCCCTCTGGAGATAAAATGGCTTATTGTGCACCGAAAATTGGAAGATCTCCTGGTTCATCAATTTTTCAGCTTGCCTTCCAGGTCGTCAACTTTGAACAAACTCCCCGCGGAGAAGTGCCAAATGGGTCGTGCTGGAGCCGTCTGTTCCGAAACCCAATTGTTGTTCGAGGATTTCCAATATTGGCAAGATCTAGGGGCGAAAGGGGCTTGGAGATCCCCCTTAACATGATGGCAGGACTTGGCCAGGCAACTCGGGTGACAAACTTCGACGGTGGTCTTGTAATCAAGGGGTGTTCTTCAATGTTCTACCCAACTCAGCGGATTCAGAACTCGGTTTTGTGGCATTTACTTGTCAACGAAAACGGTGAAAGGATCTCTTACTTATCTGCCGAGGGTCATCGCGCTTCAATTCACGACGTTGATGCCACATGCTTGGAACGCTCCAGGAACTTTCTTGGCTGGGCTTCCTCGGCGGAAATCCATACGGGTATGTCAAAGCTAGTTACATGCTTGTGCATTCATTAGATGCTAACATATTAGTAGGAGGAAAAGAAATCAGATATGAAGATATCGATTGGGCAGGTGCTAGCTTAGCCTCCGCTGGCTTTGCTTGTGAAAAAGCATCCATTGTCGCTGGGCAATTCGTAACTGGTGGCGCTTCATTTGTTAGAGGCACTCAAGATACTCCAATATATATTGGCAGGGGTGGTGGACCTTACGCTCAAGAAGTTCACTTTGCACGGAACATGAAAGTGGTCCTATATGACACCAAAGATCGCCGAGGGTGGTTGGTAGATGGTGCAAGCGCCCTCCTCCACCTTACGCGTACGCAGCTTGCATCCAGTCCATATTCTGACAGTGACCTCTTCAGAATAGAAGATTTCAACCACGGGGATCCTAACAATGGAATACTCGCCGCCAAGAAGGCTTTGATGGATCCAAAGAACAGGAACATGCTGATATTCGAAGATGTTACGACTTCTACCGAGTTGAATACTAGCGGTGGTATTGAAGGGTTGGAAGAAGTGCGAAAGATAGCTAAGCCATGGACGTACGAGGACCTAGTAAGACAAACCTATCATACACTGGAGCAAATTCACGATTACCAGACGAAAATGATGGCTTCACCTACTCTGGGTCTACGTTTCACAGACCGAGAAAAGCTCATTGGCTTCGGTTTTAAAGACATTGTTGATGGCCACAATGATCTACTTCCCCGGGTTGCGACATTGAAAGCAAGTGGACGAGGATGGGTGGATTTCACAAGAAGTATTCGAGCAATTATACTACTCGGAAAAGGATTTGGAGAAATTATCAAGCCATCAAAGGATTCGAATAAGCTCTGCAAGTACTGGAGTCATGTACCAACGGGAAAGGATTATCTTGTGGCATGTACGGCAACACTTAAAGAAATCTCTTTGAAGCATGGGGATTGCGACTCGGATCCTTTGGAACTTGCCAGCGGAATCTACTGGCACAAACCTGATAAATTATTTGAGCCCTGTGAATGTAGACGCACTAAGTTGGCGGGGACTTGTGATCGAGTTCAAGTACTATTACCGCAATTTTGCCTAGGACCGAAAAGAAACCCACAGCCTTTCAACTGCCGTGATGGGGCGGTCATAATTGGACGAAGTAGGAGGCTTCCATGGCATTGGCCAAGTAAAGGAAAGCCGGTGAGAGGGAAATCATCTGAACCTGAGTCCGACGATGGGAATTCTTTGCCTGATAGTGGTATTGGAGAAAGCCTTCCCTCAACCTTAGATCTCGATAGCTCACGGAATGCGAATTCATCTCCTTCCGATGGATCTCCACCAAGTTTAGCATCAGCGGATATCGCTGGTACACGACCCAGGGACTCGGAATCTTCTCTTTCGAGCCGCTCCGAGCTGAATTCCATGATTGGAGATACAATGATGTCCGGAGGGCTTGGGGGAGACGATGAAGTCTATAATGCTACACAGTCACCTGTCCCGGATCATATATTCTCAGCCCATTCTATCTCGCAGCCATACGCAAGTTACACGGAGTTTGCTAGTAGATCAGAAACAACTCTTTCGACCCCTCCAAATACCCGGGAAATTTCAAGCAGACCTGCGATAGCGAAGCGAACATGGGACGAGATAAAGCACTCACTTCAAATGTCTCCTAGGAAAAGGCCAAAACCAAACCCCGATTTAATTAAACTTGAGCCTAGCTCTTTCCCACCACCACCAGCACTACCAAAATAAAGGAACAAAAAGAGGAGTGGCCTCAAATAGGTTTTCGTTTGTGTTGAATGTCAATCACGGCATATGAAAATATATCCGAAAGAGTTATAATAAGGGTTTGCATTTGAGTTAGGACAACAAGATTCCTCCCATAATTCCCGTGAAATACAGTTGCAACTACAGAGCCAAATCGAAAGAACGCCGCATATACCATAGATTTCCGAATCATCAAAGCTTGAAACTCAAGTTCCCAAAGCATAGAACCTATATTTCCACAGCCTGCGTACTTGTCCCGGCATCTACAATCGGCCACATATCATAACAAAGATGATTATCCCCATCACATCAACCCAATAGTAACATCACCCTTAACCCTTGCATACAAATCAACCTGCAAATGCCCATGGCCTCAAAATCAGTCCACTCCAAAGACGACGACCTCGATTTTCTTCTTACAACGATGCCGGGGACAACGTACCTCGACTTCGAGATCCAGCTCGATCTTTATCTTTATTGAATCGTTCGTGTCCCTCTGAGGGCGGTCCTTGATCCGCGATTCTCTGATCGGGGCAGGTCTGTAGTCGTCTCCACGAGGAGCCATTTCCATCGATTGTTGTTGTGTGGGGCTGACATGTTGGAGTTGTTGGTTGTTTTCTTGTGCTCCTTGCTGCTCCTCTTCTTGCACCGCTTGCTGCTGTTTTTCCGACATGATTGCTTTCCAGATATCCTGTGGCGATGCAATCAGCCAAGCTTTAGGGGGGAGTACATGAAGAAGCCATACTTGAGCAGAAGTTTGTTTGTAGGACCAAGGCTTCGCGAATAAAGGGCGGCGGGAGTTTGAAAGAATTGCGAACGGATTATTTCTGCTAATGCAGAATTTGTTACAGGAAGTCGAGAATTGATTTATATCGACATGTAAACTCCAGAAGTATAAATGAAGTCAGAAATTCTTACATCATGTTGCCTGTCCTGTGCCCTGTTTTCCTGAATTCATGCGGGGCGGGCATTAGGGAAATTCAACGTCATACGCCAGGGATTTGCTCAGGGGTGTGATGTGGGGTTGGAAAGTAAGCACATAATGCGGAGATATTATATAATACACATTCCTGCGAGAAAATCGAGAATAAATTAAGGATATATTTTAGAATGTGATTACAATCAACTCCTACCTATTGAGCACAGCTCTTTTTCTAAACCGTAGGACCGTAGCTGAGAAGAGATCACTCTAGAAAGGGGCTCGCTTATGCACCCTAACACGTTCGCTTCAGAAGCACGGCACAGGAATGCCAAGCTTAAATTTAAAGGGGCGAGACGACCACGTGAAGGCGAACCGTTTATTCGGCCTTATATAGAGACATGGAGACCTTTTTCGATAGATCTGGTAATTAAGCTCCTATGTAATAAAGATATGTTAAGAAAGGAGAAGTAAATTTGAGTTGTGGAGAAAGAAGGTTAGATAGAGAAGGTTGAGAGGAATGGAAATTTAGATTCAAACAGACACGTAAATGTTTCCGAAGATAGAGGTGGAGGAAATCCGCGAAGGAGATGTAAACTCTTACTTATATAGTTATAAAACCTAGTATACCCCTCACTTAATACCGAGTGTATAACCACGATCACATGCATCACAAAAACAGGATGTTTCATAACATGTCTCTGTTCCTTCTCATGCTTGGGAAAATATCTAATCCGAAATCGTGGAAATTTTCCTCCTTCCAGGCTATGTCTCTCTTTCCAACCTCCAATCTGACTCCCCACGACTCCAAAAACAAGCCCTCAATTTCCTAATGGCAATTATATCCTAATAAATATAGATTTGCTCCCGCCTACTACACAGTTTTGTGATTTTTCATTTTCAATTTCATTTCCAATTCCACCTTCTCAACTTCACCCCTTTATAGAATCCTCTTATATGCAAAAGGTGCTGCAATTTCTCAGCGCGTGACACTGCGTTTCAGCAGGTGGTCGGTCTAGCTAAATATAGCAAATGAACATGATCATGGGATGTGTGCTAGTGCTAACAAATATATCATGGTGCAAAGCGATCAGTTGAACATGCCAGACGCTGCCAGGTATCAAGGAGAACCACATGGCCTCAAGGGTTGCTCGAGTTTGGTTTGGGAAAGATCTGAGCGATCACTTTAATCATTCACAGTCTATATATTACAACTTAGGTACGGGTGATATATCCCTCTTTTCCAACTACCCATCATTTCCGATACCACATCCTCGTAACCTTCGTTCTCCGAATCTTCTTCTGCAGCTGAAACACGCCATACAACAGCGCCTCGCTAGTGGGAGGGCAGCCCGGGATATATATATCGACCGGTAGAATCCTGTCCACGCCTCTGACAACACTATAGCTGTAGTGATAGTACCCTCCCCCATTCGCACAACTGCCCATGCTGATAACCCACTTCGGATCAGGCATCTGGTCGTAGCACTGCCGGACCGCCGATGCCATTTTGTTCGTCACGGTGCCGGCGACAATCATCACGTCGGCTTGGCGGGGCGAGGCGCGGAAGATGATGCCGAGGCGGTCTTGGTCGTAGCGCGGCATCGAGGCGTGCATCATTTCGATGCTGCAGCATGCGAGGCCGAACGAGAGAGGCCACATTGATCCGTTCCTGGCCCAGCTCACGATCTGATCCATGCTTGTGCTGTAATGTAAGCTGCTGTCAGCCTCTTGTTCCATCCCTCTAGTTGTGTTTATTTGGTTGGTCTTACAGGACATGTTCCACCAGGCCTGTAGGTTTGACCTCGTTGGATAGAGCTTGAGACGTCGAAGATGGCTCGTTTTGGACCTTGCTCGAGAAGTTTTGGCGTATTCGAGGAAGAAAGGGAGCGAAAGAGCGGGGATTGGTGCGTAGCCTTTTTGCTGTGCTCGAAATGGTCGAGGTATAAAGCTGGTCTGAACCCCTATTATTAGCGAGTGTCTTTCCTTGAACCGAGGACTTTCATATTAACTCACTAGGCATTGTCTTGTAACAGAGCATTTTGAGATGCTGTTACTATGAGGTGTTGGTATGAAGTAAAACTTAAAACATTTCTGCCAAATATGTTATTCGGGATCAGGCTTGATACGATCAGGGGGGAAGTCGGGAAATTCACACATGCGCGCCCCACATTTGCGCGTTGGACAGGCATGGAGGAGGGTGTGATATATTAAAACTGCACAAAAAGCGGTGAAATTAAGCTAGGTTATAGAAGTCTATTATCTTATTGGGTCATTACTATTCCGATCGTCTTTCTATACTACAAAAGTTAAATCATCAATCATTAACTCTGATATATCGTGTACCTGGTGTATTGTTTCGTCCAATCAAATTACGGTGCCGCGGGGAGACCCCTGCTAGCGTAAAGCGAACCTTCCCAATTTCTAGGGTATTTCATCTCATAGCGTCGGAAAATACACTCATCTCTCGTCTCGCTCACCAGAGACCTGCATTTCAAGCCACCCTTACCATTCCATTCCCCTGGGACCTATGGCGTCGTTAAATCCTCCCGAGTGCCGGATATGCCAAACATGTCAACTCCCTTTAGCTCAAGACACCACATCAAATCGCCATGGGTGTCCATTCTGTGGACGGACATTCCAACGAGTTGACGGCGCCAGACGCCACGCCAAAACCTGTCCCTCGAGGGGAGATCGCCCTCTACCACCGGAAGCCAAGCGCGGGAGAAAGGTACATGCGTGCGACGGGTGCTCTCAAATCAAACTGCTTTGTGATGGGAAAACCCCTTGTGCACGATGCGCCTCGCGGAGCTTGACCTGCACGTATGGACGGCTTTGCACGGATCCTACACACCGCCGTGGAGAAAACTCATCTAAAGCCAGCAGGCACCTGGCATTGTCCTTCCTACTGGGTTGTGCAGATCCATATAGTGGTCCTGTGGGCGAAGTCATCCTCGATGGAGAGCCAGAGCCAGAGCATAGCCGAGCCGCTCCAGTTACACAGGAGTCTTCACAGACGCACGCTATGCTGTCGGACACGATTGATCCTCGTCTCTTGTTTTTAGGCTATGTCGACCCATCATTTGACGCGGCGCTGGAACACGAAAGCATGAATTGTGGACATCGTCAAGATGCGCTGGATCGACTACACCTCGACACCTCTGACGATGAGCTCAAAGCACGGGTTAGCCTCTTAGCAGTTGAACTTCAGCAAGTCGCGGCAGGCATGCCGAATTTCGAGACTTTTCCGTCGCTGGGTTCATTTCACGCTTTCTTCAAAGTAACGAACTTCCGGGACTGCATAGCAGCTTTCTTCCACCGGGGACACTTGCTAGCATCAATCATCCATCTACCAACGCTGTATCTCGGCCTAGTAGACCCAACGCTCTTGCTAGCAATAGCTCTCTCAGGCTCCACATATCTGCATTACCGAAAGGAAAAGCAAAGTCCGCTTTCTACAGCCTTTACACTGGCGATGCATGAGCTGGCCGAGAAGTATATATTCCACCGCGTGAAGCAATCTCTCTGCTCGACCTCTCACGCGGCCGGTTCACGGGCGGCATTAGAGCTCTGCCAAGCGGCGTATCTGATTGAGACGCTGCAGATGTTCGTTAAAGACCCGACCGTCCGTCGCCGAATCATCAACAAGCGCCATCCCAGCCTCGTAGCTTTACTTCGCAATCTCGATGTCATGGGAAGCACACACGAAACAACAGTAGTACCGCAGTTGGAGCGAGACTGGCGCTTGTTCGTGGATAGGGAATCTTGGATCAGGGTCGTGACATGGACGTTCATCAACGACGCGTGGCTGATCCTCTTCTCGAACCACCCGCCCGCCATGACATTATCCGACATGGGCGGGCACCTGCCCTGCAGCGACGCGCTCTGGCATACAGATAATGCAGCCAGTTACGAGCGTCTGAGAAGCGAGCAGGAGTTCAGCTCTACCTTGCAGTGTCTACGAGCTCTTATCCAAGGGCTGCTGAACAAGGAGTGGATGGAAAGTACTGCGGTTGATTTCGCGCACCTCGATGTCCAGCATCTGCATGTCGTGGTCCTCGGTTCGTGTTCCTTTCCAGCTAGTACACCTACCTACCTACTCGAACCCAGCTAACCCCCCTCCCCACCAGCATTCCAACACCTAACCTACCACCACCACACCACCCTCCCTCTCCCCAGCACCAGCCGACTCCTCCTCCACGGCCTATCGCGCTGGACTGCCCTATGGGACGCCGCCATGGCGCGCCTTGACGGCGAAGAGCAGCGCTGGCTCGGTGTAGTGAAGTACTCGGCCGGACTGGCGTTTATAGCGCAGCGGATGATTGAGGTGGGGTTGAGTGGTGAGGGCAGGTGCGAGGGATATGTGAAGCGTGCTGTGGCGTATGATACGGGGGGGTTGCATGCGTTTATAAGGCGCTTTTGTGTGGATGAGTGAGTGGTAGAAGGAAAATGAAATGAATAGCGGTAATTGATCTAGAAGAAATCTCCCTACTTTTGTTTTTCTCCCTACTGGAAAGCCTCCTATTTTAAGCGAGCTTTCCTTTACCGCCCCGCCGTACTTGTAAGGCAAAAACACGGGCTGAAGTGGAAGGACCTGTAGTTGGGGAATAATTAAGCAAGCAAAGAGATAAGTTCACACCTACTGCACTTGGAAGAAAGGGAAGTTATTTGAGAACGTCTTTTATTTCTAAATTACCTAAGATGTATGGACAATGTAACTCCTATGTGCGGCACAACGCATAGCATCGCAGCCACCAAATGCAGAAAATGCCACCTAATCCAACCCAAATCATTCATTCTTCTTTCCTCCAACCATGCATATACAGAAACGCCGTTAACGACCGGAAATGCAAAATCGCTCCCATGTTGCCTCCTATGATGCTACGAACTACAGTTACATGACGAGGTATCCGACGCCGAGACCAAAGGCCATGACGACCAGCTCCACCGTGCCGTATTTGTGGGACGATGCCGAGTTGGTGGTGATTTGTGGGGTGCTGGTTGAGCTTGAACTGGCACCGCCGGCTGCGGAGGCTGTTGCTCCTCCTGTGCTGCCAGAACCGGTGCTGGTGCCGTTGCTTCCACTTCCGCTTGAGCTACCCGTAGCAGTTGCGTTCTCGGATGAAGGGGAGACACCGGCTGGGACGGTAGATGTAGAGATGCTCGCAGTAGTAGTTGAGTTTGGTGCAGAAGCAGTAGAGGTGGTTCCAGAGCTCACTGTTGAGGCTGAGTCTGTGGCTGAAGCGGTCGTGGAAGAGGCAGCCGACGAAGAACCAGCAGACGAGCTTGGGCTTGAGGATGAGCCGGATGAGCCGCACGAGGCTCCCTCGTTGGATGACTTGATGCTATCGAATGATCCGGTCATGTCGGAGTATGTGTAGGTTCCACCGCAGCCGGCATCGCTGATGGAGATGTTCTTGACGTACATGCTGTATGAAGTACTTCCGTCAAAAGATGCTGGTCCACCGGCCCACTCGCAAGTTCCTTGAGTCTTTGGGTCTGCAGCAGCAGCGGCATCGGCACATCCAACCCAGTTGCCCAATTTGATCTTCATTGGTGTTTGGGGGAACTGGGTGCCCTTGATGGTCTTGGGGTCGTCGTAGGCTAGGATACGGACGGGGGTGACCATGTCATCAACGTACCACTTGACGTAGTCTTTGGTCCATTCGATGGTGTATGTGTGCCATCCAGTAACAGCTTGGGAGATAGGGTGGTAGATGGCTCGGTCGTAGCTAGTAACATTGCCCTTGCCGAAGAAATTGCTCTCTACAGAAGCATCGTTGGATCCAAGCCACTCCCAATCAATCTCATCAAGGTCATCCGATTCCAAGATGAAACTGCTGACAATACCAGTTCCTGGCGAAGCCTTGGCGTATGTGCTGACGTTACCAAACATGATATATTGCGAGGTGCTGATCGTAGGGGCGCCGGTCTTTGTTGAGATCTGGAAGTTGGCACCGTTCGCACTGTCGTATGACATGGTAGTTCCGTCCGCATAGGTCCATCCAGTTGGAGCATCTGTGCCACTAACGGTTGTGAAGTCGGTGACGAAGGGTTTGCCGTTTCCAATACCGCTGTCGCCAGGGCAAGCTGGATGGTTGTCAGTACAGAGTCTGAGAAGGAAGTGAAGAGCGCATACTTTTCTTTGTTGGGTCACAGGCAGTGAAGGTCTGAGCATTGGCTGCTTGAAGAGCAGACAAGACTGCTGTCGCGGTTGCGATAGTGAAGCGCATCTTGAGTGGTTATGTGCTTTGTCTGTAAAGCTTATCTATGTCGTATCGCTGTTTAAATGCTTTTGGTTTGAGGGTGTCAAGTGTGAATGTCGAACTCGTCCGTGAATGGATGAGAAGGACCGTCAATTATAGGATTCGCAAGATCTTCAAAGCGGTCAAAACACAAAGGCTGAGCGAGCGAGCAAGCGTGATTGATGATGTAAACGAGAGAATGGTCAACGGGTCAACAAAGAGGCAACAGCTAACAGGTGGGTATTATTGTAGAAAAACGTAAAAAATATGGAGAGGGGCCGAGGGGGAGACGGAGAAAGGAGGGAGCAAGCAAATAATAAGCAAAATCCTGCATACCTCCGTATGGTTGCCCAGTCGCCGTGCCACCCATCAGCACAGCCTTGCGCCAACGTTGCCCAAGGAGGAATCATCAAACGGCGCCTGGTTTTATGATGACGGCTGGTGATTGGCTACGGAGGCTGCCATCTATGGTGCTCGTGTCGTGATTGGCTGTTCGTATCGGCATCCCGGCAGACGATCTCTTCATTTCGCCCAAAGGGGTTAGATAGCGGATCCAAGGGGATCTGCAGCTGTGTTGTGATCCATGCAGGTACAAAGTACGATGTACACTACTGGTACGGACACGAGGGGTACTGTGGGTACCTGAGCCTTCTTCTCTTCGACCATCCCTCTGGATCTTCACTTTGTAAATCTCCTATACGAAGGATGTTCTCCTATACATTCTCAGAATCATTTGTGATCCGCGGTTAGACACATTCAATCACATCTGTTTGTTTCACGCATGATGGTAATGTCTCCATATGGAGCGATGGATTGTAGGCTGAAACAGCAGTCTGCTGATGATTCTCTCGGCTGTTGCTCCGTGATCAGCCACTGGCCCCAGAGGCCGAGTGGATTGTTACAGCCAGCTGGGGCCCCTGTAAAGACCCTGAATACTACCCAAGGCTCCAGCCTCCAAGCGCAGGAAAGAGCCGCAGCCACTCTATTGGCGGGGCGACCCTACCAGAGTGTGGCTTGTGAACTGCCCCAGCTGCCGTAAAGGGTTGCTGATCAGGTCGCATTTAGAACCCGTGGCAATTAAACAACCGCACATGACGTTGAGCTGACCATGTAGGAGCTAAAATATACGAGTGCCTCCCGAATCCCGAATTTCCATGTCAATCAATAAAGGCTTTGTGGGAATAATCAACCGCTTGCTATCCATTATACGGGTCGTACAATACGAGTCGGGAAAGGAAAACAATAGTGTCCGCGGCCCATTTTTCAAGGAGATGACACCGATTTACTGTATGCAGTCTTGGTTTAAGGCGGTAAAATCGCTTTGATAATGAAAAGTTTCATCAAAGTCTCATCTTCATTATTATAGCCTTAACTTCCAGGTTTGCTAACCACAGGTATTCTCCCGACTGTTCCATGTTTGGCATCACGAATTAGGCAGCGTTTCAAGTCCTTTCAGAAGCTTCATTTCAAAAACTTCTACAATATTATCACGAGTGATGCCTTAATCATGGTGTAGTATAGTATCTTTATCTTCAGCAAGAATGCGCATTGCACAAGTTCGTTCCTTAGATATGTAATCCATCTATTTTTGTCACATCTCACTGTCACGTTACTATCAAAATCTCTTGACACACTCTCTCGCCTCTAGATTTATTCTTATACGAACTTTGTCTGGCTAATTTATGAATACTTGAAAATTAGTATGCGTATGCGTTCAAAACAATCTGCCTAGTTGGCGCGTTGTTTCTGGCTGGCTCTGGCTGGCACTAGAACGTCTTTTCTTCTGAAGCAACTTTTCTACTCCTTTCTAATCTATTTCTTAAGAACCACGCAAGTACCGGTACAGTATGAAAGCGTGTTAAATCCTTCCGATTTTGTTTGCCACTGCCATTGCCACTGCCCCTTACAATCTGTTTTCCTGTCACGTGCTACTCCTTCGATCCTGCCATTTCGGGATAGATGGCACAGGACCGGGTATGTTCTGTAATAAGAAGGTGCTGTTTGCTTGCGCGGAAATTCCGATGAGGTGGTGTTATGCGCAAAGCAAGTGCTTCTTGTAAGGAAATTATGAGTGTAGCAGGGTGCCTAGGTGGCTCTTGCAGTTGACAACGGAGCATGGAAGTGTAGTAGGTAATTGAAAATGCCTTCAAGTCTCCTCCACAAGCATGTCAAGGATGGCGATTCCATCCGCAGCTTTACCTGGGAATCAAATGATGGAACAGCTTTACTACACATTGCTGCCAGGAAGGGGCATGATACAATTGTGAAATATTTACTCCAGACGTCCAAGGTCAATATCGATCTGAAAGACATCGCAGGCAGAACACCGCTTTGGGTTGCTTCCCAACGCGGACACAACGCTGATGTGCAATTACTGCTTCAAATTAGCAGTCGAAAAAGGGCATGAAGCTATAATTGGACTACTTTTAAAGGAAGGGGCGGAAACTGGACCGAAAGATAAAACTGATCGAACGGCGTTATCACTCGCTTCCGAAAATGGGCATAAGGCGATCGTGCACTTCCTCAATAAACAAGTATAAATTGTCCGCTCAAGAGCGAATTTGAGGTCGGCCTAGACATAGAACAGAATAATTATTCTCAACCTGATTATAAGGGTTAAGACTATCGGTAAGCCAGCCGTTTTGGATTTTACAAGGACTGGTAACTAAATCCAGATATCCTCAGTGCCTGCCTTTGTTGTTGAGCTCGGTTTTATCGATAAACAAGTTTCTTTCCACCGACCCTTCGTTGGAGAACGAGAGAGACTTTGCTCCTAGTGATGAGTTGTAAGGTTGCTAGGTAGGGGAATCATCAAGGGATCTGGCCTGAAAGCTTTTATTGGTCCCTTAGATCAAGTAGTTTTCATTGCTTGAGCCTGGGAAGGTGAATTGCATGATGTGGACACAAGTCAAGATATCAAATTGAGAGAGTGAGTGAATTGCTGGCTCATTCATACAGATTTATTTTGTCGTTTCCATGAGAAAGAGATGGATGGCAGACCGGTGAAACATATTAGTCTCAGAAGCAAGGCTCGAGGCAGATTTTGCTAAGCGAGTCCCAAAGGGGAGGCAGGTGTGTTTTGGAAGCAAGGCTGAACATCAAACACCAACAAAGGGACAAGGCTACCTACTTACTACCACTTTCCACCGCCATGCTTCCCACAAAAGAATTCTTCGTTAACATCGATCTTCTTCTTCTTCTTCAACCTCACGAATATCGAAACCTGCAACACCCACACACCACACACACCACACATACTCCACGGCCATGGCTCCTCAGCCCATCGGGCATAATGCTCAAGTTCAACCTATTACAACAACACTAAGAAATATCTGTCGCGATTACCCTGCTGGCGGTACCGTACTTCGAGAGCTCTTGCAAAACGCTGACGATGCAGGCGCAAAAGAAGTGGTAAGCAACTTCAGCGCTCCTTCCCTTTCAAATATAGCTAACTCAACTGCTAGCGATTCATTCTTGACGAACAAACCCATCCAACAGACCAGCTCTTACACCCTCTTCTGGCACAGTACCAAGGCCCAGCTTTGCTGGCGTACAACAATGCGCAGTTCACTGACAAGGACTTTGCTAGTCTCGCGCATATAGGTGACTCGGGGAAGATTAATGATGGAACGACAACTGGCAAGTTTGGACGTGGGTTCAACTCCGTAAGTACTTCGTTTCACCTTTATTCGAAAGAATAGACTGTCATCTTAGGGTGTTGGGAGTGAATGCTGATGAATGATAATTTAGGTGTACAACTGGACGGACTCGCCATCAATCGTCTCTCGCGATCGTATTCTCATCCTCGATCCACACCATGAGTGGTCAGAAGGCAAAACTATAGGTGGTCCTATCTACAATTTTGTCAAAGATCATAAAGATCCAGCCCTCAAGAATACAATGGCCGCGTACCAGCGGGTCATGGGACAATTTGACCGCCCACTTGAGGGGACAATAATTCGCATCCCGCTGCGCAACCCAGCTCAAGCTTTAAAAAGCGACATTTCACCACGCACAACTACTGTACAAGAAATGACGAAGATCCTGAAAACCTTCGCGGACGATTTCGCAGACCATGGGCTGTTGTTTATGCGTAGTGTAGAGAAGCTAGAGCTTGGTTCCTCGGGCATGTCGATCGTGATTGAGATGATAGATGTGGAAGCTCTTCGCTCGTAAGTCTCGGCATGTTTCCTCTAGTTCCTTATTTCTAACATTCGCAGGTACAAATCGAAAGTTAACGACGCCGTGAAGTGCGCCTCAAAAGACCCGAACTATTCTTTCGACCTTTCGTTTCAAGCATCTATCAAGACCAAGAGCGCAACAGAGTCAAAACAAAGTGCCTTCATTGTTCATCATTGCATTAACGGTGGTTCAATAGATGGAAGTCTTCGCGATTGGGCAGCGACTCAGAATCTGCTACCTTGGGTGGCAGTTGCGTCTCCTCTTCTGGTAAGTCGATTCCAGGACTCATACAGTGGTCCTTCTACTGACATCTTCGTAGACTGAGCCCACCAGAACTGTCAATGGGTCACTATTTACCGTCTTGCCGCTACCAATTGAGAGTAGGCAGCCTGTACACATTCACGGGATGTTCAGTCTGTCGCCAGATCGTACACGACTTCACCACTGGAGCGATCGAGGTATCCAGGATGAAGATCCGGGAAAATGGAATTTCTTTTTGTTCAAACATTTGGTTCCTTTTGCCTGGACTCGGGTTCTAAACTATTTGGCAGTTTTGCACCCTGACCAGCCAGCATTTGACAGATGGCCTCAAAATATTGATGGTACCCGAGAACATCTGAGTAATTCTCTTGAAGATGTTCTCTCGGTCATTGAAACAGAGTCATTGCCCCTTTGGCCTTCCAATGTCGGCTATGTATCTTCAAAGGAGGGCCTGCTTTACACGGGGATTGGCGATGCGGCTTTAAGCGAAGCTCTCCGGGAAGCAGGAGCGCCAGTTGTATACGTCCCGGAACAACTACAGCAAGAAGCTCAGCGCCTATTCAACGGGAGAATATTGGGACCCGAAAGCCTCTGTCATTTTTTGAGGGTCGTGGGCGACAACGTTAAGCTATGGAGTAACGGGACCAAGCAACGAATCGCTGAGTATCTCTTGGCGGAGCCAGGCTTCAACGACTATGGGGGACTTGAGTTGTTTCCGTATATGGACGGAAGCCACCATTCTATTGATGATGGCATTACTTTCATTCATAGAGATGACCTTGAAAAGTCTCTTTTCAAGCTCCAAGAATCCCGAAATCTCGACCTTGAAAAGTTCTCAGAAACAGCTCAGCTTTTCTTGAAGCAAGGCTGCGAGAACTTAAGCATTCATCCTTCTATTTGCTTTCACTCGGCGAATTCTTTGGGGGCCTATTGTAAGAGTACGATTTTCCGAGATCTGCCACAAGATCAAGATGCGCTAGTTCTGACACAGGAAGCTGCAACTTTTGTTTCCAAAGTGTGGACTTGGATATCACAGCGTGACATTGATATTTTTGACACCAAGGTATCTTGCCTGTGGCTACTTCCTTTGAGCAATGGTCGTCATCGGAAGATAAAACCCGAAGCATCAGCCGGGCAAGTATATCTCTCTCCTGCCGGGGAATCAGGAGATCTGATGCGCAAGTTTGATTCAGAGTCGTTAACAAAGCCACTGCCGCTTCTGGACACCAGACCAGCCGGACTTGTCCCCAAATCTGTGTCGCTTCTGTTGCGAAACCCAAATGCCAAGTCAGCGCTTTTTATCGAAGATGGCAGCAGCTTAGTTTCTTTCTTGCAATGGCTGCATCAAACGTCTCCTATGCTTGATGGTGTCACAGACAAAGATAGACATTGGATTGCAAAGCTAATTGTGTCCGACTTGTGCAAAGTACTGACTTCCGCGGAACGTGAAACCGTCTTCGGCGTTTTGCGAACGCTGAAAATCTTCCAAAGGGTGTCATGGACCCTTCAGAATAACAGAATGTTAGTAACCCTCTTCTCGTTCTAGTTGGCTTTAACTAATAGATTGCAGGGAATCTATATTGACATGGGTTAACTTGAATGCTTGCAAAGAGTCGTTCGGACTCGTTGATGGTGTCACCCCTGTCCCGGAAATTGCAGGAATTCAGTTCATAGTTGCCCAAGAGTCAACTTCGTCGCATCAATTGCTCCAAACTTTTGGGCTAACGTGCCACAACACCGTTGAACTAATTCAGAACCACCTCATTCCACACTGGTCGAGCCAGAAGTTGATTGACTGGAGTCCCTCTAGCAAGGAGCAACTGTCAGAGTTCATTCTTCGATACTTTTCTTGCTTGTCGCTCGCGACCCAAAAGAAGCTTCAGGCACTCCCGATAGTTCCTGTAACGAAACTAGACGGAAAAGAAACCTCGGACTTTGCTTGCGCTAGAGAGCTTATCGATCCGTCAATGCTGGAACTGACAGAATTATGTTTCCACGACGAGGCAATAGTTCCGAAAAAGAAATTCTTTGAAAAATTCAAAGTCGCTTTGAAAGGTTGTGGCTTAAAGATCGCAGTGGATAAAGACGTTGTTCAACACCGAATCAACTGTTACGCAGGCTCCAAACACCCATTCGAGGAAATTCGGCCGCGCGCCCACAAATTATTGAGATCACAATTCGCCTGGATGTCTTCGCCGAATAATCAGGAGTACTCACAACTGCGCCATCTCAAGTGGCTTCCAGCTGTCGACTTGAATGGTACTCATTCACTATTGGCCTCTAATGAGTGTCGAAGCCCTAGAGATCGAAGGCTGGTCAACTCTCAAGTTCCAATTCTTGATATATCTATTTCAAAAGAGTGGCAAGAGCGACTTGGCTGGGAAAACACCCTGTCGAGTCAAATTCTGATGTTTCAGTTGAAGCACGGTATTACCGAGAAGGATAAGAGTATTGTCGACGCAGTCCTTACTTACATTTCCCAGAGCAAGCTTACAGGGCAGTTGGTGAAAGATTTGAAGAATTTCGAGTGCGTCTTCGATACCAATGGCTCGTTCATTCTGCCGTCACAAGCCTTTCGTCCCTCAAAACACTCGATTCCGGGGTACGAGCGTCTGCAGCCATATCTGGCAAACGTTGACCGCAACTTCTGGAAAGCCCATGAAGAACTACTACGCAATATTGGGGTTCGAGACAAACTGCAGCTCCCTGATCTGTTCCAAATCCAGACTATATTAGAGTCGAAGCAGATCCTTGACGATGCAGATCTTGCTGTTGCAATTGAGGTCCTAAATTTTGCTTGCAAGTTTCCTAGAGCGTCTCTTACAAGCTTAAAAGTCGTCGATAAATTCCGTGTTCTTCAGCCAATCCATGACATCAACTACGATGATCTTGGTCTTCTAAAGCCCAAGGAAAAAGTTAACCTTACTCACGAACATATCCCCATGAACGTGATAGTTGCCCTCCAGATTGAGAGCTTGAGCGCGCGACTGGTCAAGGGCATGCTGGAGATTGAAGATGTTGATGACGAAGATGAGTTCGACCAGCAGGAGAGTGTTACAAGCCGCATCTCAGATACTTTGGATCGATACCCTGTGGAGACAACCTTCAGAGAGTATCTTGCAAACGCGGATGATGTGCAGGGAGCTTCAGAAGTCAGCTGGCTATTAGATCCGAGAAGTCATGCTTGCAAGAATCTGCTCACTCCCAAAATGGACATTTTCCAAGGACCGGCATTTCTCGTGCATAACAATGGAGGTAAGTAGTTTTTTATTATCTAGCATCTCTGCAAGAAATAACTAATATGTCTCTAGTTTTCAGCGACAATGATTTCAAAGGATTCAAAAACGTTGGCGAAGGTAGTAAAGCTCAAGATAAAGAGAAAATTGGCCAATTTGGACGTGGTTCTCAGACCATGTATCATTGGACTGATGTTCCTATGATCTTGTCCGGAAGATTTTTACTTATCCTCGAGTAAGTATTACTCACTTCCTGCTTTTTATTTACTAATAATTTATTCAGTCCACAGCAAGAGGTTTTACCGAAGAATCAGATCAAGGGAAAGCGCAAGCCGGGTGTTAAACTCGAGTTATCCAAACTGAGGGAGGCTTGCGGCGACCAGCTTGCTCCATTCCAGGATCTATGGGGCTATGACCAAAGCCAAGACAACTATCCAGGGACGATCTTCCGTTTCCCACTTCGGGCTGGCAAAGCAAAGTCCATTCTGAAAACAAACAGTAAAGACTTGAACATTAGCGAGGTCCGCCGGCTTATGAACAATTACTTTGATGAGGCCCGTGTCTCCCTCTTGTTTTTGAGACGAATCAAGTCTATTGATTTCAAGATTCAGGATGACCATGATTCAGGATGGTCTATTACTCGACTAGCCACAGTGGATGATGATGCGAAGTCGTTCTCTGAGCCGGTAACATGCAAATTCACGAAGAACGGGTTTCCTGCTGTTGCTGGTATAGACAGATGGTGGGTGTGCATTGAGGACTTGCTCCCCGAAGTCGACCGTCTTCCAAAAACCTCTAAGAGAACCATGAAGAATGTTGAATGCGGGTTTGCTGCTTTGCTTTCTTGCAAACCGGGTGAAGCTACAATGCCTATGCCCTTACAGCCCCTGGAACGACGCATTTTCAACACACTCCCACTACCAATATCTTCGGATCTTCCTGTGCATGTTCACGCAACATTCTTTCTCTCTGGTGATAGGCAATCCATCGAAATCGACAAACACGGAGCAGAGTCACACGGAGCTGAATGGAACCGGTGGCTCCTCCAAGATGCATTGCCAAAGCTTTATCTATCATTCCTTGACGATATTGGACAGCAGATCCGACAGGAAGTCTTCAATTTTTGGCCTCAAGAGGAGCCACCCAAGAGAAGCTGTGCAGAGCTACTTTTTGAGTCCTTCTGGGATCAACTATCCTCAAGCTCTCAACGACTCTTTCCTAAAGCTTACCCAGTTTCGACACTCTCTCAACGACGCGCAGCACAATTATTCGACTTGAAGCAAGCCGTGTTTGACTTCCTCCCAAAAGGATCTTCAGAAGTACTTGCACCTTTCCTTATGTCGTTGGGAGTGAATCTGGTCCGCCATGTTCCAGCAGGCGTTGCGAAACGTCTCAAAGCACTACCTAATTCCAAAGTGAACTCCATCACAGGCTCAACGCTGCGGCAGCTTCTGAAATCAGCTCGTGCAAATGCCTGTCTTCTGAAAGAGATGAATGCAAATCCGCGCACCTGGGAAGTGCTAGTAGATCAACTACTTCCTGCTGATGCAGACCTCAAAGACTTGGATGGCTGTCACATTATACCTCTCGCAAATGGCAGTTTGGCTTCACTAAAGCTTATACACACCCAGGCTACACAATCGTTCAGTTTCTACTATGTGGCTTCTGATGAGGAGCTAAAGATTTTTGAGTTTGCCTCAACGTGTTTGGTAAGTTCAAAAGTCGGTCAGAAACTTGAGCGAGTTTTGAAAAATGGGAAGTTCAACTTGGTCACATTGGAACTTGGCCATATGAAGAAGCTATTGGAGTTGCAATCTATGGTAATCGTCCCAGATGCAGCTGGGGACTCATGGCTCATCAAATTTTGGGCCTTGTGGGAATCTCGGAAGGCCGTTGAGAATAAGGTTGTGGAGGGTAAAACAATTGACACATCACTAGATATCGCAAATTACGATGCTAAAATCTTTCGAGCGTTGCTTAATGGCTCAGAGTTGTACGCCACGCCCGGAGAGTTCCAGAGGTTGCCAGCAGTTGTTGAATCTTCTATTAAGGAGCATCAAAAGCTTTGTGATAGCATTCCTGGACTTTATCGCTTCTGCCCCAAGTTCATGCCAAAGTCTCTCGCGGGTACAGAATCGTCGTTCAACAAAAAAGTTTCCTTCATTCGTCTTATTAGGGCACTACAACTGCTTGCTGAAGCAAGAAATCTTCAACTTGAAGCCTTCATCCTGGCCAACCTGGATGTCTCAAACCTCAAGGTAAGCGTAATATTTAATCTGAATATGTTTTCCTCTACCCCTCTTCTATCTCAATATCTCAAAAGTAGATATGTTCTGATATGCTGTGGAATATCTAGGTACTTCAACGTCTCATTGTAGCCCATGTTGCACAGCTAGAGCCAAATAAGACATCAGAGCAAGTTTCGGGCATCATGGATCTTTTGAAATCGATTCCAGTATGGCCGAGGTTCCAAGACTCTCCGAAAGAGGAGTTCATATCCGTCAAGAACTCGACAATGGCTGTCAACCATAATCTGTTGGTGCCGTGGATGAAGGACCGGTATCGCTTCATTCACCCGGACTTTTCGAAAGAGCGGACCAATTTCCAATGCCTGACCCAGATGGGCATCACGAAGCGTACCACGGAGGACGCCCTCTTGAAACATGTTCTACCGTTGCCCGCAAATCTTGATGACGCCAACTGGATGTATTTTCAGCCCCTGATTTCTGCCCTTTCAACCAGCTCCCTGCAGGGCCGTGCGCTACAGGTTTCACGGCTTAGCAAGATTGCAGTCGATGGGGATGGCATGTTGAGAGTTCCAAGCGAGTTGTATGACCACGGTGATGCAGTTTTTGCAGCGGCTTTCAGATATCAAGACGAATCCAGATTCATTTCTGAAAAGCTGAAAACCTATAGAACGTTTTGGCTGGAAGTGGGCCTTCGTCGCTGGGTAGCAGGGGTCATTAATGCTTCAGATTACCTCCAATGTCTGAAAGTTATGAGCTTCAGGCTTAGGTCTACAACACCATCCAATGACCAGCACCTAAGTCAAGACATCCAGACGGTCTTGCATCCATTGACTACCCCTAATTCTGGCACTCAGAACTTCACTGCTAATGATTGGGCTGCTATCTCACAAGAACGTCTTTTCGGCTCTTTCACTAGCTTTCAAAGCGAATCTCAGTATCGAAGAAATACCATGGAATCTATAGCTACTCAAAAGCCAATCCTAAGTCTCGCAGAGATTATTTCGTATGATCACATTCCTGTTTGTTGGAGTCAGACTTCGTTTGCCCACCAGCTACCAACACCATCAGTTCTGGCCAAGATGTCTGGTGACGGTCGCCCAACGACAGACATGGTGTGGCGACACCTGGTATACATGAAGGAATTTGCGAGCAACTTACACCAGAGTGAAGTTCCAAGTTTTCTAGCCGACCTTCATCGCACCTATGAGTATCTGCAAGACCGACTTGACACCAAACCAGCCACTTTCAAACTCCAGAACAATGCTGTGTGGTTGAATACCAGTTCGTTGGATCATGATAGCACGCCGTTAGAGGATTTAAATTCGTCCTGGCAATCAATTACAGAACTGGTCCTGCATAGCTCTTGCGATGCTGGACTAATCAAGGCAGTTAGACCAGGTCTCGCGCGCTATGTAAAATTGCTACGGGTATTAGGATGCAGGTCAATCATCCATCCAACGGTCACTTGTCCAACTCTTCACCAGGGCTATTCCCTGGGAGGCTCATTGAGGAATCTACTGGAGCAGGGGTACCAGGTAGATATCACATACCGTACAGAAGGCCGGGAGATCAAAGGACATCGCATCATCTTAGCTGCCGCGTCTCCAAAGTGCTATCATCAGTTTAATGGCAACTTCAAAGTCGAGAAGGTTATAGACTACGACAATGACACCGATCCTGACGATTTTCTATCATACCACACCCTTTCAAACATGTTTAAATACGCCTACGGAGATGTGATTGATTGGCCCAAGATGCAGGTCGTAGAGAGCGACAGCGCAGCCGAGAAGAAAGTAAAGCTTGACTTGCTACTGGATCTTCACAAGGGGGCTGATTGTTGGTTGATGTCTGCCTTGGCGTCGCAGGTAGAGGACAAGATTTTGGCAGCTGGTAGAATGCTCATCAACTTAGAGAATGTTGTCGAGGTCCGAAAGCGTGCGCATAACGCTCATGCCTCATCGGTAGAGGATATGTGTGCCATGTTTATTCAGCAGAATCTTGATACTGTGATGAAGGCGCATGGAGGGAAGCTGGAATAGACGTGGAAGAAGATGTGTAGTTATTGGAGAAGGTTCATGATTTTCAAGGTTAGATTTACAGAAAGGTTTCCCGTAAACCCCCCAAGAAAGAAAAAGAAATATATTTATAAATTTCCGCTCTTAAACCCCGTGACGTCTTCAATCCATCCATCCCCTTCCCAACCCATCCCCCCTCTCAAGTCTCCTCCCCAGCACACTCTTCTTCACAGCCCCGCCAAACTCAAGGCCTGCAATGAAAAGCCAACCACATCGCATCGCATCACCTGGAAGCAGTGAAAGTACCAGGGACACAGTAGGACAGCCCACGCTCCATGCAAGCACAGAACACGCGGGCACCCTTTGATCAAAAAATAAGAATAATCCGCAAGAGATATACGGTGACCCTATTGTGGGGGGCCAGCGCCAGGGATTAAGCTGGGCAGAACAGATACTACATTTGATCTAAGCCGGAGTGGCAAAGGAAGCTGGGGAGGGAAAGTTGGGAAAGGGGGGGAGGAGGGGGGTATTTATAGGTTTTGATGGACTGGGTGTTTGCTCTGGGTGCAAAGTTTGGGATTGGGGGATGGATGGGGTGGTGGGTAGGGTGAGTCATGGGGGGATGGGAAGGGAGTCATTGTTGCCTGCTGGTTGTTTAGCGAGGTGGGTAAGGTGATATGAGGTGACGGATTGTTACGGACTGGGCTGGGCTGAGAATTGAGGATGATTCAATTTAAGGAAGTTAGGCAGGGAGCGGGTATAATTTGCGTAATTTGTGATTTGATATAGTGTTTGATGGATTTTACTTGATCGATGGATGGTTTTGATATCTGGATCTTTATAAGTGTCGTGATAGTTAAATCCGCAGCCCCTTTTCCTTCGCTAGAGACTTGGCTGGTGCTGGGCTAGGGTGCATGGAGGTTGCAAGGGAAGGTCCCTCGTATAAATCTGTAAATCTAGGCAGGCACGATTAAGGAGTATATTGTCTAATATCTGCCGTTTTTAACGCTACGCGATATATCCAATTGGTAATTCGTATTGTTTACGAAGTATGCTTTGATTGACATTCCTCACCTCTCTACTTACTCGTAGTGGGCATGTTTAACTATCCTCAAACAGACTAGATGTTATAACTTAGGTAGTTGTTGAAAGCACTAAATATACTCGAACATTTTTTAGGATTTTATTGAAGATCGGATAGTTAGTCCTTCGCCTCCTGGTTTTAGACGCGTACAGTAGTCGCTAAGCACTCAGGGGTCGATGGCGAAGGTAAATAGTAGTGTACGTTTTCCCCTCGTCGTCTTACTTAAACAGAAGACAAAGCAGAAACAGATCCAATTTTATCGTATTTGAAGATATATAAACGGTGCACTGATTTTAAGATGGAGATCTTATCAACCACACTGCGAGAGATTCTTAAGGGAGCGGGTTGCACGTGCCAGTCGAGGAGCAAGCATGTGACAAAACCCAACAACATTTCCACGCCTTTTTCAACTCAAGTAAGCCGTTAGAATCGGTGGAGATCAACGGATATTAAACGACCTGACCGCTCCTATTTGACCCTGTCATGTAAAAGGAGTGATTGAACTCACACTTCACAGATTCTCCGGAGCTCAAATCCATATCTTGTTTGTCAACCTACGGTAATTGGTAGTTTGATTGTTTTCAACGTCGAGACTCTGTTCTCTCTTACACATTTTAAGATATATAACGCAGATTTCTCAGAGCTGTATTGAAGGGTTTGTGTTAAGAGATCGGAGGGATGAAGGATCGAACTTGTGCTTTGCAATGCATTGTATGTGAATTGTCGTCTTGAATGAGCTTTCAGTATCTTTATTAGCATCGTGGAAGAGATCTGGGGGTTTTTTTCTAGGAAATCAGAGGAACGATTAGTCACCTCCATGGTCTCAAGTCGAGCAAGTGCTGTTGATTGGAAGTCGCCGTCGAAGCCACAGTTGATTGCACAAGCTTTGTAGCCGATTATTTGTTTTCTCTACGGATCTCTGATTGCTTTCAACGAGCTTGCAGGGAAATTTCTTTGTCCACTATTTATGAAGCAGTATATATAGTCCTCAAAATTATTGAGTTGCACACCTTCTCGGCGCTCCAGATGTATGGCTTTCAATTGTCATGTGTCACGTGGCATCATCCAGAGTTTCAAGACCTGCAAGTGTTATAAAGTCATTTTCGCATGTTGTTTGTATGATTAGAAGTATCTAGCGCTACTTTATTCCTCTTGCATATCTGGACTTTCCATTGTCGTGGTGTTGGGTTGAGCCCTTCCAACCTTCCAGTTGTTTGCTTTTGTCAGTCTTGCGGGGTGCACCTTCCTTGAGCATCACTTCAAAACCACAACCCCACCACATCTTCAACCTGCAAACCCAGCATTGCCCAAAATGCGTTTAATTCAAAATAATTGATGATTGCGTTGTGCTTTGCGAACTCCTTTGCCATACCTATGCTTCTGTTTGATCCGTCCTAGACCCAGGTCTTCATTGCGGAAGTGGCATCACCAAGGGTCAATGTGCAAGGGAATGTAGGCATATGACAGATTGCATAGCCGTCCAGTCACCCTACTAGAAGACTTGGTGTGATTCACCAGGGTGGCATTTGCAAAAGCGGACGTTCGTTCGTTCGCGTGCTTGTGTTTGACGTTGAAGCTCATCGACTGTCTTATTCACTGCTGCTACCCACCACCTTTCAATCAACACCGCCGCCGCCACCACGACCTTTGCATTCTCTCTCCCTGTCTCTCACCCAACTCTTAAGACTTGCTCTGTGCTTCTCACAACCACCACTGCCACCAAGAATTCAATTGCCCTGCACTTGCCATTCACCGTGCCGATCCACTCCGCGAAACCTCTTTGTTCTTGGTCTCGGGCAACGCCTTCAGAACAACAAGCACCCGGTAATTGGATATCAGTAAGTCTACCCTCTCCCTTGTGCTATTGTCCACATGCTGATCATTCTCTAGCATCGCGCCTTACTCCTGGATATCGATTAGCCATTACTTCTCTTAATGCAGATTCAACACTTCTCCTCACATCAACATGAAACGCAATTCCAAGTCAAAATCTGTGGCTACGTATACCCAGCGACTCTCTCGTAGCCAGAATAGTACCTGGAAGGAGCCAGCTATTCGCAGCTCCAAGATCATCCAAATTCCGACTCCCCAGCAGAGCTTTGTCGACGACGACGATGATGATGATAATGATGATGATCTTTCCGATGCTACGGGCGAGTATATAATTGTCGCAAGCCATGTGGAGTCTTCGCAGAGCGAGTTCATTGATGATGGGTCTGTTGCTGACCAGATCATTACTGAAGAGGTAGCTGTTGAGGATACTACCCCTCAGGATGGGGCCGACGAACATGCTTATAAGTCAGTTGCCACTAGTTATAGCGGCAAGCTTTTCAAAGACTTTCCAGTTGAGGTATGTTCTCTTTCTCCCAATCGTCCTTTCCAGGTCCCAAATCTTTTTTTCTCTGCGATCGTTCTGTTCCTCACTTTAGATTTCCTGATCTTGATTCGTCTAGCGTGAGGCTTGTGATTGAGATGATCCAACCAAACAGGTTCTACTCCTTTTAGCAAACAAGCTTCTGCTCAAGGACAACCATCCACTTTGTGCCCTCAACCTGCTATCACTCTTCCAGATCCTTCCAAGGCCTCACTGACCTCCATTCTTCCTCCAGATTCACCAGCACATATCTTGCTACCTTCCAACCGCGCGCGACGTTGCAAGGTACTCCGAAATTTGTCGCAGTTCAGCAGCTTCCATCACTGATACTGTCTGGCGTGAACGATTCGAGCAAACCTTTGACAGGATCCCAGGGTCTACTACTCGAGAGGTGGCCAAAAAGTATCGTTTCAGATGCTCCGTCTCCGGGCTGTGGACCTGCTTCGACCTAGGGAGGTACGGAGCTACTATTACCAATGAGATCCGTGGGATCCAACAAAAGAACCAGAATGACTGCCTGGAGATGCTGAGAACCCTGATTATCGGTAGGTTTCCCGTCGCACAGGATTATTTTCAATCCTCCACAAAATATAGAACACTCTAACAAGAAGAACAGAGTCCGATGCCCGAAAGGTCCGTGACAGCAACGGGAATGTGATAGTTGATGGTCTGAACCTACGCTTCATCCGTAGCATGATTACGAATAAGGGCGATGGTAAGTTCGTCGATATTATCGATTCGGTTTTGAATACCGAAGGTGCTCTAAATTGCAAGTCGGGTGCTAGCAAGGTGATCACAGCCAATAAGCCGGGCAGCTTGGTCTATGTTATCCAGTTGGCCCTCACACCGATATCCCTCCACCCGGGCTATTGCAACAATAGGGTTACCCATTTTGATGTCTCACAGATGCACGCATATTCAACCGCAAAGGCGCAACCCATCTTTGTCGGCAAGGTCTTGCAGGATATAAATGTTCGCTGGCTGTTGCACACAATTAATTTCTTCAAATTCCACTTCAAGTCGAGTCGCGGCGAGGGCATCATTGCGAATGATTACGCCTTGTTGGAACCAGATCAGTATGTGCAACCGTGGGTTGGTTTGATTGAGGCTGGTACTCAGCCACTGGGCCGATTTTGGAAGGGTGCTCACAGTAAGTCAAACCTAGCCCCAAGCACTCATGACAACTACTCACCCAACATAAAGCCTTTATGGACAACCGAGATGTGTGGGCTCTGAGGACGGATAAGAATGCGCCCAGCCACATTTACTCCGATTCGGTGGACCCTGGTGAAAACTTTCCGGTATGTATCCTCTTTCTACCCTCGGATCGAGTGCTGACAATATCTCATAGGAGCTTGAGATTCATTTCGACGAGTCCAAATTCCCCTCTAGTTGCTGGCCGGTAATGTGGGAACGTATGCTCCGCAGCAACCCATTTGTCGATACCAATGCTCCGGTCAATCCATCAAGCCGCCGCTCTCCCCGCAAGACTAAATCTGCGAAGCTACCCCCAATTCTCACCTTCTACGGCCAGGTCAGCGGTTCCAAACCCGCGCATTTCTACGGCCGCTTGCACGCTCTCCCTCAACAGCAAGGCCTCCACGGCTTCCAGCGTATGGTCCTCATGAAGTTCTATACCGACTCCAACGGCGATTACAATCCGGAGCAACTCTTCTGCTACGAAGGGTGTGTTCTGCCTGGTGGTAAGATCATTGTCGGCAGATGGTGGGATGCATTTGCTGACCCGAGGGATGACTCCACGGCATCAGGTCCCTTCATTTGGTGGAACATCGAGCGCAACGCTGCTGGTATTACTGCTGACATGGTTGTTGACAGCAATGCAACGGCCCCCGGGGACAACACCATTGCCTTCTTCGACGAAGTCCCAAAATGAGTTGGGAAATTCTTGCCCCCACAACACAAGACCACATGGAAGCTTTCCTTCGGCGTTCGGCTGCTTGGGAAGATACCCTTTATCCCCTTATATCCGTAACATATCAGCATTTCCTTGACTTTGCACTGCATACAGCAACTTAAGAACACCCATCTGCATTCATTGGGCGTTTTTTGCTTTTTATCCGGGCGAATATGTAAAATAGAGAAAGGAAAATTCGGAAAACGAAGGTACTTAGATTTGGTCATTAATGGAGACTTACCTTATTAAGTAGCCACTTGGAGCAAGACTCTATGATCAAATGCCTTGCACAGAATCTTTGGGTAAGGGTTTCTCATTGATTGTGATGGTATAGCTACACGCCATGCTTTTCTCTTATGTTTCCCACAACGCCATAATGAACTCTCCTAGCACCTATTCCTCGATACTCTTAACACATTCCCACTCCCCCTTCAGATTCTCCTTCCATAAACTAACCTTGTTATCGCCCCCACTAACCGCCAACACATTCCCGCTCAAACTCCAACTCACCCTCCACAGCACAACCTCAAAGGACAAAACCTTGCTCTCCCACACGCCCGGCTGACTGGGATCGCTGGTCCAGATGCGCACCGTCTTATCCTGACTCGCAGACGCAATGTAGCTTTTCTGCAGCACGGTAGGCGACCACGCCACATCGCGCACCCAATCCGTATGGCCCGTCAACGGCGCGCCTTCCTGTTTATACGACTGCGACGCTACATCGAATCCCCAAATCTTTACCAGGTTATCACTCCCCCCCGTAACGAACCTCCGCTCCCCACCCTTCCCACTACCGCCGGCGCTCACCAGACTACCTGCCTGCGTGCTCGGCGCCCAGGAGACGCTGTTCACGCCGACGCCGTGCGCGTGGAAGAGCACGTGGTCCATGGAATTGTCTTTGAATTCTAGCACGCTGACGTTGCCGTCGGACGACGCGCACGCGAGCAGACAGCCGGATTCGTGGGGCGCCCAGGAGATTATGTTTACGGATGCGGTGTGCAGTGCGAAGTCGAAGATTCGAGTGAAGCCTGAGGGGGGCGTTTCTCGCCAGATGAAAACGGTGCCGTCGTACGAGGCCGAGGCGAGGATGTTGCCGTATTTGGGGTGTGCCCAGGAGATGGACCATATTGCTCCTTCATGGCTGGGGGTGGGAGTTAGTTGGGGTGTTGATGGGCGGAGGCGGTGAGTGAGGGAGGGGGGAAAGGAGGGAATGTGTATAGGGGGATGGGGAGGGTTGTACCCTTTGAGTGTTTCGGTCAGACGGTGCGAATCGCCTTCTACCTCGAAGATCTTGACGGTTTTGTCGGAGGAGCAGGTTGCGAGGCGTCGGCCGTAGTAATCGAGGACTGCATCGTGCTGGGAGGAGTCCGTTAGTTCACGTTTATGTAGTGTTTGTTGTTTGCGCCGCGACGGTAAGGGAGCAATTGCTTGAAGGAAAGCTTACAATCATGTCATCATGACCCGAATTGTTGATAACTTGTGTCATCTTGACCCGGAGTGAGAGTTGTGGTCAAGATGTGGAGGAGGAAGATGTAGATATCAAGAGTAAAGGACAACTCTTTCTGTTCTTGTGGCCAGGCTGTGCTGTCTCAAGCTCAAGAAGTCGAATGGGTCGGCACGGAAGAACTTTGTTGCGGGGAAGGCTGAAAGTGAGCGAGTGAGTGGAGTGGCTCGTGCTTTGTCAAGTCCACCAACCGCCACCTTTTAGCGGGGAGTCCATCTTTCATCCAAACTACGATACGATACTATACAGTATTGCCAACACTTTCCTTTGCTAACTTGTGTATTGTTCTTTTGTTTTCAATAGCTGCATAAAGACACGAATTAGACAACTCAAGCCGAAGTCCCCCTTTTTGGATATTCCATTCTCTCCAGTCAATCAACGATGCAGTAAAGACTCGGCGTTCAAGAACAACCTCGGCCTACCTGGGTATCTGGACAAAGCACCCACCGTCAACATAAACACCTCACAACGTCCTTGTTTGACTCTGCTTCTCAACTCCTAATACCGCCTCGTTTCTGCCATGGCGGATGATATGTGTGGGCCGTCAAACGCCTTGCAGAGCTTCCAGAAACACAGCACCGTCGATCGGACGTTACAGCAGGACAGACTACTGAGTAGACCATCGCCTTCTCAAGTATACTTCCCTCCCACAATCTATATATTGAATACGGCCAACATGTCTTAGGGGTTTAGATCGAGTCCAGGTCCATCTGCAGCACTCGCAAACCGCGAATTCGATGCTTTTCAAGCCGGGCACTTCTCCCCAGAGCCCCAACCCTTCCATCCAGGAGCATTCTCACATGCTCATCCTCCACCTCAACTACAACAGCCCGGACCTTCAGGATGGGCATCAGACTTTCAACGACTGAACATCTCGCCTCCACCCCAACAATTAAACCAACTGTTTACGCCCCAACAGCAAGATGCAGGAGGGTGGCACCAAGAGTTTGCGCGGCAGAATAATCAAATACCAACACCAACCCATCAGTCATCACCCTTCCAATATTCACCTATGCGGCAAATGGGCATGAACTACAACGCCCAGTCCTTCACACCACAATCCCAAGCCTCAATGTCAATAGAAAAACAACCTGAAGCCTTCGACGACGAAGCATTCGCGCGGGCGTTTGAAGAAGCTGCTAGAAATGAAGGGGTGCTTAGACAAGATCCTGAGATGGTCCAGAATAACACACAGGAGCAGGGACAAGACCAAGAGCAAAGTGCCGACCTAGGCCAAGACATCCTAATCAACGAGTCCGCTACGCGCCTCCTCTCGCGCGACTCCGACGTTCTATCCCAGCAAGCTCCCATCGGTGCAGACCAGATCCACAACCCCTCATCGCCAGAGCGCGAGCCGCGGCAAGAAGACACGGATCCGGACGCTTTGGCACGGACAGCGGGACAACTGCTGAATAGTGTGCAGCATGATAGTAGTGCCAAGTTCCAGAATAGTCAGTTTCTGGAACTGATGCGCGGGCTGAGGGATCGGGAGGTTATGGTTATGGGGGATACGTTTGTGGGGGCGGAAGATGGTGTGTCGGGTGCAGATGCGGAGCGCGGAGTCACTCAGTCTTATCCCTCTCCCCCTGAGGTTTCTGCTTGATTATTGGTGGCGGTGGTGTTGTGGCAGAATATACATATGTATTCTAGTGAATATACATTATTATTACTTCTCCATTTGGATGTTCTTCTATTGATTCTCCTTTGCCGCTGATTGTTTTTTGATATCATATTCCCTCTCCGGTATGATCTTACCCCCAGGTTTCCTTCACACTAACTCTCTCCAATTCCCATCTTCTTGAGTAGAGACTTACCATCTCTACTCTACTCTTTTCTCACTCAGCACCCGTATTGTATCCTCGCCTACCCTAACCTGCAAGTGAAGAGCGGCACGGTATAGTAGTATGCAAGAGAATAGCGCATCGCGAAGACGTCGGATCTGGCGAGGAACTCACAACCTTTAACTCGCACAAGACTTAGTGGAGCAGAGGCCCTGGATCCGGATGCGGAGGTGGGTGTATAGAGATGAAGGAGCTTGGTATTCGTATCCATGGGGAAGAGGGGAGAAATGTACAAGGTCGGACGTGTCACAAAGAAGGCGAGGATGGGGAGAGCGAGGAATCAATCAGTATTGCAAGGTCCGAGACGTGGGGAATTTGCTTGCTTGTTTGCTTGCGTGTTTCTTAAACTTGGAAATAAACGTGGTTGTTACCGGAGGTAGTGAGTAATGGATGGGATGGGATGGGAAATGAGTCATATTTTGATGAGTAGCAGGGGAGTACGGGGTAATAAAACACTGTACTTTTTCTTAAGCCTGAACTGTTTAACTCCTATGTTTCACCCTTGGTACATGTACGCTATCAAACTTAAGTAAATAACTATTCTAAATCAAAGCAAAGTCCTCGTTTTTTGTAAATAAAACATGTTTATATCTCGAAGATACATTTTCTTGCAACATATTAGTGATGCGTCTACATGCGTGATAGAGGGGAAGGTATTAAGTGCAGTAAAGATGTTATCAAGTTCCTTAAAACAGATAGGTACTTCTCCTCTCCGATTCATCGCAGATCCTTCTTCGAATTAAATGCATACTTGATATGTTTTTAGTTGCTTGCTTACTTTTACCAAGATATGTCTGCCCCCTTTCTCTTAGCTCGCTGAATCGATGCCTCGCTTAGCAAGAAAGGGGCTTTCTTTCTTTGCATTTTGGGCTTCTGCTAATGAAGATTATCCTAAACCGCATGTGTACGTACAAGCCGTTACCCAATCATACTATAGGCATTCTTGGGTTACCTTGTACGTTATTGGGCAAGTCACGGGTGTCGAGACGTCGAGCCTTACATCTGCCTGCAACGTCGCATGGCATGGCACCGTACCTGGAACAAGCATCTGCCGATCCATCGGCCTCCCATCTTTCCGATTTTCAAAGTACCCCGCACTGGAACTTTATCGAACGAGATTAATTATTCGAATCACAACAGGCGTTCTCTTGCTTAATGCTACCTGAAAACAGAAGGTATCGAGGAATACCAAGGGATCAAGTCCCGGAGCTAACCACGGGTAAGGAAGGTCGTTAAGCAGGAGTTGTCCGACTCCCGAGCATCCCAAACCTATGCGATGTGGGTGGGGGGCATTTAAATTCCACGATTGGTGGATTTGAGGAGTAATTGATTCCAATCGTGGCTTGCACTTCGTGAGACTCAGAGCCACTTGATCGCATATACGTCGTATTTTCTTTCTGTGGTGGGGATTAAAGATGCTTAAGTTAAGGTAAGTTTTGCCAAGATTTTTACCTTGCATTGGCCTTCTACTTTCGGCCCCCCTTTTCGGCTGGGCGTTTAGCGAAGCGTTAGTCGCGAACTTCAGTGTGACAGCAAAGCTTAGAACTTGCAACTCTCTGATTCTGTTAAAAAAAGGGTTTGATAGAGTAAACCTGCTCGATTTAATATCTCGATCAAGAACCCAAATTTGTATTATATTCCCGCAAAACAATTAGAAAAATCCAAGTCGGAGCATTAAAAATCATTTCTGTAGCAGTTTGTATTCAAACGGCTAGACAGCACTGAAAATGGCGATCACGCGGGAGAATTTCAGGCAGGCAAGCCAAGAGTCTGGGCAACGATCCACACGCCCCCTCGTACTCATATTCAGAAGGCTAATCAGCGTTCCATTGCGACTATTAAAAAGATTAAGCAGCCAAGTGATAGCTATCTGCGAAGTGGCAAGTGCCAACACCCTCAGGAGGCCGGACTACCATTCGAGGACACCGAACTGCTTGGCTTTCTTGAGTCAAGAAAGTAGTCGCTCGTATAGTACAGGCTAAGTAAGTAAGTACCCATTTTGTTTATGTATATATAGATGTATATCTTCAACGAGTTTTCTTCCTCGCTGCTCTCCAGAATCCGATTAGTAGTTCCACTCGTTTCCCCTTACTCTCCAGCTGCCATTCCAATTACCCTCTTCTGTTGCACCAGGACAAGCATCCAAGATGGCACCAGCACTCAAACTCGCACTGGCAATGTTACCCGCCCTCTCTATGGCGGCCCCAGCTCCAGCGCTCTCGGGTCGCGAAGGTGGTGGTGCGGACATTGTGGGAGGAACCTTAGCCACGTCGGGCGAATTTCCCTATATCGTCAGTCTCTCACAAAGCGGCTCGCACTTCTGCGGTGGCGTCTTGGTGAACTCCAAGACGGTCATCACGGCCGGTCATTGCTCAGTGGACACCTCAGCATCAAGTGTCAAAGTGCGCGCTGGAACGCTCGTAAGCTAAATTACCAAGCCTCTTTTCGCAACAACTAGCTAATAATCATCATCGTGTAGACATGGGCTTCTGGCGGTACTCAAGTCAGCGTATCATCTATCATTGTCAACCCAGACTATACAACAAACAGCGACGGAGTACCAGATAACGATGTATCGGTATGGCATCTAAGCACCGCCATTCCGACAAGCAGCACCATCGGCTACGCGACTCTACCCGCTCAAGGTGAAGATCCAGCAACCGGGTCCACGCTGACAGTCGCAGGCTGGTATGTCCCCTTCCCCCTTCCCTTCATGTCAGCAATTCAAAGCTCGCTCTCTCGCTAGCTCGCAAGCATATTTAACTACATACCTATCTAGGTAGCTGATTGACTAACTCGTGATGCTACAATAGGGGAACCACAAGCGAGAGTGCCAGCTCACTCCCAGCAGCGCTACGGAAAGTTGACGTGCCCGTTATCTCCCGCGCCTCTTGCCAGTCCGAATACGGCACTGCGGACGTCACGACCAACATGTTCTGCGCTGGTCTGGCGGCGGGTGGGAAGGATTCGTGCTCGGGGGATTCCGGTGGACCTATTATTGACTCGACGGGTGTTTTGGTGGGGCTTGTGAGTTGGGGCCAGGGGTGTGCGGAGGCGGGATATGCTGGGGTTTATAATAGATTGGGGAACTATGTTGATTTCGTTAACGATAATTTGGCTTAGTGGGTGCTGGGAGGGGTGGAGGTGGGAGAGTGTGTGGTGAGGGGAATTGTGTGGGGGGGCGGGGTTGTTCTCGGTGGCAGGGGTTGATATTCGGAAGTATATGATGATATATTCTGAGGGTATTCAAGAGGACTATTTAACGAGGTAGTAGATATATAAGTAAATGGTATATAAGGTGTAAAAATGAGTTTAAAGTATTACTTAATAGACTTCGTAAGGCGTATACAGAAATACGCTCGTCCTTTATTATCATATGACACTCAAAGATTAATAGCAAAGCTTATGAATTAAGTTAGATGTAAAGATATACAAACAAAAGCGTAAAGACTGATAATGCATACAATAGAACTAGTCAACATTTGAAATAGGTATTAAGTTGGGAGATGGCTACGCAGTTATATAGTTTGGGTGGTCACGTTATATGTCACGCGATATAAGTTGGTACGAAGCGAACCTCTGTATATATCTTCGTCTAGGTGTCCTCTACACTTAGACTCCTAATGCAATCATTTATGATCATAGGATGCATTTCTTGCCTCCGCTTCTGCCGCACGTCTAGCAGCGATCTCCTCGAGGATGCGACACGCCTCACAAGGGTGAGGAAAATGCCTGAAGTGCAATACGTAATGAGGACAATTCGAGGGCCACAAGTTGCCTTCGAATCGTAGTCGGCATTCTATGACGGACTCTGGGTGAAACTCCTGATCCCCACAAGAGAATATATTGCGGTATTCCATACACATGTTGGGTGGTGCTTGATGAAGTATGTTTTGATCGGGATTCGTGTTTTGAGGTGTGCGAGTTGAATATTGTTGTGAGATATTGTTGCTTTGAGATACGAGGTTGATTTGATGATGATGAGGAAAGGAAAGGAAAGGAACGAGCAACTGGTTCGAAGACGTAGATTTTATAGTAAAGTCCAGTTGCTAGACCATTCATAGACTTGTGATGTTCATAGATTCACAATCTAGGATAGCTCAACAATCACCTCGACCAGCGGGCATTCAGCATCATCAAGCGCAGACAATCATACAGAAAAAGCCTCCAATAACCCTTGCCGATGCCAGGTCATGCCCATACACAGTATTCAAGTGAAACTCCTCGCGCATCATTCCAACAATCATAGCCAGTATAAGCATACCATGTACATCCATCCCTCATTCACGTCAACTCCATTATCCAATAACGCCAGCACCCAAACAACTCAACCAGGCCGTTTCATAGTCGGTGGACGGAAAGCTTGCCGATTCTTACTCGACCAGCCATCCATTTTCCTGTTGATTCCGTATGTCTTCTTGGATGTTCCGACCTCGGAAACGGTGGTACTATGAAATGTTGTCGCAGCACGGATGAGGGGTAGCAGTGGAGGATTCGAAGTCAAGCCCGGTGGCTTTTCAGCGACGACATCTTCTTCTAGCAATGGTGGTTTTGGTTTTTGCGGTGGGCTTGAGAGAAAGACGTAATCATTTCGCTTCTGCTGTAGAGGAAGTTTCTGGTATGGCCGGTGACCTGCTGAAGGACCAATGCGGCGATTGGCGAGAGAAGGGTCGATTCCAATTACATCCTGTTGAGCGGGGTTTGGACGAGGTCGACTGAAACTGCTGGGCATAACTTGGGCATAAGGATTGGTCTTTATCTCATTTGAGAGCGTCACCCGTAAACTTGGAAGAGGGGGTTCTTCCGCGGGTTCCGGCTTTCCTAGAAACCCAAATAAAGTGCCTTGCCCTACAAGAGCCTTTGCCTTCTTCTTCACAGCCGGATTTTGTGGAGGTTGTCTCCTCGAGACAGTCTCCTTCTCTATTGTTGCAGCAGCAGTTTTGACAGACTGCTCTTGCAGGACTTGGAGATTTGCCCTGACATTAACAAATTCAGTCTTCCCTGGAATGGTAGTGCTTGTAAAGCTTGACGCTCGATCCATTGTGGTTATATAGGACGGTTTCCAACTGCATTCATATCTTTCCTCAGGATTACTAACCGAGCGGTCAAGCTCTATCTTTCGACGCTTGGGAGGCTGCTGCCCTATCATATGTGTTCGATTTCCTGTCGTATGCTCATTTCTCCACCTTGACTCTACATTGTCGCTATCCTCCTCGCCATCTACCGGGAAGAGATCGTCTTCTGAACTTCGAAGAAAGGATCTCGATTCTGAAATGGATGCAGGGGATGGACACGATCGTCTGAGTATCTGCGAAACGGATTGAACCGTCGATGAACCTAGAGCAGGGCCTCTCATATCGATAAGCGGAGCTATTCCAGGCGGAGCCAGAAAAGGTGACAATATTGTTTGCTCTCCTTGCGAATTTTTGAGTGGATAACTCATATATAGCAATGCCTTGGCCCTGGTCATAGCAACGTATAATAGTCGTCGCTCCTCATTTGTATCTTCTGCTCGAGAATGAGGTATGGAGCCTTGGTAGGTAGCTGGGATAAACACCACTGGCCACTCGAGTCCTTTCGCCGCATGGATAGTTGATATTGTGACTTGAGCAGTTGGCACGCCTTCATCATCTTCCGCCCTAGCTTCTGATGATGCAAGTGCCACGTTGGCAAGGAACCTGGACAGATGATCCTCATCTTCCTCTTGCATCAATCCATCAATCTCGGGTAGGGTCTCGTCTTCATAGCCACACGAGAGGAGATCCTGAAAATCATTTGCTTGTGTTATGAGTTCTTGCACGTTGTCCCAACGGGCTTTATGGGCATCCCCTTGGCGCTCTTCTAACCACTGTTCATAGTTCGTCTTCTCCAGTACGAAGTTGATAAGCTTGACCGTGGAGATTCGTTCCTCGGCAGGAGCCGATAGTTTCTTCCTCGCAGTGAGAACCATATCGACCAATTTTGTAAGCCCGTGCTCCGTCACTTTCTGGATTTTCGTAGTTGGCTTTCGTGTGTCCTTTACTATTCCCAGAATCAAGGCCCAAAGTGTGATTTTGGCCTGGTCCGCTTCCTCCAGCAATGATTTGATCGTAGCATCGCCAATTCTTCTTGAAGGGGTATTAATAATTCGAGCTAGTGCATCATTGCTATCTGGCTGGTTGATAACCCTTAAATAGTCCAGAATTGTCTTGATCTCAAGTCTGTCATAAAATCGAAGTCCACCAACCATTCGATACGCTATACCTGCTCTTCCCAAGGCGGTCTCAATGAGACGGGAGAGAGAGGCCGACCGCAAAAGAATGGCAATGTCGTTCGAATCCATTAGACCACCAGTCATTCCCATGCACCTCTGAATCTCCGTTACAATCCATTCGGCCTCTTTATAAGCTCCCGCAAGCCGTCTTAGTACGGGTCTAGTTCCAACCATATGCGTTGCTGTAAGTGATTTAGCCACCCGGGAATCGTCCTGCTGAATGATGCTCAACGCCATATGCAAGATAGCGCCTGACGACCGATAATTCTCCTCTAGAGCAATCGTAACTGTATCCGGATATTGACGCAGCATCCGCCTGTAGTTCTTGATCTCGGCAGCTCGAAACCCATATATACTCTGATCCGGATCTCCCACGATGGTGATTCGTTTCCTCTCTGCAGCAAATAACCGCATGAGATCAAATTGAACAATATTCGTATCTTGGAACTCGTCAATCAGCACTGCCTCCACATTTGACACGCAAGACGGGTGGTTTCGAAGCAGATCCACACATCGGAGAAGCAGGTCGTCGTAATCCAAGAGGTTCGATCTCTGCAACGCAGCCTCATACTCCGCACAACAAAGCTCAAACTCCTGCGCATCCACAGTCTTCGCGCCAGACTTGTTCTCCTCGTGCTCCTTCTCAGCCCTCGCTTTCGTCCCACTAATCCGAGACCTCGCAACCTTGGGATCGATGTTGAGATGATGCCTCTTGCAAATCCTCTTTATAATCGCCAATGAATCCGCCGTATCCGCAATGCCAAAGTCCTTTTTAATCCCAATCAGATGTCCGTATCGCGCCAAGTAGCGCCGCGCAATGCTATGGAACGTGCCCAGTATAAGTTTCGACTCTAATCCGTTCCCAAGTAGCTTGCCAATCCGTTCCTTCATCTCACGCGCTGCCTTGACCGTAAAGGTCGCGACGATTATGTTCCATGGCTGCAGACCTTGAGCTAGGAGCCAGGCTGTGCGAGAGGTGAGGGTATGTGTTTTTCCGCTTCCTGGACCAGCTAGGATAGCGAGGGTGTCAGCGAAGGAGGATACGGCGGCTTGTTGGGAGGGGTTGAGGTTAGAGAGGAGGCCATCGGGGTTCATTGTTTTGGAACGCGTCTAGAGGCGATTTTGCGGGGTTTAAGCGCGTCAAAAGTGCCTTTACCTAGGTAGATTGATTAGAGAGGGAATTGAGGCCATTCAGAAGACATTGAGACCCATGGCAGGTTGCAGGCTTTATTTGGGCGATGATATGCCTTGATCTCGCGACGCGTTTGGATCGCCAAGGAGACGCGCGTGTCACGTGTTAGACTCTCGCTTTTCCCTTCGCTTTGATTTTTCCCTTATTATCTCTCTTGCTTAGGTTTCATGTTCGCTTTTTTACACTTTGACTGCATTTCTAGTGTCTCACGGATCACAAGTTTGCTATATAGCCATGAATTCCATAAGTATTTTTCTTTAAAAGCAGAATCCCAAGTCAGTCTCTTAATACAACTTGCAGCCCGCTGCTTCCATCGATTCGTGTCGCATGTAACCATCCTTTTCAATCATAAGCGCCAAATAAGCGTCCTCCATAACATAGCATAGTAAGTTGTACGCGCAAACTCCATGGCCCTTGAAGCAAAAAGGAAACAAGGAAAACATCTTTAAAACCCCTCTCCTACCAACTCAAACTGGTCTTTCTCCTTTTGGTTTGGACGTGACCGGTCAATTGGAGGCTGACCCTCCCGTCTCCTGAGGGTAAATAGAATATATGCACCACCACTACTCTTCGTCTTCTCCGTGGAGTCTTCCGCGGTATACAAGCCATCGTAGCGGATGCCCGCACTCGGTGTGCCTTCCCAGTGGCCTCCTGCCGTTCGTAAAACCCGAATTGGTAGCTCAGTTACAATTGAACGTAACAATGCCCTTGTGTTGGCGTTTTTGATATCTGCCTTGCTGTTGGCTTCGAAGGATCCGGGACTAGAGTATTTGATAACATATCCGTGGTCCTTATCGATTTCCGAATACATACCGGAAACCACGACGGAATAACATCCGTCATCAATGGTACCTGAGATGCCAGCGAGCGGAGCCCCTGATACTGTCATTAGTAACGTGTAATTGCAAGTCATATCGATCAGATAAAGCTTACCGTGAGCACCATCCCTACAAGCTGCTACCTGCCGGGGCCAAACACTGCCAATTTCTAATTGGTTATGTCCAAAAACTCGGAAGTCTTTCTTGAACTCCGGGTCAATCAAGTAGGTCTTCTTCTGCTTTATTCGGACCCATATCCCACGCATGATTCCAGTGTCACCAAATATCGGATGATTCGGGTCGGCCTTTCGAGTAGGAGCAAGCGTAACTTCGCCTGGCATTCTGCTAGTACCAGCTTTCTTCTGGCGTTTCTTAGGTGGGCCTGATGCTGCTGGCTCGGGATCGATTGTCACGGGCTCGGCAACGAAGTTGGCCATCAACGCTGCGGCGATCAGTTGGTACTCAGCCGGAAGCTGGATCGTTGGGCTCTGCATTGTTTCCAAGGCGCTCTTAACGTCGTGAAAGAACCTTGAGCTAAAATCTGTTAGTTTCTGCGGAACTCCTTTAAAAGATCATAGCCTACTTGGTTCTGGAATTGATGTTTTGATAAACACCATACAACCACAGGTTGAAGTCATCCATCTTTGCTTCTGTTATTGCGTCCAGAGCGTTCGGAACTCCTTTCGAATATCGCTTGTATCTAATCATTACCAATTTGATCGATTTGTAAAGTTCAACCGATAGTTTTTCGTCGAAGACTGGCTCGCCGTTTCGTTCAATGGTTGGACCAACAAGCTGCATGATCGCCTCATCAAGGTCAAAATCTTGCGCTGGACTTGCAGGGTCTGATATGGTCATCTCCATTCCATCTCCAACGGGAATAGGATCCTGTGCAATAGCACCAGAGCTAGACATTGTGACAACAGTCATGGTATACGACTCCGCAATTGAATCTACAGAACAATGTAAGTCATAGAATGCGAATCAGGCGAGAAGATCAAAATGAAGCACCAGGAGGGGAAAGTAAAGAACCAGAAGAGACATGCAAGTGCCTCACCTTATCCCAGAAACCCACCCAACTCGAATCTCTCCTCGCGTAGTGAGTTCCACCCGCAAGATTCAGAGAAACGCAAAAAATCCCAGAAAGCTGTAGCGAATAGAAATCTCTTTCGCAAAGTGAATTGCCACTTCGCTCTGTTGCCTAGAAATGCGGCCTCTTATATAAAAGTGGTCGTAAAAGCGAAAAGATTTCCAAAAGCAGATAAAGTAATTTGCAGCTGAAAAAGCAAGGAGTTATTCTTTGCGTTAAGCGGATATGCTTATATTATACGAATCTCGTGAGAGGGCAGGGAGGGCAGGTTGAAATAGAGAAAGAAAGAAAGAAAGAAAGAAAGAAAGGTGGAACTTACCTTACGTGTTTTGCTTGCGCTTTGAGTTAGAGTGAGAAGAGAATTTTCCTGGATGCGAGATGGATGGAGCGGTGTTGGACTTTGGATTTGCAATTGAGATAGATGACTTGGTGTGCACGCATGCATCGACGCGTGAATTTAAATTGAAGAGGTGTAAATAAATGCAAGCAAGTGTCGTGACAAGGAGATCGCTATCGCTATCTTGAGTGGTTGGAAAAGAAAGCAAGTTATCGCTTATTACTCTAGTACCGTGGCGTACAGGAGGCGTGGTTAGAAGGAGCGACGCGACCAGGGTCCCCTACGAGCCAATGGCGATTTGGATGCGATGATAGATTGAATTGATGGTATTTATTAGTAAGGTGAAGTGAAGTGAAGTGGAGCGGAAAAGGGTGATGTTTCAAGTAGGTTGGAGGAAACGTAGAAGCGAATAGAAACACTTAGTCCGGTCCTCTGAATCTTCAATCTTTATGTAGATAGATGAAGCTTCACAAGCTGTTAACTTGGCAAGACGGAGTTCGAGATGTACATGGTGACGTGGACTTGCAAATAGTCAAGTCGAGGTGTGGCTAAAGGAGGAAGTAAAGCAAGCGCAATTACTTGGAAGTCTTGCAAGTAGCTACGCTCTTAAAACAGCCCACAAACTCAACTAGAATTCCTCAAGCTTTACAAGTTTAGGAACACGCATATAGCAGCCGTAAACTGCGAATCACAGATAGATAGATGAAAGATCCCCTCACGCAATAAAGCACGGGAAAGGTGCTTGTATGATGCTGTACGTAGACAGATAGATAGATTGCTGTTTGTTATATAGAGAGAGAGTAGCAGATACTTTTCTAACTCTGATAGATTATCCGAGTTCAGTGGTTCCTAGTAACCAAGATGTGACGAAAACTAGAAAAGTGAGATCCGAGGGTAATACTTATCAGACGAAGAGATAAAACAGTATACTCTTTTATAGCTTAAAGAGATTAGCTTTGATTCAAGCCTTAGTAGGCCCTCTAGATCGTTATAACAGCAGGTAATATGGAGCAAAAAGTGACCCAGTTTCAGACATTTGCAAAAGGCGAATACGAGTACGAGTACAGCAGCCATCGCAACCATAACCCACTCCGAAGATTCCGGTTGAAAGGAAATTGCCCGGGCCATGCGATCATAATGCTGCACCAAAAATAAAGAGCAAAAAACTATAAACTATAAACTAAACATCCTTTCAATCAACGCCACGCAACGATTATGAAGATTCCACGTGTCGTGTTATATCTATCTGAAGGTATTCTAGATATACAAATCAATCCCTCCCACGCACGCTATGAAATGTCAAGTAATCGCAATCGCAAGTAAACTGCATTTTCCCCCTCGACTCTATTACACTCCATTCGATTCTATACTTTTCACAATGCCATCCGTCGCAATGCTATTTATGCATCCATCCATCAGACGACGATATCTATAGATATTAAGAAAACTTTCGCACCATCTATCTGCGGTTAAAGTTCAGGTATCTCGACTACAATGTTCAATTAGCCTTGGTTGGAGAATAAAGGGCGAGGAAGGACTTACACCCAAAAACAACAAGATCAAATTACTCCCGACAAACGCCAAGAAAATCCCCAGATCTCTCCAGCGGTTATCAAAGTTCAAGTCCAGGCCCGTATAAAACTGGTCGCCAATCTTATACGCGCAATACTCACATGCCTGTGTCGCATTATCGATGATATACCCGGCCCCACCATCTCTAAAGAAGGGCTTCATGTAATCGCCGCAGTTTTGATCGGATGGCGAAGAGAAGTGGTTGCGCTCGCCGGATGTGCAAATGACGGGACGGTCGTGGAGTTCCGTGACGACCATACCGCCAATGAGGCGCGTGAAGGGATCGAGTTCGTATAGCCATGCGCGCCAGAATTTGGGGATTTGCGCTTTCGGGATCGTGACGCCGCAGAAGAGTGCGAATGTGATGATTATGAAGGGGTTCAGGAGGGCCGAGATGAAGGGCGAGGGAGTAATAGCAGCGACCATTTGGCCGAGGGTGACGGAAAAGAGCTCGGTGATGAGGATCATGAGAAATTGGTAGCCCGCGCGAGAGGAGGCGTGCTGGAAGCCAGGCATGTAGTAGAGCGGCAGGAAAAATCCGACGGCGCAGAGGATTGAATAAGGCATTTCGGCTACGACGAGGGAAGAGGCGAATGCGAATTGGCCGTACATTTTGGAGGAAGCTTCGCGGTAGAAGATCATGCGAGAGATGGCGTATTTGGGCTCGACCTGGGCAAGGATTAGGGCCGGGAGGACGGTGACTTGGAAGATGACGAAGACTCTGAATTGCAGGGAGGATCGAGAGTCATCTAGGTGGAGGTAGGCAAGGCCAGTGATGATGGAAATGATAACGTGGTTGAAGAGTCGTGTGAAACCGTAGTTGGGAGATCTCCAGAATGACAAGTTGGTACGCTTCTGGACAGTCTTTAATTGGTGCAGAAGCGGTGTGGCGAATTCTTTTTCGTCAACTTTCGCATGGCTGCCCACTTCCTCGAGTCTTTTGGCCTTCATCTGCGAAATACGATCCTTGATGTTCGCCAATTCCGGTGACTCGGCGAATATCTCACCCCAGTCTCGATCACCAACTCTGGCAGCCTGTCCTGCTCCTATTGCGTCAAGCATGTACTCGGCTGGGTTGGCATCGTGCGGGCAGTGGGCTCCATGTCTGCTAAGATAGTCCAATAAGACAACAGCATCTTTTCCGATATCGCCAAAGTAAACAGTTTGCCCACCCTTCTGGAGCAAGAGCAGTCGGTCGAAGTTCTCGAACAAGGCAGCGTTGGGTTGATGGATGGTACAAAGGATAGCTTGTCCGGCATTTGCGAGCTTCTTCAGGAATCGTACGATGTTGAAAGCTGATTGGGAATCAAGACCAGACGTAGGCTCATCCAAGAAAAGCAGAAGCTCAGGCTTGGCCGCAAGTTCAACACCGATAGTGACACGCTTCCGTTGCTCGACAGCCAGTCCCGATTCCGGATCTCCGATAATAGCATCAGCCATATCTTCCATCTCCAGCAGACTAAGAACCTCTTCGACATAGGCGTATTTTTCAGCTTGAGGAACCTCAATAGGTTGACGGAGATCGGCTGAGAATCGAAGTGCTTCACGGACGGTCTGGGTGGGCTCGTGGACGTCGAGTTGCTCGGCATAGGATGTTCCACGCTGGAAGGAGGTTCCTGGCTTGATACCATCAACTAGAACGTCACCGGAAATGACTCCAATATTCTTCCTGGAGGCCAACACATCTAGCAATGTGGTCTTTCCTGCACCACTCGCTCCCATAAGTGCGGTAAGCTCGCCTGGCTGAACGTATCCGTAAATGTTATTAAGCAAGCGCAGTTGTCCAGCTGGAGTGGGGACATCGTAGTTCAAACCTTCCCAAGTAAGGATAGCCTTCGAGTTAATATTAAGCTCAGAACCCTCCGCCTCGTTCTTGGAAGACCTGCGAGCATCCCGCCTAGCAACAAGAGCAGCGTTGAGCTCTTCGCGCTCTTTATTTGGTTTTTGGAAAACCTTGGCTGTATTTCCACCGGCACCGAAAGTTATCCATTCTCCCAACATGGCATTGGAAAAGAGGAAGCCCACAATTAGAACCAAGATGATTCCCCAGTTTCGCCACAACTCACTTGGGGGATAAGCGAATCCTTGTGTAATGTATGCGGATCCGGAGACTGTGTTTGTTCCAGATACACTGCCAGGTAGAGTACATACCTGGTGGGAGATGTTGTTGTATCCAGGTCCTGAAGGAACTAATGATTCGCTGGTGCACGTCAAGTCAATTCGACTGAATTCGTTCTCCATGAGTGCCGCGAAGCCCAATCCTAAAGCGTTGATCCAGTAGATCCACCTCAACCAGACCTTCTCTGACTGGTACTGAATCAGATATCCAGACGTGATAACGAAGAAGGTAATGATTGTAGCGGCGAATTTAATGGCGTAGTCGAAATCCGGGCACACGCAACCGACCGTTCTGAAGAAGAGCGTCATGGCCAAATAGCCGCTGACAATCACGAGGTAGAAGGTAAAAAATGCCCCAGCATCACGGACCAAACCGCACATAAAGTAGACGATAACCGAGAAGACGAAGATCTGAATAGCGGAGAAGGCCACGTCGACCAATATCTGTGCTATCCAGAGAGCTGAGGGCCGATGGAAAGTGTAGGCTTTGTGTTTATTGACAATGGGACGGCCAATCATAGTACTTGCGAGTTCCGAGAAAGCTTGGAAGGCGTTGAACAACAGACTGATGAACAAAAGGCCGCCACGGGTAAAGGCTCCCGCTGATGTTTTCGGAAGATTCAACCAGACAGTACCAAGTACTATGGCAACGACAATGCTCGTAATCCAGCTAACAACCAACGAGAACTTGTCCTGCCACTTGATCAAATACTGTCTCTGCATAAGAGTCCAGACCTGAAGGAAGAAAGGAATACTGTAAACAGATTTCTTCGAGGCACCTCTACGCTTACTATCATGAACAGCAACCTGGAAATCTTCCTGCCTCTGCTTGTCCTCAGCAAGGGTTTTTCGGTACTGAACCATCTCGTCGTCAAGCAGCTTGGCGTATTTCGAGTCGTTGAACGCCTTGGCAAGAGTTTCAGGACTGTGAGGAGCGTTCTCCGATGTTCGACCATCGGCATACTCGCGCTCGAACTCGTCGGTGCAACCGGTGAGGAAATCAGGGGACGTTTGACGCGGTTTCTCTTTGAATCCGAGACCTTCGAAGTAGCTTCTTGCTTCCTTGGCCGGGCCAAAGTAAACTTCTCGTCCATCATCGATGACCAAGACTTTGTCGAATTGCTTGTAGATGTTCTCACTGGCTTGGTACAATGAAACGAAAGTGGTTGTCTTGTAGATGTTGGTCATGACACGGAGAGACTTGGCGTAATCTAGTGCGGTTGAGGCATCCAAACCACGAGTTGAGTTATCCCAAGCACAAACTGTTGCAGATGTAACCATCATCTCTGCGATGGAGACACGCTTTCGCTCTCCTCCACTAACACCTCGGACGAATTGGTTACCTACGATTGTGTTCCTCGTATGCTCAATATTGAACATTCGAAGAAAAGTAGTAATGACCTTGTCTTTGAAGGCTGCCTTGGAGAGGCCGTCTGGTCGTTTTCCTGGGGTCTTGGTATCCAGTGCAAAGCCCAGAGTCTGCCCAACAGTAAGAGTAGGGTGATGAACGTCATCTTCTTGGTTATAAACAGCTTCACCACGGTACTGCTTCGCAAAAGTCTTTGCATCGAAAGGACCGTATAAAACCTCGCCGTCCACGCCGGTGTATCCAAAACGCTGGTTCGCGATCACCTTGAGGAAGGTTGTGCAGCCAGATCCAGGCCGTCCAAGTACCAACACCATTTCTCCCGGCGTTACAACACCTCGGAAATCATCCAAGATCTTGACATCCCGCCCCTTCTTCCCAATACCAAATATATTCATGCCGGTCTCAATAACGTTGAAGAAGCTGACAAAAGCATCGGGAAATGTCTTTACAAAGTTCGTAACCCCTCCAGCTCCAGTCACGGTGAGGCCATCCCAGATGACACCAATATGCTTGGACCGAATTCCAGCATCCCTCTCGGCATTCTGATTGCCTCGAAGGGTGCCCTCGAGATCGAATTGCTCTCCTTCGGAGTTGGACTCTGAAGTAGCTACCTTCTCCACATCGCCACTGCCCTTTGTCTTGGAAGCTTGCGATTGTCTCGAATGGGTTCTCGAAAGGTGTCGACTTGTCTGACTTATGCCTGTCAGCTCCCTCTGCAGGGTTGCGAATTCGGCCTCGGCGCTCTTGACATCGACACCGCTTTCTGTACGCGTGAAGCCATTGGGATTGTTGTGTCGCGCATTTTCTCTCTGTACTTCTGGGTCTGCGACTGTGTCTGCCGATGTTCGAGCGGTTGTGTAGGCTGATGCAGGCGCATTGGGAGACTCCACAAGTGCTCTGGGAGCTTCCCCGTGGTAGGTTTCCTTCTCGGACATTGTTCAGGTTGGTGACGTCGCAGATATGTCGGTAGCGATGCGGTCCTGGCTCAAGAGCCTCTGGAGAAGTGTGTGCTTGCTTGTCTTTGAAGAGGCGGACAAAAGAAAGAAAGAAGAAGTTTATTACAATGAACAATGAGAGAAAGTGAATCTTCGCAACGAGAAGGGAAAAGAACCTAGGTATATCTACTGTGAATGCACTAGAAGGTTTGTCAACAACTTTCTCTAGCGCACGGACACACCCATGCTGCTTATTAGATGGTTTTGGGCTCCGTAGCTGGGGGACGACCTCCTGCCTCCTTCCGGATTTAACACTTTACCGTATTGTGCCTAGAGGACTATGAGATTCCAGATTACAAGATTGTAGATCCTGTGCGATCCCGTACATCCTAGTCACTTTCTGGCCCTTTCACTGGTCCGCAAGACGGGTAGTGGGGTAGGTGGACCCGTTTTCACCTTGGAATGGCCAGCCCAGCTTTCTTCCTTTAATCACCATTTGTCCTGTAAATGGCCCGAATCGGAATAGTAGACTTGCTTACTTGTCATGCAAATCTTACATTTTCTTTCTCTTCAGTCATGCCGGAGTACTCTACTCAAACCTCGAGAGCTGATTGGCTTTTCTATACCAGGAGCGGGGTGGAGTAAGCCCGATACTCTGTATCCCCTGTATGTCCGTGCGTGGAATCCCGAGTTCTTGGACTTTCTTATGTAGTATTCCACCGTTAACTCCGTCCTCCGTTGCCTAGGTACCGTAGGAACGATGAGCCATAATGTATCACTAAGAGTTACAGTACGTCTTACTTTCGTATCAATTCAATGCTGAAATGGTAATACCTGTCCGATGTAGTAGGTCTTGGCGGGCGCGGATCGATTGATCCGTACTAGGTTGCGGCTTAGAAATCCACAAAATCCTCCCCGCTCACGGCGGTGGAACTGGAACAGACAAAGTAGTCCCTATCAGCCTCTCCGGGAAAAGTACACGTTTGATACCGGAAATAAGGTAAATACAATCCTCAAAATACCTACCGAGTGAGACTGCCCAGCTGAAGGCCATGATAAGATGCTTATAATAAAATTACCAAGTAATCCTAATCTTCTCCTCCTTCAGAGAAGAGAGCTGAAGTATATTTAAAGCTGAGCCCCGGTAAAACGGCCCCTCTTTTACTCCGCATGCCAGGATGGCTTGAGCCCAAGTGTATATCTGCACGTGAAACCTGCCTGTCATCAAAATTTCAAAACTCAAATACAGAGTGTATTTTGCTTGGGTAGAACTGCCGTCATCCGTACTGGTCGAATAGCTATTCAATAATATATATATACTTGGAACCTGGTCTGGCAAGACTACTACTATCAACTTATCCTTATTACTTCTATCTGAGGTTTCGTCTAGATAGAACAGTACAGCCGTGTTGTGCCTCTCAAACGTACCTAGGTAGCACTCTCACTACAAATCCACAGAGGAAGAAGTCTGATTCTTCTGAGAAAGCAGCAACGTACGTTGGATCCTGGTATTGTCTGCAACGCGGTGCAAATTCCCCAAGATTCTACACATCACTCTGCAGCCTACGATGACAAGTTGTAATTCGTTCGAAGCGCGATTGTGGCAATAGTATCAGAGTCTACGTCGCTCCGGGTGTCAATGCAGAGGAAGTGTATAGAGAAAATGGAATACCGATACTATAGGTACCTTAGGTAGTGCTCTTTCTGCATGGCTGCGTTCCGACTACCGTAGAAAGCAAGCCGGCCAAAGCGGTCACCGTAATGTTATTCGCTCTCGCTCTGCTCTCTTCTTTCAAGCAAATTGTTCGAAATAACCTCACCATTTTCCTCGTTACTGCCTTAACTCAGACTCAAGACAAGGGCAATATCTGCTCCTGACTATTTTGCTTCTTTGTACAGCTAGAGCGTCTTATGCGTATTCTGGGCACCGCATCCAGCGATGATGACCGCGGCGCTCTTCCTTTGCTTCTGCAAGATCGTAGAAGCAGCCGCAATCAACTCTTATCATCGCTCCATGTGAAGCAAATAAGGTGCTCGTCACTGGATCCTTAAATTACGCGACCAGCGACCAGCAACCTCAAGTTTGAAAGTCTGTTTAAAGCGGACTTCAATGGCGGAGAGATCGGATGATTCGTCTTCATACCATAGGATCCTACAACTGGTAAACACCTCGAGTAGGGGTATCAAAGATGTCAGTTTTAGGTGAGAAACATACCTAGGTAGGCATGTAACCATTCTACAGGCAGATTACCAGTCTCCAAAGACGCTAAAGCTAGGAGCCGAGGGACGGCCATTCTATTGCAAATCTGCAATTGCTGCAATTGTTACTACGCCGTACAGATGCCCGGCTTTCTTTCTAGCAAGCCGAGGAACCTTCCATGGGTGGGTGGTGCATGTAACTACTCACCCCTAGACTTTTCAATGTTTAAATAGAAATTATGCTCCACGGCGGGGCGGCCTCCCACCTTTGTGACTCTAGGCTCTGCTCAGCTTTATTATTTTCTTTTCTGTTTTGCCTCAAAGTCAATCGCTCTACAGTTGGCTTTACTTCCATATCTATCAGCCAAGATGGTTTCTATTCAGGATTCAAGTCCGTCCTTCTTCGAAAATGCGCAAAACATACCCGTGGACGCAATCTTCCAAGTCCAGAAAGATTTCCTCGCGGATTCCGATCCCAAGAAAGTCAACCTTGGCCCAGGCGCCTATCGGGATGAAAATGGAAAGCCATGGATTCTCCCCTCTGTCCAAATGGCGACGACCCTTGTGGCAAATTGTGGACATGAGTATCTTCCGATTGCCGGATCGCAAGTCTTGCGTGAAGAGGCCGTGAAATTGGTGTTCAATGGAACGAAACTATATAGTGAGGGCAGGGTGAGATTTGTCCGTCCCGAGCTCAGTCATATACTAATATGAGATCAGATTGCATCATGCCAGGCACTTTCTGGAACCGGCGCGCTATACTTGGCAGGAAGTGTATTGAGAAAAGTCGATCCAACTCCAAAGGCTGTCTATATCACGAATCCTACCTGGTCAAATCACGACCTGCTCTTCAGTTCCCTGGGCTTTGATGTCAAATACTTGCCATATTATAAGGATAAAACCTTTGATTTTGAGGGCTATATGAGCGGACTAGTAACAGCACCTGCGGGTTCTATCATCATACTCCATTCTTGCGCTCACAACCCCACGGGATGTGATCCTTCCAAAGATGAATGGAAAAAGATTGCGTCGGTAATCCAGGAGCGACATTTGTTCCCAATTTTCGATTCAGCCTATCTAGGTTTCAATTCAGGTTCAGTCAATGAGGATGCCTGGGCAATCAAGTATTTTGTTGATGAGCTGGGACTAGAGGCTTCAATATGTCTTTCATTTGCCAAAAGCATGGGACTCTACGGTATGCTATCACTCCTCCCGACTAATGTGATGGAGCTGTGATTATTGATACCAGTCCAGGAGAACGAACCGGTCTAGTAACATTTGTAACCAAATCCCCCTCCCAGGTCCAGACAATGAACTCAATCCTCGAAAATGGTCAACGAGCCACCGTCTCGACCCCTCCAAGATATGGAGCTGAAATCGCCGCAGCCGTACTAAGCACGCCTGAGATCTTAGAACAATGGGGCAAAGACCTTATCACAATGTCCTCTCGCATCAGATCTATGCGAGAAAAGCTTTACGAAGAGTTGGTGCGTCTAGAGACACCAGGGGATTGGTCACATATTATCAAACAAACTGGCATGTTTGGCTTCACGGGCATCAGTCCTGCTCAGATCAACCACCTCCGAGGTACGATATCCTTGTCGCTCTTTCTGTCCAATTAATTAACAGTTGTTCTTTAGCCAAACATCACATTTACATGGCCGATACCTCCAGAATTTCCATTGCGGGTTTGAACGACAGCAACTTTGAGTACGTTGCCGCCGCTATCAACGACGCTGCCAGGAATATTTATTAGATAATAATTTAATTGTTCATTTCCTCAAGAGCCTCATTCTCACATCGTATATGGTGTTACATATTCCAATCATTAGCTCCGGCCAGGCGTTGCCGCCTCGGTGGAGCTCCACACAGACCGGGCAAATTCCACTTTTCAGCCGCCAAGGATGTTTGCGCCCACCTCCCACTTTCACTGAGCACCATCTCGAGTAACGCAATCGAGCTCCACCTCCACACCCGGACCTGAGCCACCGATTATATGTCGGCCACGAAGGTGGTTTGCCGTAGCCCCTCCACTACTTCCTCAGAACGATTGGTTTCCTAGCTCAAATGATATTGTGTATAGCCGGCATCTTCTTTACCTGCCGTCTTAAAAGTTGTTGACCCCGCGGTTGTGAAGCAGTTTGATGAACTCGTTGGATTTGTTAATACTTACAACTCTGTCAGATCTTTTATCTTTGCCTATCCTATACATCGAACATCATGGGCTCAATTAGCAACCCCACGGCGGGGATTAGAATTTCAATTGATCGAGGAGGAACTTTCACAGATGTATGTATATACCGAACAAATTTAGAACCAATGCTGACTTTCATGAAGTGTGTAGCATCTGTGCCGGGGCAAGATGATATTCTAATAAAGCTACTATCGGTTGACCCGAACAACTATCCAGATGCACCGGTCGAAGCGATCAGAAGAGTTCTGGAAAAGGCGACGGGAAAGTCATATCCTAAAGGGCAGAAAATATCACTGAGAGGAGTTGGTATGTTCAACCTCCGGTGATTCGATATACTCTAACACATCTGTAGAATCAATCAAGATGGGTACAACAGTTGCTACGAATGCTCTTCTGGAAAGGAAAGGAGAGCCAACCGTTTTGGCCGTGACAAAGGGTTTAAAGGTACTTTACAAAATTATTCTGAAAGGGAACACACTTGAGGCTGATTTGGGAATAGGATTTACTGCATATTGGTAACCAGTCAAGACCAAAACTTTTTGATATGGCCATCAATAAACCGGATGTGCTTTATTCCAAGGTTATTGAGGTTTCTGAGCGTGTCACGCTGGAAGCTTGGACCGAGAGCAAAGTTCCAGAAGCTATAGACCTATCTCAAGATACCCAATTGGTGAAAGGAATCACAGGAGAGGTAGTCAGGGTACTGGAACCCTTAGGTAGCTCCAACCAGCCTTCCATACTCAGCAGGAACTGATGCGAACAGATATCAATGCCACAAGACAGTCGTTACAAGAAGCCTACGACGAAGGATTCCGCTCCATCGCCGTATGCTTGATGCACAGTTACACCTACCGAGACCACGAATTAGCAATTGGCAAGCTCGCAGAACAAATAGGCTTCACGCACGTCTCCCTCAGCGCCGAACTTGCACCCGTCATCAAAATTGTACCCCGCGGCCACTCCTCCACAGCAGACGCCTACCTAACCCCCGAAATTCAACGCTACATTGCCGGTTTCGAATCCGGCTTCGAAGACCTACGTGCAAGTGGCTGCCGCTGTGAATTCATGCAAAGCGATGGCGGGCTTGTCGAGTTCACGTCTCTCTCTGGGCTGAGAGCTATCCTTTCCGGCCCAGCAGGCGGCGTTGTGGGATATGCGCGTACATCTTCAGATCCTATTGCTAATACGCCTGTTATTGGTTTCGATATGGGCGGTACTAGCACGGACGTGTCGCGTTTTGCTGGAGAGTTGGAACAGATCTTTGATAGTACGACAGCTGGTGTTACGATTCAGAGTCCGCAGTTGGATATCAATACTGTTGCTGCGGGTGGAGGGAGTATTTTGAAATGGCAGAGTGGGATGTTCAAAGTTGGCCCGGAGAGTGCGAGTGCGCATCCTGGACCGGCTTGTTATCGAAAGGGGGGACCTCTGACGGTTACGGATGCGAATCTGGTACTGGGGAGATTAAGACCGGAGTATTTTCCGAAGATCTTTGGGAAGAATGAGGATTTGCCGCTTGATGCTGAGGCGAGTCGGAAACTGTTTGAGGAGCTTACGGCTGAGATTAATAAAGAGATTGAGGTTAAACTGAGTTTGGAAGAAGTTGCGGCTGGGTAAGAAACCTAATGGTTATAAGGGAAGAATATGCTAACTTTGGTCAGATTCCTGGATGTTGCGAATGAGTCTATGTGCAGGCCTATCCGTACTTTAACAGAAGCAAAAGGATACGATGCCGGGCTTCACAACTTGGCATCTTTCGGTGGTGCAGGGGGTCAACACGCCTGCGATATCTCCAAAGCTCTGGGAATATCCCGTGTACTCATTCACAAGTACTCTTCGGTCCTGTCAGCGTATGGGATGGCCCTCGCCGATGTTGTCCACGAGGAACGAAGTCCGTCAGCCTTGATATACACCGAAAAAGACCGGCCGCTATTTGCTGCAGAACTAGACAAATTACAAACCAAGACGGTAGAGGCCTTGCTGGAGCAACGGGTCCCGAAAGACCGTATAACTTCTGAAAGACATCTCAACATGAGATTTCACGGAAGCGATACTCCATTAATGATACAGGAAACCGCTGATTCGGACTTCATCACATCATTCAAAAACGTACATCAAGCACAATTCGGCTTCCTACCAGTCGGCCGCGATATAATCATCGACGACTACCGAGTCCGCTCAATTGGCCACAGCATGTTGGACCTCCCTACCCCCTGGTCCATCGAACTCGCCTCCTTCAAAAGCTGGTCCCACCCTACCACCAAGACAAACGCACCCGTCTACTTCGAATCAGCCTGGCACCAAACCCCCATCCACGACCTCTCAACCCTTTCACCAGGCCTACGCATCCCCGGCCCAGCCCTAATAATCGACTCTTCGCAAACCCTCGTCGTGCCTCCTGAAGCAACAGCCAGCATCCTATCTAGCATGGTTATCTTAGACATTTCTTCCTCTGCCAAGAAGGAGATCTCGTCGAAGACGGTAGATCCTATTCAGTTGAGTATTTTTGGACATAGGTTTATGGGCGTGGCAGAGCAGATGGGAAGGGCGTTGCAGAAGACGAGCGTTAGTACTAATATCAAGGAACGTTTGGATTTTTCGTGTACGGTGTTTTCGCCCGAGGGGGGGTTGGTGGCTAATGCACCGCATGTGCCTGCTATGGTATGTTGAGATGCCGGTAAAGTCAGTATTGAGCTAATGATTGGTGAAGATTGGAAGTATGGCTTTTGCGGTGAAGTGGCAGATGGACTATTGGGGTGATAATTTGAGGCCGGGTGATGTTATTCTGTCGAACTCGCCTGGTAAGAATCCAAGATCGTTAAGATTACGTCTGGCTAATGGAAAAATTAGTCTGTGGGGGGACGCATCTTCCTGATCTTACTGTCATCACGCCTATATTTGACACGGAAGGCAAGGATATCATATTCTGGACTGCTTCCCGTGGTCATCATGCCGATGTAAGTCTTCACTCTGGCATTCCAACGTCCGAATATTTCGCTGATTTGCTACAGATTGGTGGAACTCTACCAGGCTCCATGCCACCTAATTCGAAAGAGCTTTGGGAAGAGGGAGCAGTCATCAAAGCTTTCAAGGTCATAGAAGGCGGCGAGTTCAAAGAAAAAGAACTGATCGATCTCCTAATGGCACCAGCTCAATCTCCTGGTTGTCAAGGTACCCGCTGCCTACGAGATAATATATCTGATATCAAAGCACAAGCTGCTGCGAACCACCGTGGGAGTCAGCTGATTCATTCTCTGATTGGGGATTATGGACTCGAGATTGTGCAATTCTACAGCAAGTCCCTCCCGACCCCTTAGCGCACATGCAGAAGTACTTACACCTCCTAGTGGAAGAAATCCAATCCGCGGCCGAACACGCCGTCCGCGACATGCTCAAAACGATCCACACAACCACGCACGGCGCCCCCCTCCACGCAACCGATTACATGGACGACGGGACGCGCATCCAACTAAAAGTAACCATCGACCCCTCGAGCGGCGGTGCCGTCTTCGACTTCACAGGCACCGGGCCAGAAGCATTCGGGAACTGGAACGCCCCGATCGCCATAACCAACTCGGCGATAATCTTCTCCCTGCGCTGTCTAGTCAACACAGACATCCCCCTAAACCAAGGCGCCATCCGCCCCATCACGACCATCATCCCGCCCAACTCCCTCCTACACCCGAGTCCGGAAGCGGCAGTATGCGCAGGCAACGTGCTAACGAGCCAGCGCATCGTAGACGTGGTGTTCCGGGCCTTCGGCGCGTGTGCTGCCAGTCAGGGCTGTATGAACAACCTGACGTTCGGCACGGACGACGCGGAGAACGGGTGGGGGTACTACGAGACGATCTGCGGGGGCAGTGGGGCGGGGCCGTCGTGGCGGGGCACCGGGGGCGTGCATACCAATATGACGAATACGCGGATCACGGATCCGGAGATCCTAGAGCGGCGGTATCCCGT